CACAGGCAGCCCTTGCACCACAGGCACATGGGCAGAGCATACTCATGGCTGTCATTCTGGTCATGGAGAGTGATCTGCTGTCCACCATCAGGATAGTCATTTGTTACTGCACTCATGAGGCAGATGAATGGATGACTGAGAAGCATGCCAAAGTTGGCATGTTCTATTACCTGGACCTAGAGCATGACTGGCCCAGCTCTGAAGTTGAGTTTCAGGTTCTCTAGAATGCCTACAGTAGTGTCTTTAGACATGTTAGCAGAGGTCATAGTCATGAGATGGTTGCTGCACAATGGCAACCCAATCTTTTCCCAGATGTGCCTAGGCATGGCAACAATAACAATTTCCAAACCAGAATCTAGTATGCAGTTGATTGTGACATCAGTCCTGGGGACCTTGGCTTCAATGCAGCAGAGCAGTAGAGTGTAGTGAGCCATGATGGAACCATTGTCACTGCAGATGATGTGATCCCCATATTCACACATGGTTTGGAGAGGGTTGTGGCCAGTTAGTTCATTTACATGCACTCCCTCATCATCATCACTACAAGCTACCTCAATCATGGTGGTGATGCATTTTGCCATGGTGATGTCCCTGAATTGTTTGTGGAACTCAGGAGCTACTGTGAATAATTCTTTGACAGGAAAGGCAATGCTGGTTTCAAGTACATGCTCCATGATATGCTTGGGCATGGCTTCATCTTTGAGTGGGAACAAGTAACAGTACTGGTTCTGGTTGCAGGCTGGAGCTGGGTATGGTGTTTGTGATGGGACAATTGCTGCAGGCATGGGATCCTTGTGTGTGGGCACTGGAGTGGGATTAGTCTGAGGAACATATGGTTTCACAGTGGTGGATATTGGTGCTGATGCAGAGGGCTCAGATGCCTGGTGAGCAGCATGCAAGCTTTGAACACTGGGGGAAATGATTTCCTCTTTGACAGTGGCTGCATGAGGATCAACTCATGGAGGGTCAGCAGGATGTGCCATGGGTCATGCTGTAATTTCAACCTCATTGAAGTGCACTTTCTTTCCACAGGAAATGACTGCTCCTTTATTACCTTTATCTACTTGGTAGGTAGCCCAAGCTTGAGTGACATATGCTTGGAAGTCAGGGTTGGCTAAGTCTGCAACAGGTTCATCAACATCTTGGATGGTGTTTAGAAAGGCAGAAGGCTGAATCTCCAACTGCACATCAACTTTGGGGTGAGCCACACAGAAAAGGTTAGCAGTGCCTTGTGCAGCTGTGTTGCACAGTGCAGCAGGAGCGGCAGCATGTGCACTGGCCTGGTCTCTGTCAGCCATAATGTGGTCAATGGCATCTCTCAGTGAGTTACATTCTGGGAAGTGTGGAATTTGGCTTCCATCTGCAAGATAGAGACAGTTGTCTGTACCCCTCATGATCTTACCAGTGTGGATATAGACCTCTACAAGTGCACACATCCTCATCCAGTGGTTGGGGTCTGCACAGAAGCTGCAGCCAGGTCTGTGTTGCTGCAGTGGGTGCTGCATCTGGAAGTTGTATTCTTGTTTAACAACAGTGCCAGCAGGTGGCACTTGCAGCATGTAAGCTGGCAAGGGAGGTGCAGCTGGTGAAGCCACAGTAGCTATTGTTGGTACCACACTACATAGGGCAGATCCTGTCAGGAGGAACTTGGCAGCTTTGATGACCTCTGCAAGCAGGTATGGGTCATCTGGGTGGAGGTTGGTGCAGACTATGGAAAGTTGATGATGGATACAATCTGTGATGGCCCTTGGGAAGCCATTCAGGAACATGGAATCTCATTCCAGTCTCTGCAAGCTTTTTAGTCTTAATGAGGAGGGCAGAAATCTTAGTGAATTTCCACTGGTATTCCCCAAGGTTGTCCTGGTTTTGCATAGGCTTAGACTGGTACTCTTCAACAAGGTACTGCAAGTCTGTGTGGCAGTAGCAGTTGTCACCTTTGCAGCCAGGGTACAAGCCCTTAACAGCGACTACAAAGGCATCCCAGTCATTGGCCACAGGAGTGGCTTCCAGAAGCATTTGCCAGACCTTGGCTTCTTTGAGGTCAGCATAGCAGATTGCAGCTCTGGTCTTGCCATGGTTGTCAAGAGCAGCAAGAGTACTGAGGAAGTCAATGTCTTTGAGGTAGTACAGAAGCTGCATGGGTGAATCTCTGCTAAATTTAGGTGAATTCTGTGTACTGCAGAGCAACATCTGAAACTGAGGATTAGCCGTTGGTGGGTTAACCTGTGGTGGCAGTGCCAGATTGGTAATGGGTGGAATGGGTATTGGCTGCAGATGCAGAGCAGGTGGTATAGTGTGCAAGTGGACTGACAGAAGTGTCAGCAGGTTACTAATGGCTGATGGCTGGTCTGCAACTGAGTGAGTGGTTGCAGCAGTGTGGTCGATGGAACTGGGATTCTGGGTATAGATTCAGAGGTGTCAAAGAGACAGGAAAAAGAGGGTGTCTGTGATGATGAATCAGATGATGTGACAGGTTGTTAAAGGTGATGGTGGGGTTTTGGGTCTTCAGGGACTCAAGTGGATAAAGCCACTGGGAAAATCAGAGGCAGTGAGATCCAGGTGATCCAAAATGATGGATATCTGATCTACCAATATATCAGGGGTGATTGCAGGTAGTACCTAAAGGATGTCAGTGGATAATTGTGCATGATTCTGCACTTTGGGTGAAACTGGGCAGAATAAGTTGGAGTCTTCTGACAGGTTCAAGTTACAGAAGTGAAGGTGTAAATTTTCTAGTTTGGTGCATTTGGTGGTGCACCTGAGCAACCTTCTGGAAGTGACAGCAGAATCCCTTGCAGTGGGCTCCAGTTGTAGGAAAAGTCCAAGTAGCTGTACAATATGAGCTAGATGGTTTAAGTAACAACAATAAAATGAAGGGAATGAATTGCTCATCCCAAGGGATTCTGGACTGTTGGAACTAGGAGGCAGGACTCAGCACTTGGTAGTGATAGTGTTTCAGTGGCATGCATGGTGTGTTCCATGAAGTAGTACTGGTGAAGCAAGCAATGCAAGCAGTGTGCATAATTCATGTGTGGTCATTGTGAGGCATGCAGTGTGGACAAAGTGAAAAGGAAACTCATGGTGACCTTCTGAGTGCCAAAAGGTATCATTCTGTACCTAAGTACAGGGCTTTATAGTTCAGGCAAACCTGGAACCTAAGTAAGACAGGGTACCAGCAAGGGAAAGCCATGTGACAGTGCATACATACAAGACAGGCCACAACAGAGGCTGAGGGTATACTACTAATGAAAAGGGAAAAGAGACTGTGTTAAAAGAAAGAGTCTGAAGGAAGGGAAGCAAGTGGAGCACAGCAGCCATGGGTATAGCATTGTGTGAGAGGGAGTGAGGGCATGGGAAGGTAGCACATGAACTACAGTGGATGTGAGAGGTCTGGGAACATAATGGTAGTTGTGGAATGGTCAATGATAAGGGCTTACACATCCAAGGAATGCAGATTCCTTACACCATCTTCCCTACAGTGATAATGCATGCCACTGGCTCATCTCCAGATCAGGAGTCCAGTCACTAATCAATGTGGATGTTCCATCAATCTGGAATGTCATTGCAGATTTCTTTGGGTTTGTTCCAGATGCTGGTTCTTGTTTGCCCAGTGAGTGACTCATGCAAATCAATGTCAGAAGATTGACACCTCCATTAAAGGATCATGTCTACATGACAAGAGTTGACCCAAGCCACTCAAGAAGACATTGACAGCATTGCATGTCCCACACACACTGCTGCATGTGATGTGCTGACTATATCAAAGTTGTCTATCTGTTGCTGCATTTAATGGTAAAATGTGTAACCTTGACAGCTTTTTCCTGGCAAAGGAACCATGCTCTGTTGATGGGGCCCTCCCTATCTTTGGATGGCTTTGTGAGATTCTTCAGATCTGTCACTCACCAGCCCAGCAGTGCAATCAAGCCAACTATATATTGCTCAAGACTTTCCAAGTCACTGGTGCTTCAGACATTTATCAACTTCCACATATACAGCCATCAGGGTGGGCAGTACTGCCAGCCACAGTAAGTTTTGTATCATCAATACATCCATGTGTGCAGCTGATGCTATTGCTTGTTCAAGGGACTTCTGTGCAGTGTCAATGTGCTGGTTCATCTACAGCACCCATCTACAAGGAACACAAGAAGACATTTAAAACACAGCAGTGCATTGAGCACATTTCCCCATCTAACCTCCTACTAAACACCACACAGATGCATGATGCAATTCATGTGCAATGCTTCCACATCCAACCTCCACCACTTGAATGTGATTGGGCAATTCATACAGGCACAGCAGCTGAGCTTGAGGCACAGAAGATTAAGTTGCAAAAAACCTCAAAAGGTGATACTCAAAGTTGGGGTGTGCCAAGCACAGTGATACCATCACTGCCAGGCGAGCCATCGAGCATGTTCACAGTGCCAGTGCACTTTATATCAAGCACATCAGCAGTATCAGTACCTCCAAGCCAACCATCAAACATGTCTGCAGTACTGGCACACTTTATCAACATCTTCCACCATACAGGTCAAGACACAGCAGGCCAATAAATGCAATGGGTTTCATGTGATATTTCTGTCTCTCTGATCAACAACATCATGCTGACAGGATGACATTTTTGGTTCTCAATATCTGAAAAAAAATATAAGATGTGTCATCTTTTTCTCTCTCTGCCTCTGTGCCCATATTAATGTCTCTCAAATTGTGTAGATGAGATGTCATTGCAGCAGCCCCACCATGATCCCAGCACATACCCTTTCAGAAATATACCATCCTCAGGTTTCATAAACTTGCCTCTCAGATCACATCATGTCTCCACAGGTGTGTACATACAGTACATCATCACATGAGGCTCACCATGCTCCTCTAAAGGATCACCAAGACCTTTGGGGGTTGACATGGCACAGATGATGAGGACCAACATCACCCCATGTGACAGGTCTCTCAGAGCATGCAATGAGTCTCTGAGAGTACCTAATGTGTCTCCAAGGGCACTTGACATGTCCCAGTGGACATCAGATGCATCTCAATGGGCTTGCAATGCATCAGAATCTGATGTGCCACAACTAGCTGCATTCCATGATCCTCCAGAGGAACAATGCAATGATGATGACAGTTCTTGGCTCACACCCCACTCCAGTTTCTCAGCAATCTCATGCCCAGAAAGCGAGCTCTCAGATGACCATGTCAAGGACTTCACACTGTGGGCTCAGAAAGTGGCAAGTAAATTTGAACTGAAAGCAGCACAGTTCTTGGAGCTTAGCACATTCATTGATGTAAGCCACATCATTTAAGTCAGCATATTTTTATTTCCCTTATGCTCATTGACATATCAAGGTTGGGAGGAAACTGAATGCCACAGATCTTTGGTTGCAGATCTGGCAGCAGGCCACTAACTACAAAATTTTAAATGGGATCAAAGAAATCAAGGTGGAATCAAGCACAAAGACTGCCATGCAGAAGGTGACCTCTGGGCTCAAAGGCAGTTTTCAGCTTAGCATGGACCAGATGGTATGTTCCATATCTATGATGGCCTGCAGATGATCATCATCATCAGATGCAAGTAGCTATCACCTGCAAGGATATGCTTGTCCAAGCTGGGTGCACCAAATACAAGATGCTGCACATCAATGTCAAGGTGAGGCCCTTCACTTTCTATGCTGTGCTATCTCACTCATTGTGCACTGGTGGTAGGATCAGCTCAAGTCACATGCAGACACCCTGGGATTCCAGAACATGTTTGGGAACCTGGTGCATGAACAGGTGCTCTGCACCACAATTAAGAAGGAATGCAGTGGGATTTGAAGCAAGTTCTGCACACTGGCAAGTCACCTCCTTTCTTTTTGATGGCTTGATGTTCATCACTGATTGCATCTCAACTTAGATATTGGAGAGCCCTGGTGTGTCAGACAGTGGCAAGGGACACATATTGCTTGAGGAATTTACATGGACAGTACTGAACAAATATAAGTGAGGGGGGGTAGGTATGGGGTCTAAGGTTGAGCACCAGTTACACTTTGCCTATCTGGTGTGGTGCATACATTTGTCTTGAAGATCTGAAGTGTTGAAATGTTGTGTTTACAGCACTTCTATGGAAGATGGCATCAATACATTGTGGGTCCTGGAGTGGAGAGCAGGGCTGAGAGTGGTGAAGAAACAGGCTCACTGAGTGAGCCTCCTGCCAAACATGCCAAGTCAATGAGTCACAAGGCCCCCCCAGGAAGAGTGAAGACTGGCCATGACTTTTGGAGTGCAATGGACCACTTATTCATCAAGGATATTGAACAGTATGGAAAGGGCATGAAAAATGAACATTGGCACAAGTAAGTTACACTTATTTGCCATCATGAGTTCACTGTAATGTTCACATACTTAGGTTTTTCAACTCCATCATCATCAATGATCAAGAAAGTTATGGGAAGAATGCTGAGATGATATTACCTGTGCTGCCCAGCATCTACACAGAGTCAAGAGGATCCCCTCTGCTGCCTCCACCTGCAGCCACTTCATCTGCCACTCCCACAGTCACTTCATCTGCCACTCCTGCACCCCACCAACAAACCCATACCCTGCAGTCTCTGCCTGATACATCAAGCACCTCTGCTCATGGCAGTGGTGTCCTGCCAGACCTGTCTCAAACATATGGTGATGACAATATTTTGGGTGAAGACTTCTAGTCACCTCTCTTAATTATATTGGACTCTTTGCAATATGTATCTATGCAGTATGTTATATGACTTATGCCTCTCATATGCATGTTTTGGGGGAACACAAGTGAATGGAAATTTTCAGAGACTGGTCAGAAAGCCTGGGAGGACTGGGCATGGTTTGAGGCTGACACATTTGACATTTGGTACTGGATACAGATCATGCCAATTCCTGTCAGATACACACTGCACACTGCAGTGTCTGGGCACAAGTTGGCATTGCATCTGACATGTGCTACTGTCAATGCAATTTTGCATGTGTCTATGGGGTGGCCATGTAACCTGTGCTTCTGAATGATTATGTAATCAAGAAGTGTCACTGTTAATGAATCTGAGATCTGTGGGCCCTGAGATCTCAGATCTGACCTGCACTTCTTTGTGATTATGTAATCAAAAAAGCGGACTGAATACCCTGCTCTCCCCTGGCTTTTTCTGCTTCACCACACACTCTCCCTGCCTTGTGAGATTTTCTACTGAGTTCCAATGGAATGTTTTTATGTTACTTCATAGATACACATGCAATTTTGATCCAGTTAAGTGCCCTGGAAGGATGCCAAAATAAATAGGGGTAAAATGCGAACTCTGTCCGCATTTTTGCAATTCTTGACATATGAGCATGTGGATTGTGTCCCCAGGCAGCCTTAACATACATCTACAATTTATCAAAATCCAAAGGCATCAGCACCAGCTCTTGCAGATCTATAATTAATTCTCCTCCTCTACACTGTATGTGGTGCAGGCTAGTATCCTTGTCATTTCTGGATTTTCTAATGCATTGGGACTATGGAGGGCATACAGTACAATGTCTAATTAGAAGGGCTTGGGTAATTTAATTGAAGGATGAGATGCTAGACCGCTTTTTTGGTTTTTTCTGATATGGCCATCACAGGACTCCTATATGGATAACTTGTGATGTAATACCTTGGAATTGCTCTTCTCAAGTAGGTCCACCAATATCCAGAATTACAAGTCCATCCATTCAGGATTGGAGGAGCAGGAAAGAAAACAAGTTCTGAAGAGTGTGGGAAAGTGACCAAAGATTTTAGGAGACTTTGAAAACATATAAAAAATCTGTAATACTACAACACACAGCACTCCAATGTACATGATACTGTAGAGATAGTATGTGACTGACACACTGAACACTCTGATAACAATGATACTATAATATAGCTGCATGAAATGCCAAAAATGCAAAAACCTCCTGGTCTGCATTCTGTGTATGCACTGCAAGACTGAAACAGAGTCTAGCAAAGTTGTAACACATCTATGCAATGGGCACTCAGTGGACAGGTTGGACAACAAAAAGATGGTATAGAGAGGTGTGAAATGACAGTAACAATCTAACCATGCACATATATTGATCATTTCATCACTGTATGTTGTAGTATTACAGATCTTTTATATGTTTTCAAAGTCTCCTAAAAGCTTTGGTCACTTTCCCACACTCTTCAGAACTCATTTTCTCTCCTGCTCCTCCAATCCTGAATGGATGGACTCGGAACTCTGGATACCAGTATAAATACTGGAGAAGAACCATTCCAAGGTATTACATCACAAGTTATTCATACAGGAGTCCCATGGTGGTCATATCAGAAAAAACAAAAATAGCAGCCTGACACCTCATCCTGCAACTAAACTACCAAAGCCCTTCTAATTAGACATTGTACTGTATGCCCTCCATAGTCCCAATGCATTAGAAAATCCAGAAATGACAAGGATACTAGCCTGCACCACATACAGTGTAGAGGAGGAGAATTAATTATAGATCTGCAAGAGCTGGTGCTGATGCCTTTGGATTTTGATAAATTGTAGATGTATGTTAAGGCTGCCTGGGGACACAATCCACATGCTCATATGTCAAGAATTGCAAAAATGCGGACAGAGTTCGCATTTTACCCCTATTTATTTTGGCATCCTTCCAGGGCACTTAACTGGATCAAAATTGCATGTGTATCTATGAAGTAACATAAAAACATTCCATTGGAACTCAGTAGAAAATCTCACAAGGCAGGGAGAGTGTGTGGTGAAGCAGAAAAAGCCAGGGGAGAGCAGGGTATTCAGTCCGCTTTTTTGATTACATAATCACAAAGAAGTGCAGGTCAGATCTGAGATCTCAGGGCCCACAGATCTCAGATTCATTAACAGTGACACTTCTTGATTACATAATCATTCAGAAGCACAGGTTACTATGTTACTACATCTGGGAAACAGCTATGCAACATGGCTGTTAACAGCTCTTCCACACTTGAGTGAGGTCCCTCATTGGCCAACAAGTGTCTTAGCAAGTCTTATGACAAGTCACTTCCAAACAGAGGCAGGTATAACCTGCTCACTCCCTTGGGTAGTTTTGCAGATGTATGATAAATATATATCTTCAGAAGTTGCTGGGAGGCTCTTGAGATGGTTGGGTGAGGCTCTTGAGAGGCTCCCAAGATGGTTGAGTCACTGAATGTCTGTAACAAGTTGCCACATATTGATTATGCAATCACTCAGAAGCCATGGGATGCCATATTGGAATGATAAATGTGTATCTATGGAGGTTGGTGAGAGGCTCTTGAGATGGTTGGGTGAGGGTCTTGAGAAGCTCTCAAGATGGTTGAGTGAGGGTCAATGGAGGGATTATCAGTAACACTGTCCATCAGAAGCACAGGGAATAGGGGTAAATTACCCTATTTGACTTATGTTGCAGAAGACACATCCAGATTTGGCAGGGGAGGGGTGGATCACTTCAAGAAGCATAACCATAATTAGATACATCTGGGAACCACTGCTGGAGGTAGGGTCTGTTAGATACATTATTACTGTCACAAAATATATATCTAACAGACCACCATCCCTCCAAAAAACTGCTGCCAAGGGTGAAGAGAAGACGGTAACAATTTCAGTAATGAAGCAATATCTACACTATACTAAGTCTTGAGTCCATGCACAACATCATCCACTGCAGCACAATTGTCATTCTTGGCCATGCTTCAGGATTTGGTGACATGAATTGGCTGGATACCTCGACAAGCGCTGTGTCAGCTGTGTGCACCAGAAGCTGACACAGCGCTTGTAGTGTCTTACCGGAACTCCACAAATCCACGAGCTTCAGCTTGTACCATTCCCCAGCACGGACTTCCCAGGCCATGTAGCCCCCTGTGTCAATGACGCCAAGATATCCTCGGCCAGGCTTAGAAACATGGATGGACACAGCAGAGTCGATGATAGATAGACGACCACCTTCGGGATGGATGATAATGCACAACACCATCATGCTCGTGCATAAATGCGACTACTTCGACAAGCTGCAGAACGACAGGCCACAGTTGTCGGCATGTATTTCTGAGGGATTTCAGCCATCCCCGGCATTTGGCATAGATATGACGGTGCCGCCCTGAATGGGCTAGAAGTGAGCATCGAAGACTTTGTGGTTCGCAAGTGATTGGATCTCCCAAAGGTATCGAAGGACCTCAACTTCATTGTCACGGTCCACGAATTTGAGGAATACCGAACTTATTACCAATCTGACGGGAGATAACAGCAATACGAGGGTCTAGGGGACATGTTAGTCCAAAGGACCGGCGAATGTTGTGGCACTCGCCGCGAAAACAACGTAGTCGATGCGGTACTACATCTGGCCTGTTCCTCTTCTTGAATAGTGCCCATCTTGGTGGCACCAGTCATCGATTCTGGAACCTGTCTGCTAAGTGATAGAACGTTCTTTGCCTTGACGCAAATTGTTGCGAGTAATTACTTCTTTCCTGGTCAAAAGTTCTGGAAATGACTGCAATTTCTCGCACCAGATTGTACATCTCACGCAGGAAATCCAATGCGTCCGGCGTTTCCTTAAGATTAAAATCGCTCCGCTATGTTTCCGTTACCACCGTGGATAGTAGTCAACAGAGCGGACCGTATCTCCGCTATTGACAATGAAACCGTTGGTCCCGTCCTCCGAATCCTTACCATAAGCTCTCGTTCAGTGCGGGCACATACGATAGCTTGAATAAACATTTGGGTGCGGTCACTCTCGTTCTTTTGGGAACAGACGAGGAATGGAATGAAGTGGGTGAAAAGACCAGACAAGGTAGGAGGTTCGCCCCCGTGCCCCTCGACTGCTTTCAGCAGATCGCCCATGACGTCGCCCTTGAATGAGACTGGATTCCTGATAGATCTGTTTTGAATCGTTATGCAGCGACATGGAGCACTGGGGACAACTAGTTATCAGACACGATATCCCCAGGAAACCACCGTCATCTTGAAGCAGCACTACCGGTGTCATACGAAGGTCATCCAACCTGCCAGGATCAAACTTTCAACTTAGGGCCTACCCATGATGATCACCGTCTGATATTCCACGCTGTGTTCCTCAAAGATGGAAAGGGCGAGCGGATGGAAACTCAGCCCATTGAAGGGGTGACCTTGGTATTGTGTACGTCACCTACGCACGGAGTACAACGGTTGCCCAGCAGCGGGTGTCAGTAAAATGTTCGGGCTCGAGACGAGTGAAAACAACGGGAATGACAATGTGCCCTAATAAATAAGGAGAACAAAGTAATGTTCACTTCAAGACTACACCGGGATATGACAGCTATGAACGATAGCGGGTAGAGGAAATGTTCGAACGGAAGGTATCATTTTTGAATGTTCAAGTTCTGTTAAAACCCACTACCGAACAGCGACGCGCCGACGATGACTGCAAGACCGGCAGCCTGCCATGTAGATGACCCTGCGAAGCTATGGGGAGCACCGTTAGGGACTGAGAAATAGGTCAGCAGAGCAGTTACGTGTGCAATCACTCAGGGAACGTACCCAAACCGGAACCAGACGAAGAACTGCCGCCGGACGTAGTTCCTCCAGAAGTTGAGGTAGTAGATGGGGAGGCCACGATAGCCGAAGCAGAGGAAGTAGAGCTTCCGCTACCTCCAGCGATAGCATGGGTGGCGGATGTGGTGGATGGAGAAGCAAAAGTGGGGGAAGCTGCATGGGACGAAGTGGTAGCAACAAAGGTAGCCGACGCGGACGAGCCTCCGCTACTGCCTCCGCTACTACCCCCGCCAGTGCTACCTCCACCGCTGCCACCAGCAGAGCAGGTATCCATCCCAACCGTGCAGCTTGATCCAGTAGGGCAGCCTGGATACGGTGTAAGCAAATGGAAACCTATCATAGCGTTGCAAGACAGTGTACTCACAACCACCAAATTCGTCATTGCAACAGCTGTAACCGGGGTCGCAGCACCCACTGTCGTTGGCGCAGCACGTAGTACCGTTCGGACAACTAGCAAGTTCGTCGCACTACCAACCAGTCAGCATCGATAACTCCACTCTTTGTTAGATAGACACTTACACAGTAGTCGCCAATAAGGGCACAAGAGTCGGGGAAGTTGGTACACTGTTCTGTAAAGATGTTCTGTGAGACCGGTGTGAAGAAGGATCGCAGGTAATGACATACGATAACCAGTAGGACATCCTGACTGCCTCTGCGCGAACTTTGAGCTACGCCCCAAGAGCCCGATGAGGACACTGGGCGAGTGTGGGTTGTGTACACGCTGCGAGTCGTCCGCGTGAACGAAAGCGAACTGAGCAGAGAGCAACAAAGACGCGATGCAGAGGAGACGGAGCATAACGGTGGTTCGTCGCCGGATAAACGGTCGCTGAGGGGAGATTTGACAAGAGAGCAGACATTTTATACACGAAGGTGGCACGGGGGAAGTTGTGGGTTGCTGTGATTAATTGGTTTCTCCAGGGACACGATTGTCGGTCGAGACAATTATTTGATGCCGCAAGCGAATACCTTGGCAAGGGACGACGACGGAACAACGTAGACACACTGTGTGGACGAGGCAGTGTCACTGTCAACCCTTGTCAACCTCGCCCAATTCCGCCAATGCCAAGGCGTCTTCCCAGACTTCGTGTAGTAGGGGGACCGTACAGCCCGGTGGCACCAATACAGGGACAGTCTTCCAGGAGAGCCAAGCCATTGAGTTGTACGAGGTGTTGTACCTTGACAGACCCATTCAAATGCTGTTCCGGTCTGCTGGTCAGCTACAGTGACGAGTTCATGTTCCGGCCTCACAAAACACGCTCCACGATTTGAAGTTGTCCGGCACATCATCAATATCGAGTCACTAGATAGCGGAAGGTACGCAAAACAGAGTTGATCTCCGCAATAGTGGATTACTGGAGTCTGGTGGTCTCGCCGATCAGCGGTCCTGGTCCCTGCCCAATCTGACCTAGATGCCGTGCTGGGCGCTCGCTTCCGTGAGGTACATTCTACTCGTCTTTCACCATGCTACACTAATGCATGCATACATACGTACCTGCCAACCAATCCAGTCCCAATATCGGGCCGCACGCATATACTTCAGTCGTCAGCGTCTGCCAGACTCGCAGAATTTCCGGACATGTTCTCTTCCTAGACACGCACACTGTAGTTCAGTCGAATTCATCATAATGCCAAGACAATGGCACATGAAACCGGGTGCGCACCCATCAAGTATCGGCTAACTTAGCCTCCAAACCCTAAAAACGCATGATGATGCGGTAATCAAACGTTGCTGCAGGTCAGGCACCAATTCCCTCAAAACTGTCACCTTGGTCAGCACACGAACACAAGGCAGGCAAAAAAAAAAAAGGAATGACATGCAGCTCTTGGCCTGCCACGTATATGTGTAAAAGTCCCGACACTTCCCTTCGCACTCACTAGGTTCGCGTGTGCACTTAATCCTTGACCTCCCTGCTTCACATGTGCACTGAAGAAATCTCCAACTTCCTGGCCAGCTCCTTTACTACATTTTTGAAAACTATTCGACTGAAGGAGTCCGTCATTTAATCGATTTCACCGGTGCAGACAAATCCCGAGCGACCCGTCTTCCGCACGATTGTGTCCATTGGTGACCAGCGATCTTGGTGGCTAGCTCCGCGCCCCTACCACTGCACATATGTGCACTGAAAGATGCGCCGTTGCGAGCACTACTGATCTTGGTCATCCCTTTCTAGGGGCTACAGCAAATCAAACCAATTACAACTCGGGACATTGGCAGTAGATTGTTCTGTGAACTCCTAACCTGGCTGGCGTCGAGCGCTTCAAGCAACGTTCCAGATATGTCTGTGGATGGATCATATCAGAAACATTACAAATGACCAACGTTACGAACGACACCTGGCGACTGGGGCTGACTTATCGTAAGTACAGCATTTATCCGGCCGGTTTCCATGGGAATAGCTAAAAGGTTGTAAACAGTGCAGACTTACAGGTTCTTTCCGAGAAGGGCTTCGTGCACCACCTTATACCTGTTGTGCTCCTCGCTTTGTGGTCAAGAATGACAAAATTGATGGGTTCTGAACAATACATGATAGATTCCAGCCGAAGGCAGCTTACATAATGTGCGTATTCTTCCAGTGACCAGCACCCTTCGATACAGGAGGTAAGTAGTATACACCAATGTTTGGGACCGCAGAACAAGCAATCATAGAGAAAAATAGGAGACACGCGTTCGAAAATATGAAGAAACTTTCAAGCGGCAAGGTAGAGCCGAAACAAGCAGTAGAGCAGTGTGGCACTCTTGCATACCGGACATTCAGACTTGGCGACGACGGCCTGCGTGATGCACCTGCGACCACATCATCATCATCAGACATCGCAAATATATGATCCCAATACAACAGCTGAGATGAACCTTTTGCAGAATAGGTGGCCACAAATCGTTGCGGTCATATCTTCACAAGGATCTCGACCTACAAATCCTGCAATGAAGGCGAAACTCCCTCCCAGAAAGTTGTCCAGCAGAAAGCTTGTATTCCTTTTTGGACTCAAGAACCGACTCTCGAGGGTCAACGATGGACTCAGAGTTGAGAGACGAGGCAGAAGACGACAGCTCTCCTGGACTACGAGTACTTGAGGATGGCGACGACCTCGCATCTCCATTCAGCACTTGAACGTGGTTATCCTCCGCCCTCACATATTCAATGGAGAAACTTGGATTCGACTCCGCGTACCCATGGGAAGGTGAGAGGTCCCGTGAAGATCTAGACGGAGTGGGTGAACCCTTATCATCACAGAAGCTCTGCATCCGGGTTGCCGAGTTGTCTGCGCCTGAGTGAGCCATTCCATCGCTGCTCACAGATAGGGTTGACGAAGTTGTGATGTACTAGTACGAATCAGAATTACTGCGCTCTACTCTGAAATGGAAGCTGCTTACTCCTTCATCCGAAGAGGCCTGCGTAAGCAGTGAGGTGAAAGAAGGAGTGGATCCCTGTGAATTGGAACATATATTGTTGTGGTCAGAAATGCGACTTCCTATAGACTGCAACGGAAGTAAATCAAGTCGATCTGCACGAGAAAGAAGAGTCGCACTAACCCCGCAAGTGGTGACCGACGAGCTTCTGGTGTCAGAGTTTGCAGCCTGTGCAATACCATGCTCATTCTCAAGATGCTGTTTATGAGTGAGCGGCCATTCTCCAAAGACCAGAATCGACACACCTTGGGCAGCATGTCAGAGCTTTCCATGACAGACCCACAAATGGTGCACGACGGGTGCTCTGAAGCGTAATGTAAGTCGAGACTTTCCTGTGAGACTACTGCGCCTCCGCAGTCCCAGCATACAACCACCGGATGCCCTACTTCCGTATGCTGTGTGTTGTGGCTCTCCTCAGCTGGCATCACAAAAAACTGAATGATGAAACCTACCCGGTAAAGTTCAGTTTCGTCTGCGAACGATGCTTCACATTTTCGGCACTTCGGATGGGTTTCGAGGTGATCGTGAAGTAAGTCGTCGGAACAGAACTGCACATTGCACACGGTACAAGAGAAGGAGTCCCTTTCGGCCAGGTGGTTTTCTAGTGACGCACCATCCACAAAGCGACTGTAACAGTATGTGCAATGAAGAGGGATCTCCATCTTTCTGAACTCGCAGGTATGGGTTCGGAAATCCTCGTACGACTCATAGATGATCCGACAGGATGGACAGCAGCTTGCAGTTTGATCTTCTGTGGCAACCTCTATGTCGCCGCCGTGAGGTTGGGTATCCAAAACACTTTGTCCTTGTTCATGTTTGTCAACGCCTGCCTACAGCTTTCCATACCGAAACAACATTTACCTTCAGGATCAGATGTGGGACTTGCTAGGGACTGTTCGCCTGTGTAACCCGACACACTAGCAGCAACCGGGCTAGTGTTTCGGACAGACTGAGAAGATGATGCAGTGGAATTTGCTACGGAGATCGCACGGGTCCATATTCCATGCCGATGCGTCGTCATTCCGTGGGCATGCAATGCGGAAGCTAAGCTAAATTTGCGATTGCACTGGGGTACACGTGTAGCAGAAACGAGTGGCAAGTTTGCAACTCTTGTAGTGCTGGTTCCGCGCTGTAACGGAGGAGAGCTGGGACCCGCAGTGATTGCATTTCGAGGAATGCAAGTCCGAGACGTGCTGGTCCAGAGTATTCTCTGAGGCAAACTTCCAGTCACAATGCTTGCACTTGTATTCGAGATGTAGTGCTTCATGTTGATCCCGGGTTGCATACGTGGGGAATTGATGGTCGCAGTAATTACACGGAATAGAATGGCTATCCGCTTGGTGTTTGAGAAGCGCCTCCATCGAGTAAAAAATCGATTCACAATGACTGCAGGGAAAGGCGAGACGCTTCAAACTCAAGGCAGTACTTCCTGTGTCCCCTGTTTCGACCGGTTTAGACTTGGCGCTAGGGGAAGTAGGTACGTGGGGGTGCTTGCTCTGTCGGTGTGACTGAAGTGCCTCTCCTGTCCCGAAACCTTTTCCGCATGCGCCACATCGCAGCATATGCTCGATGAAGTGCTCCTTTACTAGCGCTGTCCTGGATGGAAAGCGTGCCTCACACAGGGGACAACTGCCCACAATCCGCGAATGCTTGGATGTTTGATGCTACATAAGGAATATTTTTCCTTCAAGTCGAATGACACGATAGCAAAATGCAGACTCACATCATACAATGCATCGATCTTCGAAAATTTTTTGTTGGGACAGTGTGTACAGGTGAACATGTATACGGGTTCGTTCAGAGAAAGGATGTTCCAAGGTTATTGTTCACTGCAAAGCCTTCTGCACGGGGTCTCGACGGGGACCCAGGGTTTAAGTAGTCAGAGATTCGCAGTCCAGGTGCGTTGCAAGCGTGCACATTGGGCCGGCGTCTAAATCGAAGTGCTTTGAATTGAACTCGTACGTGTGCTGTCCTGCCACGTACGACAAAACGAAAACACCGACATCTCCGTCCAGCTTTGAGGTGATATCATTCGCCGAGGACCGCGCACTCGTCCGATGTCAATCGAAACCGAAACGGTGATCTGTAGACTACTGATCAGAAGCGAGCGGGCAACACCTATCACACTGGAGATCGTCCCCGAGATATGAAAGGTATACCGTAGGTAATGTTGGTTTCCAACGCGTATGTCCAGTCCTTAGTCCCTACTACAGAACCATGTATGAGTTTCCCAAGATCGCACCACACGATCTAATCCAACTCCGCGCACACCAGTGGTGAGTTCGAGCATAAACCGTTGGGTATGGCATAATTACGCACGCTGCATCCGAGGGTATAGTAACACACAGCTATCTGGTCTGCCGTGTACTTGACTTACTCCAGGTATGTGGATTTCCATGGGAGAGGGATAGTTATTTTTTATTATTAATACAAACGCTCCACACCAGACCCCGGAAATGAATTGTGACCATGGGAGCCAAGGAACTCTGTTATGTTATCGGGCTCGTCTGACCATGAAGGCTCTTGTACGAGGCAGTGATATCTTCGGCATATCCCTTTCTCTCGGAGAGACTGAACCGCGTTCGGCAGGTGGGTTGTTCAGTTTGGTATCTATGAGTGGCTGCCAAGTGACCGTCTGGGGAGAGGTTCCCTATGCCCACTGACTTCCTTCGATCCATGGATCTTATATGAAGTCGGGCAATGCGTATCCCAGACTCCGATAGCTAAGTGATACCACCTTCGGTGCAGCGGGGATGAGGAAGCCATACGAAGGCCAGGTTACCCGTGTTCTGGTAGCACGGAGCTCCGGTCATGAGCTCTTACCATCCCCTATACTCGAACCGCGCTGGTTGATGGAGCCCTGTCTGCCTACATAAGGGGACGATGTGCGTATCCCCGGTAAGGAGATTTGATACTGTGAGCGAGTTATATTATATGGTACTAAATGAGACGTCGATTTATGTGAGACATTTCAGGATTGGTTGGGAAATGGAAACTTGCCAATGTACATTCTGTCTTGACTATCTAGTATCCCTTGCATTTGTGTGCAGTTGGGATGTACGGGACCGAAGGCATACGGGTGGTGTTTGAACGGTGAGAGAGCATTCTTCTGCGCGTGCGCATTATCTACCCAAATTCGATCATGAATTGTAGGAAGGTCTTCTGTTGGCAACAAGTTGACTACAATCGTTGTAACATCTCATTTGACGTTCGAGACGGCGGGTTAAAGCGACCGCAACGATCAGCCAGTAAAATACGTACGTACAACGGCGGTTCCTGTAGTGAAGAACGAGTATCAATACCAGGCTTTGCACTTCCCGAAGAGGCGTTAGGGTGTTCCCCCCATGTTCTGCAGGCAATAAGATGTGCTTCAGCTACGGGAAGTCCCAGAAAGCGGACGCGTTGGTTAAGCGGTGCCCGTAGAACGCATAACAGGGTGGCGGGATGTCCAAAGAGGTATTTATGGGATAAAGGAAACTACATTACCATTATAGAAGCAGAGGCTGAGCGTTTTGGATATGACAAGAGATTCGATGGCGAACTTCAATCCCCGCCTGCGCCTCGCCCCATGCTTGAAATATGGGTTCAACGTCCTGTGCCCCCCCTCGCAAAATATCTGATTATATGTATACTGTCTCCTCGCACTGGATCATCTACCTTATGTTCATTAATTCAGAGAACACGTCCTTTGATTACTTGGGCATTTAAATCGGCTTATTTTTTACCATGCCCAAAGGAAATACTTAGTATCAATTTTGCGACTTCATTCCAGGGACCTCCATGCTCCAGGACTGCACGTGCACCCACGTCCAGCAACCAGCGACCGCAATATTGTTGGCTGTTGCACTTGTGTGAATTCAAATCATGCCTATAATTATTTTGGCCTCTGATGGACTCCAATACGTATTTACTCACTTTCTATCATCATGCTCGACTTTCAAACAACCTCAGTACGATGGGTTTTGTCGCAAAAAAATCATCCTTCCGGAGGGCGTAAAATGGCAGACGACATACACGCGTAGTCAGATAGCTATGTCTTCGTTTAGTTCCTTTCATCCTAGCTCTGATGACGCTTGGACAGGGGAGTTCTATTCCTGTCAGATGGCCGAGTGAAAATTTAAGTAGACCGACAACAGTCGGATACCTGTCCGGTACTTGACAGCCCCTCTTGAAAAGCGGTCCTTGCTTTGCTGGAGCATGGGCAAGGGATTTGAGTGGATGTCGGTCAAGCTGATCCTCTTGGAGACCACATTTAAATGGCGTCGAAGACGGGACGAACCAGCCACCATTCAAGACGTACCCAGTCGCCTCCAGGCCGAATAGTGGTAGGTTCCTTCTCAGCTATTCCAATTGGCTGTTCAATATTCATCCAAAGCACGTGCATTGCGTTTCGGACTCGTGTTGATCAGCGGTAACCCCGCACTTACTCAAGATGCAAACCTTCGCCCTACACCGTGGATCAAGATATATGAGCGCAACCTCGGCGAGTGGAACTAACCACGCTACGTCACCATGAAATGATGTCTACATCATCCGAGTGCAGAATCCAGTTAACATGCCGATTTTCAGAACCCACAACAATTCATGATGTGATGCAGATAGAGAAAGCATCTTAGCTGACCTGATATCGCGGACTAGGTTGTCGTGATAAGGTAGGCGAAGGGATGATGGCATTGGAACTTACTGCAACCAGGGCGCAATAGTCTGAAGCATAAGATAACGGACCGGTCTCGGTATCCTGACCTAGCAGTCCAAGCTCGACCTTTTTAACACCGGACCTACCACATGCGATGACCCTTTTTTCACGTTGCCACGGTACGATAGGCATGGGCATTGAGGTCCACAATGATGTAGCAGCGGATACGGATCGACGTGACTTGCAAAATTGCAACCCTTCAAAGCCGCAGTCGCGTGACGCGCTAAGATGGTCAGGGGAGTGACGACCTCTGACATCGCGAGAAGAAACGTGGTAGATTGGACGACACGAGTCGTAAATCCGGCCCATGTTGCAGGTATCAAGAAAGCCACGTTTTGATTCTCGCGTCGATTGTGGCCTCCAGACACCACATCCCCGGTGGAGTCTGTCTCCAAATTCAGTCATTCGGGCAAGTGGCGTATCGCAGATACTCCGCGCGATCGTGAAATACCCTAGGCTTCAAAGGTCCTACAACACAGCCTGGTTAACGTTACGCAATAGCTCTAACTGCGAGCTCCGTGTAATAAAGTCAAGATCAGGAAACTACCAACGTCATTTGACCCCGTTCAAACCCATGTATACTTTCGACACCCTTGGACCCTGACTACAAGTGCCTGGGTTGCAAATAGCACTTCTACGGAAGTCGCGGTGACGACCTCGCGAAAATTACGCTCACATTTACATGACGAGCGGTGGGCTCTCAAGTATACTGGCAACTGCTCGCCTCAGGGGTTTAGCAAGCACAATTGCTAGTAAAAGGTTATGTGCCTTCCTCGAATTGCACAGTACGGTGATGTGGGCAAAAACACCTCGCGAACTGCACTCAAATGAACGTCAAAAAAATGCTGTTGTAGGAACTCAGTTCCCATGCTGAAAGGGACATATCTGGATTGCGCCATTAACCCTAAGCCGTTTTTACCGGTCAACCGATCATGATTGACAGATAGACTGGGGTCAATGATCTAGCACGTGCGTTCACATCCATCCACTCCCACTAAATTCCTGTGTTTGTCGAACCAAAACATCGCGAGTATCACGATCACATAGTACGTAGAAAATTTCTTCTCCATGACAGCGGTCATTGTTTTCGTTGAGGAACACGAGTTTCTCTGGGAGGGCTGTGGACAGGTGCAGGCCTAATAGTGTACGTCAAGGTACGTTAGATAACAAAAGGCAACTACCATGCGGCTCTCTTTGTCTGTCACCGGCTCAGCAGCATTGACCCGGAAGGTCGGGCATGCTAAATACTATTATCTTCGTGCTTCTCACACTATGATGGACGTGTAAGTGTTGTCATGGGTGTTGATAGTCTCCGTTACGGTTCAACAATCTGTGCAGAACGTTCCATTCCGCTGTCGTAGAAGTGAAAAAAAAAAGTATATTAACATCGGAAGCCAAAGTCTTCTGATCTACGGCAGTAAAATTTCCAAAGTACGTGCAATAGATCCTTTAGAACAGTGCTCAGCAGTTACTTAAGATGCATGATGATTTGGATGAGGAAAGACTCCTAGCACTGTACAAGGGGTGTTCCCATGAGCACAACAATGGTCCTGAACAGCAAGCCTCAAGGCGGCGGACTTTGAAATTCGCGCGGCGGCCCGAAGCTAATACTGCGAGGGTCATGACGTCACGTCAAAATAAACGTTTCCGCTTCGGGAACAACTCATGCCGTATATCTACGTAAAGTTGTGCTATTACGCTTAACTTTCCTTCCTAGATTCTGCGGTTAGTTCAACTTCCTCGCAATCCGCCGGCATGTTGAGCCTCGAAGACTGGATACACAGCATATGACATTGGACCAAACACGCGGTAATGTGGCTTACCCGTGCGCCCAACAGCTTCAATCAGCAAAACCAATATGAGAAGATCGGAGGTATCCACATCACAAAATGGCTTCTGGCCGTTGAACCAATTGAGTGGACTGCTATTACTTCCTTTGCAATCTGTGTACGTGTCCAAGGAAACGGGCATGCATACCAGGCCCGTGACGCGACGGTGAGCGCAGCCCGCTGTAACTCCCTGATCCATATAATATAATTGCCAGTCCGACTTTTTCCGCAGGCTTCTACGATGTGATCCCATGCCGAGGTGGAGCTCCACATAATTATGTGCCTGGATAAACAGACCTGCAGTGGAACTCATCAACTTGGATACGGAAATCAGCATCTGTTCAATATATTTACTTATATCATTATCATCAGTGCACTGTATCGTGTATCCAGTGCGAACATTTGAACTCCTAACTTGTTGTCAGCAACAATAACGGTAAGGTGATTTGGGTAAGGTCGTATCAGAAGGGGACGTCAAGAGAAACTCATCCAAAGTTATAATGTCATAATTGTCTAGTCCAGTCTGTCCAGATGCAAGGAGGTATGGTGATGGTGATGACAATATGTACTGGGTAAAATGTTAGGTGTATCTAGTTGAATGGCAAGGAGAACAACAATTTCAACACAAAAAGAGTGACAAAGGCTGCACTTGCAAATGACACATAGCGGCAGAGCGAATTACAACGCACACACAACACACACGCCTAAAAGCGAGAAAGTCTAACCCAATTTATGCAGCAGCAAAGCCACAAGGAAGAGGTACGTACCAACAGGAGGTACTCAGCACAATTGCCACATTTTCACGTAATCGCTGGGTACACCAGTTAGTGTCTCCGAGACGGATGCGGGGAAAGGAGACTCACATTCTAAATGCCCTGTCATCCGCACTGGAAGGCCACGTTGCGCTCCACGTGCTCTGCGCTGCAGCGAAATCGCGCATTGCCGCTACGTGCCCCATGTCAACGTGATGAGCAACTGCAAAATACCGACACTGTACTCACTCGCAGATCCGTCTAACCATGGCTTATTACCAACATTGTCGGGGAACCACCCGCTCGTCCCTCCAGCTGCGAGGTCGATTACGAGGTAGAACTCTGCAGGTCACGTTTGTATTTCTGGAAGTGCAAGAACGAACGGAAGAAAAGCATACCCTGATCGAATGGCGCAGCTGCGCTGGCTCCATATGCAGTTGACCACGGATCCTCCACAACGATATACTTGCCCGAAGACATATTCATAGCTACGCTAGGGAAGTTTGCCACATTCCAGAAGTATGAATCCGTGTTCTTCGAAGTTATGGAACTGATATCGACCATGGCTTGCAACCTGTTATCGGTGTAGAAACGCATCCACGATCCGGTCCATTCCATTGCATAGACGTGGAAGGAGTCGGCGTAGGAGCTGCGTTTGCTAGATATCCATCCGTAGATGCTGTTCATAAGGTTGGCCGTTGTACTGCCCGTGGCTACATGTGCGAAACATCATAATTGCAGTAGAAGGGAGAAGAGAAGAGATACGCACTCGTAGCGATAGGTGTTGAACCCGACGCGAAAGGACCATAGTTCAATGTGGATCTGACATAGTTGGATCCCTGAGCGGGATAGCTCGGCGAGTTCCCTCGCGCTTCCATGAGCTAACGAGACTATCAGCTTCTTGAACATGGAGAAGTAGTAGCAAGTGCACCCACGTCAATTTCACCACTGACGGGCCAGTCACCATAAACGCCAGCTCCCTGTGCCACTGACCCGTTGGTGGACGAGTTCCCCGCTGGTAACATCCAGAGAGCAGGCCACAACCAATCTCCTTGGGGTAACTTGGCCTTGATCTCGACTTTTCCATACTTGATGGTCTTCTTTCCACGTGTGTTGATGCGTCCACTCATGACTGGGTTGATGACTGTCCCGGCGGATGCAGAGGAGACGGCGGTGCATGGGTTTGAGGATGGACCGCTGGAGGATGTACTATTGCTAGTTGTGGTAGAGTTACCTGACGTCGTACTGTTCCCTGACGAGGTGGAGTTGCCCGTGCCGCCCCCCGTAGTGGTCGAATTGCCGGTGGTGGTGCCGTTGCCTGTCGTGGTCCCATTGCCTGTTGTGGTCCCGTTGCCGCCGCCACCTGTTGCCTGTTGCCTTTTTTGGAGAATGAAGTCCGCGATGGAAGGTGCCGACGGCTCGACCCACGCGCCGATGTCGGCAGTCCCTGAGTTTGTCAGTTTGAACCAGAGCCACGACGACAACGACTGGGAAGAAACGTACCGCTCGACGCAGTGCACCCGTCGAGAGTGTATGTGGCTCCATTCATAACGGCATCATATCCACCGCTGATAGTATCGCTCGTGAGTGTGGGCATGATGTACAGTTGTCCATTGGAAATGTAGATGTTGTTGGCCGAATCGGTGGTCATTTCGAACTCGCCGTTGCTGCCGGGTGCGTCAGTCGAGTGTATATGGGCATATATGCGAACGAGGCTACTCACCCGTAGCCACCCAATTCGACATCCATACTCCAGGTGTTGGTGTCCAGGCTTCCGCCGTCGAACTCGTCGTCGAAAACGAGGCAGAGTTGATTTGAGGTGAGCATTCTGACGTCGTTGTACCCTCTGAATGCGATCAACGCAGCGATGGCGAGGCCAAGAAAGATGCCGCCGAATGTGACCCATTTGCTAGCCCGTTCGAGGGTGGATTTCTTCTGAGCGAGCCATGGTTTGTCCTGTGGGGTGAGTTTCTCGCGCAACCTGGTGCTGGGGATGGTCTTCTTCTGGGTGGGAAGAGGCAATGCGGTAGATGAGCCGTTGCGGGATCCCGAGACGCTGAAGGGGGGCACGGGGGGAGTCCATACGCTAGACGGTCTGGATGCAGGGGACAAGAAAGGACCGCGGAATATGGTCGTCGCCGAGCTTGCTCTGGGCAGATTTGCGCCTGTCCCCTCTGTCATGGCGGCGGCGGCAGGATGTGCGGTAGAGGGTCGAGCTGGAGACGGAGCCACCCGAGGTGCGATACGGCGACCTGGAGGCCACGAACGGAGGCCGCGGAAGAGGCAGCTCGGAGTCGGACATGGCTGTGTTGAGGGGGTCCTCGCCTGTTAGTCGGGCGTTGCGACGGGACGACGTGGCGGTGGACCGGGATACCATCCGGACGTCGGATGAAAAGCTGCTGCGTCGGGATATGCGGCCCGGGATGGGGTCTGGGTTGCCGGGGTAGGCTTGGAAGGGGAAGGAAAACGACGACGGAGGCGGTCTTGGGCTCGGAGGGACGTCGCTGACCGGACGGTGACCGTGCTCGGAGTCGGCAGAGAACTGGCTTGCACCTAGCTGGGATCGCCTGCGGTGGTGGTTCCTGGTTCTGGGTGCGACGATGGAGTTGCGCGGGGAGTGGGCAGGCGCAGACGAGTCCGAGTCCGAGTGGTTGTCGGCTGAGTGGTCTGGTTCAGACGACGAGTGTCTTGAGGATGCGAGAAAGAAGGGGCGAGGTGGAGTGAGACCGCTGCCAGCATGGTCTTCCTCGCTAGAAGGGGCGCTGTAGTCGCCGCTGGGACGACGGGACATGGCTCGAGTCGACTCGACGGCAGAGAGAAGAAGCAACGCGCTAGCTGAGATTTTGTGCACCCTCGCCGTGGCGCATGGATTGCCTGCGATGAAAATATTCCCACCCTGATAACATGCGAGGATATACTCCTTCTCCGTTTGGACAACGCCTCGCGATGACGCTCCCAGCATTACGGCTGTCAGATCTCAGATCCACGATGCCATCTCCGATGCAGGTGTACGGCATATGTCCTCGCTGCCTGCGCTCATTCCCTGCTTAACCTCCGTTTTCGCTCTTCGTCTTGTCGTTCTCTGTCGTCGTCGTCCCCCCCTCGCACGATGGACTACGACAGATACGACGCTACCCTCCACTGGATATTCAAGCAAACCCAGAACGACGCCTGGTTCCGTCCAAACGAGGATGCCCTCCCCGCCGGCGTGTGTCTGCGCACACACGACGGCTCCTTCCGCGTCTTCCCCTACGAGGTCGCGGGTCTCGAGCCCTTCGAGCTCGCCGTTGCTGCCCTCAACCCCCTCGTAGCAGTCAAAATTCGTAGTGCTGCTGTGCACGCGGCACTCGCAGAATGCGCTGCAGACGAAAAGGCAGACTGCATTTATGTCGACATCGATACCCGCATACAGATCATCGACACCATGGTCCTCCTTCCTCAGGCAGAGAAGGAGCAAAATGCCGCATTCATCGTGAGTATATGCGCATATATTCCCTCACACCCTCTGACCCCCCTCCTCCTAGCGTGATGAACGCGTTCTCGTGGTCTGGTCAGACTCGCTTGACTCCATAGTTCCAATAGCACGCGACTTCGAGGACCGTCTCATCCGTCTCCTCTGGAGAAATCGCTGCCCCTGTCTTTTCCCCAGTGCAAACGTCTTCTTCAGTCCCCGACTCCGTGTCCAGTCACTTTCATGCTGGCCTTCAGCTGTCAGAGAAACCCACACCTTCTTCTCTCCCCACTGCACCACCCCAAGAGAAGAAGTACAAGCGCACGTGGTACGGGCGCAAAATACTCATATCCGATCTGGACGACGCGGAAAAGGCTGTTAAGCGTACTCCCCGTCCAACCATGCTCTTCGCGTCTATATATAACGGCCTCGCCGCTGGTCTTGCCATCGGTGCGTGTATGCTGTACCATGCAACACCCCTCTCATCCTAATGCTCCGCAGTGTTCATGGGCAACGGTGTCAAAGTCTTGCTGCAAGAATGGCGGCTGGATGGACAGTTTATCCATTTCGCCCTCGTCATATTGATTCCTTTCCTGTTCGCCGTATCTTTGGTAAGATGTGATATCACTCCCCAAAGTCGGATGTCACATTGACCTCCCTCATTCAGTTCTTCACACTCCAGATATTCCAAAACGTCTCCATGGCCATCGGACCTATTGCACAATACTTCAAGAACTCGCGTTACTACTCTGCCGTGCCCCCTGCTCCAAACAAGGAAGTCGATACCGCCCTGCCACATATCACCATCCAGATGCCCGTTTACAAGGAATCTCTGGATCATGTGCTTCGGTCCTCTTTCGAATCCCTGAAAAAGGCAATGCAAACATATGCCCGACAAGGAGGGACGTCTTCTATCTTTGTGAATGATGATGGTCTTCGACTCCTACCTCCTGAGGAGGCGGCTGCCAGAATCAAATATTACGCGACGCACAACATTGCATGGGTCGCGCGGCCTGGTCACACATACCATCCCAAGTCAAACCCTCAAGGTAAGTCACTATGTCCTCTTTGCAGCCAGTTACTCATCTCTGCCAGGTTTTAACCGTGTTGGTCGCTTCAAGAAGGCTTCCAACATGAACTACGCTCTCGACCTCTCCCTCCGCCTCGAACGCATCCTCGAACAGCTCCAATCCGAAACATCTTCGTCTCGAAATTCCTCATCGGGAACAACCCCTTGCGCTCCCAATACGCGTGGCTCCATTTCCACTTCCAACATCGAAGGTGGTGCTGGTCCAACGCCAGGTACGTACGGGTTACAATACGAAGGTCGCCCGGGGGACGATCAGGCCCTCATTCTACCATATGTGGGCCCTCTGATGAGTGGAGGAGTCAGTGGAACGCAGACACCGGTGAGGCCCGGTACGCCCGGTACGCCGGCCAGGAGCGTGTCCGGCGTCACGCCAAGCGGAGAAAGGAGTAACAAGGATTCAATATCCCAGATCGAGGACCTGGAAGAGAGGGCACTGCAACAAGCTATGGAGGAAGGCAGGTTGATGCTGTTTTCTGCTCGGCGATGACTAACCGCGGGATTGGCGTAGTATACCAAGAATCTGGGTGCCTCCACCGTCCATGGGCAGCTAATGCTCGGGGGACACGTCTTGGTGCGTTGATCCTGCTCGTCGACTCGGACACGGCTGTCCCCGAGGATTGTTTGAGGGATGCGGCGAGAGAGTTTGCAGAACCCGAGAGTCAAGAACTCGCGGTTTTGCAACACGAGAGTGGTAAGTCTGTGTTCGTCGTACAGATGTTTGCATCAAGTTCCTACATGACTGCTACCAGACGTTATGCAAGTTGCGCACCACTACTTTGAAAATGGCGTTGCGTACTTCACGAGACGTATCAACAAATGTATCTCCATGACTTGCGCGAACGGCGAGGTAGCCCCGTTCGTCGGCCACAACGCATTCATGCGGTGGTCAGCGCTTCAAGATGCCGCTTTCAACGATCCTTCCGACAAGAATCGGGTGAAAATCTGGTCCGAGTCAAACGTGTCGGAAGATTTCGATATGGCATTGCGTCTCCAGTTGAAGGGCTACGTTATTCGGTGGGCAACGTATTCTAAAGGAGGGTTCAAGGAAGGTGTGTCGTTGACAGCGGATGACGAGTTGAATCGTTGGCAAAAGTATGCCTATGGGTGTTCGGAGTACGTGATTACCTGCCTCCTGTCAGCTCTTTGCCCGTCGGGGCCATACCTAACCAGGAATGCTTCATGCCAGACTTCTATTCCATCCACTGCATCAATGGATATACAAGGGCCCTATTAACAAGGAGATACACACCTTCATATGGTCAAATGCGCCTACGCATTACAAGATCTCCATGATGGCTTGTGCGTCTGATCGTACCACTATAGCATTAATCTAACTATTGTCTATTCACAGACATGTTCTCGTACTGTGCGTCCCTGGCTCTTTCACTCTACCACAGACTCATTAACATCTTGATTAGTCGGTATAGCAGCATCGGTTACCATCGCGACCATCAACTACGTCCTACTCGGGTACCAGTTTCAAGTTGACGAGTTCTACATGCACTCCTTCGAGATCTGGCTCGCTACGACCATCGTATTCTTCGGGTCTGGGACTATCGGTTTCACGCTGCTGCAGTATCGGCTGGGAGAGAAGGGCTTGGTGTGGGCATTCATAGAGAATCTGATGTGGATACCATTTTTGTGAGTAGTCTTCTTATCCGCTTTGGCCCCACTTTTAGGAGACATGTGGGACAACGCCACTGACATGTACGGGTCAGCTTTTTCTTCTTTGGTGGCCTCGCCATCCCACTTTCGCAAGCGATCCTTGCGCACTTGTTCTCCTATAACATCACGTGGCAGGCTACCAAGAAGGAAGTTGAACGCTCGAATTTCTTCAAGGAAGTCCCTAAGATATTAAAACGGTGCGTCTTGTTCTGGTTTTCTACGTGGTACGCGATAGCACGTCCGTGGACATGTGTCTCGTCGTCGTGTGGGGAGGTGGTCCTATTCAACATGTTGGTGTTCATGGGCACTCTATTCCGTTTTTTCTCATTTCCGTCGCCTTGTCAGCCCTAATCCGTACCCTGGAGGTTAGGCGAGAATCGCGCGCGTCGTGGGAGGACCCAACTGCGGAGTTGTCATATAACACGTTTTCCCAAGTACCGCACGGCGATTGCCACCCGTTCCTCTATCCGCATCTTCAGGTGGAGCATTCGCTAACGCACTATCGACAGCTTTTGGTTCCAACTACTCGTATCCGCTGCCCTTATCATAGGAATGATAGTCGCCAGCACGCCGCTTGTTCCATACCAGTGGAGGATCGACGGAACAGGATGGGCAGTGATTCTTCCGCTCAGTATCGTTTGTGGATGTCACATTTTGTTCCCGGTAAGTTGGGGTTCCTTCCTACTGGGTGCAGGTGCAATGCCTCGCGCTTCGTCTCCGTCCGCGGTTTTCTTTGCACCTTCATTTAGAGAACTGGTCCATCGATCTTCTGGATACCTGTGTGTTTGCACCCCAAGAAGGCGTTTCGTTCATAAGCTGCCGGGGACTTTAGGACGGGATTTAGGGTTCATTCGCATGGGGTGACGAGCTACGTGATGTCACGATCCTCACGTGCATAGCTCCCTGTGGGGTCGTGTTCTGTTGTTGGGTTCTTCGCTCGTTTTGCCTTGCGCCGTATGGGCAGTGTCGGATTTGGAGCAGTCATACTTGAAAGACCGGAACGCTGATATTACATCCTTTTTTCCCCTGTAGATCGTGCTCAACCCCTGGTTGATGATTTTCTCGTACTAGAGGAGATATACTCTGGAGAGAATATTCACGTAACAGAATACAACGAACATACTTATGACCTTCACAACCCGGACACTTCCATTTTTTTGTTATCGCGGGTGTTGAAAAAGCCCTGACCAACACGAATTGCACTGATCATTCAACTACGCCCGCATAAATTGTTTGACGATTTTCTGTACCAGCTCTATAGACTCACCATATTCCCGCGCGGTCTGGAGAGGCGAATCACTTGTGCCCATACCTTGGTAGTTCGTACCGCGCACCTCCGACCGTTTACATTCGCTCATTCCCACATACCATCCACACGTTACTTCCATTATTGCTACTGACACGCAAGGATCCATTTCATTCATCGACCACCCACTATAATTGTAGTGTTATATTTTTTTGCCACGGGTGGTCTCTCTTTCTTCACGGATTTTTTCTGCTATAATACACTTCATATTGATCATGGTGAACGATTGGTAGAACGCTGGCCCGTATCTCATAGGGTAATCCTGTATCCTCGTCGTTCCTTTTTCATGACCTTCTCTTTCTACTGTCGCCCGCTATCGGATATATTTTGTTGTAGCAGCTCCCTTCCTGTGCGTTTCTCCCTCACTTCCTGATGCAACGAAAGAGACGCAGCTTCTTGCTACAATTCAATGTTGCAGTGCCGCAACTTTGATAGTTGTGTATACCCGTGCCACTAACGCGTGTCAAAATGCCGAGTGTAGCAGTGGTGCTATATCTTGACCAGTCATGGTTCGATCACCCTGTCGTCCTTTCTCGCATCATCGTTCTAAGTTGATGTCGCTACGTGATTACGAATATAGCTGTTCCATTTAGTTTCAGGAACACACCAGTTGATCATTTGCTTGAGTGCATCTGTCCATCAAGGTCACCCTCGCAGCTTATGGAAGAGATGGGAGTAGAGAGTGACAACCATTTCAACGCGAGATCGTCTTAGTAACCCCTGGACAAGTTTCTTCACAAAAGGTCTGCGGATGATACTTGAAATCGCCATGTTGACATATGTGTTAAACAAACATGTAACGAACATCAGAAGTGCTTATCAAGGTATGTGCCTTAGTGGTAATCAAGCAGATTCGAAGCACGTACGCTATTCGATTGATAGTAATGGCGGAGACGACAGGTGCTAGATTCGACACGACTAATAGTACTAGTGAACATGCCAAACTTCTCAGAAGAGTCGTAAACGTTAATAAGTACTGCGAGCCCCCCCTTTGGAACGGCGGTGACTTACTCTCAGAATGGAATATCATAAAACAAGCCGAGGCGGATCCGGCCATCGGTCATCTATTCATTATGTTCGTGTCGTTCTAGAAACCTCACAGCACATATTCGCGAGGTCCGATCAGTACTGGCTGTCATAGACGGGCGCAAGCCGATCACCGACGGGCAAGGTGTTCCACTGGCCGCAAAACGTACTTACCCCTACGTATTGATTCCCACTGTGCCTGTAACGTCCTACTTCGAAAAGCAGTTAGACTAGCTGAGATGTACCAGTACAGGCGCAATCAACAATGGAACATACCCGTACCACAGGCTAGGTTATCTTTTGCGCTATTGCAGCGGCAGTAATTTGGGCCGCAGGCTTGGCTCGCAAGAAATGGAGCACCGACGAAATTCGCAGAAGTAGCATGTTCTCGGCCCACGGTACCCGACCTGAAGGCTGGCGTTATCGTTCGAATTCGGGGTGGCACTCTATTCGGACGCACATGGACTGAGATTGGCGCGCTGGAAGTGTTGACAGGAAGCGGTAGAGAGTAGAGGGACGTCAAAGCATCATGAACTGGTTTGGTAGGCTCTGTAGAAGAGGGAACAGTCAGCTGCAAAACAGGTTGTTGTATGCCTGCCTCTACATCGGATACATGTCTTATAAAAGCGAGAGTGGGTACTTGCACGGTTCTACTGTCGGCACTGAAGCTTTGAAGTGCTGAACAATGCGCGTTCTGATCCATTCGCCGTTAGTCCGTAGGTTCAGTACTGCAATGTTATACAAAAAAAATAAAAACAGACTGCATTAAGAGGGAATCGAACCCCCGGCGGGTCGATGGCAACGACCCAGGTTACCACTACCCCATTAATGCGATAATGCAGAAGCGAAAACTGACACAGATAAGCGAGACTGTCTCCCTGGATTATGTAACGCTCGCACTCGATGCGTACTTTCGTGGCTGGAATGACATTTTCGGGCCAAGAAAATTGTCGCATTAATGGGGTAGTGGTAACCTGGGTCGTTGCCATCGACCCGCCGGGGGTTCGATTCCCTCTTAATGCAATTGATGCGTTTGCTTTTTCGGCTTTTCTCATAATTCCTTTTTGCGACACCTTGGGATGTGAATGACCACCATCATTCAAAGGATATGTAGATATGTGCTCAAGCAGGTGGACTAGCTACAGGTATGTGTGAACGTTTGTCCTATCATGTATAGAATTTCCTGTTCAAATTGGGGCCAAAGAGATCCACTCGAATCTCCGGAAGCATCTGAACGATATAATGGGGTCAGCATGTGGAATTTTCAACGCGACGTCCAGCGTACCTTGTCCTCGAGTAGTCTCAAGCGTTCATCTAACGTGTTGTCGATTGTTATCCGCTTGTTACCGCTGGCCAATTTGATACCACCGGCACTAAAGAAACAGCATCTCTAAACTTCCAGTGCTTAAGGAGACCATTTATACACATGAGCGCACCTGTTATCCTCCAGCGTCCCTTGGACGTCAAACGATACTTGCTGCCCACTCAGCTGAGTATATGTCTCGGAAGCAGCAGCCCCTGCGCTCCGTACGAGTTCTACATCAGCCGGGCGGGCAATAAGGATCACTTTTGGCTCCATGAGTTGGAGGTAGCCTTGCAAGACGGCACCTTCCAAGAATTGAGAGTACCGTCCTTCGTCCTCTGCAAACTTTGAGATCTCCTCCCGTGCAGTGGCAAACAGCTCTTGTAGCTGCTCCTCTCTTTTATGGAGAATCTTCAAACGTGATTTATTGGTAAGGTTGGACTGGGCACTGCGGCGCATAATTAGTTGTGATCGAATCAGGTATGAGTAACCACGTACATTTTCTGTGCGGTCTCGACGCCCTTGCGTTTCTTTTCATACTGGGCGTCGATGGCTTGCTGTTCTTGCTTCACGAGCTTAGCCTACTCTCGTCCGGTCATAGGATTGCCCCACGGTCAGCTTGTTCGGACTGCGCACGCGGGATGGAGAATACCTTCTCGATAGCAAACTCTTCGTCTGCCTTCACCTTAATCTCTCGTGCCTTCTCCATCGCCTCCTGCCTGATGAAGGCCACCTGCACGTATCAATCCACAGTCAGACATGAAACTGAGGCGATCAGTGCGAACGCGTACCATCTTGTTCATCTCGCTCAATACTTCATCATCGTTGAGTGGTCTGGAAGCCATTTTAATTGTGGGATCGTCTATTGCCGCTCTGTTCCGGTTAGTCTCACAATGAGTACGAAGCGTCCTGAACGGAACAACGGCAAGCGGACAAGTGATCCAGTCGCACGAACAGAGTCGACTGCCATATTTGGCTAACTACGCTAAACCTCTTCCAAATTTCGGTGCTTTCAAGCAGTGCAACAGCTGTTTCCACATTCTTTCAACCTCGCACCCGAGGTGCCGAGTGCCTATGTATCGAACTTCGTCGCTCTGATCAAAAGCAGGTACGATGAAGCCCTCCATAGGCGTTGCATCAATGGACGACACAAAGTAAAAATATAGCCTTAAATTTGTTCCCAGTGGAGCAAAAAAGAACGCGCATCAATTGCATTAAGAGGGAATCGAACCCCCGGCGGGTCGATGGCAACGACCCAGGTTACCACTACCCCATTAATGCGACGAAAAGTGTCGGAACATCTCCTAACTCGGATACTTGTGCTCGGATGCGTGTACGGTTGTCGTCGGAAGCACTGAGCATGCTAAATACGCTGGTTTCGGGTGGCCAGGTGGGGTACGAATCTATCAGTGGCATCAGGCATGTTCTGCCGATTGGAGACGTCGAGCACGTGATTTGCTATTGTCTGTGACGTTTCAGTGCATGGCAGGCGTTCCGCTGCGAACAAGTGCCGCTGCCCGGTCACCTGAGGACCGTCCGGTATTTATGCAGGCGGTGATTTGGACACTCGTTCTTATATTTAAGCAAATCTGTCTGCGAAAGTAAGTCCCAGACTAGTGACCTTCTCTGCTTTTGAACCTTGCGTGCAACTATCCGTCCCGCGCTGGCCGTGCTGCACGTCTACTGTAGCGGAAAACCTTGTGGTGGCGGCCGTGGAGCCTCCAACATTACTGGAAACTATCGTGAAGTGGCAAAACAGCAATTACTAGCCTTGCATTAGCACCAAGAGGAACATGGACTCGCCGATTGCATTACTCGGGGGTCGCCCCTGGGCAGTCATTCTCCCGCTATTTCGCTTAATACGTCGCGTCCTACCCCAGGACATCCAATTGTGGCTGAGTCAAATCTCCTGCATACTTTCTATCTCAACATGCGCTTCGGTAATTCGTTTTGCCCCTTCCGGCTTCCCAGATTCCGGTAATGGCCTCTGGTATACTTCTCCGGGTACGAAATGGGCGCATGATCTACTCCCAATTGGGAACGGACATTTGGCTGGTATATTCCTTCCCGTCCACCCATATCTGCATCTGAACCATGGTCGTCTTGCAGCCATGCTTCTGGGAGGGACAACTCAGGAGTCGATCCAACTTAACATAGAGTCCCTGTGGTCTGGCGGACCGTTTCAAGATCCTGTATGTGTTCATCTATCGTACAACTATCCTCCTTGAGAATCTGTCGGCGTTTACTGACGTAGCTTGTAGACTTACAACGGTGGCAATAACTTGCCTTCGCAGCGAACTCAACTAGCCGAGGACATGCGGAGGATTCGTCAAACTATCTTCTCTAGTCCAAGTGGTACCATTGACAGTGAGTCTTAACTTATCCATTCATGACACAAAATCATGCGACATTCTGCTATGAAGACATTGCCGAGATTATGACACCTGCGGGTGCCTATGGTACGTGGACGCAGTTCATCACGGAACGCTTTCAAAGTTCCGTCTCCATGGTCTTCTCAGGATCTTACGCGGGAGCGGGATACATACTTGTAACAATGAATACAACCGGTCTAGTATCTGGATATGTGAGGTGGCTTGACCTTGATACAGCTGTTCAGCGTACCATGTGGTCGCAAAAGGGTGTCCATTTTGTTAGGTACATTTCTTGCCTTCTACATGGGACATTTACTATACATCGGGTCGACAGGGAGTCTTTCTGTTCCCATCCTTTGCAAGCCTGCGTTCAGCACATCAACACCACATCATCGACTCTCCCAACATTAACTTATGCTTACTCCGTTGCTGCTGAGACAGGGCTCCCCTTACCGAACATAACCTGCTTCGACAACTCAACCCTACGTATCAGGAACGTTATCTTAGATCCCGGTATGCTCTACGAAATCCTTGTTCGTGTCGAGGCTCCAGGTGGCAGGGTGTCGTGTACTGCTAATGCTAGTTCAAGTCCATCTAATGCCACACTTATCGTGACCCACGCATCGGAAGCATGGGTCACCTGGTTCGGGGATACGGATTACGACATAGCAGCTGGAGATTCCGCTTCCAACTTTTCTTTCCAGGGACCCGACCCCCACAACAACCTCATCGATCTCATGTCCTCTGTATATGCAAACACTGATTCATATACCTCCATTCTCGATGCCCATATTTCGGACTATGTATCACTTATGGACAGGTTTTCTATCTCACTGGGTCAGACCCCAGACTTCAAAACGCCTACAGATCAGATCGTTGCGTCATACCGAAGCCATATTGGCAATCCCTATTTGGAATGGCTTCTATTCAATTATGGAAGATATCTATTGGTTAGTAGCGCTAGAGGAATTTTGCCTGCAAACCTGCAGGGGAAATGGGCAGATGCGCAATCTAATGCTTGGGGCTCTGGTAAGATTCGTATCGGTCACCTTTTCCTAAATGATCAGCGATGCATCTCACTACTACAGACTACCGTGAGTGGCGCGGTTTGCGATATATGTTCGGTGCTGAGCCAGTTATTAGACTCGAATGTCAACATCCAGATGAACTATTGGTTTGCTGAGATGGCCAATCTAGACGTCACACAATCACTCTTCGATTATTTTGAGGTTAACTCTCCGCCTTTCCTGAAAACTGCCTGAGAACTTACTTTTAGGCAGAATACATGGGTGCCACGCGGTAGATACACCGCGGAAATCCTGTACAATGTCAGTCGTGGATGGGTCACACACAATGAAGTAGGTCAGCTTGGTATACGACCGCGACAGTCTTTGACACAATTTCGATTTAGATGAATGTAAGACGTTCTCGTTCAACATGTTGAGTTACGTTCATTGCTGTGGTGTCACAGATCTTTGGGCATACTGGCATGAAGTTGTCAGGAAATTCCGCTCTGTGGGCTAACTATCCGGGTACGATAGTCCTGTATTATCACACATGAAAGTCGTACTGAAGTTCGCTGAAGAATCCAACGCTTGGATGGTTGGTTGGCATCCCTTCTTAGCGGGTTGACAGTGGTCCACTGATCCTGACCCTAGATGATCCACATCTGGGATCACTTAGATTATACCAATGATGTTAAGTGGTGGAGGCGTCAAGGATGGCCCCTGCTCAAGGTAAATCAATGCGCGTGTCGCGTTATATGGACTGCTTAACCCTGTTTAGGGTGCCGCGAGCTTCCATCTGGAGAAGCTCGTTGAGGATTTGCACTTCAATGACACCACCCTTGTAACTGTACCCTGCAACTCACCAGAGCAAACTCCGATTACCTTCGGTATGTTCTGGATCGAGTTTCCTCATCATATAGCGTGATTCCGACCTGGACAGGGTGTGCGCACTCTCAGCAACTGATCTGGCAAATGTTTAATGCAGTCGAAAAGGGTTTTGTTATCGCTGGCGACAGCGACATCGGCTTCCTCGATGGTATGCGCGCGATTATTGTTTTTGAGATAGTGATTGACCCGTGACAGCCATTCGCACAAGCAGGGAGAAGATGGACATGGGCCTCCGGATCGGGCGATGGGGTCAGCTCCAAGGTTAGCTGTTCTCGGGTTCACGATGCTACCGTCACATCCTTGGCTCAACTATGGTTATAGAGTGGAAGGTAGACATAGACCAACCGACAGATACCCATCGCCACCTCAGTCATTTGATAGGAGTATGAATTTCACTAGCAGATGGGACATCGGTCGACTAACCATACTGATAGTTATATCCAGGATATGCCATCGCCTCGTATTCCCTTTCCTTACAGGGTGGTCTGACCGTCGATGGAACGTTCATGAATTATACAAAGGAGCAGGTTCTCGACGCTGCGGAAATCAGTCTTATTCATAGAGGTAATGGGACTGGACCGGATGCTGATGCAGGCTGGGAGAAAGTTTGGAGGGCTGCTGCTTGGGCACAGCTCGGCAATGGAACCGAATTTTACAAGGAATTGACTGTATGTTGTTCCTTTGCTTCCTGTGGCAAGCCATTAACGTCCGTTGTTCAGTATGCCATAGAGAGGAATTTCGCACAGAATTTGTTTTCGCTGTATACCTATGGATCGACTATCTTCCAAATTGATGCGAATTTCGGATATCCGGCTGCGGTACTCGTGAGTCTCTACTTCGCAAGCGAATCACTTCAACGAATCTGATGACTTGCCCAAGAACGCATTGATACAGGCACCGGATGTAGCCCGCATGAATATCCCTCTTGAAGTCACTCTTCTCCCTGCATTGCCTCTAACTTGGTCGTCTGGCTCGGTCAGAGGCGCGCGAATACGCGGTGGGATCACGCTCGATCTCTCATGGAAACATGGGAAACCCAATGTGGCAAAGTTCACTGTCGACGATGACGTTGCTGATCGGGTGAGGGATGTCAATGTGAACTATGCTGGTCGTGTAGTTGGGCGATTCAGGAGTAATCCCGGGACAATCAAGAACATTCGATTTTGATGAATCTTAAGTGGTTTGCTGTGAATATTAGTACTACGACGCTGTTTGCATTCACGGCGGTTTGTATAGCATAAGAAGACACACGTCGTCGCATTAATGGGGTAGTGGTAACCTGGGTCGTTGCCATCGACCCGCCGGGGGTTCGATTCCCTCTTAATGCATGTTTTTTTTCTTTGGTCTCGCACGAGACTAATTCATACATTCTATTGCTCTTAGCACTACAAAAAGGGGACATGGTGATCAAATATGTAGGCATACTGGCAACTACATCTAGGAGAAGTAAAGTTGTTTTTTTTCTGCCATCCATCTCCGTCTCTGACCAGGTTCGTCTAAACATATTGCGAGTGCTGGAAAACTCGGACCTTGGGGTATTATTAGTTGATAGTTCCCAGCTTACTAATCAAGTATCTTTCCATCATCACCCTGACTTGGTCCTGGTAGCACGAAATGTGCGACACTTCACAGGTGAGAGGAGGCACGGGGTTGGCCCCTAGCCCTGATCAACCTGTGTCGCTGCCACCCGGACTATTTGAGGCCCTACGGAGGCCACCGGCGCGGAATTCCACCGCTCGGAGTCTTCAAGATTTTGATAGCGGTGTAATGGATGTGTGCAGTACGGATGTCACGAGACAAGGAGTATTGAAGAATAAATACGACCTCACATGCCCCCGTACTGGATGCGGATCTATAATTCTGAAGAGCGACGTGGGGATGTGGGTGGAAGGGGCCGGTGTAGAAGTAAGGAAGCTGTATTATTCCTCGTGCATATTTTCACACTATTCTAGATGGACGACCCCAACAGGCCCCCGCACCCGGAACTTACTCCACTTCCACTGCCACCTGCTACTGTTCACTGGTGGCTAATTACGCCATCTCCGATGGAGTTTGAGAACATTGGTTTCACTCGAACCGTCCGATCCAACGTCGGAGAAACGTCAGGTACGCAGTTCTCGAAGACTTTCCTTCAATCGCCGAAAACCCTGTTGTAAGGCTCTACGAAGAAACTTAAATTTCTCATCTGTGCCGAGTGCGATTTAGGTCCTCTTGGCTGGACTGAAGAGGGCGGGAAAGAATTTTGGCTTGCATGTTCAAGGGTGAAATACAATATACAGTGATATAAGCTACCACTACGCAATGCGAAAGGTGGGTTCTTAGTGTGGTTTTCTGGATATCAACAATTTGTACAATCACCTACTGACACATAAAATCACGTTATTTCTGATGTCACCATTCCTCCGAAGTTCATCCCAAGTCAAAACTACATACACTGGGAGTACGACATAGTAGGATAATTGTCTTATGTCGATTATATCGAGCAAACCTAGATCGCAATCTTGGCTGCTGTATGGATTAATATTTGTTACTGTATGGAGTGGTTACCTAACGAGCTGGAGTCCGGAGTGCTCACAAAGGCTCGTAGTTGCCAGCAATGGCGTTCCTCCCACGAAACTACAGCTCCTGACCCGTAAAACTCAAAGCAAATGGAAAGGTCAGATAGATGTCGATACTAAATTTATACAGGTGTCGCACGTCCTAGGACGCGGGCGTATCACACATGGAGGGCAGTCGTATGGCTCCATCCCTATCGGAGGCATATCGAGCGGAATTGTTGGAAAGCATCTCAGGATACTCAAGACAAGTACCGAGTACTGGAGGTAGTTGTTGTCAATTTTAGGTGGATCCCACTTCATACGCCATGAGTATATAAGATGGGAGGCTCCCTGCCAGCAGCTTGACTCGTTCACATTGCCTTCCCGCCATCATGGCTAACGCAGGTCCACTGTGGCAAAACTCCCTTTATATTGGCAATATATTGAGTACCATCCTCTATGGTACGCCACCTCATTTCACTGCAACCCAGCCTACCATTGATTGCTTCTCGAAGGTGTTGAACTAAGCTTATACTGTCAGACAATGCGGGCCCTGGGCTGTTCTGCGACGGGGTCTCGGGACTCCCTCTCACACCATACCGTGATTATCTATCGTTGCTTCAGCAGTCTGTTCCTATTCCTCGTCAGCATCTTCGTGCTGGTGGAAGCAATCTTCGGACAGCAAATGTGGATCATTCACTATGGATACGTTGGGGGCATGGCGCAGCTTTATGTTGACCAGTCTTCCGTATGGTACCAGATTCTGGGCCTGATGGCCATAGTTTTGTTGCAACTAAGCAGTGATGCATTGCTTGTACGTACCTTGGTCGATTGTCTGACAGTCGGAACTGAACTTTCGAAAGATCTATCGTCTTTATCTTCTCTGGAAAAGAATATGGGTTCTTGTTCTACCTTGTATACTATGGGTGGGAACAGTTGGTGAGCTCACTTCTTCCTCCCCACGCATTTCTGTCTTGACCTGTTGTCCATCCAGTTTTGGGAGCGCTTTTTTGCTCGTACTGTGCTGCCCAGCATGGTAACATATTTGCCGGAGACGCCGCACTTATAGCCGTCGCTTACTACGCAGTGGCAATCGCTCTGAACCTCCTAGTCACGTCGATGCTATGTGGCCAGATGTTGACCATTGGACGGAAGAGCCGCAGACAATATGGCTCTGTTAGTTCGTGGAAATATTTCAATGCCGCATCGGTGATCATCGAGTCTGCTCTGCCATGCACAGCAGTCGGGATAGCATTCCTCGTGACCTTCGCACTCGATAGCGGGGTTTCTGTGGCGTTCCTTTCTCTATACGTGATGTTAACTGTGAGCTACTGCATTCTCGGGGAATGGCGCTCATGAACTGAAGATCCTCTCAAGTGTGTGTCTCCTCAGATGCTGATCCTCCATGCGGCGCAGGGAACTTCTTATGACCTTGAGCGAAAGTCTATAGTAGGGGTTTTAACGCCTTCTGCTTCTCCGATGAGGCCACGGCCGCCGCCTTTGAGCACGTCAAACCTGAGCAGGTCACGGATGAAAGAAGATATATCGCCTCCCCCTCTGACGCCAAGTTTGTCCCTGAAGCATGACTTTCCCGCCCATGCAGAATTAATCCCCCCAAACCATTGCTATCTAGCTTGAGTGTATTACGAGTCTATGTACCACAAGCAACTGCACAAGAACGTCTCAATGCTGCCAGCATCCACGTCTAACATCCAAGAAAACCTTGGATCTTAATCAACCGTCGGGTCTTAGGAATCTGCAAGTACAGTCGACTCCCTTATAACCCATACCCATTCGGGATAGGCCATAGGGTATGGGGTATGAGAGAGTATGGGAATTTGGGAAATGGAAAAATGTATGGGTTATGAGGGAGTCGACTGTAGTCAAATTTTCACATAGGTGACTTCTATTCAGAGAATGAACGAGCAGATCCACATAGCAAGACATTTTGCTTTGTCTTACTCTGGCTCCCTCGTTACCTTTTATAGGGTCTCGGATTTGCTTGTAATCGTGTTGCTTGTAAGCGACATCTATGACTTCGACGTAACACCGATAATATTGTGTAAAAACCGGTAGTAGCATGTGTTCGTTCCACATAATGAGAGGCGTAGAACGCCCGCGAGCATAACTACGAAAGAACACCATCGTGAATATAAAAGAGATGAAGCGTGGAATGACTGTTATGGTAGGGAGGATACATGATATGGCTACAAAGAAAATGTCGTTACCTTCGTCCGGTGCAACTATTCGTCTCGGGGCCCGTATGCTTGCAATTAATTCTCGAACGCCCCCTCGATTAAGTCGTTCGCACTCCCCTTCGATTGTGCCCGGAGCTTAACATCCTTTGCTATCCTTGCGCTCTCGCGGACCCATATTGCCCGGACTTCTTCCTCCCGCGGATCCGTGATTTCAGCGTGAGAGTCGGCGACGCCTAAGCCACGAAGAACTTCGTCTATGCGAACGGTATCTGCAATACGGATATCTTGACCTGCTGCCGCACTCTTCGCCATCGCGCCGAATGATGTCGAGCGGCCAAACCCACGACGACCTGATTTAGACGGAGACGCGACAGCAGAACAGGACGTCGACGATGAGATGAGTCCAGAAGTCTCCAACACACCCAACAGATCTGCGAACTCGCTTTGAGAAACTGGGGTGAAGATATCATGCTCTGTGCGGGAGAGAATTGCAGTGTAGTAAGAGTGTATCTGAGCAAGATCGAGGCCAGCGGATTTGTTGGTGAGCCCCATTGAACCTAAACGCTTGACGGGGGTTTTAGGAGGGGAGGAGATAGAAAAAGCCAAGGGGAGAAAGGCCTCCATTCGCTTCGTGGCCAGGAGCATAGACAACAGAACAAGTCTGGCTTGCAACCCGAAACCGCGCACCTTGGTTACAATTTCGCTACTAGAAGATGAGGTTGTAGACGCCGCCGTTGGCATTACATTGTTGCGACGAGCGTCATTGGAGGGCAGATACGCTTTGAGGGCATCCAAAATGTGAGTAGGCGTGACCACGGGAACTGAGACCGCAAGGGGATTTTCTTCAGCACTAGGATAAGGTGACGACACGGCCTTATCAATAGCGCCACGCAGAACACCAAACAGCATCCTAACATCTCCGGTTTGTGATGCGACCTTCTTCGCCAGCAACGTTAAGGTGGCGATAGGAAGGAACTTTTGTGCGCGTTTCTTAACCTCGTGATCATCTTCGGGTTCGAACAACGAAGAGAGCCGGGCCTTCAGAACGTCCAGTAGCTGAGATGATGTGTATCCGCCAAAATGAAGAGTCGGGATTTCCGTGGTATCATCGCCCAACAAAGTTGTTGACGCAGTGAGTGTGTGGGTGTTGGCGATGCCAATGATGCGGAGAATTGCTGTATGTTTGCGCGCAAGTGAAAAAATGGCCGAGAGCGACCGGCAAGAATTTGCGATGTGATCAAGCTCGTCAAGGACGAGGAGACTATATATGTCCGTTAGATTGTCATCGGGTCAACCATCGGAGGAGAAAAGGTACCATCTTCTTTTCCTTGATGCAAGTAGGTCATCCAAAAGCGGCTTGAACTTCGCCTTTGCTTTCCTTGGGCTGCCCTTGAGGGGCTGAGATCCCACGAACGTGTCATGGAGGTGATCCCAGAGCGCATCTGTGTTGCGGTAAGCCATGCAATTGACAGATATCACTTCGACATCGCAATCTTCCTCCAGTTCCTTAAGCACAGCATTCACGAGGGCAGTCTTGCCAGTACCGGGAGTTCCGGAAATGAAAAGGGATGGACATGTCGATTGCGACTCCCAAGACGAGGAAATGAAATTTTTGATGGTTTCCCGTTCGGTCGTACGACCGGTTATGGACGAATTGTCGTTGCAGGTTGCACGCAGAAGGGTACGTGCGCGCGCATGAATAGGAAGAAGGGTGGCGTGTGGAGTTGGTGGTGGAGTAGACAAAGCCAGGGCAGACATATCCGTCGTCGGCAGAGTTTGGATGTTGGACGTGGACGCATGGCGACCTCTGTCTGCAAAGAGCCGTTAATGACAGCGGAACAGAACGCGTAGCGGTACTTACTGGTTCGAGCACGTGAGGGTGTAATCATCTCCGTGCTGGTTCGCCTTAGGGATGGAGGTGGACTCGTTGGAGACACAGCCGAGCCTTCGGTACGGAAGGGAGGGACGTTTTCCTTGTTGGATTCCCCGTCGAGAAAGGAGAGGGAAACACGAGCGCGTTTCGTTTTGGGTGTAAGGTCGGGAGTGGGCATGGCCTGTGAGCCTGCCTGGTCGACGGTGGACGCGACAGAGGCTGGCTTGCCATCAGCCTGATGCGGTCGCTTGCCAAGCACAGAGGTCTGAGATCTCGTTCGCATGGTGTGGATGTAACGACGACGTAGCCTGGGCAACTAACCCACTAATAACTGACCTTCAAGTGGACCTTGCTGGAAGGACTCAAGAGAAGTTTCCGCTGAGCAGGTCGCGTTATAGCGGGTGGACTGCTTCCGAACTCCGACACATCATTCAACGCGAACACGCGCTGTCGTCACGTGACTTGATCGCGTTTTGCGACGGATGCCAGCTTCGACCGAGTTCACGCTTGTACTCTACGATACATGAAGTGAACGTAGAGGAATCAGACCCGGGATATAGTCCAGCGCGTAGCATTTGTTTCCGAGTATCACAGATGATTTTCATCGCCTGGCCGTTCCGAGGACAGACTCTACTCAGCATCAAAATACGACTCAGAAAAACTGGTTCAAAAATGCTGGGGGAATTCAGCAGATCGGGGACGCTCTAGCTTCGATAGACAAATTCAATGTGTCGCGCGACGCGCACGAGGCAGATGAAAATCTGAAGAATGGAACGTGACGGAATAAAATGGGCCGATGCCTATCGTTAGTGGGGACGACTCACTTTTGGAGTTCAACCCATGTGTATAGTACGGAATTAAACTAATTAATGCGCCCCAACGGTACAAGCAAGTGCCCAAATTTTGTAGTTGTTTGATCTGCCGAGCCTGCGAAACTGCGAAACAGGCAACACGGTTTGAGTGCAGGGTTGCACGCTCTTCTACCGACCTTTCCTGTCCATTTTGTCCCACCTGTCTCTGCGTTGGTTTGACGGACGATTCAACGCAACAAGTTCAGACCGTTCACGCTTCAGTTTTGTTCCACACTGAGCGTGAGCTGATCAATCAGACCTGGAGCGCTTATCGAACCTCTCGCCAACGCACTACAGCACGCCCTTTCCTTTTCCTTTACTTGATTTCATACCACTTTGATACCCCCATTTTTCTGAAGGATCCTAGAGCTGTCTTAGTTCCGCTCGCCGACCTTTGCAACGCCAGTACACCCAGATACCAATATCGCTTGGACCGACGATGTCCGCTCCGACGGGCTCAGCTTCCTCCTCTGCTATGGCCGGCCCAAGCGGTCAGAATCCACATCCCTTGGTGGAGAACAACGAGGAGAAGAACAGTGTCGTCATCAAAGTCGGAATGGTGGGAGACTCGCAAATAGGCAAGACGAGTCTTATGGTCAAGTACGTAGAAGGCAGCTTCGATGAGGATTACATCCAAACGCTAGGTCCTCATCCTCGCATATTTACCTCCGTGGCACTCAATGTCCTCTTTTCAGGCGTAAACTTCATGGAGAAAACGATTACGGTGCGCAGAACGACGATCACTTTTTCTATCTGGGACTTGGGAGGACAGCGGGAGTTCGTGAACATGCTGCCTCTCGTTTGTAATGATGCTGTCGCCATTCTCTTCATGTTCGATCTTTCGCGAAAGTCAACGTTGAACTCAGTAAAAGAATGGTATCGACAAGCAAGGGGGTTCAACAAGGTCAGTGTCACGGAGGCCAACCTCTTCTTCCTGTCATGTCCAGCCACGTCCGTGGATGTGCATCGAGTGGTTTCTCTTGGACCATATCCGCTCCGTGATATCTGGATGTTGACATAACTGTACAGACCGCGATTCCGTTCCTGATCGGAACCAAGTTTGACACGTTCGCAACGTTTCCGAGGGACGAGCAGGAAGAAATCACCAAGCAGGTGCGCAGAGTAGCTGCCATGTTATTTCATGCACTGAGTCACTCTGATAGGCGAAACGATTTGCAAAGGCAATGCACGCTTCCCTGATCTTCTGTTCAACGTCCGCATCGATCAACGTTCAAAAGATATTCAAGATCGTGCTTGCCAAGGCATTCGACTTGAAATGTGTTATTCCAGAGATTGAAGGCGTCGGAGAACCTTTGCTTATTTATGTGGATGTGTAATGTTGTGGACAGTCGTTTTCCTTTAGATGACGGGTGCGGTGCGGAGGGAGATGTAAGATCCATCAAGGTGACGTTTGTACGAATTTGCGGAATGCTATATCGCTGAATATCATCATGCCGTCGATCGCTCGACTGCAGGAAGTAGGCTGGTCAACTTCCCGTGGATGGCGACGCCATCTGGGCACTTCCCATTGACCGCTTACAACCTTTGATGCGGGCGGGATGCATCACCCTGTTCCTTGATCGTGGACTGCATACTTTGCATAAACATCTGAGCTCAGGAGTATTTTATCCCATCTTACCCTCCTTCGCTCCCTATCATCAGTACACTTTCCAGCTATCCGCATTGGCTCGGTTCTATCTATTTAATCACTCGTCTTACTGAGGGCGCCGCCGCCTTCTTGTGTTGTCATTTTCTGTCTTTGCGTCACTGTCATCGTTTGCAAGTCAAAACTCAACCCTTCTCCAATTTTTTTCTTCTCGACCCATCCCGTTGTCCTCACAGCAGTCAAATCCACATATTTCTTTCAGCCGCATCCACACTCCTTTAACACCCCCGAGAGAAGCTCCTGTACTGTTGCTTTCTATGCTCGATATCTTCCCTCCCATGACTTAATGCTTCGATATGGTAATTCCCTATTCGAAATTTGACGAAAGTATGTGAGATTAACAAGTATCCTGAAAGTTGCATGTCCTTGCATCTCCACCCAATGATCGAAGGGGAGCCTCCAAACTACTGAAACAATGTAGCATGTCATTTTAACACAACTGCGACTTTCATTGCCCTGGAGATAAGGGGCGGGTATACATAGATCGAGAGCGACCACACCGCAAACAAAAAGAAAAACAGCAACTCTGGCACGAACGAACGAATTGTCCAAACGTCGAAGTAACTAGGGACACAGATTTTCCAAGGAGAAGAGGGAGAGACAGCAAACCCATGTTACATACTTGTTCCATGCAAACTAGTAAATGTGCGAAAGGGCAGAGACATACAGGGTGCCCCTCTAAAGCAAGCTAATGACACATCTCGAGGGGAAGACGGAGGGGGGCTACAAGAACGAGAGAGACAGAACGAAATATAATAAGGGGAATCTTCGCCACAGAATGAATTGTGAGGAGTGAAATGGTAGGAAAAAAAGAGCACGGAAGGCGCAGCATTCACGTGAACGAACATCCTGTCGACGATGAATATGCTTGCAGGTGCATGTGACAGTAACACGGCACTTACAAGAGCATATGACCAGCTTATCTCATGGCGTGTCCGTAGTTTACACTCTCGCTCAAGTGCTCGCTGGCAGGGTTGTATGTGAACCCTTTGAACTGTTCCTGGACAGTCTCCGACAGATGAGAATCTTCGACTACCGAGTCCTGTGCTTCTTCGTTGGTGAAGTCCGGATCGAAATTCGCGACGTCGAGTACAGATTCCTGAAGCGCAAAAGTTAAGACCTAAGCATAGTCGGTACAGTGTTTCTAGCCACTCACCACGCTGGGCTTGAAGGGCGGCTGTATTTTCTTCTGAAGCAAACTAGAGAAACGGTCGTCGGTCAGGTAATCCTTGATAAGGGAAGCCACTCACCAATGCCAGTCGATGTATTTGGCAAAGAACGGGTGTCTCTTAATCTCTTCTCCTCCGTTCGCACCAAGACGCCGGGTCGGATCGCGGTGAAGCAGGCCAATCATGACGCTCTTTGCTTCGGATGGCATGTCAGGAGGGAAAATAAGAGGGTCCGACAGAATACGTTGATACATGGTGTTTACGTTTTCATCATAAAACGGTGGAAGGCCAGTCTGGTAGATACGAGGGAAATGATCCTGATTCCCAAGGGGGAATAACGCTTACCATCATCTCGTAGAGGAGGACTCCGAGGGTCCACCAGTCGACCGTTTTGGTGTAGCCTTGGCTTTCAAGAAGTTCAGGTGCGATGTATTCAGGAGTACCACAGAAGGCTGACGCGATTCTAAGTTGGATATGGAAACGGATATGACAACAGACTCACTGTTCGTTTTCTCTGTTTCCGACATATTCAACTTGCAGAGGCCTGTGCACGGTCTAAGACGAAACACTTGGGGTAGTCTATAGAATGCGACAAACCGAAATCACAGAGGGCAATATGGCCAGTATAGTCAAGAAGGATATTTTCTGGTTTCAGGTCCCTTTCCCGAGAATCAGCACTGAGGATTTTGCAGACGAGTCCAGCACATACCGGTATACGACGTTGAAGCCATGCAAGTGCTCCAGCGCGCAAAGCAGTTCTGCGGCATAGAACCTACTGCGTTCTTGATCGAACTTGCCCTCTCGTTGTAAATGATAGAACAGTTCTCCTCCGTTAACTGTGGAACCGTGTCAGCTCGCACGAATACACAGGTGTTGACCGGACACTTACCAAACGACATCACCAAATAGAGTTTATCAGGTGTCTGGAAGGAAAACTTGAGGGGGACGATAAATGGATTGTTCACTAACGCCAAGACGGTTCTCTCGGCTAATATGTGAGTGATCTCCCCGGGCCGTGAAGCGATATGTGCCTTTCGTATGGTTTTGAGGGCGTATACCCGTTGAGTGTCCTTCTTCCGGACTTGCATAACTTTTCCAAAGGAACCTTTCCCTATCACCTTGAGCAGATCAAAGGCTTCGATAGCGAGTGACTCATTGCGCAGTGGCCGATAGTCTACCTTAAGGTGGAACGAGCCGGACCCTACTGTTGCTACGTACCATTGATCGGACGCGTGCTAAGAAGGGAAGGACGTATCAGAAGCAGAGAAGGTGGCAAGAAACATGTGACGTACATGACCGTCAAGGGCTGGAGTGAGGTCCACCCGTGCCATGAGGAGGTCGTTCCCCATATCCTCCTGATTTTGTACGACCGCAGCGGTCCTAAGGTATGCTGAAACGGATATATTTGATGTGCGTGATACATCGCTAGACGCCAGGTCAGCGCCGTGAGCCAGGAGCATGATAAGGAGTATACATACAACACTGCACGGTAGTTCCACACCGGGTTAGCGAGATCCCCGCCCATGGCGTCGACCAGGACTTGGTTGTTATCGAACTCGAGTACGACGTATGGCAGCCACCAATTTCGTTTCCTCTGAAAGCTGTCTCGGTTGCTGTGTGATCGCCTGGTCGACGGGGACGAATCCAGTGCCTTCTGAATTACCTCTGGCACTTGCACACCGGGCGCAAGAGAGAGGCCACGACCTGAGGTGGTTTTATGGGCCGCCACGAGCGAGGAATGCGAAGAGGGAATGCGTACCTGAGAATATGCGAATGGTGAGCATACCCGAACGGAGGTGTGCGTGTGGGTCGGATGGCCTTGGGGTTGTTGGCCTCGACGGAATAGGTGTGACTGAGCGGGATACGATGCCATTTTCTTTGGCATCTTTGCTCTCTGGAGCATTCAAGACAGGGGGAGTGTCGGGAAGACCGGCGGGTAGCGAGTTGATGTAGTAGATATACCATGATCAGAGTCGGAGAGGGGGCGATCGGCGGGGAATGGAACGTACTTTTGGATGCACCCAGCTTCCAAGACATTATCGTGGATGGGCGACGATCTGTGCTGAGCCCAGCCAGTCTTTGTGGATCAAATAATAATCGGTTGGGGCAGGGGCTGTATCAGTCGTGGCAGTGACCGGCTTGTCCACTTCCCGATGTGGAGGCTCTTACTAGTGCGGTCGACACCGGCACTGGCAACGATGACGACGACGACGGTGACGAGGAAGATGGTAGGAGACAGGCTGAGGGTCCTGTCATTAAATGTAAATGTGTATCCACACGATGCACTGCCCACGCATCCATCCATCTTCTGATTTTAATTAAGTCGCCTTCACCATCAGCGCCGAATCATCAGAGGCCTTTTGCACTAGTTTTGAATCAGCGTTCTCAACGGGTCCGTTCGCGCTTGCCTGCTCGCAAGTGTCGTACCGTGCATAGTACTGGCCGGTAGAGTAGATACTACATTCATGTAATAACATCGTAGTAGGCGTGCGAACTCGACCACTAAAATCTTTGCACCTCCTCCACCACCCAACTCATAAAATGTCTGCCCAACGCGTGGCGCTGTGGGCTGCCGAGCCCGATCTCGACGACGACATCAACGACGTGGACATCCCCCTCACAATTCCCCCGTACCAAAATGCCGACTTGTACGACGATCCAAACCTCGACGAAAGTGCTCTCCTTGCTGTGCAGGCACAGATAGCTCAGCAGACGGCACTCGCTCAAATACCTGATGTCGTCAAGCGTGTAAGCCAGCCTGTCGCACTTGTCTCATCTCCATGGCGTTCTCATCCAACACTAGTTCATCATCCACTTCCATCAAGCTGTCCTCGACAACGACCTTCCCGAAATAACACTCGCGTACGAGTCTGGATGGAACCGTCTCACCGAGAAATTCTATGCCAGAACGGAGTGGCCAGAAGCAGAGATAATTGCTCCCCTTGTTAACGACGATCAGATTTTCCTGATTCTCTACCGTGAGCTCTGTTATCGCCACGTATATTCACGGTTGCAGCCCGACATCGACGACCGATTCCATTCCTACGAAAACAGCTGCGAGTTGTTCAATTACCTTCTCAGTGCGTGTTTTCCCGTTATCCACCCCATGAACCAGTCTCTCACTCACATACTCTAGATTCCGAAGTTGGCCCCGTCCCTCTCTCACTTCCGGCGCAGTGGTTGTGGGACATCGTCGACGAATTTATCTATCAGTTCCAGTCTTTTGCACTTTACCGCTCTCGTCCTGCCAACAAAACCGATGAGGAGCTGGCCATGCTTGGCTCAGAAGGCGGAGCCCAGGCATGGAGTAGCTACAGTGTGCTCAACGTCCTTTATTCGCTGATCCAAAAAAGTCGCGTCAACGAGTGGCTAAAAGCGCGCGCAGAGGGGAAGAGTGACGAAGAAATCGAGTGGGTCTTCCCTTCTTATGGCCGTGAAATTCACTTCATGCTAACAACCGAGGCAGCGAAATCGTTGGCGAATATGGAACGAAGCCATTGTACCGCCAGCTCGGTTACTTCTCGCTTATTGGCCTCCTCCGCGTCCATGTCCTGCTAGGCGATTTCACTCTCGCCTTAAAGGTTATGGACAACGCAGGTCTCGGACTGTGTGCTGGCGAAAAAGTACCCTTTACGGCGCCTACAGCAACGCATGTGAGCACGGCATACCACGCTGGAGTGTGCTACTTGATGTTGAGAAGATTCACGGATGCTGCAAGGGTGTTTACTGGTTGCCTCAACTGGGTGATGAGGGCGAGGCAATACCATACGAGAAGTTACCAGTATGATCAGGTCGGTATTTGACCCAGTATCCCAGAGAAGCCGAGTGACCTATGCTTGTACAGATCAACAAAACGGCAGACCGCATGTACGCCTTACTTGCCCTCTGCCAGACCCTCGCTCCTACTCGTCTGGATGACAACGTGATCAACGTCGTGAAGGAGAGATATGGGGAGCAAATGACACGCATGGGTCGGGGGTCAGTGTCGTCTTCTGCTCGGTATCATATTTGTTCTCAACCGTTGCAATAGTGAGGAAGGACTCGGCACGTTTGAGGAGATTTTCCTCTATGCCTGTCCAAAATTCATTACCGCAAATCCTCCGCCATATAATGACCCCAACACACTTGCTCTTTTGATCAACCCACCAACACCCTCCTCCCCATCCTCTCCAACGCCTACTTCGGGCACACCTACAATAACGGACCCAACTCAACGCCATCTCCGTGCACTTTCTGCACATTTCTTGGCATTAAGCCCTGTTCCTACCCTTCGCAGTCTCCTCAAACTATACACCTCGTTGGACGCTCGTAAATTGGCCGGGTTCCTCGACGCTGGCGTTGATGAGGAAGAGGTCTTGAGTTGGATGATGGTAATGAAGAACGCCGGGCGATGCGTTGGCCGAGTCCGAGGTGCCGCTGGTGCTGACAAGGATGAGAAAAACGGTGCTTCTACTGCCAACGGAAGCAGCGCAGGTAGCAGTCTTCTTGACGGGGAATGGATGTCGATCAGCGACTTGAACTTCGTCATCGATGAGGTGGGTACTCGTGCTCGCAATGAGCGTGTGACACTGATTGTGATTTACGCACATTCGCAGAACATGATTCATATAGCGGAGTCTACTGTTGGGAGGAGGTACGCCGGATGGTTCATTCGCAACTCAGAGCATGCGGCACGGGTATTCGATGGTCTTCGTGCATCCCCATTGCCCGGATCTTTACCTGGCGCAAAAACACAAGGGAAAGGCGGGGAATCAAAGGGTGATACTTCCAAGGACACAGCCCCAAGGACAAGTGGGCAAAAGGTAGCGTGGTCAAAAGTCGTTTAACCTGGGAGGTGGAGTACTTCTGTAGCATGTTTCTTTTGTGTCGAGTCACCCTAAACATGTGTATGTTACTAAATGTACCGGTACACATGTAACTTCACCTTTATGTCCAACTTGCATAAATGTCGAGCAAGAAACGATAAACTCCTACCTCCTGTCTGTTATATTGTGCCCTGGCATGCGTTTGTGGGCTGTCTACTGCTACTACATAAACCGATTGTCTACACGGCACCGGAGAGTTTCTGGGCCTACAAGCAAGCTTAAACATACCTGATTCAAATCAAGTGCGTTCTGAACGTGAAATTCCAACTCATAACTGCCACCTCAGAAAAATGTTGTTTAGACAGGCCCGGGACTCTTAGATGCACCATGTTTCGAGAACTTCTCTCACATTCCCACTGTTTGCAGTGGACCTCGCACGGCGGACTTCGCGTCGCATTCATGGGACCTCTTCGAATGCGATAGAAAAACATGTCAAGACTCAGAGGCTGACGAATGTTACTGCTGAGGCGAAGTACTCCAAGTCAGGCCGTCCGGAACTCGTTGCCAGTAAGCCTGAGAGAGGAGGTACTGTGAGTCTTTTTTTGTATTCCCATATGTCAGAAAACCGAGGTTTACTATAACACTTAGCCCTCAGCTGGTCGCCATCATGAATCTTCGAAACCGAGCACACTCGCTGTACACATGCTACTACAGCGACAGTCAGATATGGACAAGACTTTTCGAACTTCTCGAATAATCGCATCGTGCGCGCGTAAACGTGAAGAGGTCATCGGACGCATTTCTTCCGTGTTAAGGAAACGATTTGGGTCGGACTATGAAGTAGTACCATTTGGAAGTACCGTTTATATGCGTGGGTTTGACGTGGTCCATCGATCGTTCCAAAAGCACGGTACCGGAGGTTCGCAGAACCTGCCGAAAGGAGATCTGGATTTAGTGGTACTCGTGGGTGGATGTAGTCCTCGAAGGTGGTGTGAACTAACTGTTGGTTTGTTAGGATAAGAACCGACCATTGGGCTTTTCACCTGACGTAAACGCGAAGAAATTGCCAGGTATGCAGCATGTTCTTCTAGGAGCGTTGCGGGGATGAATCTATTGTGTATTTAGTCATCTACAATATGTGGTATGTGGGTATGTGCTGAATGCAGTGTCACATCGACGAGCATGATCATGTACAGGAAGCTCGCGGCTGCCCTCTCCAGGGCGGGTTTCACGAATGTGCAACCTGTCCCGTTTGCAAGTGTACCAATTGGTGAGACCTTCCCGAGTCAGTCCGCATCTCATTCTTACTTCGTATGTATCAGTGAAGTTTCATGACCCTCAGACACGACTATCGCTTGATATCAACGTCAACAACCGCTTGGGCCTCATGAACAGTAACTTCCTTGGCAGTTACTGTGATGTTCTTCCGGGTTTGCGCACGTTGCTGGTAGCTATCAAGTTGTGGGCGCGACCACTCGGCCTGAATACCCCATCAGGAGGGTCCATGGTGACCTTCAGTACGTATGCCCTAACGCTGATGACGTTGGGGTGGCTGCAGGTAAGTCGCCTTGTGTACCACGACTGTGGTAGATACTAACAACACGGCGATTGGAGTCAAGGGGACTCGCACCAAACTTACAGGATGGCGTGGAGACTGAGACTAGCTCGGAAGTAGGAACTTTTTGGATTTTCCGCTCAATGCAAGCTAAGGGGAGCCGTATACCATGCGATGTGAGATTCCGGGAAGTGACGTCTATGGACCGTTATCCGCCACTTCCGCTGAATGATACCCTTTCAAATTGGTTCCGGTAAGTTTTTATTACTACCTCCTTTCTGTGCAGCAAGTAAGGAGCGACCGCTAATGAAATGCTTTTATCGCAGTTTCTGGGGATATACATTTGATTTTGAGCAGCAAGCCCTTGATATCAAGGAAGGACCGATTCGCAGCCGCCACGACTTGGTACTTCTGGATCCAAAGTTATCGGAACATCAAGCGTGTGTCATAGATCCATTTTTCCGACTCAAGGTACGGCGTTGTGTTCTCGATTCCCTTCTGGTGCCTGTCTAAACACACTTTTTTTTTGGGGGGGGCGTGCTTCAGAACGTAACCAACAGTGTTGGTTCCGCTGCACTCAAGAAATTTCGCAGCGAATGTCAGCGTGCATCGGATGAGATACGAATAAAGAATTTGAGTATGGAGCAGATAATTGATGACTACGAGTTACTGGATCGCCTTCAGGAGCCGAATGTGGATTTACATAGACCGAGGCGGAGCTGAAGTTGTCGATATCGGGTCTGGCAATCCTTCCTCCTGTATATATACGTCAACTATAGGCATCTTTGTTTTCATGGTTAGTGATTTGCGGAACTGAAGGTGGATGCAATTGTGCATTGGGCGGAGCGTTTGTGATCCACGTGACCCTATTGCTGCGACCGTGAAGAATACCGCCTCGAGGGGTAAACGCACCAACAACAGGGAACTACCGGGGTTAGTGGGAGACTGGCTACCTAGCTGCTCTTGATCATACCACTGTTGAGGAAGCTACACGTTCGTCGTCGGTCGTCCAGCCCTGTCAAGCTTCGAGAAGTGATGTCCTCGACGGCCAAGCTCACAGCCATCACAACCTCTACACTATCGCTCCTTCTCGAGCGACAACGTCTTCAAACAACGCATCCTACATTGCATTTACAACAGATTGTCTCAAATCTCCGAGTATTACGCGCTGGTGTGATTGAGGCACAAAGCCAGGGAGACGACGATGCTGATGCAGGGCCACTTCGCGGGCAGTATGAACGACTAATAGAAATGCTCGGAGAGGAGGAGGCGAAGAGAGCCAATCTGGAAAGGTACAGTCGGTTGTTGATTTGGTGCTCTTGAACTAATACGTGGTGATGGCGGTGTGTGTTCTAGTATACCCCCTCCTGCACCTCCGTCCCCCTCATTGCCTTCATCCCCTTCTTTCGGAGAGCGGAAAATGAGCCCGGAGCCTCTATATGAACCATATACAGACGACCCAGATCCTGAACCAGCTTTGGGTGAATGCGGCATTCTGTTACAGCAAAGGCGAATAATAGATGGTAAGTCTTTCTTTTCGCGAAATGTCTAGGCAAGAGTGAAGTGAAATAAATCATTATTCTCTCGGTGTCAACCATTTGATATCCTGTCGGGTTTTTCTGTGCTCTGTCAGATCAAGATACACACCTCGAACATCTTTCCTCATCCATTGGTCGTCAGCACCACATATCCCTCCAGATTAACGATGAATTGGAAGTACACACAGGGCTACTCGACACACTAGACACTGAATTGGACGGCACTGATGCTCGTATGAGGAACGCACGGAGACGGCTTGGGCGTGTGGCACGGGGAGCGAAGGAAAATGGTAAGTGTATCCACCTCAGAAATGAGATATTTGCGGTGAACTAACATATTTCCACAGGTTCAACAGTGATAATCGTTCTTCTCATTCTCGTACTGTTAATCCTCATTGTAATTTTCAAAACATGACTTGTATCTTCATTGGCTTTGGTTCTTTTTCTCACTCTATCTCTACCATCCAGTTGGAGCCATGGCGTTGAGCCTTCGGCGGATCAGCTTTTGCTTCGCAGGATACCCCAGTGTTGTGCACAAAATCGGAACTAGCAATTTCTCGTGTTACTATAGTCAGTACCGTCTTAGCAGTGTCGGTAAGTCATCTAACTACCCATTTCGTTTGGCAAGTTTAGCGCATAACCCTCACACCCCTAGGTTGTACCTGCGCGACCGCGTAAATGCAGCTACTGACACTATCTAAAAGGTTATGTTCTAGGCGACTCCCAAAATACCCCAAATGGTTCTCCCAACGACGCCGACGCCATCACAAGGCCTTCCATCGGAACGAGGTTTTCCAGGTATTCCATCAGCTCGTGTTCGTGCGTCGCGGGTAACAGCTTCTCCAAAAAGCTTCGCGCGTGAATCCAATACCGCATGCACAATCATCGGAGTAAATTCTGGGTGACCCTGCACGGTAAGTATGTGGATAGATGTTAGTGATATGCTGGGTGACTCGGATACAAGTGATTCCGCAGAGGGAGTTGACTTGGAGTCGAACATGACATAGCCATGGTTGGGAGTGATGGCGGTCGACCCGAGTAGGTGACAACCTGAGGGGACGGTGGGGACGTGATCCCGGTGTACTTGTTGCAGGTCCTGCCGAATAGTCATAAGCTGCCAGAGAATTGACAAGTATTCATGCTCACCAGTTCCTCCTTCCCGAATATGGACTTCCCAAGGGATGTAAGTTGAACAGTAGTGACTGCGACCTCCCACTTGCCGTCATTGGGTGTACATGTCCCACCTAGAGCTCTCGCAATGATTTGATGACCGAAACAAATTCCTAAAACTCATGAGTGGCGACCAGTAAATAATAAATTAATTATACCAAACAGCCTCGTGTTGGGCTTCTCTGCAATGATGCGTTTGGTGTATGCGATGAGTCTATTGATCCACTCCAAGTCTCCGTACGCCGAAGATGCTGGCACGATGGGCGTCAGTTCCGGTACTACACTCAGGTCGTGTGACATACGGGATCCGCTAATGAGCACACCATGGTACTCGATGTCATCAGGAGGGTATTTCATCTCGTTCACCACATCGTAGCCGTCGAGGGTGAATGTCACTGGCTCTGCATCCACGAAGTGAACCAGGGGATCGCGGGCCTCGCCGAAAGAGAATGCGTACCGATCCTTGAAGCATTGACGGCCTCAAGGGCTGCCTCCAACCAGGTCTGAAAGACCTGTCCGTATGTGCCAAGAGTAGGAGGAACTGGTCGACTGCACTCTAGAATTGCTAATCGAAAATGTGGAGGGGCCATGACTGTGCTACGGGCGGTGCTGGGAACATTTTTTAAATGCCTCCTTATCCAAATACCACCGGGATCCAGAAAGAATACGCGTCTCATCCAAACCTTTTTAACCTCACCGACGAGTCATTGCAGACTGTCCCCCGTCGCGGCCCATCGCTGTTTATCCAAATGCCCGATATTACCCGAGATTCTCATCCAAATGTTTTGGGCAGATACTTTCCTTTTTTATCGTCTCCCGGCCACAGCTCAGTGCGCACTGCCCACTCATCGACGCTCTTGCCAACGACATTTCTGTCTAATAGCCACGACAGGCAAGGATCGTCGAGATAGTCCCTTCCACGCATACCCTCGGATCTTGGTGCTATAATAGTTAGGTTCCCAGAAGTCGCCACGTTAGTCATCTGAACAGCAGCACCCAATCCGCTGGCACGGACAGAACTAAGGATGGGCGAGGTGGTCAATGCTATCGTAGCCGTTGCCGTCATCTTCTTCATCTTCCGATGGGCTACTTCAGGTCAGTGATTTCTCGAGGTGACCACCAGTGTGGATTCGGTTTCATATTCGTGGCACCCACCACGGGATTTGTATACGCCGTGGATTTGCCTTATCATGTTCTCTCTCTGCCCAGCTCACACATTTGCCAGGTTCTTCATCGTCTAATGATGAAAGACGATCGGCAGCTGCTGCGCTAGGTTTCCGGCCAAAACCCGTCACACAGGAGATGGTGCACCAAACCACTCGCTAGATTTCAAGGACTCAACTGATCAGTCATGTATAGGTCAATCACGTCCACGCAGTGTTCCCAGATGTCCCACCGTAAGTGCTCACAGTTCATACTATCTGCGAAAACTCCTCACACTTCTCGTTCATCACGAACGTCGTTTGATGCAGAGATAACATTCGCTTCGATCTTCTCAGGACGGGTAGCGTTGAGCTCACGTCGAATAAGATCTTAGAGCGCGGATTTCTGGAGGCGGTGGGTACTTCTCCGTGGTTTTCGGGGTAGAGCTCTTTTTGCCAGTCTTCTAATTTTTCAACAGCCACCAGCAGCATATTATACAGTCTATCCCCCCGCAGAGGCGCCTGTACCGCAGCCATCGAGTGGGTTGCGCCCAGCTTCAGCTTCGTCAATGTCGTCGAGTGCGAAGCAGCCATCCTTGATTGAACGCTACAGCCTACACGACCGCTTAGAGGGCGTGGTCTCTGCCCCTGAGATAGAAGTGGGAGGAAAGGCAAAGTGGGAAGACACAGCTGAGAAGCGCGAGGCGAGTTTGCAGGAACGAAAGGCGCAGATGATATTAGCAGCTCGGCAGTACGTACCCGTTATATCTTCCAACATCGAATCCCGGATGCTGAGTGCATGTCACAGACGAATGCTTGCTCAACGACAGAAAGAAAGTGCTTCTGAGTGACAAATAACTTCGGTGCCTCAGCTTACAGGGTCTCGTATTGAAGATGTTGACTAATCTCTATCCACATACTCAATGTGTCTATTTGATGCTGTGAATAATTGCTGCAATTGGCATTGTATTCCCTACTCCTTGCCCTTGAGCTGATTCTGCAGTGGAACGGTTGTATTGGTATTTGGGGTACTGTCACATTTGCGACCGATACTGCGAACCTTGAATGCCGTTCGTGAGCATGCTATATGTAGACCCTTGCAAGCGGGTTATGGCCGATTAATGTTATGCCTGTGGGTGGCGCTCAATCAGTGCGACCAGGCACTGATCGCACCGATACACCCATCACAGCGGCGAACTGAGGCATAAGATGACACTCTGGCCCAAGGTTTGATTTGGTCACCATCTTCACACAGCCTCGATGTGCCTGTCAATGTCTGTTCAGCATGAGCCACCGCGTTTGCCTGTCAATGGCCTAATCAGCCTTGTTTGGATCATTTGATTGCTGGTAAAACCGGAGGGAAAGGCATATTTTATGTCTCGGGCAACAGACCCGGTACGGGGACAACATTATGAAAACTAAACTACCATGTCTAGTACTAGTACCCCATCTCTTTCCAAGCGACGATGGATGGGAAGAGAGGACTATGTTGATAATGTATCAAGGTAATGCGGCGCTATAGTTTTGGCGCAATTGACAAGGCTAGTGGTCATTTCTAGGGCAATAGAGGCGGGTGGATAGCCCGCGTAACGATAGCAAAGGCTATCCACAGGTGATCGGTTGATCAGCACACCAGTGCCGCTGACCGCTGGGAGGGAAAATCACGACTTCAATAGAGTGGTACTGCCTCTTCACATGGTGGGCTATCCTCAGCCTGCAAGCATCCGGTGATGATATATACGGTTGACATCTGGAACCCGGATGATCATCCACTCCCGTCTTCCTGTTTCCCGACCTCCCTTTTGTACTATGCCTCGTTCGAAGATTCCCGAACCCATCCAAGTCCTGTCTCCCGAGCTCCTTGACAAACTCAAGGAGCGGACTGAGGGTACACTGCTTGACCTCATCAAGAAGAACAAGGATACTCGTTATGTCGCCGAGTCTCCCGTGTTCGGTGGTTTCCGCAATGCACTAGAGCACCTCAGCAAGGACGAGGGCAATGATGAGGTTCGGGACGATACGCTCCTGGAGAGCTATCGCTCTGCCATTCCTTTGACCACTTATGACTCTTATGAACCATTCATCAAGAAATTCCTTGAGCGCAACTGCCAGGAGGACGATGTGCGGGACATGTTCTCCCCTGGCTTACCATATTTTGTAGCCGTTTCAAGCTCGACCACTAGCACCAAGCCTAAGTACTTCGCCAAGTACAAACACCCACCGGGGAGCTCGTATGAGACCGTGGATAGGGGTGCAAATCCCGTCTCCGACACTGGGGGGAAGAATTGCATCGTTTATTCCCTCAATTACCGACAGCTGGTGTCCGTGCTGAATGGGGATGGGGACGCGGTGAAGAAATTACCCGTTACGCTGATGTCGTCTGGTTCGATCCGCATGCAGAATGGCATCGACGTGGAGAAGGACGCTTTGGCGCTTCAGTACACTGGTACGTGTCGCGCTCTGATTTTGCGACCTGGGGTCATGACATACGCATATGCATTAGCACCCCGTGCCACGTCTCCCATCGCAGTCAGCTTCATTTCTAAATATCGATCGTTCTTGCTCATGCACGCGCTCTTCGCGTTGGCCGATACCAAGGTTGAGACAATTAACACACTCTTTGGGACTATCTTTGTCGATATGATTCGCTACATGGAAGAAGAGTGGGACAACCTTCTCAAACATATCGAGACTGGTCAACTCCCGGATTGGGAGGGAACTGACCAGGTCCGGCAATGGCTCGTGGTATGTATTTGGTCTCTTTTATATCCCGAGACTGGTCCCGCTGAGACCGCTCTGTTCAGCCGAAATTCCATGCGTCTCCAGAGCGTGCGGCTAAACTTCGTGCGATTGGTAAAGCGATCCAGGAACCTGGTTGGCTGGTGAAAGTATGGCCCATGCTCAAAGTCGTCATTGGTATAGCTAGTGGCGTCTACTCAGCCGTTATTCCGAAAGTCCGCCTTTCAGAGCTACTGTTTAGAAAAGTGCTGATTCCATGCTTCAGATACGGCACTACGTGGGTCCAGATGTGCAACTACGCAGCCTCGGGTTCACCGCAAGCGAAGCCTACGTCGGGACTGTTTATGACCCTGAAAACCTCAACCTTTACAAAGTGGCATGCGACGATGTTGTGGAATACCTCGATGTCTCGAAGGAGGAGACCGCAGCTAATCTTGTCGCGCCTGTAAATTCCGCCACTTTCACGCGTTTTTCGAGTTTCTGATTAGAATCCAGTGGCAAGTCCAACCCGGGCACAAATACGAAGTTGTTTTAACCAATCGCGACGGGATGTGGCGTTACCGTCTTGGAGACGTCATTGAAATTGAAGGTTTTGATCCCAATGACGGCGCTCCAGTAGTGCGTTATGTAGAGCGCAGAAAGTGAGGATCAGCAGACGTGTGTGCACAGCCTGGCTAACTAACGATAAATAGCGTTGCCCTCCGCTTGGGAGGCGCTATGTTGTCTGAGGAACACCTTGCAAAGGCCATTCTTGCGGTCCAAGACAAACTTGGGCCTCTGACCGAATTCACGGTCGTAATGGACGACCGCAGTATAACCCGTCGCGTTGGGTATCTTGTTGAAACTCAAGGAGAACTCGGTACGTTCTCATTTACACATGCAAATATGAGCACCACTAAACTCGGCAAAGGCCGCGAAGCTGATGAGGCTCCTGACAAGCTCCTCCGTGAAATTTGTCGCTTGAACCCGCAGTTTCAATTTGGCCTTGACACGGAGGAGATGAAACCACCTACCATTCGTATCTTAAAGCCAGGGACATTCGCCGAGTACAGACGATGGAGGATCGAGGTGACGAACTCCGGCTCTGGACAGACAAAGGTGCCTGTTGTAATGTGGGATCATGGAGCTCGGGAGTGGATATTAACGCGGATCGAGCGGGAAGTGGGTCATTCGATTCTCGTTGAATCGAAGAATCCTGGCCAGGTCACTGACAGTAAATAATGGGAAGGTATTGTAATGGTCCCCCCGAGGGTTAGCCCAGTATACCACTCGTTTCAGTGGCGAGTTCGCCGGAGACCATGCTGCAGAATTTCTTTACATTATAAAGATCATGTCGATTTGTGATACGTTGAGAGTCAGTCTGCCTTAGAAGAGGATGAAAGCTAAACAGAACTTGTATTCCGCAAGGTAGCTGAAAACTCGGCCATGACTAGTGTCGATTTTCAGGCATTCTAGCCAACTGCGACTTGCTCCGATTCCGTGGCCGACGCTTCGAGTACCACTCCCACGCGAGACGGACGATCTCACCGTCGGCATCATATGGTGTTGGGATTTCGCTGTATCCAGGACGAGCGGTTGGATGACGGACGTAGACGGCTGAACAGGTGGGGAAGGAAACTTCGGCATACGCGGGGAGGAAGATGAATGGAGAAGCATAGGGTGGGAGATTGAAAGGTGTCAGTTTCTCGGTGGGGCTTTCTTCAGCGGCGGGTTCAGGAGAGTGGGGCGATGATTTTTCTGTAGCGTCTGCAGTATTATTACCCGTATTTTGCGCACTGACGACGCCGTCTTTCTCGTTCGTGGGCTCCTGGAGGAACGAAATCCGTGCAGGATCCACTGACACCATATCACCCGGCGCGAGGCGGGTGTTGGCATTCGTGTGCTGAAGGGTACGAATGAGGTAAAGAAAATGAAGACCTACGAAAGTCGAATAACATACCTTCCTACCATTAAGAAGGACGTGACCGTGAATGACCAGTCGCCTTGCCTCGTAAACGCTATGTGCAAAGCAACACCTGAAAATAAAGACGTCTATCCTCCTTTCTACCTCAGCCATCATCAGACTTCCAACTGGAGCGAGTCCCTTCCTGTCTTCTTCCTCTTTTCTTCGGATTGCCCTTTCTAACTGCTCATTGCGCCCAGCATAGTCATCCAAAGCCAGCGTGTCGGCAACGGGCACACGGTTGCGAGGCCGAACGTCAGGAAGTGTAGCGGGCAAATACCAACGTTTGAATATCTTCTCGTTGATGAAGTCACCATGGTAGGCTCGCATGAGAGCTTTTGCTGTCCAACGCTGTTGGAAGAGCGACTTGCTGGTGTTGTTGAAAGTGATGACTTTGTTCCCAACGGAGCGTTGCCAGAGATTGAAAAGATTCCTGACAGACCAGCTCTGCGACGACGGTTAGAATGCACGCGTTGCGAAGACAGCAAACTGAACGGACCATCCGAGGCAAAGCCCTCCGGAGTGCGAACACATTTGCGTCCCTCATGACGATACTAGGTGGGGACCGAAGGAAATAAGTAACGACGGGCTGCACTTGGTAGGCAGAGAGAATAAATACCGTAGCCAAAAGACACGACAAGGTCTGACGTCCGGTGTAGCTGGTGGGGTCCTTGGCAGTAGTGTCGTCTGAGAAAGACGCGTCCAGTAGTTCTTATTTGCAACAACAAGCCACCCACAGGCTATCCGTGCAACAACATGGACCCTTACACCCCACGGACGCGTCCAGGAGCACGCAAAAAGAATATAACACTATCTGCAAAGGAATATACTAAAGTAATGACCGGACGCTCAGTTGACCACCGTCGTGCCAAGTGGCTTACATCACATAGATCACAGGGACAATCGCGTCCGTCCGCAGAAACCGACATTTCAACGACGATATCGATGAGGACCTCGATGGGCCTGTTCACACAGTCCGTGGAAGCCGTAGAAGCAGTACGTATTGAACCTTCCCAAGTGTAGTCTGTCGTGTTTACGATGCAGCGCAGGCCAAGAACCATCTTTCATAGCCGAGACCTCCTTCGTTCGTGCACCGCTGAATTCTCGCGTTGGAACAACCAGTTTCAGTCCGAAGAACAAGGGAAAGGGTAAGGAGGACTTGTTGGATCACCTCCCTCTTGATGTACAGGAGGCTTTAATCCTGGAAGACCTGCTTTTCGTGTTGATGGTGGGTTCTAGTCTCAGTTGTGATTAGGAAGGCCGACTCGAACAATGCAGGGTATCGAAGGAGTGCACATAACTTATCATCCAGATTATTCTCCAGAGGATGACGATCCGCTACAAGGGATCCGTTTTGCGATTGCGTCTCCCTTAGGCAAGTCTGCTCAGCTTCATCATTAATGCATATCTCCGCAACTTCCATCGTGTTTCGAGGTGTCTGTTTCGATTTTTTTTCACGCCAATCGCGGTTGCAGCCTCGTTTCCCTGCATAGTTATCATTCTCTCTTTTGTCGCTTATCTATCTAATCAGCGCCCGACAGACCCTTCCATACGTGACTTGGCGGAGCGTGTATTACCACTTGCCACCTACTACACAGCCATATCGGCCTTCGTTGAAAGTAGGAGTCACCTAGAATTTGGCCTCGTCAATCACGCTCTCTGTGCAGCAATACGTGATATGTTAAAGGTTCGCCTCACTACTACTCACAGTACAGGCCTCTTATATTTCACCAGGAGTATCAGACCCTTCTATCGCAGCTTGAACATGCCTTCAACACCTCTCCGCAGTTCACGCTCCAGAAATTGTGGTTCTATGTGCACCCAACCGTTCATACACTCTCTTTGATATACAAGCTTGTTCTTGAATTGGCAACGGTGGACGATGATGACGGTTCCTCGATCTCGTCGGCTTCTTCTGATCCAGAACAAGCAGCGCGAGATGAAGCTCTTGGGTTGGGTGGAGCTAAACTCAAGGCTGTTCTTTCGGAGATAACTAAATCTTCGACGAGTGCTGCCATCCCTGTTAAAGGAGGAGAGGTATTAACAGTGATATACGAACGTATGCAGGGGATGTCAGGAGATCCGACGGCACGCAAGGTGTATGGAACACTGATGGGCGCGGCAGGTGCACCTTACGCGGAGATGTTGCGGGAGTGGGCGACAACAGGGAGATTACACGACCCTTACGAAGAACTTTGTGTCAAAGAGAGTAAGTTCATTAGTAAGGGGATCCTCGAAGTGGACTACACGGATGAATACTGGGAGCGACGCTATACTGTCAGTACAATCGCAATTAGTATGCAGCACGAACTGATTCCGTATTGGTCGTTTAGCTGCGTGATGGTTCAACGCTGTCATCAAAACGGCAGCATGCAGGAGTGCCACTGCCCAGGACTCCAGGGGGCAGACTGCCCGGTGGAGCATGCATACCGCCGATGCTTGAAGGATGGAAGCACAAAGTCCTATTATCGGGAAAATATTTAAACGTTATTCGGGAATGTGGTATTGAAGTACAGAGTATTCAACCTCGGCGAGATCAAGAACAGTTTTCGATGGACGACGAAAAGTGAGCGAGTTTGGTTGCTCGCACGTAACTATTTTAACGTGGCAATCGTCTTAGGCTGTATAAATTCGTCGAAGATGCGTACACCCATGCAAACCGCACGCTACTGCGTCTTCTCCTACAAGATCAACAGCTGGTTCCACGTCTACGCTCCCTTAAACGCTACTTCTTCCTCTCGCAAGCGTCATTCCTCACGCACCTTCTCGACTTAGCCCACACGGAGTTGAAGAAGCCTGCTAAATCAGCAAGTATAGTGAAATTGCAAAGTCTATTAGACCTCTCGCTCAGCAGCGAGGACGCTTCCTTCCGTGAAGATGTCAAGGTTACCATGGCTAATACAGGCTTATATGAGTGGCTGCTGAAGGTTATCAGCGTGAGTGGGATAATAGGCGGTGAAGGGGGCGAGGGAAACCACGACACAGCCGCCCACGAGGAGCCCAAAAAAGACAGAGACAAAGACAAGGATGAAAAGAAGGCATTATTAGGTGAGTTCAGCGTTAGTCAGGTTTTCCCATCTCTGATCCACATTGCAGCTATCGATGCTCTTGCACTTGATTATACAGTAAAGTTCCCGCTTTCTCTCGTTATTTCTCGAAAAACCATTTTACGCTATCAACTGCTTTTCCGCTTCCTGCTTCACCTCAAGCATGTGGAGCAGTCTCTTGCGTCCATGTGGATAGAGCAGAAGACGACACCCTGGCGCCAACCCGTACCCAATCACCCGGAATTTGAACAATGGCGATTACGCGTTACTCTTCTCCGCACGCGGATGCTTTCATTCATTCAGCAGATTCTCGCGTTCGTGACGTTCGAGGTGCTCGAGCCAAACTGGCGCTCGTTGGAAGTTAAGCTGTCCAAAGTCACAACGGTAGACCAACTACTGCGAGATCATGTCGACTTCCTGGACACCTGCCTGAAGGAGTGCATGCTCACAAGCGCAAAGCTACTCAGGGTGAGTTGGCGTCAGTATACGTGGACTCATATCATAGATTGAGTTAACTCGCGCCGGAAAATATCAGGCGTACTCACGGTTGATTGTAACCTGCTCGACATTCGCACTCTATTCCTCTTCTTTCACCAAGTCCGCCAATCAGGCCCTTGCCGCAGCTGAGGCGGGCGACGGAGATCAGGCAATGAGCAAGCGCTGGGAATTTCTGAAGAAGTTTGAGTCGAACTTTAACCATTGGTTTGTACAGCAAATTGTCTCTTCTGTCTGATGCCTTCGCTGACCAACCGTCTTTCCATCCCGCAGGTTTAAGGTATGTACCAAGGGAGTCGTACACAGCTGGAGTATTTCTCATCCACCAATTCTCAGTTCCATCTGGACTGCGTGCAGTACTATGCATCGAGCGAGAACGTTACTCTATTGCCACTTGTAGTACGGCTGAGTGGTATTAAGACACTATAGCCATCGTATTTCCAGAGCCCGGTGTACCTCTTGTCACACTCATGATGTTGCCAGATATTTTCGGTTTCACTGACTAATCCCATCGGACTGTGCCAGCAAGCCAGAGTAATTTCGTAACTCAAACATCGAAATGCGTATTGGTAAATTCGGTGCTTTAGAATTCCCATACGTCCTCGCAGATGCGAAACTCAGGACCTACAAGGATTCTTTGCTATAGTGACGTTAGAAACGCTGACTGTTTTCTTTACGCTGCCCTCCCGAAACTACCTGAAGGTATGGGAACCTGGTCTTCCCCTCTTTACAATAAGTCGAAAATTGCACTATGCTGACCTTGATGATAACATCCGTTTCAACGCTAGTCGTCGAGTATTATTTCCTTCGCCTACCTTGATGCTGACACGACCCCTGGAAGAAGCGTACACTCGCCACGTCATATCTCTTTTGTTCTCCGGGAGCTGTCAACATTTCGCCCAACTAAGTGCGTTCACGATGCTCCCTGAACCTCTCACGCTTAGGGGCTTTCGGTAACGTTGTCATGCGTCAAATCTTCTAGGCAGCCCAGTACCAGTAAGTATCAGGTTCGGATGTGGATATGTTCGTCGGAAAGTAGGAAAGACTTGGGCGGCCTCAGGTTACGACCTGTCACGACTACAATCACACTTGGCAACAAGTAACAAGGGAGCTGTGTTATGACCTGATACGGCGAACCTCCCAATTGCCGAAAGCATACCCTTCGACGACAGTTCGGGTCCACGTGATACAAGCAAGTTCTTCATACGGGTATGTGCTTTTTGAAACGTGCAATGGTACTACCGGCTTCCAGGTACTAGATACACACTACATAGATATTCATCGTGAGTACACGACAGTCCAACCTTTTGGTGACGCATGAAGAACGTTGGAACAGAAGTAGACCTGCCGTTGCGGTAACGTGAACCATGCTTATTCCGGGTCTAGAACACGCATCTTCCGTACTCGACAGCTAACTATTTATACAATGCTTGCTATTGTGTCCGGGGAGCGTAAGGCTCTTATCTGTCCTGGATAATCTTGTGATGTTCAAACCGCTGTAATGTGTTCAAGTGCTAGCACCGTAGCATTGGTCGCTTTTTCAAAGTTTACCAATTATCGACGAAGTCAGATTGATTTATCCAATTATCACCACAAGATCTGGATTTTCTTAGCACACTCGACGCTGGCTATCCACGCTAGCGATGGCCCTGTATGTGTCTTCGTCAAATTGAACTCCGAGGACGTTCACTGAAACGGGTGGGTACTATCACGACAGATCCCCATACATGCGCATGGCCGGAACATAATTGACACGAGGCATTTGAGGATTTTATGTCGACTCCTTATGTAACTGGGCTACCCATAACCAGAAGAAAAAGGTTCGAACAAGTACTTCGTTCATCTGAGGTGGTGGTATGCAATAATACACTGTTGCGCGCATCGAGTAGATGTAAATATCCCGAGTCCACCTCTGCTTGTGATACATCTCAATACCACTACATAACGGTTTCTTTTTCCCCACTTCTCTTAGCTTGGTATACGAAAAAGGAGAGGAAAAACGCCAGCGTTCTGAGAAAATTGCATCGCTACTCAGCGAGATAACAGACAGAGAGTTGAAAGGCGCAAAGCCTTTTGTTGAAGTCGCAAAAACACTTGTGCTCCATGAAAATCATCGAGACTTGCGTGCAGTCTACTACCACCCAAACACTCTGAACAAATGATCAGGATGACATCGCTACATATCAGAAAAACTCACTCTTCATGAAGTTCGATACCTCCGACCATTCTCTTTTGGTGCACATCAATATTTCTGACGGCAACCGCGACGTCTCTAGCAAGCGCTGGCGGGCCACAAACTCCAACAAAGACCCCCGTGGCACCTCCTCCGCTCTGCGTAGAGGTAACCACATCGTTCAAGAATTTGGCAATCTTGGGGCGGCCGGGGGTAAGAGTGACGCCAGGTGGGAGATACGTGGGTTGGGAAGACCCCTTCAATGCGCGGGTATAGAACACCGAAACCCTAAGGCAAACCTCCATTCTCTGCTCAATAAGCGAAGTAAACAGCGCTATCATGGGAGTCAGGGAAGCTTCGGAGAACGCCAATATCAGTAACGGATATCGTGTGGGCTTAATGTGAGAAACTTACCGACGTCAGGAATGCTCCACACGATATCAATAACCCGTACGCTGGTATCATTCCCAGACCGTACAAGCTCCTGCACCGCAGACAACGCGAATGTAATACCGATGCCACCTGCAATGACAAGTGCACCAGAATAGCTAGACATGATCGTATTACCAACGCCTCCTAAGGAGGTATTGAGTAAAAAGAGGTAGGAGCTCTTCTCAGGGAGGACTCACCATACGGTCCTTCAATCATCACTCTCACAGCTTCGCCAACTTCACGACCCTGTTCGCCGTACCTTTTCGTTGCAGATAGTGAATATATCTTGGATGTCCACCTCCCGGTCTTCTTGCACATCAAGACCATTCCTTCTTCCGTCCTTTCAACATTTGCGATCGTGAAGGGGTGAACCTCGGTAAGGGCCAAGTAGTCCATGTCAGTTGAAAGAACACGCAGGCGAACGTGTTGGCCAGCTCGCCAACCTGAATTGAGCGTTGGAATTTCAATCCTCGTGAGTCCTAATTCAGGAATAGGGCGCAGCATGGCGGTAGTGATGCACGTCTTCGCAATACGCATGAGGTGATCGACGCCGTAAAATACACATGCGGCTATGACGAACGGAATGCAGGCCGGTTGGTGGTAGCACGCCTATATGTGGCATGTAGGGGTGAGATATGTAATTTCACGAATGTAAGGACAGCAATGACCCACGGCGATCAAAAAAATGAACAATCCAAGCACATGTGTCACGATAAAAAGATTGTAGGACTTTGATCTGACGAATTGAGTGGATCCGATTCCGAGGAGATCGAAACAGGCGAGCGCAACGAAACCCCAACGGATGAACGGTTTGGTCAATTCAGTAGATAATTTCCCTGCAAGGGTCCATTTATAAACTAGAGGGAGATGTTCTGTAGTCTGTGTGACTGACATACTGGTGACGTACCATAACCAAGCATATGGACATTGGCTCCGACGACAGCTAAGCGGCCGATGAAACGGTGCAGGAAATTGAGCTGTGAACAAACGAAGTCAATGCTGTCGCGAGATGACCGAGATGACCAGCTCACCTTCTCATATCCGACGCCGACTAGTGCGCCGACTATGTTGTTTTTGGTTGCAAAAATGTATACAAAAGGTATTTGAGAAGCGATGACCCGACCGGCCCGCGAAGGATGAGAGAAGGGGTTTGATTTATAAAACGTGCAGTAGAGAACCATGATGGCATATCCGGCCATTAAAAGGACGCGTCCGACTGTGTACCCTTCATGGACTGGGCGAGTTAAAACGCTTGTTACTGGGTGGACGAGCGATGAAAGCATGGGCATGTGCACCGGCCTTTCCGGATTACTCGTGTCTCTGAGGGTTTGCGTAGGTAGAGCCGGTAATGCACTGAGAATGGTGTCACATCCTGCCGATCTGTCTTGTATACCGACAGCGGATTTCTTGAAATCGGAATGCATCTGATTAGAGACGGAACTAGCGCTGATGCGAGGCTCGCGACGCAAAGCAACGTAGCGCAATATATGGCCGCGTAATCGCTCGGAGGGGTTCGCAAAGCGAGCAACCGCCCGGGGGGCGTTGAGTAAGGCGAAGATGGCGATGGTGATAGAAATGGCGATGTCGAGATGATACGTGAGAGTCACATCAAGGTCAGATGAGTTGCTTGGGGGTGCACTCTGTACCGAAGACATTGTTGAGACGACCGATGTTGCTGAAGGACGGAAGTTTGGAGAAGGCGGGTGAAGGAACAGGGCAGTTTATCGTAGAGGGAGACATTCGGAAGGGTTTAAAAGTGAACGAGAGGACACTGTACGCCAGCGAATGGGAGTGTCAAGGAGTTCTGAAATGAGTTTTCCTTACAAAGAAACTTCCAAAAGTGCCGCCATACCCGGGGGTCTTAAGGGTCGAACTGAGACTGGTAATGGAATACGAAGGACAGGGATGGTGTCCCACTCGACTCGCATTGACTTATCAAAGGAGTCTCGCAGAATAGCGGTCCATCATCCGCACCTGAGTCTTGCTGTGTTGACCGCCTGGTTGACGGTTACTTCGGTGGGTACGTTGCACCAAAGGGAATTGGTAAGTGTCTCGAGGCCGTTGGCGATGACGCACGAAGGTTAAGTGCGCCTGTTTAAGATGCAGGTCGTGCAACGGCAATCTTGTGCGATTCCTACTCGACTAAAAACAGCGATAAAAGGGTCCGAGCAAATCGGAAGAAAAGGGTGTTCCCTGGTGTTTGAAGAACTCGAGTAAGCCCGCGACACGACGAGGCTTGTGATGATGCTACCAAGCACGGCATCCACGACGCAGATCATCGTCGCACTGAGAATAACAAGGGAAAGAGAGAATCAGTATGGTGATGTCATGAATGGTCCCGTGAATTCACTTCGTCAAAAGTTTAAAGTTGTAATCAGTAACTGGGAGAATGTTGCCGACCCCTGCAGAGACGAGTGGAGAGTAGCGGTACTTAGTGGGTGTACCCCTTTTCCAGGGATCATGCTGGTAGGATACGATGAAAACGCAGAGCATGTGCATCTGATGTCGTCCAAACAGCGAGAGAGCAACGGCACGGTCCTGGACACGTCGCAAGATACGATGCGCAGCTCAGGGTTCTACACTCCACGAACACGATATCGTGGCATCAAACAATTGGCCTTGGACACTCGTTTGCATCAGGGCGCCAAGGAGAAGTAAGGCTCGCCGGGTGTATAGAAAACGCATGCTCCATGATAGGGAAGACTAACCTTGATCAGTAAAAATAATCCAAAAGCAGAGGGGGTTAGTTCTGATATGACCTATCTCACCTCCAATTGTTCCTCCCAGTGTGGAAAAGGATGTGCTAAGCCCTGGCATACTGCTATGCTAAATTATTAGACATTTCGTGCACTCAGGCGAATGTTCCGCCCCTGGAAACTGGCGGCGAAAAACATATACCCTGGAACCTCACGTACCCTGGAAACCAGCTGACCTGCCAGGGAAACGAGTTGCGGGCTGCTCCTCGTGATCCCAGAACCGGTGTAATCGGATGAATAATTTCGCTATGTGGCGGAGCGCAGCAGGAGTTCCTGCTTTGCGCATTGGACCGACGTGCACGGGGGACCTGGGGCCCCTGCGGTTCAGGCAGGATGATCCTAACAAAGAACTCTGAAATTGGTCACGTTGATATCGCATAGAAGTGGCCAACGACAACTAGAATGCGGCCCACCAAGCTAATACGATGGCATCGGGTCACTCAAAACAGGCAACTGCACTATAGACAAAAATAAGACCTCCGCTATCCGCATAAACACGCATTTTCACCATTTAGATGTCAGGAGGCATATACTAGTTGGATATCCCAGTTTGGACAAGTCGAGGTGGTCGAGCTGCCACTTTTGAAGGTACAACTCCTTGAAGGCTCATGAGAAAGAGTTCACCTTAACGGCAACACTAATCTGGTTCATAATTAGAATTAAGTGTTTTCGGGGGGGTCTTCAACGAAACTACTATCAAATTCCTTTGTTCCAGAGGCTCTCTGATGCCTTTGCCTACTGCAGCGGCCAATGAACAAAGTTGGCATAGTCGAGAGGGAACGATTGTCTTCAGCCTAGGCACACCAAGTAATTATACACGAAATCTAGCACAGCTTGGGATACATCTCTACATGACTACAAAGGCCGACGAATTACAGAAGAAATGCGCCAGCTTTGTGAATATTGTACAGCTGCCCAGCCAGCTGGCAGACCAATTGCCGAAAGGCATCGAGCCTTTGATTGCAGTCACCTCGAAACACCTGAGCTCCATGAAAATCGTCGAAGTTTGCTTCCAGGCAATTACCATCCAAACACCCTGAAAATGTGATCAGGTCGGCATTCTTGAGGTAGACTACATATGCGGAAAACTCACTCTGCATGAAGTTCGATACCTCCAACCATCCTCTTTCTATATACATCAAAAGTTCTGACGACGCCAGCGACGTCTCTTGCGAGTGCGGGCGGACCGCACACGCCGACAAAAACTCCTGTGGCACCTCCTCCGCTCTGCGTGGAGGTAACCACATCATCCAGGAATTTGGCAGTCTTTGGGCGACCGGGGACAAGGGTCATGCCAGGTGGGAGATACATACCCTGGAAAGACCCCTTCGATGCGCGGGTATAGAACACCGAAACCCTAAGGCGGACGAACGTGCTCTGCTCAATAAGCGAAGTAAAGAGTGGTATCACGGGGGTCAGGGATGCTTCGAAGCACACCAAAATCAGTAACAGATATCATGTGAGCTCATTGTGAGAAACTTACCGACATCAGGAATGCTCCACACGATATCAATCGTCGTTATGCTGCTGTTATCCTGAGACCGTACGAGCTCCTGAATCGCAGACAAAGCGAATGTGATGCCGCTACCCCCAACAACGAACAGTGCACCAGAGTAGCTGGACATGACCGTGTTACCAACACCTCCTGAAGAGATATTGAGCACCAAGGGTCGGAGTTCTCTTGAAGGACTCACCATACGGTCCTTCAACCATCACCCTGACGCCCCTACCAACCTCGCGACCCTGTTCGCCGTATTTTGCTGTCGCAGATAATTCGTACATCTTTGTTGTCCATCTCCCGGCCTTCTTGCACATCAAGACCATTCCTTCCTCTGTTCTCTCAACATTTGCGATCGTGAAGGGGTGAACCTCGGTAAGGCCTAAGAAGCCCATACCGGTCGAAAGGACCCGCAGGCGAACGTGTTGGCCAGCCCGCCAACCCGAGTTGAGCGTTGGAATCTCAACCCTCGTGAGTCCCAACTCGGGAATAGGGCGGAGCGTAGCGGTGGTGATACGTGTCTTCGCAATACGTATGAGGTGATCGAGGCCGTAAAATACGCAGGCGGCTGTGACATACGGAACGCAGCCCGGACGGTGATAGCACACCTGTATGTAGCGCGCACAGGTGAGACAAGTTATATCATAGATAAAATTTCGGCGACAACTCACGGCGAACAAGAATACGAACAGCCCAAGGGCGTGCGTTATGATGAAGAGATTGTAAGATTTGGACCTGACGAACTGAGTGGATCCAATGCCAAGAAGATCAACACAGACGAGTCCGACCAAACCCCAACGAATGTACGGTTGGGCCAACTCTTTAGATAACTGCCCCGCAAGGCTCCATTTGTAAACTAGCAATGGATATTTAGCAGTCTGGGTTACTGACACGCTGATGACGTACTGAAACCAAGTGCATGGACGTTGGCTCCGACGACGACCAAACGACCGACGAGACGGTGCAGGTAATTGAGCTGCACACACCAAAGTTAATATCCACTGTTACAACAAGCTTGATATGTCCAACTCACCTTCTCATATCCAACGCCGAGTAGCGCACCGATTACATTGTTCTTGGTTGCAAAAATGTACAAAAAGGGTATTTGTGAAGTAATAATCCAACCGGCTCGCAGAGGATCAGAGAAAGGATTTGATTTATAGAAGCCGCAGTAAAGGACCAGGGCAGTATATCCCGCCAATAAAAGGACTTGTCCAACCGTATAACCTTCGTGAACAGAACGACTTAAAATGCTTGTTACTGGGTGAACGAGCGACGAGAGCATGGGCATGTGTACTGGTTTTTGTCCGCCCAAAGGCAGACCGTTTGCGTCATTTCTAAGAGTTCGCATAGGCAGAGTTGGCAGTTCCTTGAAGGTTGTATTACATCCTTCTGAGCTCTCGTCTATATCCAGCACAGGTTTCTCGGGGTCGGAATTCAGGTAAACGGAGTCGGTGTTGAGGTTAATGCGAGACCTGTGACGCAAAGGAACATAGCGCAAAAGAAAACCGCGAAATCGTTCGGAGGGGTTCGCAAAGCGAGCGATAGCACGGGGGACGGTGAATAAGGCAAAGGTGAGGATGACAATAGAAATTACAAGGTCGAGATGATAGGCGAGAGTCATATCAAGGTCGGATGGATTGCTCGAAGTTGAAGATGCATGTTGTGTAGAATTCACCATGGTGAAACGACCGGCGTCGCTGAAGGAGGGGCGGAGTAAAGAATGTTGGTGGGCGAAAAAAAAAGACGGTCTAGTGTCGAGCGGGACACTCTGGGGGGATTAAAGAGACTCTGAGTTGCGCAGCAGAACAAAGAATAATCTTACATAGGGTCTAACTAAACAAAAGGGGAAACTGTCGCTAGAAACAAAAGGCGCTCCGCCGGAGTCCCACGGTTACACCAACAACTTTGGTTACTTACAGATTGGTTACGGGTCGATTCGGAAGACATAGTACCCATTGCGCGAGCGATCTGCATAGCAGCTTGCTCAGTCGTGACATCGATCGGAGAGCTGGTTACTACCCCACTACACTGATCTGCGACACAAGTCCTGAACTCCGAGGGCCGTCATTTCCGCTGTCTGAGGGCTGTGTCATTCACTCGACCACTCTTCGTTTCTCATGCGTAGCCTCGTGGGTTTTTCGTTGGATCTAGTGCTTTCCTGTACTGAACAACATCCCCTTGAGTTCGCTTTAGCTGGGTCCACGGGACCAACGCAGCTAGATGCTAACCATTCAGCCCAAATTCAGCCAATCACCTACTCAAGTCCGAACAACGTAATTACAGTAGCTGATAGAATCACGTGCGCCGTATACGGCAGAATTATTATTCTGGAACCACCCAGTAATTATAACGTATCTGAATTCTGTCTATTAGAACTAACCTCAAGGAGACTTAAAAAATAATCCATCTACATACAAACAAGTCTGCTGCAAGATGGCAGCACAATGTGGAGGGCGTCTAAGCGCCTAAAGCTATGTACCTTCGATGTCGAGGCCCGAGTACTTCCTTACAACGAGTAATACAATGATGTTGTTTTGGTGGAACCGTGATAAATGACCTTCGAGTGCGATGTGGGATATTGGGTTCGTAAGGACGTCAAAGAAGAAACAATTGTCATAATGCATGACACTTTTACTCGGAGGAACTTGTCCCTCCGTAGTGGGTTTGAGGGGATTGAGCAAGCAAAGGAGCAACAGCTCCGGTGCTCTCATGCGGAAGCGAGCCAACGTCCATGGCTTGTTTCGCCCACCTGCTCGTAGCACGAAGTCTTCTTCCGAAGACATACAGAATAATACTAGTCGGGAGTCCTATGCAGCTCACGCATGCCAACAACACGTTTGCATTGCGTATACCCAAAGAAGTGTATAATGGCAGCCCGACGCTCGGTAGAACGGTCGCTACGAGACCCCGGACGGCAGAGTTTGCAGCGATAGCAGATGCTGACATCGTTGGGTAAAGGTCGATGTAGTAATTGAACAACGAGAGCTGCAGGAGGGTCATTCCCATCCCAATCGGAACACCAGAAACTATGGGGAAAAAGTAGTGTATGTCCGGGTGCGCCGAGAATGTTAACCAGAATAACCCGAGGGGAATGACAAGCGACGCAAGGATAACGCCGGGTAGACGAGCTTCGGGCTCGATCTCTGATTTACCGCCCGACTCGATCTGGATTACGCGCTGGCGCGCCTCGTACTGAGGTTTGTAGTATCCAAAGTATATCAGAACGCCAAGCACGTTTCCAATGAATGGGGCAATGAAAACCAGGCCTGCTTGTTCTCGGGACATCGAGTAATGAGAGTCATAGATGTGTGGGAATGCCTAAGAACAAGAATCTAGAACTGATAATGATAGATAACAACCCACGCACCTCGAGAAGAAGGAACAAAAGCCCATAGACAAAGGAGTGATACAACGTCGTCCAGATTATGATAGGTTCGTTACGAAGCATGGCTGGCAAAAGGGAGGGTGGATGAACACCTGATATAAACAGATGAATTGGAAAAAAGCACTCACTGATTGGCGTAAGTAGTGCTTTGCTCCAAACCTTGGCCTTGGAGGACTTTATTTCCTTCACATCAGGGACCATACCTTCGGCTTTAGCTATCTTCCTTCGAATTGCCTTAGGCTCGGTTTCGGGAACAAACAATATTGTGGCAGCACCAACAACCCCACCCCAGATCGTTATAAAGCCGAGTAACCATCTCCAAGGTAAAAAGGGTCCTAGGAAAGAAGATGGCACAGGCCCGATGGTTGGGGCACCCTGTAATACGAGTGTAAACAACGCAACCACAGGACCACGCTCCTCGGGCATAAAAAGATCTGCGACTGAGCCACCGTAGATAGAGAAGACAGGGCTTCCGAGCAAGCCCATGAGACCACGGCAGACCAAGAGAGTGGATATATTTGGCGAGAGCGTCGCACCAAGACTGAAGACTAGTAAAACTTAGTATATCCCTCAGGGAGGGAGAAGAAGTTACATACCAGCGAAACATATAGATGAGACGACATATATCGGTCGACGGCCATAGAGTTCACTCAGCGGTCCTCCGAAGAGGACCCCAAATACACCACCCTAGGAAGCGGATCAGAATAACAACTACAGAGGAGACAAGATGAGCTCACGAGATTGTATAGCCCCACACCTAAGGTCGCGATGGTGTTCGATGTACCAAACTGGTCCTGTATCTGGCCTTGCACTCCAGACTGTATATTGAATAACCGATCAATGCAAAGCAAGGGCTACAATGAATTTCTACGAACTCACATAGAACGTGATCGCCATATCACTAGAGAACATCTATCGTCAGCTGGGAGATCAATGTAGAGCCAAAGTTGAACCTTACATCGGAGCAATGAGGTTCCAGATTATGAGGGCTATCATCCACCGTTTCCTTTCGCTCCATTGGCGAGGATCGTGCTCAGAAGGAAGAACGCACGAAAGGAACTGAGACATGGCTTGGGCCGATAACTTCCTGGGACTCCTGCCATCGCCGCAGGCGCATTTTATATCATCATCACCGCCGTTTCCTTTCAACCGAAAGTTCTGGATGCGACCAGGAACCGAAGAAAGGCACGGCAAGTTGAAAATTGAGGATTGCGTGACTACATAGCCAGTGAGTACATGGGAATCCCGAGCGCCGGTTACGTTAATTCACTTGCAGACGGACCTGTCGGACAGAGGTTGGAGCTCGGGAGGACTGATCGAATCGCACAATGCGCGGAATCCCCTTCGACCTCAGCTATACTCGCTATACTCGGAGAGGGTCATCGCAGGAAAGGGGGGTTCCAAGAACAATGTTGTCGTCGGTTTGACGTTCTTCTGATCGGAACTTGGACCGGCTCAGATAGCCTGTGAGCATTATGCCATAGGCCCGTTATTGGGCCCACATGCAACGATCGGCTTACCAACGTTTACTCCCAGCCACTAGCATCGCATCCTTGCTCCACTATGTGGATCGGTAGTATACCCTACCGAAGGGCTTCAGAAGTTTTGATCTGGCAGTACCGGGCTGACATAGCTTTGTAGGTCGAGGAACCCCGTCAACGACCTTCACTGGTAATCTACGTTTCGGGCAAATGTTCCTTCTCGGAGGAGGATGTTTCCTAGTGCCATGTATAGATCATCAATCGAGTGAAGCAGTATTTACTTGGCTACACATAGCAGATAGGAGGCATCAAAGCGGCACAGAAGATTTCGCAACACCCAAATCAACAAACCCGACCCCCGAGCACCGCTGCATTCTCACCGCTCCGTGGCACGGGGTAGCCGCTGGCAGGACAACCTCTCGAAGAACACCGGATGGAGCCAATGGAAAGCCATGGAAAAAGGTTGGAAAAGGACTGGTCCTGGAGAATTCCGGTTAAGTCGGTTTATTTCGAATCAGTTTCAACTTCTAGGCTAAGAATGCACCGTTATGTCCCCGATCGGAAACAAGATAATTGTCACTTTACGCTGCCCGATCTGAACTCACTCCACTTGACCGATCACTTCCGTCTCAGCCCTGTGAGTTATTTGTCGTTATTTGTTCGCCCTGTCGGGCTAGCGCATTCATTTAAACATCCGGATCATTACTTGCTAAAGTCCGGACAACGTACTCGATCGAATCATGTGACAGGTAATGCACAATTTTTACAAAATTTGGAATAGCTACACAACAAGATTTCTTGAACTCGGGATTCGGGGACCTGATAGAGGCAGGTCTTCGCTACAGGCCTGTGCAAAAACCTCGATATAATATGCTAAAATGCTTGTACCAGCGTATGACGCTGCATCTGTAACATTAAACAAACAAAAATAAAACAGCTGATTGTGCGACTTTTGCAGCACTGCTCCTGCGCAACTTTTTATACTATTCCTGCATAATTTTTAACACAGCCACCTTGTACCACTTTGCACTAGCTAGGAGGGCAGATAAAATAGATAAACGTAGGCAGGACGTGAACACAGTTCGTCGGCACCCTCCCCAGTCATCCCGCCCAATCCACGAGGCCGTGATGCCCCACAGGGCCCGCTCGAACGCTCGACCCCCTCCCCCGCCCCTCCCGCCTGGTGGCGGGATTGCTCCTTCGGGAAATTCCCACGGCATCGCCACCTGCAAATTCATGTGACCGCACTCCGCGCCACAAGTCATCACTGGCCTAGCGAATTTGGGCCCGTTTCTTGGCAAAATACCCATTATTACATGGGTTATGTACAGTAGCATCGAAACGAGTCCCGAGGAACGGGCGAGGAGTGCGTGTAGCCCTGACTCACTCGCTCCCCCGTGCACGTGCCCTGCTTAGTCAGTAGCTGTGGGCACAGCCACCTGCAAATTTTCTGCGCATTACTGCAAAAGTCGCGCAATCAGCTGTTTTATTTTTGTTTGTTTAATGTTACAGATGCAGCGTCATAGGGATCTGGCTCAAAATGCCATAAAAATGGGGGGGTGGTTCCCACCACCTTCCTTGAAGTTTGCATGCTAGAAAGCTACCACATTACATTTTGTTTGCATTGGAGCACACTAGCTAGTAGAACATGCCTCTGGCAATGTGCCCATGATGTTATATTATGAATATCTTGAGTGTTGTGGGCAGGGAACACAATTGTGCATTGCTCGTCACATGATAGTAGGTACCAGAATTCTGGAACCCACGAAGGTAGCAAACGAGACTAGTACTTCCGTCTTCGCCGAAGATTCATCCACTATGCACGAACCTTCCGCAGATTTAGAACCTCAAGACCATATACTGACAACCAGGAGCAGTACAGTCCGACTTGAGATTCTCCCCTGAGAGAGGAAGTTTTGTGTAAGTCATGACGTGGTATACCAAGTTCGTAACGACACTAAGTAGAAAACAAGTGTCAAAACTCATGACACTTGCTCGGAGGAACGAGTTCCTCCGCAATGGTTTTGAGGGCATTGGCCTGTTTTGCCGATGTGCTTGCAGCACGGCGTTTTTTTCCTGAAGACATACAAAATAACACTAGTCAGAGCCCCATACAGCTCATGCGGCCATACCAACGACACGTTCGCATTGCATATACCCAAAGAAGTGTATAATGGCAGCCTGACGCTCAGCAGAACAGCCGCCACGATATTCCGGACGTTAGAGTGTACAAAAATAGCAGATGCCGACATCGTTGGATAAAGGTCGATGTAATAATTGAACAACGAGAGCTACAGGTGGGTCATTTCCGTTCCAATCGAAACCCCTGAAATTATGGGGAAAAACTAGTGCATGTCCAGGCGCGCCGAGGACGTTAACCAGGATAACCCGAGGGGAGTGAGAAGCAACGCAAGAAGAACGCCAAGTAGACGAGCTTCGGGGTGTGCCATGCCTCTGAGGAAAAACAATATAGACATTCATATTATGAGGGCTATCAAACCATCGTTTCCGTTTGCATCAATGGCGAGGACCGTGATCAGAAAGAAGAACGCACGAAAGGAACTAGGACATGGCCTCGACCGATGACCTTGGATCTTCCGCTATCCGCCACACCTCCACTGTTCCTGTCAGGCCATTGGATTGTGAACACGAGCAGATAAGTTGAACGTTGAACGTTCTGAACTTCGGATGCACACCGAGATGATGTTGTTTTACCAAAGAAAGGCACGGCAAGCTGAAATAGAAATCTGGCAAGTATTGTGGATATCGGTGGTCGACCAATGGGAAAACACTGCGGGCGTTTTCTGATTCGATCGGTTCTCCAGACTCCAGAGTTTCAACTTGTTGACCAGTTCCAACACGTCCGTCTGGCAGAGATGGATGGAACAGACACTCTCACACTCAGGGAAGGTCAGGGATCCCAGAAGAAGAGTGTGGTCGATGGAATGTACTTTCTTCTAATTGGAATTTTGGTCGGGTCAGATTGGCAGGACTTCAGCTTTATGCCATAGGCTGTCTATATTAATCAACGTCAACGGAGTCTAAGCTACTAGCAGGTTAACATGGTGTTGGTGTACTGCACCAGAGGAACTGAGTGGTCCGCGATGAACCCTCTCCTCCATCCGAGGACAACGCTGTCCTGTTCCGTGCATAGAATCGATTATCTGGTGGAGTGACATTTACTTGGCTACGCGTAGCAGATGTGGAATCAGAGCAGAGAGGTTCGCGATTGCGCAATCAACAAACCGGACCCCGAGCACCACTGCTTTCCCCCTTCACTTCGTGGCACAAGGCGGCCAAAACCGCCTGCCGTAACATCACTTCGAAGAACACAGGTTGGAAATGTAGAGCCAGTGGAAAGCCACGGAAGAAGTTCTGTTCCGAAGACTTCCAGGAAATGAAGTGGAATCAGATCCTTCCAGAAAGAATAATTACTAGTTTACACAATCTCTACAAAAGCCAGCCTTTACTTATTCAAATGTCAGCGCGCTTCAGTCACCAGCCAAATGTTCTGCAAGTGGGGAACGGTCAGTAACACATACCCCTAAATAATAATCCAACTTACTCTTCATGCATCTCAATCCCACCGACCGCCCATCGTCGACTAGCATCGACAGACGAAACGACCTGCGCAACCTCGTCGCCTAGTCCAACGGGGCCACATACACCTACGATCACGCCAGTGATGTCCATCGCTGCCTTCACACCAGACCCGTACGTCATCGTGCGCTGGATGACTGCATCTAGTATCTTGCCAATTCGAGGACGGCCCGCTGTCAAGGTGATTCCTGGTGGGAGACTCGCTTTCGACGGCAAAGTATCGGCTGCGCGAGTGTAGTGCACAGAAATGTGTAATGGTGTGTAGATGCTCTGTTGCAGGAGAGCAGTGAATTGAGGTAAGAGGGGTGTCAAAGACGCTGAGACATTTTCTTTAAGGAAGAGGATAAACTAGATGGAGGTGCACGTACAGGGGTCTTGAATACTCCATACGAGTTCTATGACCTTAACTCTACTTGCGCCCTCCAGATCTACCTGTGACCATCATCAAGCATTGCACAGGTTCACGCCATCGAACAACATACCCGTACGAGGTCCTGAAGGGCAGAGAGAGCAAAAGTAATGCCGCTACCCCCGACAACGAGCACTGCTGCAGAATAGCTTGCGAAAACCGAATGCCCAGGTCCTCCTGTATATCAAGCGCCATTGGCCTATCTCTTTCCACAATGACAGAAAACACTCACCATATGGCCCTTCTACCATCATCAGCACCGATCTTGACATTCCTCCATCCTCGGAACCATACCCGGCCAGTTTCGCCATCTCGTACAACTTCCTCGTCCATCCACCGGCATTTTTACACATTAGCACCAGTCCCTCAGGGGTCTTTGCCACAGTTGCGATCGTAAATGGGTGCACTTCGGCCCAGCCAATCCAACCCATTGCACTAGATAAAACACGTATCCGGACGTGCTGTCCCGGCCGCCAGCCAGCGTTCAACTCCGGAATCTCGATTCGCGTCATTGAGAGGTCAGGTATGGGGCGTATCCTCCCGTAAAAGAGGCGGGTCTTAAGGAGTCGGAGGATGTGGTCTAGGCCGTACGCTGCTGCTGCTGCAAGTACATAGTGCAATACCACAGGTTGATGGGCATACACCTACCCAGCAAGGTTTCAGTGATTGACACGGGAGTGAAGAAGTTCCACGACATACCGCTGGAAGGAATATGATGAAGCAAATGATATGACTACCGAAGAACAGATTGTATGCTTTGCGCCTCCAGAACGAAGTTGAGAGTAAATAGAGGGTGTCTATCGCGACAAGGGCTACCAGAGCCCATTTATTCGAAGGCTCATTTAAGTACACTGAAAGTTTGCCCTGGAAAACCCACTCATAGACTGACAATGTATTCATAAACTGAAAGCCACGGAAGAGGGCTGACAACTTACTATAACCGATGGCGTGCACATTGGACAACAATATTAGCACCATACCTGCGTACCGATGGATGTAATTGAGCTATCTTGCTGGTAAGCCACAAGATACGAAGCCGCACAAGGTTCCTTGCCTTTTCGTAACCGATGGCAAGAAACACCCCCAGAAGATTGTTCTTTGTTCCAAGCATGTACACAAGCGGGATTTGTGACATGGCCACAATTCCAGTCCGCAAAGGATCTGTAAACGGGTTTGACTTCAAGAACACTGGGTATATGAGTATGGCAGAGTAAAGCCCGAGAACCAGTGCCTGTCCCACCGAGAACCCAGAATCTAATCTGTATCTCAGTAGATTCCCCACCTGTGGGAGAACGGCCGACCAAGCGCGCACGTGTGGAGGGAGAAGCTTCGCCGCGGACTTTCCAGTAGAAGGTCTTCGGATAAGGTTGGTATGCGAGACGTATGTATGCGACTCTTCAGAAGTGACACCACCGTGGCCAGTAGAAGATGTGGCATAAAGTTCCTGCGGAGGCACTGGAATGGGTGATGATCGAGGGGGCGGTCGCCGTCGAGGCCGGCGATAATCGAGGCGGATCGAACGGAGTATGTGACCATGCCGCCATTCTGCACCACGAGAAAGACGCGCGAAAGCCTGGGGAAGCGTCGCTAGGGCGAACACCGCGCCCACTGCAAGTATGAAAATATCGACATGGAAAACCAGTCCGAGTGCGTCCACGGTTCCACCAGTGCCTGGGCTGGTTTGCAACACGGTAGGATCTGACATATCCTCGCCGCGATAGGAAGAGTGAACAATAGATTCTTAGCGAAAGGGAGCGAAAGCCGAGGAATACGAGACTAAATAATGGTGCAGGAACGCAGCTCCTGCTGGGAATATTGGGGACGCTTGGTCCTACACAGGAGAAATGTAAATCGCAGCAATCGGTCGCGCGCAACAAGGAGGAAGGGGAGAAGGTGTGTGATATCAGGCTTGCACACTACATATAAGACGGCTCGAGAAGCATTGAGGTATGTTACGCAAGTGAAGAACATACCAGAGACCAGTCCATTGGATATGAAGCGACCTCGTGTTTGCTGCGTGCCCCTCCCCATGTCAGGTCATGGGTTATACATGCATTCATCCGTTATCGAGGTACGGGAACGTGCATGGCTGCTTTACAATGCGAGCCCTGCTACGCATCGGGTACCAGTATGTAAGGATACGAAAGTTTTGTTACCGTGTTCAGTGTTCCCAATCACCAAGTCTTGGGGTGCCGCTCTCAGTTGACATCGTGAATGATGGAATGCTAGAACGTTAACTGAACATTCGATAAGTTTTCGATCCTGGGATGGAATATGGAACTCCCAGACAGTCGAACAATACGGAACATGTTGCGGAATGAATTGCAACCGCGGAATAGAAAGGTTCCGCCCCACTTCTGGTAATATACTGTACTGGCTTTCATTCCATGCATGCATCCCTTCTGCTGATATTTATAGGTGCACTGTGATACTCAGAGACTTATGGTAATGCAAGAATGCAAGCCTAACGTTGACGTTGTGATTTGCAGAGTGCCAGACTGCCAGTGCGAACTCGTAAAATGTGGCATACTCTCTTGACTTTCTCCTTCACATTTGCACTTGCACCTTGGAGGTCCTTGCTTTCGAAATCCGTAACTACGCCAGAGAGCACCTGTGCAACTTCCAATTTGACGAGTGCTCACGTCGTTCCTTCTAAATAGCTTCAAGATACCGCGGAGGTTGCGTCTCACTACAAGGCGATGGTTTTCCTGAGTTAACATCATCCTTGGATTTGGGGATGGCGGTAAGTTAATCTCAGGTTTCCTAATTGCGTCCCCCCGGGCAGGACTCGACATCGTAAACATTGATCAAGGTCAGTTTGTCCGCGTGTAACACAATTAATATCATCCGCAGCGTGAGTATCTACCAGTATCCCGTCACTGGCTGGGTTATCTGCTCTCGTCCCTTATGTAGACCGACGATTGGGCCGTCAACCCTCCACGATTCCCGTGCCCTAATTCTGCCGCGACTGCCTGATGCATTGCTGCGGCAGTCCTAGATAGTCGCTTGGGCGGATAGACTTTCATTTCGAGCTCGGGAATCACAACATTGTGCATGTTTACATAAAAATAGGTGTCCCATACTTAGTGCGGTGAGCTCGACGGCAAGGGGCACCTTAATTCTAATCCCGTGTCGTGACAGGGTGCACCCGTACATACAATATCGGCGAAGAGAGAAATCTATCCTGGTAAGCATCTATGAAGTCTATGGCCGGAGAAGAACGGGTAGGGACGGGCGGGTCGTTACATGTGTACATATAATTACCAAGTCTATAGGTTGGTGATTAGGGTGAAGCAGGTAGTGGACCATGGAATTCGGTATAAGAATTCTTTTAGGGGTAAGGAAGAGACGATAGAAGGGAACAACGATAGTGGCAGGCTCATAGCTTTCCACAAGCGCAATCAGACACCTAACTAAGTCTAGGGGGCATGACAATCGGCGGAATCAGGTATAGTTGATAACCTGGGCTGCGGGTGGTGTCCCGGGTTCACTCCCGACTCACGTCACTGTATTATAAATGGAACGGATGAGAAAACCATATAGGAGTTAGGAAGGTAACCAGAAAAAAAGGCTGGCATGACACCCGGCACTATCGTGCGACGCATGCCGTGTACCGTCAGGAGGTGGAAGAAATACACTGCCTCGAAGACAGCAAAGAAATGGTGATAGAGTGAGAAACGCAGACGGAATGCTTGCGTTGTTCTCCAGCGCCGCCATATCTACGGTCGCTTCGAACACAGTACCCGAGAGCCGTCAGTGCGGGATCATGGCGCAACTGCACATGTGGACGCAAAAGCTAGAGCGATACGGCACTGCCTTTTATCGCGTGGAGCCAGGGTGGCCATCAACTTGCAAGTGGCTATGCCCGGGACAAGACCGCCGGTAGCAAGGGCAATCACCAGGAAGAACAGGACGAAAAACGCCAAAATGTTGAAAAACATTAAACCAGACCACTCACCGCCCGAAGAATTTAGTACGCATCCAGTCGCCGGCTACGAGAGCTCTGTTCCGGAGAGAAAAAAGCGTACTTAAATATGCACTTCGCCAGAAGAGGAAGGTTGCGACACCACCACTGGTCCACTGCAGGTGGGGTAAATAAGGGGGGTTCATGTAGTGCGCAAATTGGGATAAGCTCGTACCTCTCGCCCAAAGATGGGTAACTCGGCAATTGCCTTATCTGAGCCAATGTATCTACGCAAACCTCCATCAGCGTCCTGGAGGTTCGGGTGGAACGCAAACACTCACGCAAGTGACCCCTGATGTGAGTAATGGAAGGGCTTCAACCTAATCCTCTCAATCTGCTTTGCCAGACTTTCTGTCTCCTTACTCTTTGATGCTTCCAAATCTTTGCCATCGCTCGTTTTGCTTAGTTCGTCGAGTTTACGCGCTAATTCATCCCTCTTCGCTATCAACTTGAACATCCGCGCAAGATACGCGCCTTGCTGGGATGCAACCTGTGCGGTTGGCGCATAGGAAGTGGCGGTACAGTCGCCTATAGCAAAGATGGATGGTGCACCGAGCATACGCAGGTGGTCTGCAAGCCAACTATCAGTACTCGAACAGAAATGCAGAGCAACACCACGAACCATCGACCAGAATTCCACGCTTGTTTGTCTGGTGATCTGGCAGTTGCGCCATTAAATTACGCGAGATGTCCCGTGCTTTGTTGCCCTATGGGAATATGAAGCAATTATATCTTGCGAATCAGCTTCTGCAATCGATCGAATCGTAGCACATGAAACTCACTGCAGCCCAAACTACCAACCCGCAAGGCAGATCATGCTCCTCGCCGTCTTTGGGTTTCAGTCGTACACTCCCTTCACTCACTCCTTTGACCTAGTCATCACATGAGCCATGAAACCATAAAGGTAACAAGCGAGGGCATAAATCTCACCATGGTCCCTGTGAGGATATCAATTTTACTTTCCTTAAACGTCCTTTCCGTGTACGCAATCAGCTCTTTGCTAAAACTTGGCAGCACCGAGGGAAGAGCTTCAACGAGCGTTATCCGCACATAGGGGTGGAGTTCCGGATACCATGACTTGAGGTCTTCCTGTGCGCGACGGGTCAGTGGCCCCCAGAAAAGCGCAGGAAGAGGGTCGTACCTCAAGGAAATCGTGCAACTCTCCTGCCATCTCAATACCTGTCGGACCGCCACCGACCACAACCTGTTCGCACCCGCACCACCGGTGTTACAGTAGAAGTAAACCAACGTGACGTGTCAACATGATTATAGTGCCGAGTGGCCAGTAAGCCGACTTTGTTCCGCTGTACAGCCCATCAAAGATAAACGTACCATATGTAATAGCCGCCGCTTCTCTTCTTCGCTCGTGCCAGGGAAGGCAGCTGTTTCAATGCAATCTAAAAAGCGCGCCTGCATCTAATGACGCGACCATGTCAGAGGCATCCGTCACCGCTTGGTGAGTGCGGTGGAAGGCCTTATTCGGCAGTGACTACACACCTGTTCCGCATCGCCGATCTCCTTCATGAAACACGCACGTTCCTTCACACCTGGGATTCCGAAAGTTTGTGTTTCCGCTCCGACGGCATATACCAAATAGTCATAAGGAATCGTCCGAGTTGGTTCAAGTGGGCGGAGCGGAGATGTATCTGAAGAGCAAATTGCTCGGACCAGCACACACGAAGCAGCCATGGCCACGTACCTGTGAAGGTGACTGTCTTGTTCACGGGCTAGCATGGGTTGCGTCAGTCGTTAGCGCCTATACGAAACAGTCGCGCATACATCAACATTCGTAGCCTCTGCCTCTATGACGGACACTTGGCGAGCCTTGTGACGGGCAACATAGCGAGTTGCTACGAGTAGGGATAGGGCGACGTCAGCGCCACTTGGCTCAGTGGCTGATATAAATGACGTACGTTGCAATATCGATTTAGCGCCTAGCGTACCGACCGCGACAGATGGCAGGAGAGGGGTGAAGAGGAAGAAATTCTTCGGACTAATAACGATCTGTAGTGAGAATAAGATGACACGTAGACTTTGCGCTAGAATGGCACACACGGTATTGTAATCGGTTGTGTCCAGACCCTTTAGAAGGCTAGTGGCACCCCACCCACTGCCGAGAATGACAAGAATTTTTTTTGAAGGATCAAGTGGAAGCTGAGGACCGGGGTTGCGATCCTTGTAGGTGATGTACCAAAACGTACCGGCGGCTGTGAGGGTTTGGGAAAGAACGAGCCATGAAGAACAAAACAAACTTGCCTCCGACGATAGTGACCAGCGTGACGCGACCTAGTATCTGCAAGAAGCCTCTCCATTTATTCCCAACGCGTGACTTTTCAAGCCCGAGGGTAAGATGAACGTGAGGAGGCAAGGGAATGCAGCACCCACCGAGTCCTGAAATGTGGACAGCGGGCGTGCAAGCTGTGAGTTGACGTGGGGAAGAACAGCACGCCGCAAGGGAAGCCTTGCTATTGAAATGGCTGCGAATAGAAAGGTGAGGTCTTCACTGCTCGACGACGACGACTCTGTTTTGCTTACCTCTGGCCGCCATCAGATGGGCCGGTGTCATCGTGCCAACTTGCAAGAAGTGTGATTAGTATTATGTAATTGCCGGAGCTGTGATTTTTTTGATGAGTGTGGCTGTGCAAGTAGCTAATTGGTAATGCCCGATTTGTGACTGCCGTATTAGGCAATACCTAACTGGATCTCTGCTCCGAGCAAGCACCGACGAGACGAGGGAGACACTTAAAAGCTAATCGCACACGCTGAAACACCATCTGCCAGACGTTTTTTCTTGCCATGTCAGTACGAAAGATTCCAATTCTAGGCAAAGAGTCTATCCACGTCGGGTTCAACCTCGTCCAGCACATCGCAGATACCCTCTTAGATACCCTGCCATCCTCGACCTATGTCCTGATCACAGACACTAACATCGCGCCCCTGTACTTGCAGCCGATAGCTGCTACATTTGCTCAGGCGACAGATGCTCACTTTCCAGACAAATCAGATCCTGCCAGGCCCCGCTTCCTCACTTACACCATCCCACCAGGCGAGACTACCAAGACTCGCGAGGGAAAGGCAGAGATAGAGGACTTCCTGCTTCGTCACAGATGCACCAGGGACACAGTTATCATCGCCCTTGGAGGCGGTGTCATCGGTGATCTTGTTGGCTTCGTCGCTGCAACTTTGTGTGTCATTCCCAACATTTACCACATCGCAGTATCTGATTCATCGCAGCATGCGTGGGGTACGTGTAGTACAAGTGCCTACTTCGCTTCTTGCTATGGTCGACTCCGCAATCGGTGGAAAGACCGCCGTAGATGCCCCCCTTGGCAAGAATCTCATTGGCGCATTCTGGCAGCCATCTTACATTTTCGTCGATGCTGCGTTCCTTCGCACGCTCCCCTTGCGAGAACTCGCAAATGGTCTCGCAGAAGTTATCAAGGTATTAACTCGTTGATATCAACCGTGCTCGATCTCACACACCCCTGCAGACGGCGGCTATCTGGGACGAAGCTGCCTTTGCTCTTCTCGAAGCAAATTCCTCCACGCTCCTCACATGTCTCTCCCCGTCCTCCCCGGCCCTCCATCTAGGCCACCCCCTCCTGACGTTGATCATATCATCCATCAACACGAAAGCTACGATCGTCTCACGTGACCCACGCGAAGCACACCTTCGGGGTCTCGTCAACTTCGGTCACTCTATCGGCCACGCTATCGAGGCACTCGTTACCCCCTATGTGCTCCACGGCGAGTGCATCAGTGTGGGCATGGTCCTGGAAGCGGAACTGGCCCGGGCAGCCGGTGTCCTCGGGCAAGTCAGTCTTGGTCGTCTGCGCCGGTGTATCGAGTCGTACGGCCTCCCATCTACCCTTTCAGACAAGCGAATCCTTGAAGCCGAAAAGCGTATCGTAGCGGCAGGGGGCCAAGCTATCTCTGTCGATGCTCTTCTTGATCGGATGTCAGTCGACAAGAAAAACGCAGGAAAACTGAAGAGGGTTGTCTTACTCGAGCGCATTGGGAAGACACGTGAGCTACGTGCTACTGGCGTTGCTGATGAAGATATCAGGAAGGTCCTCTGCCCCGCTATGCGTGTGGTAGCGGGAACCCCTAGTACCTATGTGAAACCACCTCTTCCACCTCCAATGCTGGAACTTCCCGACGCAGACCCAACACAGCTGTCGGGGCCTGTTCCCAACGCACTTATCCCCCAAGCTTCATCAGCTACTCCGGCTCCAATCGGAATGCCTGCCACAGATGTTCCCCACATTACACTCTCGACCCCCGGCTCTAAGTCCCTTTCCAATCGTGCCCTCGTCCTTGCCGCCCTTTGCAAGGGGACATGTAGACTGAAAAACCTCCTTCATTCTGACGATACCCAAGTCATGATGGCGGCTCTCGAACAACTCAAGGTGTGTTTTGAGGCATCTTGTACTTTCGCTTGCTGATTGCTCTTTCAGGCTGCTACATTTACATGGACTGACAACGGGGAGACGCTGGTCGTCAGCGGTTCCGGCGGTGCTTTGTCTGTCCCACCACCCGGCACGCAATTGTATCTTGGCAACGCAGGAACAGCTGCGCGGTTTCTCACAACCGTCTGCACCATCGTTTCTCCCTCGAATACAACGGACGCCTCTCAAGCACAGATGACGGAAATTACCGGAAATGCGCGCATGAAGCAACGTCCAATCGCACCACTCGTCACCGCCCTGCGGGATGCAGGTGCCACCATCGGCTACCTCGAATCCGAGGGTTGCCTCCCTCTCTCCATCAAGCCCTTGGGTAGACTTCCTGGTGGTACGCTCATGCTTGACGCATCGCTTTCGTCCCAGTATGTCTCTTCTATTCTACTCTGCGCACCCTACGCTGCAGAGCCGACCACACTGACTTTGACGGGCCCTGCCGTCATATCGCAATTGTACATCGACATGACAATCGAACTCATGCGTGCCTTCGGGATTGAGGTCACTCGCGAACGTGACGCTGTTAGCGGTGACCTCTTAAATGTTTATCACATACCCAAAGGAACATATCGTGTCCCCGAGAGCGGCGAGTTTGTGATCGAAAGCGATGCGAGCAGTGCAACGTATCCCCTTGCGATTGCAGCCATTACTGGCACGCGGTGCACCCTCGCCAACATCGGTTCCTCCTCGCTGCAGGGCGATGCGCGCTTTGCAAAGGAAGTTCTGGAACCGATGGGGTGCGAGGTCGTACAAACAGAGACAGAGACGACTGTCACCGGCCCACCGAAGGGCAAGCTGAGGGCCAGAGGAGAGGTCGATATGGAGCCCATGACCGATGCATTCTTGACGGCATGTGCAGTCGCAGCTGTAGCAACAGATGGCGGTGTAGGCGAGGGCGCAGAATCCGGTGAGGGCAAGAACGTGACGAGGATCAGGGGTATTGCCAATCAGCGTGTCAAGGAGTGCAACCGGATCCAGGCGATGATGGATCAGTTGGGTACGTTCTAGCCTTTCCTTATACCTCCGCTCCTTCTCATCCGCCTTCCACAGCAAAATTCGGCATTTCAACGCGAGAACTTCCCGATGGACTCGAAGTTTACGGTCGCCCGCTCTCCCAGCTCACGCGCGGTGCTTCCATACACTGCTATGATGATCATCGTGTTGCAATGGCCTTTTCCGTCCTCGCCACTGTTGTTGATGGAACTATTTTGGAGGAAAAGCGGTGTGTAGAGAAGACGTGGCCCAACTGGTGGGATGATCTCGAAAATAGGGTGAGTCCCATACATCTTGTATATCCCCTATACACATTTGCCGGTGAGAATATGCCTCTAATAGAAGATCCCTTATAGCTCGGGGTCAAAGTAGAAGGCGTCGAACTACCCAAACCTGTGAAGACTAACCCAGCCCCGAAGACTCCTGAAACAATTCCAAGTATCCTTCTTATTGGCATGCGTGGCTCCGGTAAAACGTACATCGGGGAGCTCGCTGCACGCGCCCTCTCCCTTCCCCTACTCGACTTCGATGTCGAATTTTCGCGCGAGTGCAAGCAACCATTGCGCGACTTCGTCCTGAAGCAAGGCTGGGCAGAATTCCGGAAAGCGGAGATCGCGCTACTCCTCAAGTTAATGAAGACACATGGGCGCGGGTGGGTAGTCAGCCTTGGAGGTGGTATTGTAGAGACTCCGGAGGCACGCGAGGCGCTCAAGAAATACGCCAGGGCAGGCGGATGTGTCGTATGGGTACAGAGAGAGTCCGAGGAAATTGAGCGGTACTTGGAAAGCGAGACGGAGAGACCAGCATACGGTGAGCCCGTGCGTGCCGTTCTTGAGAGACGCAACCCCTGGTTCGAGGAGTGCGCAAACTACATCTTTGGGAATCACACAGCACTTCCTGATGGCGCGTCTGCAATGGGGTCGGGAGCGCTAGAGGCCGAGGTAACGAGGTTCTTTGGGCACGTATCGGGTTTGCGACCAAACCTAGTCCCGAGCAACGCCAACCGTTCTTACTTCCTTTCTCTGACCTACCCCGATGTGACTCCCGCACTCCCCAAGATTTCTGAGCTCACCACGGGCGTTGACGCAGTGGAGTTGCGCGTCGATCTTCTACGTGAATCCGGGTCGCAACTTCCTAGCCCTACATACGTGTCCTCTCAACTATTCGCTCTTCGGCGCGTAACGACACTTCCAATTGTCTTTACTGTGCGTACTGTATCTCAAGGAGGAGCATTCCCGGACGATGCGCCAGCTGAGGCGGGGAAGCTCCTCAACCTCGCGCTGCGCCTCGGTGTGGAATATATTGATGTCGAAACGACCTTGCCGCCTTCACTCATTCAAGAGATTACTACTTCGAAAGGCCCTTCACTTGTCATCGCGTCGTTCCACGACTGGACTGGCTCAGTCACTTGGGACGGTGTTGCCATGAAAGCACAATACGAAGCAGCTGCACAGATCGGAGACGTTGTGAAGCTTATTGGCAGGGCGAACAATGTGTCCGATAACTTCAAACTACAGGAGTTCGTCGCGAGAGTAGCTGAAGCATCGAAGCCCATCATTGCGATCAACATGGGAACAGCGGGACAGCTGTCGCGTGTGCTCAACAAGACGCTGACACCGGTCACCCATCCTCTTCTTCCTACGGCAGCCGCTCCTGGTCAAATGTCCGTATCGGATATTCATCGTGCGTTGCACCTCATTGGACTACTTCCTGCGCGCCGCTTTTTCCTGTTTGGTAGCCCAATTTCCCGTTCACCTTCTCCGACACTACATAACACCGGCTTCGCTGCTCTCGGGTTGCCACACACATATGGGCTCCTTGAGGGTGAGAGTATCACTGATGAAACGCGCGCTGTCCTTGCGAGCCCCGATTTCGGGGGAGCAAGCGTGACGATCCCGTTGAAGCTTGATATCATACCCGTTCTTGATTGCCTTACGGCCGCCGCGACTGCTATTGGTGCTGTCAACACCATTATTCCATGCCAGTCCTCCTCTCCAGAGAAACCTCGCCTACTCTTGGGCGACAACACGGATTACGTTGGTATCATAAGTGCCATTCGCGCGGTGTCTCCTGGGCTCCGTGCCCCTGATTCGGCACTAGTACTGGGAGCAGGTGGAACGGCCCGCGCGGCTGTTTATGCGCTGCACACGCTCGGTGCAAAACAGGTATATCTATACAACCGTACGCATGCTAAGGCTACTGCTATCGCCGAGGCATTCCCCAGCGTACCCATTCTGGTGCTCGACAAGCTTGGCAGCTGGCCCGCGAGTGCGCCGAGCGTAGTTATATCCACGGTTCCCGCTGATGCAACGACTATCAAAACCGGGCCTGGCCTTGAGGGTAAGGTGTATCTTCCCTCCAACCTCTTCGACAGTTCTATCAAAGGCGTCGTTGTCGATATGGCCTACAAGCCTGCGGAGACTCCTCTGCTGGCACTCGCGAAGCACGTCGCGCCCACGTGGGCTCGTGTACCTGGTGTGGAGGTTCTACTGGAACAGGGGTACGCACAGTTCGAGCATTGGACAGGAAGGCGGTGCCCAAGGGAAATTGTGAGGGAAAAGGTTCTGCAGTGGTATAATGCTTGAAGCGATGTTTCGGACTCCTTGCCTCCGGTTCATGCGGTAGAAACAATTAGAAACTTTTGGTCTGTTCACAACTTGGTTGTTACATCTCTTTGTCCTTCGTAAATTTTGTTACTCCGTAGTTTACTGCTGTGTCGACAGAATTAACCGGTAGAATACTAGTCTCCGTTCAACGTTTCACGTCCACGCCCCTCCGCTGACCGGCGCCCCGAACCTTCATTGTACAGCATAGGCAGAGGCTGCTTACGGGTATTAGATTGGCCTTACCACATATCCCCGTTCGCTTAATCGCCTCAAGGTACTGAAACGTTCGGCCTACCCATACCGCAACGATATCAGTCACACACCGGCGAGTTGGATGGAAGAGGAAATGGTGAGCGTCATCAATATGGGAAAGCTCTAACGATCAGTCTTCCTACACATGTCATCCCCGCTTTAGATATTGAAGGACAAATGGATGAATGGAAGTCCCGCTTCATTCCTTTGGGCTAATACTTGCCGATAGCACGTTTTGCATGACCGAACAGCACCCTGATCGGTAGCGATTCGGTATGAACGATAGATCTCAAACTACATGAAACTGCCAAGGACAATCAAGGGGCTGAACCATGTGGGTCAGAATGATCACATATATTGGTGTGTATGCCTAGTCCATTATCTGGATTCAAGATGCTTCCAAGCTGTACGTGTTCTTCTCCAGCTAGTACCAGGTGTTATCGTGGAGATCAGGTGGGAGAGAACACTGGACACACCTCGGCTTCCAACACTTTCCGTACCCTGTATTCCTCGTCTGCTTTGATCACGAGGTGGTAATCGTCCAGATCCTCTATGATGAAGGGATCTTTCTCATTCATCGAAAGCAAGATTTGCTTGACGGCAGAGTCGCTAAAGAAAGAAACCAAGCTATCTTCGGATACTCAACGTTTTTGTGATCGTGGTGAACTCACCATGTGAGAAGGACACCTCCATTGTTCTTAGAACAGTGTTCTCATATAGACAGTTGTGAAAACGTACCCTTAATCGCCCTCATCCCACGGAGGATAGGATAGAGAACCGATCAGTGCGGTTCAACTTTGAGTTCGGCTAGTGAGGTTCCCGGACGAACTAGCATGCTACGTATGAGGAATTTGCCACACACCTTCCGTTGACGGTGGAACTGGAACGGACAAACGTGTCTCCGTACCTGCCAGTATCCAATGGGAGTGGCAAAACGCAAGATCTGAGTCAAATTGCGATGCGAGCTGTTTTCCTGAAACTGCCCAATGGCACGTATGTATTAGCAGCGCCTGTCAAGCTCCCCTTGGCTTTTTCTGCGAGCCGACTATCTGCCACGACCACCGCCTGCTGTCGCTCTTTCACCGCAAACAGGATGCCTCTACCTTACGTTGACGAGATTCTGTAAGTGGCCGACGTTAAATACTCTGCCGACTCATGTTCGGCCCTCAGACCAAACGCCATCCCCCGACCAGTGCCTATGCCCGTGCCAACAGTTCCTGCAGCTCCCAGTAAGTCAGCCCGAACATGGTCTTATAGACGGTCGACGCATATTGATCCCTCTCAGTAACGACGGCCAAACTATCCGTCATCGAACAGTCAAAGCGCCTAGCCGCTTATACTGCGGTCGACCAGCACATTCTCCCCAAACACAAGGTTCTGAGATATGCATCTTCTGCATATACCGACTAACGAGTTGTTTAAATTCAGGTCATTGGCATTGGCTCAGGTCTGATTTAATATCTCTGCGGCCAGCCTATGGCATTGTCTAAGCGTACTATTTAGGATCCACCGTGCCATATGTCGTTGAGCGCATCGTACAACAAGGCGAGGAACTGAACAAGGGCCGCGTGTTTGTTCCCACCGGGTTCCAGTCTAAGGAACTTATCGTAGAATCAAAACTGTCTCTCGGCGATGTTGACCAATTCCCCACGATTGACGTGACAATAGACGGGGCCGATGAGTCCGTGTGGTGCCTTCTCAGTATACCAAGTTCACCAACTGACAGCTGCGCGCTACAGGGTTGACAGCGAATTGAACTGTATAAAAGGAGGTGGTGCGTGTCATCTGAGGGAGAAAGTACTTGCAGAAGCCGCAGAAACGTATCGTCATTTCCACCAATAATTTGCTCTGTTCTTACGCACCCCCTAGGTTCGTGCTGGTTGCAGACTACCGGAAAAACGTCCAATACCTGGGAACTAACGTAAGTTTGCCAGTCTAGTATGGATGACATCATACTTGTTTACTCATCTTTTCGACATCAGTTCCCGGGTGTTCCCATAGAAGTCGTCCCTTTCGCATATGCCAAAGTACTGCAAAATCTGCATCACAGGCTCGGTTCACCGAAGGCGACCCTCCGAATGGCCAAGGCCAAAGCCGGTCCAGTGGTTTCGGATAACGGCAACTTCATCATTGATGCACCGTTCTCGCTGGAGGCGATGAAAGACCCCTTCATGGTATGTGAGCGCGACAATCGTCACTATTTGACACTAATCCTGTATAGCTTATGGCAAGAATAAAGATGCTTACGGGTGTAGTGGAAGTTGGTCTATTTTGTCATATGGCTCAGGCTGCCTACTTCGGAAATCAGGTAATTTATCACCATCTTCGATGTGGGAGGTCTGCTTAAATCATTCGCGCAGGATGGAAGTGTTACAGTAAAGAGCAGGTTAGAAGGGGAGGTTATTGAAGAAACTATATCTCCAGCTTAATCTTGCATGGGGACCTTATGCTCTGCAGAACATTGCAGAAAGATACATTGAATTCTTTTTCCCTGTATTATTGTCGAGTCTTGGATCTGTATTCTGATCTGTTTGAATAGAATTTTCTCCCAGAATCACCCACACGTTGACAGTCTATGGAAGTGGTTTTTCCCTATCCGTTTGATGAATAACATTGCCTCTTTGGCCACGCAAGCATGGGTTTCTCCATGACCCTTTCGTCATTGCTCGGTAGTGTATGGCGAGGTCGGTCGTGATGACACGGTTCTACCCTAAGGCAACGCGGCTCACGCCAGATGCTGATGAGTACTCCGGTCACCCACCAAAGCCCGAGCAATGTAGTATGTGCCTGACTTGCGGAGACCACAAAGTGTAGACGTATGACATCTGACTTTGCCCAAGGTTCGTCCACCATGCACTAACCTCCAGCAGATTTACAAAATAATACGTGTACGTACAAGCAAGTCTACCCCCAGGTGAGTACAAAGTCGACGACGTCCAACCGCCTAAAGCTGTCCTAAACATCGAGAGGGGGCAAGTACTATTAAGAGCAACGCTCGGTTACCACTGGTTCGGACACATGTCACATCTCGCAGGTTATATTCAAACACCGACGATTGGAGTCGAAGTCAAAGTTGCAACTGTACGCTCAATATTCGATCCCTGCAGCAGCAAACCCGGCACCAGGGTGATGGTCGACTTGTCGTGCTCAAATCTGCGTAACCACTAGTCTTTTGAAGTTCACTTTTATGCATTGATGAACTGTAAAATATTTGGCATGTAGGTACTGAATACATGTGATCAAAATGTGTCCGAACCAGTGGTAATGGAGTGCACGAGATGTTCTTTTGGTGAACCGTAAGAGATGACGATTTAAGTCAGTCTAGATGTGGCATGTCAGACTCGTAAGGGCGTCAAACATAAGTAACTAAGTATCATAATTCATGACACTTCTAATCGGAGGAACTCGTCCCTCCATAATGATTTTGAGGGTATTGGGCAAGTAAAGGAGCAGAGGGTTCGACGCTTTGATGCGAAAGCGAGCCAGCGTCTGCGGCTTGTTTCGCCCATCTGCTCGCCGCACGAAGTCTTCTTCCGAAGACATACAGAATAACACCAGTCGGGAGCCCTATACAGCTGATGCATGCCAACAACACGTTTGCATTGCGTATACCCAAAGAAGTGTATAATGGCAACCCGACACTCGGCAGAACAGTCGCCGCAATATTCCGGACGGCAGAGTTTGCAGCAATGGCGGAGGCGGACATCGTTGGGTAAAGGTCAATGTAATAGTTGAACAACGAGAGCTGTAAGAGGGTCATTCCCATCCCAATTAGGACACCAGAAAATATGGGGAAAAAGTAGTGTACGTCCGGGTGCGCCGAGAACGTCAACCAGAACAATCCGATAGGAGTGAGAAGTGATGCAAGAAGAACGCCGGGTAGACGAGCTTCGGGCTCGATCTCTGATTTACCGCCCGACTCGATCTGGATTACGCGCTGGCGCGCCTCGTACTGCGGTTTGTGATACCCGAAGTATATAAGAACGCCAAGTACGTTTCCAATGAATGGAGAAACGAAGACCAAGCCTGTTTGTTCTCGGGACATCGAATAATGAGAGTCGTAGATGTGCGGGTATGCCTGGGGGGGGAATTAGATATGAAAACGGCCGGCAAGACCCCACGCACCTCAAGAAGGAATAAAAGCCCGTAGACAAAGGAGTGGTACAATGTCGTCCAGATCATAATAGGTTCGTTACGAAGCATGGCTAGACAAATGGCAAGGTAATTGAGCACATGATACAAACAGGTGAATCGGAGAAAAGCACTCACTGATCGGCGTAAGTAGTGCTCTTCTCCAAATCTTGGCCTTGGAGAATTGTATTTCCCCGATATCGGGGACGACACCTTTGGATTCGGCTATCTTCCTTCGAATTGTTGTGGGTTCGGTCTCGGGAACAAACAATATTGTGACAGCAGCAAGAACTCCACCCCAGATCGTTATAAAACCGAATAACCATCTCCAGGGAAAAATTGGCCCGAGGGAAGAGGACGGGACAGGCCCGATGGTTGGGGCACCCTGTAATACGAGTGTAAACAACGCAACCACAGGACCACGCTCCTCAGGTGTAAAAAGATCTGCCACTGAGCCACCGTAGATCGAGAAGACGGGACTTCCGAGCAGGCCCATGAAACCCCGGCAGATCAAGAGAGTGGATAGATTTGGCGAGAACGTTGAACCGAGGCTAAAGACTGGTAAAACTCAGCGTATCCCTCGAAAAGTGCGGCGAAGTTGCATACCAACGAAACATGTAGATAAGATGATATACACCGGTCGACGACCATAAAGTTCACTCAGCGGTCCTCCGAAGAGGACTCCAAATACAGCACCCTAGGAAGTGGATCAGGATGATGACTACATGGGAGAAAAGCTGAGCCCACAAGATTGTATAGCCCCACGCCTAAGGTCGCAACGGTGTTCGATGTGGCAAACTCGTCCTGTATCTGACCTTGCACTCCGGACTATATATCAATAACTGATCAGTGCAAAGAAAGGGTTACCATGAGCTGCCACAAACTCACATAGAACGTGCTGGCGATATCACTGAGAGAACAATTATCATCATTTAGGGGTGCAACGCAGTGCCGAAGCTGAGCCCCTTACATGGGAGCGATGAGGTTCCAAATTATGAGGGCTATCGTCCACCGTTTCCGTTTGCTCCACTGGCGAGGATCGTACTCAGAAGGAAGAACGCAGGACAGGAGCTGGGACATGGCTTCAACTGAGGACCTGCAATTCCTGCCATCGTACCACGCCCATTTTATATCAAATCTCCACCATTCTTATCAATTGAAAATTCTGTCAGGCCATTTGGATACGAGCAGGTACCGAAGTACGACACAGTGAGCTGAAATTAATTGGGCATTGCTCGAGTGTTGCGAGTGAAGTGTATTGATAGATCAATGGGGAAATCGCTGCGCGCATTTTCTGATTCGACCGGTTCTCTAACTTGTCGTAATCGCAGGGCACCCGTAGGAGGGCCATTCAGGAAGGGAACGCAAAAAATGGAGCCGTTGAAACGCACGTTTCTCTAGCTGCAATATTAACCGACTCAGACCGGCAGTGGGCTTTGTGTCGTTGCAACGGCCAGCTCACCAATGTTTACTCAGAGGCACATTTTTAGCGTTTTACCAGTGGAGCTGCAGTGAGTGAAAAAATCCTATTACTTACCAGCCACGACTTTATGTAACTACGGTCGTCGGTTTCCAACATTCCTCTAAGCAGCAGCACTCGATATTAATTGATTAATCTTGAAAACAAGGTGTATAGTTTTTCGGGTTAGCCAGGAACGTGGCCTGTGTGGTGGGAACTAGTTGCCAGCGAGGCTTGTAAGACCCTGAACTTTTCACCACCACTATTGGCGCACAGTCGCGCGGCCGAGCTCGATGCAAATGTGGCTTCTGGCTACATCGCCTACCGTATCCTCGGCACGCGGCTCCCAAAAATACTCGGTGCTAGGCCACCCTCTGTACATGTTTTCTTTATGGTTTGAAGGAAGTAAAATACCGACTATTCTGCGGCTTGTTGCACTGTGGGAGGGTGGTCCTGACCCACGATGATCTGAGCCTGATAGGCGCTGCGAGAAGTTACTCGAGGTAAATTTAGAGGCTAATACATAACTGAAATGCGTGTAGTATAGTACGTTGGACACCCTTACACGCAGTCACTGACACCTGTCCTTCTCACTTTCAAGTTCCAGCTAGTTGGTGAGGTCCAGCTGGTTGACGATAATGATAATCTTATCTAATCGAGCTTAAGATGTCAACGCAACCCCGTTTTTTTACGTGGTTGTCGAAGGAGACAGGGATGGCAGCGCTGGTACCAGAGGTGCAACAGACCTTGATGACCTCAGTGACCACACTTCGGGGACAAAGGAGATCGCAGCCAAGTACGAGGGAAATAAGATTTTGAGTCCCTCACTTCGCTCGTAGAGGCCGGGATTCGAGAACACCGGGTTCCGGTGCACCGCAACCAATCAATCAACGGACGCTGCGTGATTCCCACTTCGACACTCCCTTCGGACTCCAAATTGGCTGGCTCAAACCCCTTACTCCCCAGTCCTTAGAGGTACCGGTCGCCGGGCTTGTCCACGTCGATTTTGACCCTCGCAACCCTTCGTCCGACGATTTTCTCCTGCAGCAACTCGCACGTATCTTCGTATACTAAACAGGGTCGCAAACGAATGATTCGGAAGACCAGTTGAATCGACACCATGGCTCGATTGTATCCTAAGCCAGCCCGACTCATGCCAGAATTTCGAAACCAACAAAGGAACGGATGTACGGGAACTCTGTCTTTGTCCGTCATGCACTACTAACCTCCAGCAGATTTACAAATTGATACTTATACGTACAAACAACCCACCGCCAGGTAAGTACAAAATCGAGAGCGTGTAAGTACAACAAAGAGCAGTACAATCCAACTTAAGGATTTATTTTAGTGAACCGTGAGAGACGATGTTTTAAGTCGTGATATGGCATATCGGATTCGTAAGGACGTTGAACAGAAAGCAACTGTCATGATGCATGACACTTTTACTCGAAGGAGCTCGTTCCGCCGTAATGATTTTGAGGGGATTGGGCAAGCAAAGGAGCAGAGGGTTCGATACTTTCATGCGGAAGCGAGCCAGCATCCGTGGATTGCTTCGCCCATCTGCTCGCCGCACGAAGTTTTTTGCCGAAGACGTACAAAGTAACACCAGTCGGGAGCCCTATGCAACTGATGCATGCCAACAACACGTTTGCATTGCGTATACCCAAGGAAGTGTACAATGGTAACCCGACGCTCGGCAGAACAGTCGCCACAATATTCCGGACGGCAGAGTTTGCAGCGAGAGCAGATGCTGAGGTCGTTGGGTAAAGGTCAATGTAGTAGTTGAGCAACGAGAGCTGCAAGAGGGTCATTCCCATCCCAATCGGGACACCAGAAAATATGGGAAAAAAGTAGTGTATGTCCGGATGTGCCGAGAACGTCAACCAGAATAACCCGAGGGGAATGAGAAGAGATGCAAGAAGAAGACCGGGTAGATGAGCTTCGGGCTCGATCTCTGATTTGCCGCCGGACTCGATCTGGATCACGCGCTGACGAGCCTCGTACTGAGGTTTGTGGTATCCAAAGTATATGAGAACGCCAAGCACATTTCCGATGAATGGGGCAATGAAGACCAAGCTTGCTTGATCTCGGGACATCGAATAATGAGAGTCGTAGATGTGTGGGTATGCCTAAGAACGATCTAGACCTGAAAATGACAGATAACAACCCACGGACCTCGAGAAGGAGGAATAAGAGCCCATAGACAAAGGAGTGGTACAACGTCGTCCAGATTATGATAGGTTCATTACGAAGCATGACTGGGCAAAGGCAAGGTGAGCACATGATACAGACGTACTGAGGGAGGGGAACACCCACTGATTGGCGTAAGTAGTGCTCTGCTCCACACCTTGGCCTTGGAGGATTTCATTTCCTTGACATCAGGGACCATACCTTCAGCTTCAGCTATCTTCCTTCGAATTGTTGTAGGCTGGGTTTCGGGAACAAACAATATCGTGGCAGCAGCAAGAACTCCACCCCAGACGGTTATAAAACCTAGTAACCATCTCCAAGGGATTGTGGGCCCCAGGGAAGAAGACGGGACAGGCCCGATGGTTGGAGCACCTTGTAACACAAGTGTAAACAACGCAGCCACAGGGCCACGCTCCTCAGGTGTAAAAAGGTCTGCCACCGAGCCACCGTAGATCGAGAAGACGGGACTTCCGAGTAGACCCATGAGACCACGGCAGATCAGGAGAGTAGATATATTTGGCGAGAGCGTCGAACCAAGGCTGAAGACTGGTAAAACTCAGCATATCCCTCAGGGAGGGAGAAGAAGCTACATACCAGCAAAACATAGAGATGAGACGATGTATACCGGTCGACGACCATAGCGTTCACTCAGTGGTCCTCCGAAGAGGACCCCAAACACAGTACCCTGGGAAGTGGATCAGGATAATCACTATACAGGAGAAAAGCTGAGCTCGCGAGATTGTAAAGCCCCACGCCGAACGTCGCGAGGGTGCTCGATATGGCAAAGTCATCCTGTATCTGGCCTTGTACTCCAGACTATATAGCAATAAACGATCAGTGCAAAGAAAGGACTACCACGACCTTCTGTGAACTCACATAGAACGTACTGGCCATATCACTGAAAGAAAGGTCATCGTCATTTGGGAGTGCAACGCGGTGCTGAAGCTGAACCCCTTACATGGGAGCAATGAGGTTCCAAATAACGAGGGCTATCATCCACCGTTTCCGTTTGCTCCATTGGCGAGGATCGTCCTCAGAAGGAAGAACACAGGTAAGGAACTGGGACATGACTTCGACTGATTGATCTACAAGTCTTGCCATCGCACGGCGAGCATTTTATATCATGTCTCCACCATTCTTGTCAACCGATAATTCTGTCAGCCGGTACCGGAGTAACAAGCTGAAATTGAGGGTTGCTTCGCGAGTATTGCGGATAGTGGAGTATGTTGCTGGAATGATCGAAGGGGAAATCACTGCGCGCATTTTCTGATTCGACCGTTTCTCCCGCCTGTCGTAACCGCAGAACACCTTGCGTTTGGCAATGAATTGAGGAACGAGCGTTCTTCCCGCACTGTGAGAGAATCATTCAAGAAGGGGATACAAAATTTGCAGTCATCAGGACACACGTTCCTCAGATTGCGGACCGGCAGTGAACTTTATGTCATATTGCAACGGCTGGCTGGCTGGATAAGTATTTACCGGCCAGGACTTGGGCTCATCGATTGCTTCTTTTTCATGTCAGGAACGTAGCTGTGTCACGTGAAATGACTTTGGGTCTTGACAGTTTATCGCAGCAGATATCTGGTAGAGATTGGGATTGGTTGGCTGTTAGGCTTGTAAAGACCCTGAAGATCACTGGCGCACAACTGCGGGTCGCCCTGCGGAGTTCGATACCTTCTCCCCATTTTCAAGTGTCAGCCTGTTAGTGAAGTCCATCTAGAGTTCAATGTTGACGCTGGTCCATCATCGATCATCTCATCATCTAATCTAGCATACTAGGATGTCCGATCTTACGGTCTTGGGTCGAGGCTCGAAGCAGACGGAAATGGCGGCGCAGGCACCAGAGATGCAACAGACCTTGATGACCCCAGTGATCTCACTGAATGAAGCACAGGAGATCGTAGCCGAGTACGAGGGGGATGAGTTCTCCGTCACTTCGCTCGTGGAGGTCGGGAACATCGGGTTCAGGTGCGTCGCAACCAGTCAATCAAAGATGCACTCAACAACTGAGCTGAACTTTTCATGCTCGTATCGTAGCTACACCGCATCGAGAAGGGTATACGATATCGCCTTGACCAATGCCTCAGCGCGCTACCTGCTCGTCATTTTGCCACTCCATTCCGACTCCGAACATGACTCGTCACCATCCATCACGAACACTCTCCAAGCGCTGTCTGCCCTGTTAACGAAGATCGCGTCCTGTACGAATGTGCCAGTGCCCAAGCCTGTCGCTCAAGATAGTTCAGGTGGCAATGGACGGTGGGATTTCAGTTGGCTCCTACTCCTCATTCCCCGGTCTTCAGAGGCACCGGCGAGCATGTCCACGTCGATTTTGTCACTTGCATCCCTTCGCCCGACTCTCTCCCCGCGGCAACTCGCACGTGTCGAGCTGCGACTCGGCACGTATCTCCGTGCACTACACGGGATCACGAACGAATGGTTCGGGAGACCAGTCGAGGAGGAAGCGGAGGAGGAGAATTGGTCAAAGTACAGCTGGCAAGACACATTCGTTCTCCTGCTGGAAGAGTTGATTGGAGAACTATGCGAGTCACCGAGCGGAGGGTCAACCCGCTTTGATCTGCGCGAGGAACTAGGGATCGACGTGGAAGAGCTACGACGATATCTTTCTCGTGCAATAGGGTCGTATTTATTCGACGACGTTGAATCGCCTGGATTAATGTGGGTTACGGGAAGCGAAGCGGATGTGTTGGTATCCCTTTCTGAGAAGGAAGGAACGGAAATTGAAGATGAAATAGGGGCAGAAGCGGATATCGCATATTTGCTGCCAACATTCTCACATGCGTTATGGGGCGATCCATTGATGGAATCATGGTTCGTGCCACCTGGACCAAGTGAAGCTATCAACGAGGGATATTTTGGGGGAGAAGGCAGCTTAATCGTATTTCCGAGACAGAAGACGAAACGGGTGTGGTACACCATATATCTGGCATTGCTTGTGTTGATGGAAGAAAGGAGAGGAGGGAAGATCGGTCAGAGGGAGACGATCGGCCACGGCGAAGATAACACTGGAAGGAGTAAAGTGCAATGGGCAAGGGAGATCCTCCCTAAATGTGTAAAGGCCCTGAAGGACGCACCTTATTATTAGAGTGCTACCGGAGAGTGTGGATACCAGACATATCTGAGAGAATGTAGCCGTCATAGAGCTCCAATTTAATTATCAGTCGGTGCCATTTCGACGTCGTCATAAGGGGGTGATGGGGTTTGACCATCATCTCCAGTAAGTTCACCCTCGACCACTTCTTCCTCATCGCTGCTTTGTCCCTCATCTGCATCAATATCTGCGTCTTGCTCGACCTCAGCACCATTGACGACATCCATGGCTTGTTGAGCCATACGTGGATCCCACTGAAGCTCATCCGGTTCCTCCACCTCAACAGCGACACGTTGCTTCCACTCGTATTTATCGCGGAGCATGAGAACTGCGCGAACCGCACGTTCTGTACGATGGTCGTGAGCCTCGCGTATTTCGGCACACTCGCGAAGAACATCGTCGTTTGTAGCTCGGTGGGTTCTGGCGACGCCTGAGCTAGGTGCAGCAGGCTGACTACTTTGGTTTTGCACGTCGCCGCCACTGATCGCGAGTGCTCCACGCGTGACCATGCACTCCGCGAGACGACGCACGGTAGCGGTCTCCTGCTGAAGAACGTCTGTAGTCTGCTGGTTGCGGAGGAGTGGGATGATTTCGGTGTCGAACTGGATATCCGTCATGGCCACGCTAGGATGGAGTGCAATCTTCTCATACGGACTCTTTGTCTGTTGTGTCTGCGAGGAAGAATTAGGCTGAGAGGCGGCAGACAGCGATGATGTGAGAGACGAGTAGAAGCTGTGGGTCTGGGAGAGTATGAGATTGTACTTGGACAAAATGTCGGGCCACGGTGCCATCACATTCTGGCCGCCTGCTTCGAGGGTTCGCTGCAGGGTTTGGATGGACTCGATGATCTGGTTTGCCTTGAACTTCAGCGACTCGAGCTGGGATATTGGCAGCGAGTTTGGGTCGAATACCAGCTGAGGGGCTGGTCTGTTCGCCGGGGTCGACATCGCATGCAGTCACCAGCCAAGGCGTGTGTGACAGCGTGACATGCGTGACAGACGATATATTGGCGTCGCTCCTGTTTTCGTGGTTTCGTCGTCGACGATGTTGTCTCTGCTGGCACAGCGCGTCTCCGTCTCGCTTGCACCGCGCTTCGCCGCTGTCGTGCCTTTGGCGCGTCGCACCCTTCTGACCACCCCACAACTCCAGTTCCCCCCTCTCGCAACCAAATCCAAGAAGACAGCGGGCTCTGACGGATCCAAGAAGGCAAGCCCGCGGAAGAAGTCAACGAAGGAGACAAGGAAGCCGACCAAGGCCAAGAAAAAGTCGGGTGCGTTTATCTCGACTATCCAACCGCCCGTGTCGTCCTCACGCGTTGAACCAGCCACTACCCGCGTGAGCAAGGAGGATTTACCCCCCAAACGACCCAGCCCTCCATATTTCATCTTCCTTTCCAAGTTCAGGAAAGATACCCTTAGCAAGGGATCTCTCAGCGAGAGCGAGACTAACGTGGTGGAAATGACCAAGCGCGGCGGCGAAGCATGGGCTTCGTTGACCCAGGCAGAAAAGCAGGTCATTGGACATTTCCACTGCACCCCTTTCATGCTGACAGCTGGCCGTGATACAGCCTTATTTTGACGAGTACGAAGTCCTAAAGGCCCAGCATGCAAAGGCCAGAGAAAAGTACTTCAACGAGCTGGACCCCAACGTCCTCAGAGCCATAAATAAGCAGCGCAAGGCTCGGGGAAAACCAAAATTACGCGGTTTACCCAAGCAGCCTGCCCTGCTGACGCCATATATGCGGTGAGTCTGCTATACGTTTCTGGTTCACTCCTCCCTTATTATCTGCTCTCAAGGTTTGCTGGCGCTTTCCGCACTACTGCCGAAGGAAACGCGATTTTGCAAGACAAGACCAACAGCGAACTACCGGTGCTTCGGTTGGGTCGTATCGCAGGGGAACGGTGGCGCAGTATGTCGGACGAAGAGAAATTCGTACGTGCTCATTTCAGTATTGTCTCCTCCGCTAATATGCCATACAGCCTTACGTCGTTGCTTACAACCGGGACAAGGAAGCGTTGCAGAAGCAGAAGTCCGTGTAATGTCCATGTAACTAGGCTTACTTCCGAATTTGGCGGTACGACTATCCACTGGACAGATTGACGAGACGATACTTTCCAGTCCCACTCTTGTGTCTGCTTGGCCGCGATCTGGTGTCTTCTCGTCGTGACGCATGTAACTTAACTCCACTATTGCTCAGAATTTCCCTTGGATGGATCACACCGCAACGATATGAAGTCATAAACATAATGTCAAAAATATTGTAAAGTATCCTGTCCACCTCTACACCGGGGGAATACGATTTATAGAAAGCACCAAAGGGAATAATCGCGGGCAAAACCCATAGAATATTCGACAAGAATGTCAAGTCTCTGGAACAAACCAACAACCGCTCGTGGAGAGGGGTGGATGCACAATAACATAGCGAGGGTGTCTGACATGGGGTATTCCTCGATTGTCACAGGTTGAGTATGGGTGCCACTGACAACGAGAGAAAAGGTAAAGGTATACCGTCATCGAGGGAAGGGAAGTGAGAAAAGATAGGAAGGACGCACAGGAACGCGAACAAATTAGAAGGCGATTAGGGAAAAGGTTGGCGCGAGGAAGAGTCAATAGCTAGATAGAAAAATAAAGAAAAAGAGAACGAGTCGTCGCCAAAAATTTCAAATCGAGTTTTGGGTCCTTCGTCCTTCACAATCTCGTACATGCACGCTGCTGCCTCACCACCCGGCCCTCTCTTCGTCGTTCCAGATCTTCATCATTACATGTCACCGCACATCGCCGTCACAGTCTATGACCCGGAACAGCCCAAAAGATCAGCGTTAGTGCTGTCGAACAGAGCGCCACGAGAGTAGTGACCCATATGGCCCGACCGAGGAGGAGCTTCTTCACGTATGGCTCGCGGATCGTGAGGGTGCGGAACGGCGTCGATTCGGATTGCCCGAGGAAGACGAGGATTGGGTCCAACTCGTATTGATGTGAAATAAGAAATAGGATGGCAAACGTAAAGGGAAGGAAAAGCTGTCACAGGGCGATTAGGATCAACAATGCGTGACAAGGGTTCCAGTAAAAAAAAAGGTACGCACGAAAAATCGCTTCGACTTTGGCGTCACGTCGAGGAAGATAAGCGAGAATCCCACTGCGAGACCGATCCACAAGATAATTAATCCAAGGACTAGTCGCACAAGGGCTGACAGGGGTGTCAAATTTCCGAAAGCTTTGGCCCGAAGGAATCGCGGGAAGGCATCTTGTTCCATCGCGCGGAAGCAGTACTCCTTCTGTGCATGGAACATGTCAGGCACATGAGCCAACAGGTTGAGCTCGTTCTGTGTCTTGGGCTCTTGTGTGCTGCTCAGCGGAAATGAATGGATCCGAAGTGCTGGAGGAAGGTATATCTCGTGATTCTCTGGAGAGTTGACGGTATTAGGTGGGCAGAGATAGCGATAGAAGATACGCTCTGCGGAAGCGATGAGATCCATGCGAGTGATAGCTGCGGAGCGAGGGATGATTGTGGGTGCACGCGAGGCCCGCCTCATGAAAAAAGTAGGAGTGCGGCCTGAAAGGGAGAAAGGAGTCGTCGAACGAGGAGGGTCGTAGTCTGCTGTAGGGGATGATGCGGACGCGATTCGCTCCTTCTCAAGACCGGGAGTTCGTGAGGGAGGACTGGTAGAGCGCTCCCCGCTCTGTTTCTCCTCGCCCGTAGCGGCTAAAGCTTGTTTTTCCTGGTCACTTAAAAGGTCCGCTGTACTCGTAGTACTTCGTTTGGGAGGGCCGGGTTGAAGACCGACGACCGTGCCATAAATTGATCCACGCCTCCTAGCATAATCCCAATACTGAGGCCAGTCCTCCTTGATCGTTCGTCCCGACTTGCGGACGTCCTTGAAGTAAGCCCTGCAGAGATTCTCATGCTGTTGCACATCAAGCCAAAAGTCCAGTATGTCTTCTGCCCCTTCACGCTGAAGGAATAAGCTGCACGAATAGCAGTTAGACCACGATGCGAGGGAGCACCAAGGCGGGACTGACTAGAACATAAACAAGTCGACGGGGGGTCGCGTTCGTCTTGAGAGGACCTCTGTGAAGGATGGGAGCCTGTGCTTGCGGCTGTTGAGCCAGTCTTCCTGTTGTGTCTTCTGCTCGTCGTCCATGTCGTCGATTGGCTGTCTGTCAATGTCAGGGATGCCCTTGGGGAAGGGGCTTCGACCGTGTCCGGGTCACCAGCGAGCTGAGGGCGTTTCAAAGCAACCAACCAAGTTCCCACCCATGCGACCATGCAGTAGCCTATTATGTAAGCAATACAGCCGAACTTTACCCAGCCCACCGTCGAAACGCAGCCCCCTACCAAACTCATCTCCGTCATGTCCTCGTTTGCAAAGGCACTGTCGCCTACCATTCGTGAGGTCCGAATCCTGTTTTGTCAGTCGGGACTGGCCTCTGAAGGCACGCGGTAAGGGAAAAAAATGGGCTGCGGAATCAGACGGAACTGGCTCACCCAATTCCCAGTCAATTTGTCCTTGCAAACTACCCTGTCATCAAGAAACACAACCCAGACCTACCCATTCTGATCAGGGAGGCGAACGGAACACCAGCACGCGTTTTTGCACGTTTTGGTGCGTTCCTCGTTCATGTGTTGCAGCGCTAGCTGCGCCCCTTTCTAGCATTAGCTGAGTTGCTGTTGCTCCTATTTCACAGGGCGTGGTGTGGAAAAACACGTTGAACTAGATAATCTATCTACAGGGGATGTAGCCTCTAGAGTGGCCCATCTTTTGAACGGGTCATGACCACTTCGCTACCCTGTCGCCCACCGAAATGAGACGCCGTTGTTTACAATGTATAGCCGGGTGTGACACGCGGAAACAACTTCGCAGTTCGGAAGTCAGATAGTGTGGATGGCTCTGACATGGCTGTTCCTCGATACTCGTCTCGTACAGGTGAGTGCGTCTGCATGGTGTAGTGCGTAGCACTGCATTCTTGCCTCAAGGATTCGTTGCATTTCAAGCGAGGCGTTGTGGAACGCCTGTTTGCGCTAACATGGGGACCCGAGTAGTTGAACGTCCTAGTTCAACTTATCACATAGATCCATCCACGGTGATAAATATGTTTAATCAGATGATCGCTCATTATCGTGGAAACTCATCGGGAAACAACAGGGTGTGGTTAATACTTGCGAACCGAGATCTCCAGCGTTGGGCAAAGTTGAGATCGCACTCGCTTGGCTATTAGACCTCCCTCTTAGCTTCTCCCAGCACACCTTCGCCATACTTTCCAGCTTTCTCTACGCCGACCACCGCTTCGTGCTCCTTCCGAAGGTTTCGTATCATCCCAAATTGGTATACCAACACTAAAATTCCACAAATGATGGTTATGACTCCTGTGACAATGATGGTCGATTTCGCAGTCGTGCTAAAGAAACCTCCCTGAGTGCCGTAAACGTTCGTTAATGTTGAGATTACTCCCGCAAGGGAATTCAAAAGACCAGGGCTGATAACACGGAATGTCAGGCCAGCCTGGACTCGCAACGTGCACCACTCACACAAAGATTCGGTTCACGATCCAGATGTAATTATCGTGCCATCGCCACCACAACCAGATCATCCCGCAGCTTCCGATGCCTGTGCATAGCCACGCAATCACCAGCCTTTTCACGTGCACGAGGTTAGATTATTTTGCCATGTCAGATGAAATTGTACCCACAGTGGTACGTTGTTGATGATGGCTGCGATTTGATTCGCTGTGCTTCCAGCTGGTTGATCCTTCCATGAAGCAAAAGTTCCGGGGAACAGGATAAAACCAGCCAGTAATAGCCAGGTAAAGAACGACGCTAGTAACTTGTACAACTCTGGGATGTCGTCTAATGCAAGCAGCATCCTCACATAGCGCGTCTGTGTACCATTATCCATATTAGAGTGCAGGCCCGGCATCGAGTGCACGTCCGAAATGTGTCCGGGGTCTATGTGATGATGTGGTTCCTGCAGTTTATGAGGCGAATGTGTGGGTATCGTCTCGACGACGGTAGATGAGTGTGGCTGATGCAAACTGGTTCTGGTATGTGTCCTCGTTAAGACATGATGGTCGACTTCACCGCGATCCACGCTAGTGTGACGATCAGGAGATGGCTTGTAAACTGCGTAGTGCTTTCGGTCATTGTCAGGGCGCCCGGAAGTTGATGGATATCTGTGAGGAACGGGACTCGGAGGACGGGGTCGGGATCGGGAACGAGGACGATGTGAGTGACTATTAAGATGAACAACCCCATGGGTACCAGAATTGCTACGTGCGCGTGAGGTGTGGTGGGTATGGTGTGTCGATTGAGTGGACGCTTCATGTTGTCCGCTTGGTTGTCGTCGATGAGAACTATGATGTGACGTTTGACGTGTCAAATTCGAACGAGATCCAGCTGGAAATCTGTGTTGTGCGTGGGCTGAATAGCCCGGAGCATAGCCGGGGTCACCCTCGAAATCGGGAGATTGGGCGATGGGCATCACAGGTAGGGAAGGAAGATCTTTGTTAAGTGGGTCGTGCTGTGTCCCAAGAGAAGTTCCCTGCCTCGAGGAAGTGCGGTTATGAACTGAGAACGGCACTGGTGACGCGCTGGATGGCTGCAATATGGAAGCCTGCATGGACGAATCGCTCTGCGGTGGATCGCCGGTTTGGATCCACGTATTAGTACGAAGTAGAGCGCCAAGCGAAGGAGTGGATGGATCGTCAACGCATTCGACTGCTGCGTCGAGAGACCTCTGCGATAGTACGGAGTCGGTTACCCGACGAACAATAGGTCGTCGCACCGGACAGGAATGGCCTGGGTCACTTGCAACCCGTAGCTGGCGCTGCTGTGACGGCACGCCTGAGGTGGACATATATGTACTATGTAGTACTTCTGAATATCCTGGCACAAAAGAGAACAGGAAGAAACGTTCAGATGGCCCGGTAAATAGATTGTAGGCAACTTAGGAAGATTATTAGTACCCTGACATGGCACCGCATGGCCGTCATTAATCATTGTCGGCGCTCAGCAACTCCGGTCCCTGCTCATTTGATGACGTCGTCACTTCTATCCGGCGCGGGTGGTGTCTACTTCAACTCGACGACGGCTGGATCACAAGCATGACGGACTCAAATGCGAGAGTAAAGTGCTACATCAATACACGTGTGACTAAAGGAACAACTCGGATAACGACTGAAACCAGCTACACGTATCGCCAGGGTCTGAATGTTTCAGCCCTCGTCTGCACCGGTACCTCCTCGCTCTTCTGTTCCACAATCACCCCCGCGTTTCGCTTTCCAGCATCCCTCTCCCCCTCTATTCTCTCATGCTCCTTTCTCAGACGCCGTATGAACACCCACTGGTATATCACCACCAGAACCCCGCAGATCACGGCAACAGTACCTGTGACGACAATCGTTGCCCGCACATTTGAGCTGGACAAGTTGCCTTGCGTCTCATAGGCGTTCGTTACGGTAGAAATTACCCCCGCGACGGAATTTAGAAGACCGGGCCTGCGTGTCAGGAGATATCAGGTAAGTCACCACCCATAAACTTGTCCACTACTTACACGAAGACCCGGCTAACAACCCAAATGTAGTTTCGTCTCCACCGCCACCATAACCAGACCATCGCTGCGCTCCCAAGTCCTGTACACACCGATGCAATCACAAGTCTTTGGATATATAATCACTAAATTGTCACACAGGACACAGGAGACTTCCACCTACAGCGGCATGTTCCTGATGAACGTCGCAATCTCATATTCAGCAGTATCGGTCGGTCGAGTCGCCCACGATGCGAACGTCCCCGGAAACAGAACAAATCCAGCCAACAACATCCAGGTAGAGAGTCCCGCTATCACCGTGTACCAGTTCGGAATGTAGTCTATTGCAAGTATCATCTTCACGTAGGGAGTTTGCACGTGCTCATACAGGTTGGCATGTAGACCTGGCATTGAGTGCAAGGTTGAGATATGCGGAGGGATAGGCGCGGGGCAGTGAACTTCATGCAGTCCATTGGCCTCAGGATCAGCTTCAACGTCCGTAGGTTGGTGCGGTTGTTCGAAGCAGGCACTAGACACGGAGTGTGCTTTCCATGAAGCCTTGTGATCGGTCCCAACTCGAGTCGTGGCGACGGACCGACGGGCAGACGATGGCGTTGGGATTTCCTCAGGGTTTTGCGAGTTTCCAGTAACTGTATTTAGGCGCGCACGACCTGATGAGTGTATGCAGGAAGTGGCACCACGCGTGCCAGAGCTTCTGCGCGAGGTGGTGTGTGCCAGCGGATTCATTGGCACATGGTACTGATATTTGGATTGTTCCCAATGCGGGCTCGGATAGGACATCGGGCGTATCGCATTTGAGTGAGATTCCGGAGAAGTCTGCTCTTGATCCGCTAGGGAACCTTCTACAGAACCTTCCTCATATGCCGTAGCTTCGGCGGTAGACATCATGTGTTAGGGGTTGAACGTGGGTAAATTACCACTGTAAGCGAGTGGAAGAGGGGTGAGTGGTCGATCTTGTTTAAACGAGGTCTTGGGCGGAACAGCACTGATGGGGCAGACAGCACAGGCAGGGAAGGGGGGCGTTTGCCTTGCCAGTCAGATCAAGTCCGACATTGATTGTATCGGCGGGTAGCAGCGATTATATCCTGGATGCCTCGTGTCGCACACGATGGCGCGTTAAATATTTTTCACAATTCTACGCAACAGGTGCGGCGTATCACATTATTCGATCGCTTTGTGGTAAACGCCTATGCAACTTCTGGTGCCGATGTGCTGATAGACGCCAAGGTTCGCGTATTCTTTTTTAGTGTCTGCTTGCCAGCCTCGTGGCACACGAGGAATATCGGAATCCCCTGCGGCATGGAATCAGCGTCTCGATTGTTCAACAACGAGGATCCACGTGCACTTTGCGGACCTCCACTTCGCGATTCTTGGGGGTCGGGCAACTCCAAAAGAGGAAGGAGAACAGACGTGTGTTCCAACTTCACATCCATAAGCGCCAAACGCCTGCATAATCCGAGGGGGGAACCGAGATTCCTCGGTGATGAGGTAGCCACGTCAGGTGAGTGACGAGCGAGACGGTTTGAGAGCGTGACTGATTAAAGGGATGTATATTTGGTAATCGCTTGATACATTGTAACTATAAATCGTGCTGATAGGGTTGCCACGATTGAACGATCCTTGCAACGAGTTGTATTGCTCGTGCAATTTTCCAGGCGAGGGCAAGGGTCATCTCCCTGGACGACTTCGTCTGAAGATTACTGGCAGTTGCGATTATCGACAACGACGCACAACGTGGTGGCCTTTGCCCAGGGTCGAACCTTCAAGAACGTTGATAGGCAGAGTCCAGCTACTACTTACCGATATCGACGTGCGCCGCTATGATAGGCATGGAGGTAACATCACATGCGAACCACACATGCACGCTAAAAGTGGCTTCGGAACGTTCTGAGCGCTATATACGCTTCGACATGAGAGCCGCGCACCTGACAGGTCACGTTAGCAAGGGTGGACACTCTAACTTCAACTATGGGAGTCAACTTAGACTCGAAATGTTCGACCGAAGGGTGAGTAAATCATAAGTTCATGACTCCGTGACCAGGGCGTACAGCAATGAATGACAAAATAGACTACACCATCCAATCTTTTCCTCAAACTTCCTTGCTTCCCTTTCCAGTCTCTCTCTCTCTCTCTATCCTTTCGTGCTCTTTTCTGAGTCCCCGTATCAACACGAACTGATATATCAACACCATCAAGGCACAAATCACCATAATGGCACCCGTAACAATGATGGTTGACAGTGCAGACGAGCTGATCAAAGCGCCAAGGTTGCCGAAACCACTGGTGCCAGATAAAGAGCCTGCGCTGCTGTAAATATTAGTCAACGTAGAAATTAGTCCTGCGAGAGAATTCAAAAGACCGGGGCTGTTGGCAAGAAAGGTCAGGTCAACTTCCACCTTAAACTTGTCAACTCACACGAAGATCCTGTTGACAATCCAAACATAATTCTTTCTCCATCGCCACCATAGCCAAAGCATTCCTAATCCTCCAATGCCCGTACACACCCATGCGATCACCAGCCTTTCCGAACAATTTAAATGACATATGGACACGGAAGAATTACCACTTACAATGGTACGTTGTTGATTATGGAAGCAAGCTCATGTTCAGTAGTACCGGCCGGTTTATCTGCCCACGTCGCGAATGTCCCAGGAAATAGAATAAAACCAGCCAACAATATCCAGGTGAAGAATGCCGCCAACACCTTGTACAGGTTCGGAATGTCGTCTAGTGCAAGTAACATCTCCACGTAACGGGTCTGGGCGTACTCATGTGTGCCAGAGTGCAGACCTGGCATTGGGTGTGTGGTCGAAATATGCGTAGGATCAGGGGTGTGGCGGTGAACCTCATGTACCTTTTCAGCGGCAGGGCTGGGTTCCGTGGCCTTACGTTGGTGTGATCCGGAGTGGGGACTGGAAACGGTGTGTGCGCGCGACAGAACATCATGGTCAGCCTCAGCCCGAGTTCCATCACCTGTCTGGCCAGCAGGCGAGGCGTCCGCGTGCTTCGGCGATTCCCCAACAGGGGCACCCGTGTGCACAGGATTCGGTGCATCCGAATGGACGGTGGCATCATGCGGGGCAGTACTTCTGTGCGAAGCATGGTGTGTCAATTGACTCGTTGGCTGATCACTAGTTTTCCCCGGATGTGGGCTCTGATGCGAAGGCTGGCGTACTACATTTGAATGAACTTCCGGCGAGGTTTGCTCTTGAGAACCTTCAACCTTGCCGGATCCTTCCGACTTCGTAGTTCGGATGGTAGACATCACAGGAGATCCCCCGAATATTTCCCTAAAAATCTATTCCTCCTTGAGATGTACTGATTACGGAGTGTAGTGTGAGAGAAGTCACCTGTGTTCTCGCGCAGAAAGAGGCAATTAGAGAACGTTCTACACGTTCAACCAAGGCACTGGAACTGGAAGCGGGCTGAGGGTAAACTCGGCACCTGGACACTTCAGCCTGCAGAGGTAACTATATATACATACCCTCGATGCCTCATGTCACACACGATGATAACTTAATCGGAATTCTTAGAATTCATTCCACAGGTTGGCAGCATGCCATGCCAGATTAAGTCCTGATATGTGAAACGCCCATAAGGCTTCTGGTGTCTTGATAAGCGCTACCTATCCCTTTAACGACTTGATGTAACCCGAACAATCAAAAAAAAGGAGTGACGAACACGAGTACATAGACGCGCGCTTTACCTTCACGTCATGAATTTTGGGATTAGCGTGATCCGGGAGAACCGGAAGTCCACAACAAGGCAACTTGAATCGACTGTTCTTATAAACGTGACCAAGGCAGGTGAGTGGTATGCGATACCAGGTGGAGGCCACTTGGAAGAGAAGAGGGATGCATGGTATGTAGTTAGTTTTCAACTTCCGCTTCCAGTGTCATGCGTGAATCCATATGGAAATAACGGCCAGACCCTGGGAGACCCTGAGCACATTAAGTCTTGTGACAAAGTCGTCCGAGTCGTACCTCGCGTTACGTTTCGGGGTAAGCTTTCGGTCAGACACCTTTGGCAAACGACGGAAGCAATAACACTGATTACCGCAATTGCGAGTTATTTTATCGTTCTGATTCAGAAGTGAGTCATAATAGTCCGCGTAGGGTCATCGCGACGGAATAGAGTGCAATGATGACCAGCATGGATACATTGCATGATCCATGCTGTTACTGTCTATTTCAGGCAAGTTGGCCACGTGACTTTTTATGTAAGAAAAAAAGCACTCACTTCCGTCGACCATATCTCCCCATCAACCACTCGGAAATCAGTAAAAACAATGCCATTCGACTCGGAAAAAATCAGAGATTGAAACTAGGGTTGACCGATTACTTACAGGTGACTTTTTTCAAATCGGTATTTCAGGCTGCCTCGGTATTTCATACTAGGGAAGTTACTGACTGCCAGCGTGTTGAAGGCATGCGACAAGGGCAGAAAATTGCCCCCGAGATACAATGGGCCATCGTACAATTGTCCAGGCGGCTCGAAAATGAAGAAATTGCTATGTGTCTTGACCTCTCCACCCACTCTGTCTGACACATAATTTCTCATTTTCATGTTCATGGGACCATCCCAAACTGGGAGGAGAAGTCAGCTCAAACTGAACAGAAGAATAATCAGCATCTCTGGGATGTTGATGTTGAGGTATGTGCTATAATTTTCATGACCACTTGGCATGCTATGTCATACTGATATCATCATAGTTTCTACTTGGCACTATTCAGAAATCACCCAATCTCTATCTTGATGAACTCCAGGAAATGCTGGCAGTATTCTGTGGTGTTGAAGTTTCACATTTGACTGTTTGGTGAACCCTTCACAGATCAGGATTTACAATTAAAAAGGTACAAGTTGAGTTGTCTCCATGTCTATACTATTGTGTGTTCACTTCTACAGATTACATTTGTTGCAGCAGAATGTTCTGTGCAAAAGCACCTTGAGTATATTGCTAGGATAGGGAAATATGAACTGGAACAATTAGTATTTGTTGATGAGAGTTCTGTTGACTGCTGCACAACCTATCATGGGAGAACATGGTCAATCAGAGTAACAAAAGCTCAGTGCAAGGCATTTCTTGTGTGTGGGCAATGGTAAGTCTTTATCCTGAGTTGTTGTGGTTCTTGCTGAGTGCATTGAAGCTTTTCTGTTCTCCCAGCACTTTCACTTGTTGATGGTATTCTGCACTGTGACATTGCCAAGGGATCTTTTTGTACAGAGACATTCATGCACTTCATTGAAGGATTACTCAACAACATGCAACCCTATCCAGCACCAAATTCAGTGATTGTGATGGACAACTGCCAGGTCCACAAGCATGCAGACATTCAGAACCTGATTGAAGCTAGGTAATTTCTAGTCATTGTCATTTTGTATATTTTACAAGCTGATTGTTGAACAGTGGAATGTGGTATGAATACTTGCCACCATACTCTCCTGATCTCAACCCAATCAAACTTGCCTTTTTGGCTATGAAGTATCACCTCCACTGCGATGGAGATTTTATTCAAATGGCCATGACTGAGCTGTCAGACAAAGAAATTTATACCACCCTACTCAAGGCTTTGTGTGTGATTACTCCAGAGGATTCATTTGGTTGGTACTCACATTGTGGTTACATATGATACAGACATATTCACATCTTGTCCTTCCTGTAATGAATGAGAATGTTGCAGCTGTGACTGGTAGCCCATGAGATTGTGTAAAGTGTTAGGTGACATGAGGCTTTGGAGACCACACAAATACATAAACTGTCCTGCTGCATCCATGCTACCAGTTGAACATCAGATTTGAACATTGAATGTTGAACATCCATGCCTCCAAAAAAGCATAGCAAGAATGCTCAGCCCATGACAGGTGCATTTCTGGCCTGCATCACAGTGTCTCACTCACTCACACCTATGCTACAGAATCCACTGGACTAAAACCTGGGGCATGCTCTAACTGTCAAAAGCACAAGATATGTTGTAACATGTCTTCTGGAGCTGCTGCATGCTCTGCATGCACAAAGAGTGGATCTGAGTGCATTCCTCAGGAAAGTCAAACTCAGACTCATAGCAACACCACTCCACCCATGGATGCTCAAGGGACCAGCAGGGCAAGTGAGGGCCAAGGACATGAAAAACCCAATAGTGCTGCTCCACAACCCACCACCATGGGCCCAACTGATAGCCAGGCCAGATGCCAATGCCAGCTAGAGTCAATAGCACAAAAAAACAAGGCCAGCATTGCACCAACATGCAACATCCCTTTGTTGAATCCCATCCCTGAACCTGAGGACACATACAACCCTGACACTGATTTTTTTCAATTAGATGTACCTACTACAACTGAGTTCATCAATAGTATCACTGGTTACAACTCAGATATTGGGATGGAGACATATGAAAGTGGAAGTGTTGAAGAGATCAACATGGACATCTCAATGGACAGCACTGATGACCCTGATGATGGGGGAAATTTGACCTCAGGTTCAGAAGACCTTGACAGGTGCATTGCACAATATCTCTGCCAGCATTCTAAACCAACAGTTGGACACACCCCTGGCAAGCAGCAGCCTGGAAGACCCAAGGGCAGCTCAAAGATGGTAGTGGCTGAAGCAGTCACCACTGAGGAGCTGGAAACACACCATATGTTATTATTTTCTAAATTTATTGTATGACTCACTGACTTCACCCTAGCCTTCATGATCCAGTGTGCCATTCACCAACCTGATGGATCAAATTCACCCTTTGAGGTGTCATCCAATATCTCACTCAACAATCTTTGTCACACTGTTGCTGAAGAATTAGAATGTTTTCCCATGCATATTTTACTATGATATTGATTAGATTCTGATAAGGCCAAAGCTGGAGTAACTTCAATAAATACAAGCAAGGAACTTGATATTTTCAAGAAGAGGATGGGGGAGCTCATCCTCCCACAATGTCTCACCAATGGAAAGCTATCCACCCAACCACAGAAGAGTGTTATTGTGTGCTTCAAAGATGGAGGTGCTGGAAATCCTGGTAATGTCAGTAATGTGCCAGTATGTATGAGTCGCATTCACACCTATTCAAAGTCCCTTACATTATTTTTAGGGTAAAACAGACTCATGTACAACATCCTCTACAAGAAATAAGCCTGCTCCAGCAGCCACTGGCCAGTTAGAGGGAAACAGTCATTGTGAAGAACTCATTGCTGAACTCCAGGACTGCTGGAAATGTGGAACACACTCAAAAGGCCCCAAGTCCCCACAATACTGCTATTCTCCAAGTGGGAGCAGTGTTTGCTATTGTCATGACCATGTGCTCATCCTAGGTCCTCACTCACTCTGCACCCCTTCCTGCTGGTCATTTGCTCACTCCACACCAACTCTGCCTGCCCCCTGACATTTATGAGTCATCTCTGCTCTGACTGCTGTCAGACTTGCACTGCCCTCCTACCAGACTGTGTGGGCTGTTCTCTGAGGAGTTGTGTGGCTACCCTTCAGACTTCTCTCTGACAGTGCATGGTCAGGGACTCTGCAGCACACACACCACATGGTCTAGTGCCTGGACTGTTTCCTCTTTGGGATGTTCTGTGTTACCCATTCATATGTCCTCCATCTACCCTTTGTTCATTGTCTAGGAAGTTTTACTTGAAGTTTTCTGAGTCCCTGTATGTCAGTTCTGATTCCAATTGCTGTACCTCCATGGTAGTATAAAAGCATGTACTGTACTCTGCTGTTCTTCAGTACAAATATCAACTTAGTTCCTACTCCCTCTGTCTCTGTCCTCAGACTGTCCATCTGTACTCCCCCTCTGAAATACAAGGGCTGAGATTGTGCAAGGGGGTAGTGCATGAGCTAAACCTGATGCCCTTGCTTCACTCTGCCCTTACCTTAGTGGACTTTGTTCTTGCCAACACTCTGCCAGTTGGAGTTCTGCTCTTTCTGTTGGACTTGCTTCTGAACCTCTCCCCAGACCTTGTCCAGCATTGGAGTTGGTTGGAGTAGGCCTGGACTTGACAGTATATTTGTACTCACACTTGTACGATCTCATTTTCTGTCTTCTGAAAAACTTACACTGTTATGAGAACTCGAGCTCAGTCCCAGAGAGTGGTTGCTGAGAACCTTGCTGTTGTGCTAGCTAATCTGCATTGACTCCCTTCTGTTGTCGAACAGTTCCAATCATTCTCCACTCAATGCTGCTCTTGCACTGAATGCAAAAGTGCTTCACAAGCTGGTCACTCTGACCTCCATCCAACCACTTTCCATACTCCATCTCCTTGTAACTGAGATGATGGACCCAACCCTGATGACCCTGATGGTGATCCCAATGGTGGGGGCAGCAGTGACAGGAATATCCCCAAAGACCCAGCTGAGCCACCAGAGGATCCCCTCATAGCTCTTGCTAGAGCTGTCCATGCACTTGCATGGTCTAGTTTGTGCACTGGGGACTCCACTCCGAAAACCAAGGTCCACAAGCCTGACACTTTTGACAGCTCCAACCCTAAGAAACTCCATGAGTTCCTTGTACAATGCAAGCTGAACTTCCAAGACTGCCCCCACACATTCTGCTCTGACAGAGCAAAGGTTGCCTTTTCTCAGTCTTATCTTAAGGGTATGGCTCTGGCTTGGTTTGAGCCAGACCTACTAAACCCTGACAACTATGACTGCCCACTCTGGATGGACAACTATCACAAGTTCTTACAAGAGCTCACAACTAATTTTGGTCCACATGATGCCATAGTGGATGCTGTCCAACAACTCAAAAACCTCACTATGAAAGATGGTTCTTGAATTACCAAATATGTCATAGAGTTCAATCACTGGGCTTCACAGGTCAAAGACTACAGTGTTGGTGCACTCTGCCACCACTTTTATAGCAGACTTCCAGACCACATCAAGGATTAGATTGCTTGTGTTGGAAAACCTTCTACCCTCATGCAACTCCACAAACTCGCTCAGACTATTGATGTGTGCTACTGGGAGTGTAAAGCAGAAATCTCACACACCACCAAGTCTGCCACTGACAAGTTGCAGCCTTCCAGCTCTGACAACAAGTCTAAATTGTCATCCTCCACTTCTGTACTGAAGTCCAATGCCAAAGGCAAGGGCAAACAGAAAGATCCACCCAGGTCTGACATGTCCAAGTCCGATATTGCCCATCTTCTGGGCAAGGATGGCAAACTCACCTCCACTGAATGACAGTGCAGGATGAAAAACAACCTCTGCCTCTTCTGTGGTGAGGCTGGCCACTCCACCAAGGACTGTCCCAAGTCTACCTCTCATGCAGCCAAAGCCTGTGCAGCTATGGCTGGAACTCCACCTCCTCCACCTGCAGAGAAGGCAGAGCCAAAAAATTAGTCTGCTCCTCCAGGAAGCTCGCACAGCCTGGAGGAAGCATTGATCCCAACTGTGTGCAACTGGACATCTGACTCAACATGTCTGCTCTCTCTAGTCCCAATTCTTTACTTCCATCTGTAACTCTTCTTGATTACTCTGTTGGTACTGTTTCTGCATTGATTGACTCTGGCTCTTCTCATTGTTTTGTAGACCTGTCCATAATCAAAAAATATGCTATTCCTGTTTCCTCCATTTCTCTGCCAGTTCTGCTCCACTTGTTTGATGGTAGTACAAATGCTGTCATTTCCCAAGAAGTAGATCTTTCCCTCCACTTTCCTTCTGGCAATGTCAACTCTGTTTCATTTTATGTTACTCTGTTGGATTCTTCATGTTCACTGGTATTAGGACACAACTGGCTCACCCACTTCAATCTGTTGATTGACTGGGTACTGGGCAGTATATCATTCAAACCATCATTACATGGAATGCTGACACCCCAGGCACCTTCATCACCCTCTGCTGTGACCTTCACTCCAGATCTGACACCCCCCACTCTGTCTGCAGTTCCATCTGCACCTCTGACAGACTCACCATGCTCTGCTCCACTTGTCTCACTCATCAATGCTGCTGCATATGTCAGAGCCTGTGCTCTCCCTGGCTCTAGACAGTTCCACTTACAGCTCTCTGCTGATGATGTGAGGCTTCATGTGTCCTCTGCTTCTTCTCTACCTCCTGACCTCTCCTCAGTCCCTCCTGAGTATCATGAGTTTGCTGACATCTTTAGTAAAGACAAGGCTACTGAACTTCTGCCACACTGCTCATTTGATCTCAAGATTGACCTTGAGGAAGGAGCTTCTCCACCCATTGGCATGATCTACTCTCTGTCTCTGCCAGAGCTTGAAGCTCTCCACACCTTCATTGATGAGCACCTTGGCTACAGTTTCATCAAGCAGTCCACCTCTGCTCATGGTGCCCCTGTCCTCTTCATAAAGAAGAAGGATAGTTCATTCCACCTCTGTGTAGACTATCAAGGACTCAATAAAATCATGAAAAAAGATTGCTATCCACTGCTGCTCATCTCCAACCTACTTGACCCCCCAAGCTGTGCTAAAGTCTGCACCAAGATCAACCTCTGCCATGCCTATCATCTGGTCTGCATCACAGACAGAGATGAATGGAAAATGGCTTTCCACACTCATTATGGTTCTTATGAGTGGTGGGTAATGCCATTCAGTCTGACTAACATGCCTGTGGCTTTCCAGCAATTCATTAATAGCATCTTTGCAGACATGCTCAATGTCTGCATCATGGTGTACCTTGATGACATCCTAGTTTATTCACAGGATGTGGAGTTGCACCACAAACATGTAAAAGAGGTACTCTGCTGCCTTCAAAAGCATGGTCTTTATGCCAAGCCAGAGAAGTGCAAGTTTCACTCCAACTCCATCAAGTACCTTGGTTATGTTCTTTCTCCCTCCAGTCTCACCATGTCCACTGAGAAGGTTCAGGTGGTCTGCAACTGGCCTGAGCCATGGAAGGTGTGAGATATCCAATCTTTCCTTGGCTTCACAAACTTCTTCAGATGATTCATTAATAACTACTCTGACATCATCATTCCACTCACTCACCTCACACAAAAGGGTGCTCCTTGGAACTTTTCCAAGGAGTGTTGCTCCACCTTCCTCCACCTGAAGGATGCCTTCAGCTCTGCTCCTATCCTCACACACTGGGTTCCTGATGCTCCACTTACAGTTGAAACTGATGCCTCCAACTATGCCATTGCTGGCATTTTGTCAATCACCTGCTCTGACAGTGAACTCCACCCAGTTGCTTTCTACTCCCACACCATGACTGCACCAGAACTCAACTACAATACCCACAACAAGGAGCTGTTGGCTATCTTTGAGGCCTTCCACCATTGGTGGCATTACCTAGAAGGTTCTGCCTTACCTGTCAACATGGTGATGGACCACAAAAACCTTGAGTATTTCTCCACTTCTAAGGTCCTCACTTGTCAACAGGCCCACTGGTTGGAGTACCATTCACAGTTTAACCTTCCATCTGCTTCCAACCTGGCCACCTGGGAGCCAAACCTGACGCACTTACATGACATTGGGACATCTACCCAAAAGGGGGGGATAGGGACTATGTGCAGGTAAATCCTCACAATCTCCACCCTATGTTTACACAGGAGCAACTCACATCGTCCCTCCATACCACTACCCTCATGGCACCCATGCTCCACACTGCCATGGTCTTCAATGTTGAGTGCTTGCACTCCAACATCATCTCTGCCCTACCATCTGACCCTGTCTCTGCCAGCCATCTTCCAACTTCAACTAAGCCTCAGTGGTCCCTGGACCCTGATGGTCTACTCTGCCTTGATGGTTGCATCTTTGTCCCTGACATTGATGACCTCTGCCCTTGAGTGCTTCAGTTCAAGCATGACCATCCTCTAGCAGGCCATTTCAGGAAAAACCACACCCTAGAACTCATCTACAGGGACTACATGTGGCCTAGCCTCTTCTCTGACATGAAAGAATACATCAGGTCCTGCACTGCCTGTGGATGGAACAAAACTCTGCAGCACTGCCCCTATGGTCTACTGAAGCAACTCCCCATCCAAGAGAGACCTTGGAACTCCATCTCCATGGACTTCATTGAACACCTCCCCAACTCCAATGGCTACTCTGCCATCCTTGTGGTAGTGGACCACCTCTCAAAACAAGCAGTGTTCATCCCCACCCATGACTCCATCACCTCTGCCAAACTCACTAAGCTCTTTCTTACCCATGTCTTCTCCAAGCATGGAGTACCAGCTAATGTCACCTCTGACAGAGGTCCTGAGTTTGTCTCACACTTCTTCTGCTCTCTAGGAAAGGCCCTGGATATGCATCTTCACATCACTTTGGGTTACCACCCAGAAGGCAATGGCCAGACTGAGCATACAAACCAGACCCTCGAGCAGTACCTTTGTGTCTACTGTAACTACCAACAAGACAATTGGGCCAAGCTGTTACCTCTAGCAGAGTTCACTTTCAACAATGCACCAAGTGCAACAACTGGAGTTTCTCCCTTCTCCACTAACAAAGGATACCACCCAAACCTGTCTGTGGTCCCTGACCAAGACTTCACCTCTCCAAGGGCTCATGACTATGTCATTGAGCTCTCCACCCTTCATGACTTCCTCTGCTCCAAAATGCTGCCTTCTTCCTTTGGGCCTCCTCTTCCTCCACTCCACCTCCAACCTCTCCTCCTCTGCCTTCTGCCTTTTGGCCTCCTTGCACTTGGCCTTGTGCTCTGCCTTGTGCTCTCTCTCTCTCTGCTTGGTCTCCTCTTGTCAGCACACCTTCTCTGCAGACTTCTCCTGCTCAGTGTTGGTGGAGTCATCAGTAAGGATGACCAGTTCATCATCTGCAACTTGGGAGCAGTCACAGATGTGACCAGGGGTTGGCTGGGGGGTTTTGCTCTGGCACTGGGAGGACATGATGATGGGGAGAAAGGATGAAGGTTTGGTACCCTAACATGTGTTTTTAAGCAGTTCTTCAGACTCTGACAGAGCTCTGCTGCAGCTAAAGCCATTATCCTCAAGGCATCAAAATGGTTTCAAATGATTGACTTGTGTAGATCTCATCTCATACATGCAGCCTTCAGGGGTTCAGGCCCTAAGGGGGGGGCACTGTCATGACCATGTGCTCATCCTAGGTTCTCACTCACTCTGCACCCCTTCCTGCCAGTCATTCACTCACTCTGCACCAACTCTGCCCACCCCCTGACATTTACAAGTCATCTCTGCTCTGACTGCTGTTGGACTTGTACTGTCCTCCTACCAGACCATGTGGGCTGTTCTCTGAGGAGTCATGTGGCCACCCTTCAGACTTCTCCCTGATAGTGCATGGTCAGGGACTCTGCAGCATGTGCACTGCATGGTCTAGCACCTGGACTGTTTCCTCTTTGGGATGTTCTGTGTTACCTGTTTGTATGTCCTCTGTCTACCCTTCATTCGTTGTCTAGGAAGTTTTACTTGAAGTTTTCCAAGTCCTCATATGTCAGTTCCAATTCCAATTGCTGTACCTCTGTGGTAGTATAAAAGCATGTACCATACTCCACTGTTCTTCAGTATGAATATCAACTTAGTTCCTACTCCCTCTGTCTCCATCCTCTGCCTGTCAGAGTTACCTCCAACTGTCCATCTGTACTCCCCCTCTGAAATATGAGGGCTGAGATTGTGCAAGGGGGTAGTGCACAAGCTAAACCTGACACCCTCACTTTGCTCTGCCCTTACCTTGGTGGACTTCATTCTTGCCAACACTCTGCCAGTTGGAGTTCTGCTCTTTCTGTCAGACTTGCTTCCAAACCTCTCCCCAGACCTCATCCAGCATCAGAGTTGGTTGGAGTAGGCCCAGACTTGACAGCTATCATCTGACTCACTCTAATTTGTTATACTGGGCTGCCAAAATTGTACATTTCAATTTTTTCATTCAGTCCTACAATACACTTACAGTTTGTAATGATATCAGATGGAAGGGAAAGCAACTGTGGATGAGAAACCTATTGGGGTCCAGACTGGCAATGCAAAGCCATGTAGTCACACAACTACAACAGTGCCACAAATGGGACATCTACTGGCAGGGTTTCCTGGCAGGCCATACAGCTTCCTCCCTCCTTACATGCAACCAAATTTGGGCTATCCAATGGGTAATTTTGGATGCTACCCACCTAACCAGCCCCTTGAGAACCCAATCAGTAATTTTGGACAGTACTACAAGCCCAATCAGCCCTCTCGGACCCACCCTTGTGATTCAATACCAACATCATCTCCCAGCACATTGTCTTCACCCCCACTCCCACCCACCAACATCATTTCCTGGTTTTCATCTCTTGATCTCAATGAGCAATGGAATGCTGATGGTGTGACTTTTGCACCATTTGGGCACATGCTGGCAAAGAAGGGTTTTGTTCATATATCACAGCTAACTCCCACATTTGTCAAGCTCCAAGACTTGCAGGTGTGGCTCGGGATTGAGGTTAGGACAGCTATTCTGATTATGCAGTATGCAGAGGAGGATTGGAATGCTGTGAGGTCAGGAGCCCATGCTTAAGTTGCAGTATGTCTATCATCCCACATGTCTACTGCTGTCAATTGTGTCTTGTCATTATCAATGTCCTTGCACAATTTTTTGTGCCTTGCGTCCTTTCTTTCGACGTCAACCATAGCCTCAAAGTGTCAAAGAATGTTATCGAACATGCGCCGAATAGCTACCCCACTGATATTAGTGCCAAATGGTTGTCTACATGTCGTACATAGCTCGAGACTCATATCCCAAGGTCACTAAATACCGAAAATTTCCAACCACATTTTTTAGACTTCGGTCATCTGAAATCAAGTTCCGTCATTTTTTCCGAGTCGAATGGTATTTCTTTCATTGAATTCCGATGGTGTCTTGGGGAGATATGGTCGACGGAAGTTGGGTGCTTTTTTTTCTTGCATAAAAAGTCACGTGGCCAACTTGCCTGAAATCGACAGTAATTAGGCGAAAAAGGCTTCCATTTCGGTAGTGATGTCGTCGAGAGGTACATCTGCAAACTACCCGAGGGAGTGAGCAGGTTATACCTGCCTCCGTTTGGAAGTGACTTGTCGTAAGACTCGCTAAGACACTTGTTGGCCAATGAGAGAGCTCGCTCAAACGCGGAAGAGCTGTTAACAGTCGCGTCGCGTAACTGTTTCCCAGATGTAGTCGGATGAGGAGGTAGTTTGGGCCCGAAAACAGCTTGTAGGCCGTTTCAACCGTCCGAAGAGTAACCATATTTCATATACCGGTCAAGTCTGCAACGTGGTTGATCTCGTGAGTGTTGGAAATATCAGCATCATCGTCAGCGACGTCTGCGGTGCCAGTTGAAGGGGGAGCGGGGTTGACCGCCACGTCATTGGACGTACATCAATGAAGCTAAGCGTTCAAAAACCTGGGTTTTCAAGCGCTTAACGTTCGCCAGTGTTTGCCGAGCATTCAAAAACTGTCTAACGTGCATGCTGTAATTTGGCTGAATTTACTGATGTAGGTGTAACGGGAATGCTAAAGTCGGGGACAGTATCTATCCCCGTAAAGGAATCATTCAGCAAATTAAAAGTCCGTTTAAGTTTGAATAGCTTACAAGTACTGAAGGCTCTCCGCAGAGCGATGTCTTGGATTCTCTTCATGAAGAGCAATTTGCGTGTTCCAAGAGGGACTTCAAGGTCTGGACGATAGCACCACTTGTTATCAGACCTTGGTCGCTTTCCAATGGAATAGGCCGGCATCCATCCCTACCTCAGATATCGCTTGAGTGAATGAGTAGAGTCTAGAGTCTAGTAGTGCTTGGACGACCTTGCCGCACTGGCAGCACTTAGGGGTCCCGGAGGAGTACATTAGGAATCCTAGTACGTAGAAGGCATGACTAGTAATAGAATATTGTCTTTGTGCGAGTGGCTGTGTTGCTGCGCCCCTCGTTCTTCCTTTACTCCAAGTTGCCGCCAGAGTTCAGCCCACAGCGTGGGCCCCTTATCGTTCAGTGCTAGTCTTCACCCACCCACCGCTCCACTGAATTCTTCGGGCTCACGAAGCCCTTTCCGAATTTAACCTCGCTCGACTCGCAACACGCTGCCGTGCTGGGACGGTGGTCCCCTGAGACAAGTAATACTCATCCGGAGGCGTCCTACCCGCCCCCGCAGCTAACGCTCGTCTCGTAGATCACCATCTCACCACGGCCGGAAGGCGCTTCGCGCCTTCGGCCGCTCACGCTCGCTCTTAACATATCGCTACTAGCACTGCCCCCCTTTCCATTTAAGCATCCACAGCGACGATACGCAAAGAATGATTCCTGGGTTATAGCCGCTTTGGGATATCAGTTACTACCCGAGGGAGAGGAGGGGAAAATGGTCCATTGGGATACTAATAAATTATCTTCTCCCCATTGGCAGCATACGTTAGCCACTCGTTCTAGAACCATGATGAATGGGTGGTGGACAGAGGTGTTCGAGCACCGCAAGTTTTTATTCACAGGCAGAAAGTGTTCAACGCCTAGTCTGGTGCCCAGGCTACTCAGCCAGCACCGTCCAGGTAGGGTTGCCTTCGACCGCAATGCCTAGCTAGTAGTATATGTTGGATCTCAACACACACACACACACATGCTTGCGGAACACAATATGATTGACGACTGTTCGATCTTGAATTCACAACTGTTTTGGCCAAGTCGCGCACTGTCCAGCCTGCCGCATAAGCAGGTGAATAAGTCTATCCATTATGTATGTCCATGTGTCACGAAACGCTGGTGACAAATGACCATGATGATATACTAGAATGTACGTTGTCTAGGGGAGTGGAAATATCGTAATCACTGTCGTCAATAAAGATGTGTCCGCCAGGTTACCTGCCGGCCGTCGTGTCCCTAGGGGGATTGTTCGAGTATACAGCAGTAAGGAGCGTCAAAGACGTGCAAGAGCGGGACTGAGGATGACATAAGCAACCCACTGTCAGGGGTTGACGTTGAAGCATACGATGAGTGCATCTCGTGGGACAGCCAGAGCATAGCGGAGGCAACATGCGTCATGTGACGTTAAATAATGTTTCCATGTCGCTGAGGTCGCCTTCCCAGTGTTCTTTGATGTCCTTCAAAGATGTCCAGTCCAAATACTCACCGAGGACCCCGTTAATGTCCATCGCACTTCCCGTCGTTGTATCCGTCGCTTGTGTCGATGCACCTCGTCTGTGCAATGTGGGGCTAGCTTCCAGCGAGGAAAGAAATTCAAGGTCCCCGTTGTCTTGGGTAAAGCAGTCGTCGTACAACAATGGGGTTGAAGACAGACAAGATGAGTTAGGTGGGGCAAACGTCGCTGGCTGAGAGCCCGAGGTAACCAAGTCGGTTGATAGATGAAACCCCGGTGTGGAGGTACCATTGGAGGATGACCGGTTCTTGTTGCGACGCGTAGACCGAGATTCGGGTGGCGAGACCATGGTCAGCGGCTTCACCTTCAGTTTGGTCGGCCCACGGGTGCGCCCCTCTGAAGCATAGATGCAAGCAAGACCACGCAAGAGACAGCGCTGGCAAGCGGGGTGCTCGCCGCTGCACTGGATAAATCATAAAGGGATCGGTTAATCATATGTCGCCTCGCTTCGAATCGTGATAACTGCGAGATGGAATCAACACGTACCTTCGCCTTCCTCACCCTGCACTTTTCACATGCCTGTGCCGTTCGCAAACGCGGAGGTTCTGGGGTTCTATAGAATATGCCAGTGCTAGGATCCAGTGATCCAGCGACGGCACGCCTGGGGATGCCAGTATCGGGTGGGGAGTTGGATATAGCTAATGCAGGCTGATGGAGGTGGGAAAGGGGTGATGGTGATACGGGGGAATGGTGACATGTGGGGGAGAGAACGGTATTGTTGGGATATGGTGGAAGAAAGGGGGTAGGAGGATGCGGTGGGGGACCGGTTGGAGAGGGGTAAGTGATACGCATGCCGGTTTCCAGCATGTCGACGACTTGAGCGGCGTGCGGTTGGGAAAATTCGTCGACAACGAAATTCGAGGATAAAGACGGGGTGTATGTTGGGGCTGATTGGAAGGCAGTAGACAACCAGTGACTTGGAGTGGTCGTGTTTGAGGAGACGAGGGCATGGCTATCCGTGGGCTGGGTATCGTGCTGCATGCCGAGTACGAAGGGTACCGGTATGACACTGCAGGAGGGGGAACGGTCTTGGCGGTCAGACATCGTTCCTCGGTGCAAGTGCACGGTCGCGCTGAGGCGTGATGGGGCTCAGAAATGCGCCTTCCCCGCGAGCACGTCGAATAATAAGAGCCATATATTGTATCCAGGATTCATTTGTTTTTTTTTCACATGCGACTTGTCCTGGTCCGCGATGCTTCCGTGGAGTAAGAAAAAGGGTGGATCTCGACATCCGAGACACCCGTCAAATCCATTATGTAATCAACCTCGTCCCTTCCGCGGACTCGCATCTGCATTGGTGCTGTTATTAGGGGCAGGTGCGGGCAAGATATGACATCAGGTTATTGAGTATGCGTCATGAAATTGTCAAGTAGCGGCCAAAACACTCATCATGTAGACGTTTACCTACATACATGAGTTAAACAGGGTCCACGTCAAGTCCATGTGTACTAAGACAGTCCAATGTATCCCGAAGGAGAGTGGTATGGTAATATTATAACTAGTGTCTGTTTCCTCGCAGCCTACCTCCATACAACTCCTCATAAACCGGTCCATCTGAATTTCAAAATGCACACCTTACTCCGGTTCCCCAAACCTATTAACAAGCCCCAAGAATCATGGCTGCTACACCAAAGAGGAAGGATATCAGTGTGGGGTCCGCGTTTAAGCCCACCGCACCACCCGTCTTCCCACTAGAAGACGACGACGACGGAAGTGCAGTCGCAGTAACACTCGGCGGGAGAGGGCTGGCAGCAGAGGTAGGCTGCGTCTCTACTTGCCCCGTTCCCACAATAACCATTGTCCCGTTGCTCGGAATGCCATTCACGACAACGAATAACAAGACTGGACCAGGGGTGAGCAAATTAGGGTTCGGCGGAACTTGCGAGACATGCAGAACGTATGAACCGTCGTTGTTTACTGTGTACGTGTTGTTGAGTTGGAGGTGACGTTGGCCCATGTTCATCGCATGTGTGGAAAAGCCACTGCGGGAGAGCACGACGGTTGTGTTGGCTGCAGCTTGGTTCGCCGTCACGCCGGTGTAAGACGACGAAGATACAGTAAGGTCGAAATAATTTCCGCCATAAGCCAAGGTATTTGGCACGCCGGATACCTGGGGGCGGACACTAGAGGAGAAGTAGGGTGGGTAGAAGACTTCCGCTGTGTAGGTCGTGGGGTACGGAGAGTTGAGGGTCACATCAATGTTCGGGTTCGAACCTGCGATCAGAACGGAGGCATCTGGCAGTAGGATTGCGCTGGAGTGATACAATCTAGCTATGCTGGACGTCGAAAGCCCTGCGGTGGACCAACGGGAACCTTTTGGCGCGTTGGGGTTGTAGATTGCGGGTGTACCAACCGGTCCTGACGCCAGTGATTGGTAGTACGGCATCTGATCAAGAGAAGGAACGTAGAGTGTCTGGTTGGCGTAGCCTGCCGTTCCGTTGCTTCCGCCATTCACAAGGAGTAGGGTGCCGTCCGGTAGGGTGATGAACTGACCCATTGTCCGACCTTGCGGTAGATTGTCATCTTGATCGTAGACCGGGGAAGAACCGTCCGGTGGTTCTGCAGTCAAGCGTTGGCAGTCACTAGATGCTGGGTAGGTCCAGGTGTTGTAGAATGGCCACGAGTAATTCCCATAATAGTCTGCAGGCATGTCAGAGCCGCCGCAGAAGAGGACAGTAGCGGTGTAGTTGTTGGAAGGGACTAAGGGAAGCATGGCCACAGCTCCAGAGGCAGGGTACACGCGAGCTACGCCGTTAGGCATATCGGGAAGCGGGTACTCGATATTTTGGGTGTAGTCCCACAGAACTGCATCCAAAAATAGCCCGGATGAGATAACGCAAAAGAGAAGAAAAAGGTAACCCACTAGTGGATAGGTTCGCCTGCACAAGCATCTTACCTGAAGGCATTAGATAGGTATGGGCGTAGGAGTTCAATCCAGATGTGGTAGTCATGAATTGCATCAGGGTTGCCGTACCGCGACTTGGGTAGAACTCGTACGTGGGTTGCGCACCACCGCCTTCGTACGTTGGGTCCGTGTTTGGGTAGTTCCTGTTGACATAACCTCCGCTTGTGAAACCACCGATGAGAACGATGGTTCCGTCTGCGAGTGCCTCCGCAGCAGCGTACCAACGATTCTCTTGCATCGAAAGAACTGCAGGATTATCAAACCACTGGCACTGGGGTGATGAAAAATCGTCTGTGTCTGTGCAAGGATTCAAAATACGGATCGCCTTCCTGCCATCGTAGTCCCCATAAACCGAGTCATAATTTCCAGACGGCGATGCACCACCTATGAACCAGTTAGTGGTGGAACGAGGGTATAGATACGATATTATGAACCGATTCCGACCGCATCGTTGCCTCCGAATGTGGCCCATGAACCATTGGGAAGGTGCATTCCGGATGCGCAGAAAGTATTTGTGACGACGTCCATCACGGTAGCTTGGCGGGTGTTGATGTCCCTGCAGGTAAGTACAATGAAGGGCTGGAGTGGGCTGGACGATTGGGAGGAGGGACACACCAGACTGCACCCCAGGCAGGGTGCCCATTAATCTGTGCCGCGTTACCTTCCGACTTGTCCAAAATATAGACTTTTTCTCCGTTACCAAGAAACATCTGCAGGAGTGGATGGGCTGCAATGGACGTGTCGACGGGTGGTGTGGGCGTACCATCATAGCGCTAACAAGGGTGCTGCCAGCTTGCACGAAGCTGCCTCCAGTCTGAGCATGGACGCCATTTAGCAAGGCGCAACAAGCCAGCCACCCAAGGATTAGCCGCATGTGGGTTCCGAGTATAAAAAGAAGTCGGTCAACGACAGTGAGGTAGGCTGAAGAACTGGAATAAAAAGGGTGGTGGGTAGGGAAAAAGAGCAGGGACCGTGGTGTGCTAGTGACACGAGATGTTTATGAGGACCGTAATATTAGTGGCTTCGTGGCATGTCGGCTGTCAACCAGGATGCTATTATTATGTACCTCTATATAATTAGCTGTCCGTCACGGTCCGAAAAGAAAAAAGATGGCCAACGTGGGGATCGAACCCAAGACCTTCGCGTAAACCTTTAATGGTATTAGCACGACGCTCTAACCAACTGAGCTAGTCGGCCCCGTGACCAAGGTGCGGGCGGTGACCCATTTATTCTGGCACCCAGAATGCCAAAAAAAGGTCTGAACATATTACATAATTGACTCCAACACTCCAGACCGGACCAAAAATTGATGACGGAGACGCGTTCGAGTCTGTTGGAGTTGACTTTCTGCCACTTTTCTGGGTGGAGGGATCGAAGAGTAAACGTTGGAGGTGAGTGGTGACCTCGGTCGAGGAGTCCAATGTACATGGCTCGTGTTTTTGCTCGTCTCGTCGTCAATCACCGAACAGGCACCGTATAGCGGTGCGGGCTTGGCCTAGGCCATTTGATTCACGAGTGGTACCTGCCCAGTGCTCGTCCGCACGGGTCAGATCTTCCTACATACGTCTCCCGCTGGTCACCTGTCCATCGATGATTATTCATTGACTACCGTATTTGAAGTACAGGACAAAACTACCACTGTTGCACGGATTGCACATTCTACGCCCGCGTTTCGTACGACATCACCAACGTATCGGTTCTGAAGGTTCAGAATCCTCACTTGACCGTTCAAAGCAAGATCTACACTTTCGTCGTGACCCTCGAAAAAAAATTCGCCAAGGGCTCTTTCCAACCAGCCTAGCTATTCAACGAAACATCCCCGCGCGCACATTCTTGCTAGGCTTGTATTTGCAATGAATGCCCACGATCTCGCTCGCTGGACGCGTTTCGCAGGCAAGGGCGGTATCGGGAAGTGTACCGCCGTTGTGGACTGCGTCGCGCAGGAAATGGGTGAGGACTTGATGTTTCTGAAGGTGAGCCTCCTTCCTATGTGTGGTCCGAGCTCCTTGGCGTGGTCCAACTCAGGGAGGGAGGGGGTTGCAAACTGCCGTTTTGGTATTGGATCCTGCGTCCACTGTCTCGTTTTTCAGTTGGCAGTGACTTGAAGAGGGTATGACACAATTTTGTTATGACTTACTGTAGTCTGAACTTCAGCCAAGTCCCGTTGGTGCAGTACTTCCCATCCCAAGCAATCTTGTTCTAGTCGGTGTTAAAGATTACAAAAACTGAGTTGTTTTTCCGACAGGACGACGAAATTACTGTGTTAATGCAACTCCCAGAGGAGGGGTTTTACCTGGTAAGTATTAAACTGACACGACGCTTTCCTACTGCCTCTGACCACCGCACTACTCTTAGGGCCACTGTGAGGGCGTCGTGGGTCGCTTCTCAGCCAAAGATGTGCGTTTCCATGGGAAACTCAAGAAGCCCGTCATGACGAAGAGGACAAGTGTTGCTAGTGTGGCAGAGAGGATGTCGATCGCGGTCGTAGAGCGGAGTGCACCTACGGATATGGATAGGGGTTATAGAAGAGAGAGTTCGGATGGACGTTCAACGGAATGGTTGGGGTCAAGAGGGCAGGCCCGGTCGTCATCACCCACGCACTCCGGGAAGTCGCCTGCCCGGTCTTTTTCGGCCGAGACGAGCTTCAAAATAGAGGGGGGAGATAGGGACAGCAAGGACGCCAGACCCGCCAAGGCACCACGCTCCGCCTCCTTGTCCGGAAGTTCAGTATACTCCGCCCGGTCGAGACGCTCAGTGTCAACAGCTACGTCCGTGTCCGCGTATTCGACCGCAAGCTCTGTTAGTGGTTCCGTTGCGACCGAGACGGAACACACGAGGTTCATTACATCCTCGCCTTCTACGTCATTTCTCTCTGGTAAGCTTCCATCGTTCTCTCCCGAGGCTTCTTCTGCAACGATTGTATTGTCTAAAGGCACGGATTTCAATGACACCGCGGGCTCTGTTGACCTGAAGTTATGCACTGACGACTGGGAACCTGTCGCCATCAACGTCGCATCTTCCGCATCTGGGTTCGGCCATGGAACCGCCACTTCTGCTTCTAATTCTTCGCCAACCCTGCCGGTAGTCGCACCGCTTAGGCTCTCTAAATCGCCCCGACAGACACCGGCGAGTTTACCTTCTGGTCCATCGCCACTGCCTTCGCCTTCGTCAGGTGCCCCATCGACCGGAATTCCAGGTTCACTTTCCCCCGGTCTGCCAAGGTCTTACTCTTCCCTCAACAGCCCACTATCACTTGCGCCGCCGTGGTCATTTTCGTCGGCAAGCCCTGTACCTTCTTCTGGTCTATCAGGATCCCTTTCACCATCCTTGTCCCTTTCATCGGGCCCCCCTGGCTCACATTCCCCCTCTCCCCGTTCGCCCGCTTTCCCGTCAAGAACTCAAGTCCATGTTTCATCTGGCGCGTCGACTTCGTCATCTCCCCTTCCAAACCCGTATGGACCAAGTTCCACAAGTCCATACGTCGCCTTCTTCGGTGGGCTGTCGAGTATAACTCCCCCACCATCTGCACCACCAACCAGCCCACTCCCTCCGGCTCCGCTGTCCGGTGAAGTACATGAAACTCGGGCAGAAAAGGGTATGCTAGCGGAGGATGAACATTGGGATGATTTCGAGGAGGGTAACTCTACTCGGTTGTCGACTCTCGACGCGTTCCGCAGAAAGTTACATGACGAAGACGAGGAGGACGGAAACGTAGCTTTCCGGTCAGAAGACGAGGAGGATGGTGTAGTGTCGGGGAGTTGGCTCGACAACGCATCAGACAGCCCAGGTGACCGCGGTTCCGAACAAGAGACGGAAAAGAAGACTGGCTTGTACAACAATAGTGACAAAGGAGATTCGAAAGTACATATCAATGGTGAAGATGGGGACTCCGATGGTGAGGTCGGGATCGGGCTTTCGCTGATGGGATCGTTGAGTGGTGACGGTGATGATTCGGACGAGGACGTACCCTTGGGTGTTCTGCGTGGTGATCTGGGCGCCATGACCCCAGGAAGTAGCGGGAGTACACCCATGCCCTGGGCACGACGAACGCCGGTGGTCCCCGAAGAGGTCTTGTCACGTGGCCAATTGGCGAACGGGCATTCTGGGCCGTCCATTTCACCCTCACATGCTGAGAGCAACGGAGATGTTGCAAGTAGCGAAAACCCGCCCCCAGAATCCCCACGTGAAACTGACGAAGAACTTGAGGAGGCGGGAGAGGAGGAGGGTGGTTACTGGGACGATATATACGATGACTATCGCTATTCTCGATACTCGTTGGCCTCGAAAAGGTTCTCGATAGCGTCACGCCGGATGAGCGTCGTCTCCAAGGTATCTGCCGGATCCAAAACTTCAGGCACGTCCAAGGGTTCACGCGCACCACCCGTACCCGTTCCGATTTTCCCTACTGAGCGCCCAAGCTTGTCTACTGAGCGGCCGAGCTTCTCGACGGATTGTAGCCTCGAACGACCCAGTGTCAAAAGTGATCAGCCAAGCGAACACAGCGAGCGCGATGAGCGCCCGAGTTTGTATTCGCGACCAAGTTTCGAGTCGAATTCGACAGCAACGTCTGCAGGATCTTCCGCTTCACAATCAAACGGGCACCCGTTGACCCAGTCGTTTGACCCATCTCTTTCGGATGACACGCGGTCTTCCTTGTACTCGACTCAGACACTTGATCGCTTGAGCTCGCAGTTCCCGGCGGTACCAACTGGTGTCCCAGTACGTGTCGAATCGCGTCTTCGGATAGTTAATGATGACCACGTGGAACGTGGGGAGGATGTGCACTTAGAAATGGAAATGGAGGTAATGCATGAATCGACAGAGGATCATGCTACAGTAGGGGCTAGCGTTGGGGCGGAGGCGGAGCGAATGCTCGTCACGGGCGACCACAATCAACAAACTGGTGGTCCGTCGACGAACACAGAAGACGAACCAGAGCATGAGCGCGACTCAGTGGATTTGTATCTGGACGAGGCTGACCTACCTGTGGGCTCTTTGAAGTCTCCATTCGAAAGCCCAGACGTTTCTGTCGAGGGAGAGGCTTTGGCATCAGCATCAAGGGCCGCAATGGACACCAAGCACAGGTCCGCTACACCTACTGTCTCTGGCTCTCCGTCTGGCAACCTATCCGTTTCGAGATTCCAGATGACTGCGACAGTGGTAGATGGCGATCCATTCACATCCAACTCCTCGGACACGCCGCCAATGGCGAATCTACCTTCAGCGTCCAATGCGCTGACTCTGTCGTTATCCACAGAACAAGAGGCCTCCCAGCATGTGCGGCCGTCGAATCGAACAGTACATCCATTCTCCCGTTCCTCTATCTTCCTTCCGCATCCTAATGCACCGAAGCCTGCTGGTCACCAAGGTCTTGGCCCCATGTATGCACGCCCCGTACAAGTTCAGCCACACCCTACCGGTCCTCCTAATACTGGGCCTGGTAGCAATCTGTACCCTCCACCACCGCCCAACTCAAGTACATTTTCAGCACCAGTACTCCACCGTCTACGCAGTGCTTCACTTGCGCAAGGTTCAACGCCTCTGCGCTGTCCGCCGATGACCATTTTTGCACGGTGCCAACCTGATCTCAGTACAAGCACGGGACCAGTACCAATCGTGTTTTCGCTGGAGCCACTTCCTCCTTTGACACCATCGGCCAGTGGTCCTCCCCCTCATAACCCCAACTGGACGACGGTCATACCTCCGACACGATCCGCGACCCTACCTCCACCAGCGCCCAAGAGTTTCCTTAGTGGAAATCCATCGGCACCACCTCGCTTGCGAGTTCCCGTTTCCAACGTATCCATACCTGGAGAAACGAAGGCAGAAGTATTCAGTCCCACGGAGCAGTTTTCCTTGCGACTGCCCAGGCGTTCCGTAACAACTTCCGCTACCCCATCAGCACCCGTGAAGGTAGCTACACAGACAGTGACGGGGACATTACCAGTCCTTCGCCCAGGTTTTATACCGCAAGTTGGAGGTGGCCGGGGTGCTCGACCAAGGTCGAGGTCCTTTTCTGCGCTAGATGCCAAAGTCATTAGACGAGAGGTTCCGGAAAGACGGTGAGGCCGTCGCTTGATGATCTCAGTGTTTTCTTGGCTAACTACCGTGAAGTCGAGAGGAGCTAGGATATATTGCGGCACCAGTTCGGACCCCAGGCAACCTGCTTCCGGCAGGGTTTGCGTCTGGGCCAGTACCTCCCCTTCTCACTTCCATCACGGTCCCTGCTGTCTCGAGCGTTCCCCCAGTGGGACTTCAGCCAGCAACAAGTAGTAGCCCTCTACCTTTGAGTTCAACGTCTACCTCTCTGGCACCTACACCAAGTCCTGTCCCAGGAGAAAAAGACACGTTGAGTCCGACAAGCAATGTCTCTGCTTCGCCGAATCCACACAGCCCTACTATTCCGCAACCTTTGACAGAAATTCACTCTGCCTCTGTTGATGCACCCGAAAAGGATTCAATGGATGGTCACCCTTCACGCCGAAGCTCTGAATCTGGTGATTCCCACACTTTGATGCAGTCACCGCCACCATTACCAGACAGCTATCAGAACAACCGATCGTCCCCCCTTACACATGAGATGTTCCTTCGTAGCAAGCTCAGTCTGCCCAACTTGCGCGGAAAGTCAAGTACACGTCCTCGACTCGACGATGCTGTCAGCATTACTTCCTCGCACGCAGGGTTGGGTGGCAGCATTGAGAATGAGACCGTGCAGGTCCAAGATATGGATTTTGAGCTAGTCAAACCGTCCATTCCGATCGTTAGTGGTCGCGCTAGCCAGGATTCTGTTGTCGGACAAGAGCTTCGCCTAGATCCAGGTTCACCAGGTCTGTTAGGTGACACTGCTTCCATACACTCTGGTGCGCCTCGGTCACCCCTGGCTGCGAACGAACAGGCCTCAGGGGGTGCCACAGACACGCAGGCTGCTGCGGACGCTCATCGCCAACGGGAAGTCCGATGGATGGCCCTCATGCCGACGGTTCCACCTTCGCAAGCGAGGAAGAACAAGAAAGTTAAGCGACTTCTCCAGGACGGTGTCCCATCTTCTCTGCGCTACCTCGTTTGGTGCCATCTTACAGATAGCAAAGCCCGTGCTCTTCCTGGGGTGTACAATAAACTAGGCAAGCGACCTCGTGTCCCTGCATTTACGGAGATCGAAAACGATTCAGTGAGATGCTTCCCCGACCAACCCCAGCTACACAACACACATGGTCCCATTGTGTCTCTGCTGCAGGCCTATTTGAGTATGGTTCCCGATATACAGTATAGCTCAGGTACGTGTCAGGGCTCAGATTTTTCGGTGGCCGGCGTATAATATCTGTCACAGCATTAACTTCCATTGTGGGACACCTATTGCTCCTGGCACCAGAAGAGGATGCTTTTTGGATATTTGCCTCTATAATGGATGCCCACCTCCGGTCATACTTTTCAACGAGTACGATTCAAATAGAAGTCGACGCTGCATTGCTGAGTAAAGCCGTGGAGGTCAACGATCCAGCTGTTCACAAGAAGTTATATGTGTCACTCCAGATGGCTCCGGCAAGCATCACTCGGCCGTGGTGAGTGGTCACTTGGCATTTTAACTGACCGCGTCTAATAGCTGCTTAGGTTCTCTGGTCTGTTCGTCGGAACGTTGCCCGTAGATCACCTTCATCGGATCTGGGACATTTTCTTGTATGAAGGTACTTGTCTAGTTCTCTTTCAAAAGGGGGCATCGTCTGATTACCCGAAGGCATGCCATTTTTGTTCCGAGTTGGTCTCGCTGTTATACACTGTGTGCGCCACCTTCTTCTGCAAGCTACCTCCGAGGAAAGCGCACTGGAAAACCTGTCCTGCCCACCGCTCGCGTGTCTGCCTTCTTCTGCAGATGAAATTTTGTCTCTTTGCTTTAGCATGAAGCTGAGAGATGACGACGTGCGAAAGCAACGTGTCAAGATGGAAGCACAGGTCAAAAGACAGGCCCAGGCGCGCACGCACCCTACTAATGGCATGCCCAACCGACAGACGACCTCTATTTCACTTCCGAGGCCATAATCTGTGCCATCGCGTCCTCGATCAATCATTGTACACCAAGTATATTACCTGCTCCAGTCGTCTTCGTTCTTTTTACTTCGCAGTGCTATGTATGCTTTGCACGCTACCTCCACACGACTATTAGTACGCAGTACCTACCACCACGAACATATGTGATACCCAATGACCTTTTGTATACTCTCAAGACCAGTACATATCCCAATAACCAATGCTACTCCACGCGTCCGATGGTAATCTTCATTGGACTGAGTTACAAAAAGACCTAGGAAGAGAGTTACATCTGCAGCGGTCGATATTGACAAAGTTGAGAGCTAATGGAGTCCTCCAGTGTGCAAAAGCAATGTAATCCATGGCATGAGTGGTACCGGTAAATCCTTGGTCTGTGATAACCACGTATACTACATGCGGTTAAATATGACATTTTATACAGATGCTCAAAAATATGTGCTGCACGGGAAACGGGTCAGAGTCTGAGAGAAAAACGCTACGATCGGCAAAGCAAAGCAAAGTGCAGACAGTAAATCCGGTTTATTGTAACATCCATGAATAAGTTGGACCAGTATTTTGCCCCGACGCGTCGTCCCGAACAGGCATCGACGATGAGCGCATTTGCCACCGAAAATTTGTGTCCTGTCCCCGCGGACGTGCAGCGTCAGTTTGGGGAGGAACAAGACTATGACCAGGTGGATCTGGGTGGACAAGCGGGTGCGGGGTGTTGGTGAGCGGGATACCGAAATCTGGGGCAAATTGGTGGTTGCTCCTGACCGCCATTGCATTTTGAATGGAATTCGGAGTGGACGCTGCGTCAGCCCTTGAGGTTACATACGCACTACTTGGGGGACTGGGGTACGTCGTGGCTGAAGCTGGAGGAGGAAATAACGAGTTCGGCGCAGCCTCCGAAGCGTTCAACCTAGCGTTAACATCTGACCTCGGCAAACGTGGCCGACTTCCATCCGTATCAAACAGCGATGGCCCCGAACCCGAGAAAGCGGGTCGTAACTGACCGTTAATGTTTGCGTCCGTAGGCGGCGTGCGTGGAACAATTAGCTGCTCAGATGCATTTCCTCGCTGTTCATGTGATTGTCGGTGCACGTATGCCATTGGAGTAACATTCGTGTGAACCTGCGAAGGCAACGGACGAGATGTTGAGGGACGGGACGAACGAATATGGGTGTGATGTGACACATGAGAGTGCTGTGGGATGGCGCCATAGATAGCATGGCGGTGATCGGGATGAACAGGATGGCCGGGTGGACGGATTTCCTCCCTTGCAGCCCTTGGCTGCATAAACGTTGGTATCTCCATCTCAACATGCGTTGGCACAGGTCGTGCCGCACGGCTCGTCTGAGGCTGCTGACGAGACAGAACTGCATTCCTAAGGTTTCCCGGAGTGACAAAAGGAGCCGAGGGCGTGACAGCACCGATGCGGAAATTCGATTGAGACCCGTTGGAAGGTGAATTAGAGCTGTTTCGTCCTGCCTCGTTACTTGTGCCCGCCGTGGAAGCACTGCGGCCACGGTACGGACAGGCTTTGCGAGGAGAAGGTGACGTCTTGACCTTTTTACGACAAACAGGACAAGTGTTCGCCGTTCTGAGCCATTGCTAAAGAACTATTCAGAGAACATGTCGCAGGGAGATTCACTGTCACTTACTTCTAGGCATTGCTTGTGTAGCCAATGGGGGCACTCTAAGAGCTTGGTGACAATATCAGAAGGCTCATACTGCATGATGAAATCTTTAGTCAATCATTGCCCTAAACCACAATGAAGGGCTTACATCGTCAAGGCAAATTGGACATCTCATTTCACTGTCTTCGCTCGCCCACTCTTTATATGTCGCACTCTGGAGAGAGTTTATGACATCTTCAGGAGTCGCCTTGGAATGTACCTCCCCAATTGCATCCGACAACGATAGGAGAGCCTCATAGGATGGATCAAAAAGTTCATCGGGCTGTCAGAAATCACCGTTAAGTAACGAGCTAGATAACAATACGTGCCAAGGGCTTACCATGTAGTCACCAGCTCCGAAATTCCGCCTTGATGCCATGGAGCGCCATATGCTAGGCCGATGCGTTCTCGGCGTTGGCGCACCTCCACGGTCAAGCTGGGCTCTGTGCCTCAGCGCGTGATGCCTATGGGTGTACTCCTCCAAGGAGGTCAGCGGCGCAGATTCCTGCGTTCGCGTTAACGGAGCGTTAGATCCTGGTATAGCATCTGGCACCGCTGGACCCCTGCCACTAGGCATGAAAGGGTGCCAAGTAATGGGTTGACGCCGTGCAGGTTCGAAAGTAGGCACTGGTATAATCGGGTTACGAGTCATCGAAGGTGGGCGGTCGTCGCCGTCGTCGTCGTCGTCATCTACAGGATCCGGAGGGATTATACGACGGTGTCTAGTAAGCGCAGGCCTCGCACCGAGAGGCGGTGGGACCACGCGGGTGCCCAGTTGCGAAGACGACGAAGACCAAGTGCCATCAGAAGGTCTCTGGAAGTTTGCTAGCCGTTGTAGAATCCCACCTCCAAATGGCCGTCGCGATGCAGGCTCATCATCCACTACAGTGCTCTCAGGTCGGGGAGTCAGGCTTGGGTTCGGCCGAGGATGACCAAAAGTCGAAATTCGACGCCGTCCACCTTCTTCCCGCTGATTACGCGTATTCGCCATCTGATCCGTAAATCTCACTGGTGATGACGCTCTGTTTGATCGAGCACCAGCAGTGGCCGAGGAGTTCGAAGGCTGTGTACCTCGTACCATGTTCTGACTACTAAACGATATTGGACCGACCGGACCCCGCGGGCTAGCTTGTTGGCGTTGCCTGGACATGTTTGACTCATCATTTGTACTAGCAGGCTCAAGTCCCGATCGATTTCGTTGAGAACGTATGACAGTGCTAAGTGTTAATTAGACCATGACTGATGGACACGAACGACTGGACGTACGCAAATGCTCGCAGCCTCTCACGAATAGCGGGAGACTGGCAGACAGATCAGCTGCAGTGCTGAACCTCGAAGGCTCAAATGCTTACCGAGAGTCGCCGAGATCTAACGATGCCAAAATCCGTCTCGTCGCTGGAATCGCTATCGTCTAAAGACCACGATGGATAACGAGAAACTGGAGAAGGTCGGCGAACCTCGGCAAAGCGCCGGAGAGAGTCTCTAAACATTCCTGACTGGAATGATTCCAGATTAAGACTGTCATATGAGTAGGGGAAACCAGTTCTCTGTGCACCGTGTTGCGGAGAAATGGGTGGCGGTGACCACTCGTCTGAGCGAGACGAGGTTTCAAAAGCCGTAGGTATATCGTCACCCAAGAAAAATAGCGATTCCGGAGCAAGTGGGTTGGAAGTTCCTTGCACGTCGGGAGGATGGGGTATGAAGGGCCGGGGATCCGACCCAAGATGATTTTCCGGTCTACGACCAGCCGGTGGCTCAGACCCGCTTTCAAGAGTAGCCGTACGCCTCGTGAAAGTCTGTTCATCACTGTAACCTGACCCGCCGCGTCCCGACTCCGACACCACCCCAGACCTCATGAACCCTTCCGAGTGCGGTGGGCTGTCGGTGAAGCTCAGTGGTCGGCCTTCCGAGCGCGATTCGTCACTAGTGTAGCCAGGAAGGTCAAGGCTACTACTTTCGTGAAATGGTGTCCAAATGTGTTCCCGAGCAATTGTCTGCCTTTGCTCTGCTGCGTTCTCAGACATGAGAGAATTTGTCGACGGCATCGAGTAGAGGCGTGAATGAAAATTCGAGCGATTGGTCGGATACGGTGCATTTGGCCCATGTATACGAAACTCGGAAGGTCCGGCTTTCGAAAAACGCATGTAAATCTCGAGACAACAAGTTGGAAGATTGACTCATACCTCTTGTATCGGCCCCACTGGACGGTACACGCACCGGAATACTTGCACGTTCCCGGGCTGGAGACTGGCTACGCCTAGTAACATCACTTTCAAGCAGCGAGTCCCCAATTCCAAAGACATCGAAAACGGACGGAGTAGGCCCACGCTCTACAGAATGTTGTCTGAGAACCCGATGCCTGACCTCAGCCAATTCGGGGGAAGCTGCAAGGAATAATCTAAGATCATACCCACAAGCGATCAATCAAAGAACTGACCTCTTTCAACCTGCGATCCTGCATGAACAAAGTAGGCTGTTGTGAGATGATCACCCCCGTAGCGAACTAACGATATATCTCACCAGGCTGTATCTCAGAATTGTCTGGAGAAATATTTTCACTACGTCCGTGCGTTAGAGGGAGACGTGAATCTGAATCGATAACTCCGTTGCTAGCCAAACTAGCATCGTCTGAACTAGATGGAGACACCGCCGGTTCCAAGATAAGGGGTGATGGACTCCTTCGAATAGGACGTAGCCGGGGTGGCGGCGGCGGAGGGGATAGCCTTGAACCTGATGACTGCCTCATGCCAACGTTGGGGTGTGCACTTGCCATACCGGGAGGTGCGGAGCTAGAACCTATTGTCGCTCCAGAACGCTCGTTCTCGGTTGATGGTCTCCCTGGCGTGGGGGAATAGGAAGACGAAACGGTCGGGTTCCGAGTGAGGTTACTATATTGAAAAGGATAGAATCCACTACCGGTAGAAGAAACAGAAGGGCGGCTTGACGAAATTCCTGAGTATTATTCAGTAAGATATTGCCCTTACGAATATTAAAAATGTTCGGGGTGCTGACCGTTGGCAGAACTGAAGGGAGATATTGAAGGAAAGGTGTCATCCTGAATACTGTGGGTGGACTCATCGCCGGTGTCGGGAGCGTTCAGGTCACCGCTGCTCATAGGCTGAAAGCTAGAAGATACAGCTTGCCAATCCTCACGAGGGGCGTGTCCAGAAGATCCCATCTGTGGCAGGAGTGACGGGCGTGAGGTGGCAATCGAGCTACGCAACGCAGCAATCTGGCGCTCGAACTCGTTGAAACGCTCGAGAGAACTCCGTAAGTTATCCTCTGAGGAGACAGACGCAGTTACTGGGACGCTCGCAGTGAATGTAGGGCGTGGTAGTTCGATGGCCAGGTCAGATACGTTCCTGTCTTGAGAGGCGAACAACGCTGGAGCAGACATTGGACAATCTACAGCATCTCGAGCCAGTGTGGACGGACCACCTAACCTGAGATCGCTGCGTGAACTGGATGGGGCAGTGTCGTATCCTGTGGAAGTAGAAACATCTGACGATGATGAATGGTCACTGTTAGAAGAGCTACTTGTACTTCGAGCTCTCTTATTTCTCCCGTCTCCGGTGCTGGAGCTACTACTGGAACTACTAGAAAAGTGGTGGGAGCTTCCTGAGCTGCCACTTCCACTAGCCTGGGTCCCGCTGTTCAGTGATGTGTCAGGATCAGAATCGTACCCGCATTCTTCGAACGGGCGCTTTCCGTTGGACTGCAAAGCAACGCGGTGAAGGTGGGATGGACGATAGCTTGAGGACGAGGACATCTGTGCAGACCCAGAGCTGGTCTGTGCTGGAATAATAAAGGACAAGGACACTAGTGGATGTTCGGTTTTTTTGGTCTGTGCTACTAGAAATGGAGGACAACAAGCTGGGTCTCGGGTGCGAGAGGTCAGAAGGCGAGGGGGACATCGCCACACCCACTGAGGGGTGACTAAAAAACTGCCATCGAGCGTTCACTGTTCTGATGTAGACAATTCACCCGCATTACAAGTTGATGGCATCCTCGCAGAATACATGTGTTGCACCTTTCCACCATACTCGCTGTGTTAGCAGCAGTGCAAGGACCAAACTGGTATCCCCAACAGTTGCACTGGACTGTGCCGTGAGACTACTATAATGGCACTTCTAGCCTGGCTGCATTCCGAAGCCATCCAACACCCGTACGTTTTACGTTGTGCAGAGCCGACCAGCAAGAAAAAATTACCCATTACAAGTCGTGCTGGGTCCCTGCCCTGCTACACCTTGAGGCTAGGCATCGCTATTAGAAAACTTGCCAAGATCAAAATCCTACCAAACCACACGGACAGTCTATGATTAGTTTTGTTGCACGACAATGTAAGTACGTATACCGTGGCTTGATCGTGCCGCCCAGCGACGACGACAACGGCGGGGGAAAGCGAGCAGCCTCAAGAAACCGTTCCTCTTTGCGTAACACCTTTTGACGGTCCTGGCACAGTGGCCACAGCATTTGGGTCTATGACTGACACCGTAGTCCCTGGTTGCTGTAAATGCATCATGCAATATCACTAGATTGTTAGACGCGGTCGACTCAGAAATGTGCTGCGGTCAGACAGCATGCCATGCTTGTGGACTCAAGACACAAATAACTTAGCCTACTTTCTTTCCAACGGACGCTTCAAGCACCTTATACTCACGAGTCTCGGGCTTCTCACACATGTGAAGTAGGGTGGTTTATGAAATCCTTGCGAAAGGAGGCGTGCAAACGATACCAAGGGCGACATTTCGCGAAACACGGCCACGTACGGTCCGACTCGGCCGTCTTTCAGGACCCACGAAGACCATTCCCACCGAGCTTTCTGGGTGATATGGCGCTGGCGGGAATGGAGGACTCCGAGTCTCGAATGTCATTTTAACAGGAAGAAGTTCGATCCGATACGTTCTGGGCGCTATGATACCTTAATTTGGTAGACCGTCTGCTCCGAGGCACCTGCAAAAAAACCGGAATGAAAAGTTTAGCTACCAGCATGGAAGGAACAGAGAAAACCGCACTCCGCCCTCAAGTCCGTCCCCCGAGACCCGGATAAAAGTGTGTTGACCACGAAGTGAGTGCTATGTACATGTTGTAGCGAACGTTCGTAGGGCCGTTTAGGACTAGATCGTTCCTCAACACCGTCTAGAAGATATATTGTATCCCTGGATAACGCGGATCATGACGAACCATCGCGATACGCCTCGTTGGTATTTTTTAACATTATCTCACTGATTGTTCTACACGTTCCAGGCAGTCGCTCTTGACCATGTGGTCACCACGAGACTAACCTTACGTCTTCCTGCGTGCTGACTCCTACAATAGTTTTGTTTCATAGTGTCTCAAACTCCCGCCCTAATGCACCATGCATTAGTCTTTCCATCCGAGGAAAGCGAGGCGTCCTACAAAGGTATAACCTAGAGCTCACTTCGGTCGACACTACTGTCCATCCGACGGTCGTGTTCAGGCCGATCACGGCGTGCCTTTGCGCTGGTATTTCGCTCGTTTGACACTGGAATCTAGGTCTCACGGGACTCGTGTCCAGGCGCTTAGATTTTGTCATGTCCATCAGAGGTCCAGGCCTACTTCTCGTGTGTCTGTAACGAACATGTCCTCGGTGAGAACTTGTTCTAATGGTGACAAAATCTTGCCGCCCTCCCACAGAATGAAATTTGCGGGTGACAACGCGGTGGCAACGGAGACACGGGACAAACATGCATCCGGGATAAACCTTTTCATCTTCAACCCATATCCGCCAGCGATAGATGCGTGAATGTCCTAAGAAAGCTCATTACGCGTGCGATGACAAACCTTGGTGGTAGTCACGATATTTGTGACTCGGTGCTTTACCCACCTCAGATACGACGTGAACTTCGGATCCCGAACAATGAATCCCGCCATCAGGCGTCTCGTATTCGGCTAAGTGCAACGCAGATTCATACAGCCAAACTCATGGATTAATACACACAGACCTGTGATGCCAATATAATAAAGGTGACCCTGGAAAAGATATGGCGAACCCAACACCCTACAGGCAGCACGCGCGTATCACGTGTATGCCAAACACATGGATCCCTTCTAGAAGAAAAGATAACGAAACAAACCGAAAGGAGAGAAAGACAACTGTCGTAACCTGCGTTCAGAATGGCAACCGCGTGGACGTCCACACTTCCGGGAATTCGTACCACAATTCGGGGAGTTGTCGGAGAATACACCGCTGATCCGTACCTCCCGTACCAAGTTTTGCGCCCCAACCATTTTCTTTTTTACCCTCGCTGCGTGTAATCGTGAAATCAAGCCAAGAATCCTGATACCGGTGCGTCCCCGCGCGCTTGCGGTACTCAAAACCAACCTGTTGGATGCTCTTGAGGCTGCTTGCAAACATATCAGCGCACTGGGCTCGTGCAGTTTTCCACGATTCCATTTCGTCTACCTCATCGTATTCGGGGAATTGCATGCATAGTCGTAGAGACTGGAGCGCAGACAACGGCAATAATGCATCAACGAATTCCTGCTATGAATCCGATCAATCAAGGATATCGCATAATCCCTCATTGCTGCGACGGAATAGCAGCTCTGGGGACCAGGAGAAAGCCGGGAGGGAACACGTACACATGTAGACATGGACTTTCCGTCGTGATATCCACATCGTTCAATCTCAAGTACTTCCAAAAGCGGGAACAGGGTGGCGATAAGATGACAGAGTCGTGGGGTCAGCTTGTCTTCGATAATAATGCGCAAATGCTTTAAAGGACAGCCGCTCGCAGCAACGTCGGTGGCCACCCGCTCGGCCTCCGCATGAGAGAGGGCAATCGGCCACCGGGGCAAGTCGATCACCGCGAGGATAGCCAGCTTTTGAAGTGAGGGGAAATAGTTCAGAATGCCGTCGAGATTGCACGCGTTGGAAATTGCGAAATTCGTTAACGATGCTAGTTTCTCCAGGTGCCTAGGATGTGGAGAACCGTCTTGTGGAAGCAAAGAAAACTCTTTTCCTCTCGGACGAGAGAACAGCAGTCGTAGATCGTTTAGCATCGGCATGCGTTCGAGGGCATCCCAAATCGATGCCTCTGGCGGTGGAGTAACGGGGTATGCGTACGATATTTGCGTGCCCGGTACATGTCCATACAGTACCAGGGTACGCAACTCTGGCCACTGCACAGCAGCAAGGGTTGCAAAGGAACAAAGGCCGCCTGAAATGTCGAGATGGGTGAGGCATGGTGCCTGTTGACGGAGGAACACCGCGCAGGCCCGTGGCTCCCTGAGGCCACGAATCTGTGCTTGCAGACGATATTTCCTCCTCCAGTCTCGCATAAAGTAGGTTATATCGGAGACTTTTGGATCTGTTGGCCCGTCCCCGATGCGCAAGGACTGTCCTACCTGGGAAAGGTTAACACGAGAAAGGGCGGAAGGATACACCGATACGAGACCCATATCTATGGGCGTGTCTACGAGCGAGAAAGACGTGAGTGAGGCGCATTGTCCGATTGCCTGGAAGAGGGACTGGGGAGGAATAAATGGGAAGCTCATGGTAATTCTGTATAGCTTGGGCATGCACACTATAGCAGAGGAAACGATATCCAAGCTGGACGGTGTGTACATGCCGTCGCGATCGAAGTAACCGTGGCGCAAACGACCGGGTTCTGTCCACTCGTCGTGCCAGACAAGATAGAGATGTCTTGTGGAAAACGATGTGTCAGTGGTGTGGGATCGGAGACGGTGGCGAAATAAATATTTCTAACCTAACATGCGGACGCAATGATTCTGGTAAGAAAGATAGCCTGTTGTCTGGATCGGTCTTTGACTTGTGCGGCCAGCGCACATCGGAAAATATGATAGGCAGACAAGCTTGGCGACAGAGACGAGATGCGACAGACAGACTCAGAAGCGAGGACCCTGTTCTTCTACCTTCCCTGTGAAGCAGTTCATTGCTGACTATGTGGAGAACGTCCGCGTTCAGGATCGACATGATCACGAGAACTAAAGTGCAAAAACACGACGGAAGAGGGGATTCTGCGGGGCAGGAGTGCGATGGCAGGACGATTGTTGGCTTCTAGGGTGTCGAGGGTGGTGTTTGCTAGATGCCAAGCTAAAGATGGGAAGGAGGCATATGTATATGAGTGGGGGGTGACTTACACTGAACTAACGTTGGATCCAGGTGCCCACACTGGCGAAAGTTGACCACGTCCAGCTCTTGGAGACGTTGTGCAGGGTCCTGCGTCGGTGCGTGGGTTTGGCAAGGGAGTGCCGCCCCCATTCCAGCCTCCAGGCGCAAAAATATGGCGATCAGCATCCGCCAGACACCCAAACCCTAACACAGGCGCGTTGCAGGTTCTAGACTCGTTCTAGAATCGATTGACGTCAAACACTTACCACACAATGAAAGCCATGCAGTGCTAATCTGAGAAACAGCCAGGCGAGGCGAGGCGGCTATTAACGACTCTTTTGCAACAGACCACAAGTGTATTGGCAAGCACGAAAGGAGACAAACCATAGGTCGGCATTCCCCTCGTAGACTGGCATGCCCGACGGATTCCACTCGTTCCTCGTAGCTCCATATGCATTACATGAGATTAACACGGGAATGCACATCTCTCGTAAATCCTCACAGCCTCCCTCTAACTTACATACACCGGATCCATACAGTCTGCTTGCTACTTGGATGCGTACTTTTCTGTCCACTCTCGGCTCACCCGCTGCGCGTCCTTCTCATTCTCCTTATAATGCTTCGCCACGTCCGTTGCAAGCGGATCATCAGGGTTCGGGGCGCTCAGGAGTGCTTGTATGGAGAGTAGTACCGTCCGAATTTGTAATGCAGGTGACCACTTGTCTAGACCCCCACAATAACCGTCTTTCAGCATTGCGAACTAAGGCCGATCGATGAGACACTACCTTTCAGAATGTCCAGACAGATCCGACCAAGCTTATCTGTTGAGCCAACATCAGGACAGAAGCCAATAGATACTGTGGTGCATTCTTAAACAAGGAGAGGAGGCGCACCAATATTGGGATGGTATATCTTCGTGAGGAAGCGAACTTTAGGCGGAGCCATCGGATATTCTTCCGGGAGGAACAATTCTAACCTAAATACCCCGTCTACAAGTAACGTACAGTACATCGCGACTCAAATGCTTCGACAGCGACGCGGGGCGGATTACTTACTTTGGAACGGACTGCCATCAGGACCTTCGATAGTAACATCAAAGTAACGCAAATTGTCCTCGTGGGGAGCGGCCGATATGCCCGGGGCAGGGTCTGCAACAAGTCGCTCAGTTTCCTGGTAGTATGGCGAAGTCAGTTTTCAGCGGCTGCAGAGGATACCATCACGACTACGATATGGGCACAAAGGGATGGCCCCACCTTTATGATTCGCTGGATAAGGTTGTTACGATCGTCAGTGAGGTGTAAGAAACATGAACGCACGTTCTTACCTTTGGTAGGGCCATATCAAGAGTTGGTGCGCGTGACAGAGAACGTGGACGAAGGTTGAGTGTCCAGACAGGATGCGGCGACGGAGTCACTAGTACTGCTGGTGGTAATCACACATTCCCACGCCTGTCCCTCACACCCTCGGGTTCAGATACAAAATGACCACCAGGACCCAAGCAAACGTGAGTTTCGCGTGCGTGCATGTCAGAACGACTGTCGACTTTCGAGAACAGAATCATTCAGGAAAAAGTGACGACTGGGTTAAACTAGTCAGCTCTGACGGGTACTCTTTCCTCGTCAAACGCAACGTTGCCACAGTCAGTGGAACGCTCAGGACAATGCTGAGCACGGATAGTTGGTAGCCTTTCTCCTTCCATCAGCTCGACCAAAGACTTGCGCACAGGCACATTCAGAGAGGCGCTCGTGAACACTTGCACGATAAGTGAACGGTGAGCCCTTGACTACTGGCGTGTCTCCGCTGATCAGGTCTCGCACAGTGCTGTTCTTGTCGAGAAGGTTTGCGAGTACATGGCGTTTAAGGCCCAGTACGAAAGTGCGGGCCCAAAGGAAGAGATTCCGCTGAACGAGTTTACGGAACGCATACCCCCTGAAGTGGCCTTAGAACTGTAAGTCTTCGTGTTCCGCAGCTCAGATATGTGTTCTGATCCACCGCCTTTTACCTGGTAGCCTCTTGGCAGCCGATTATCTGGAAGGTGAGGCCTGATGACCCACCCAAATATCCAGCAGTTGGAGCTCACTCCCGCACTAGTTTGAGTTTCCACACCTCTCTCAATCCACCCTACTACTGTAATATTCGGAAGCTTTTCCCCCACACTTTTCCTGCCAACCCGTCAGTTACGTATACATCCATGGACTAGCCATACTAAGCCGTCATGCATCAATACTCCACTGGTAACACACGTCGCAAAAGATATCCGGCTGACAGATGAGAAGTCCTGCGAAGTGGGCTGAAGCTTTTACCGGGTTTGAAGTTAGGCAAGCATGAGAACTGAAGTACTGATTAATTGAGAGAGCCACATATATACATTGGCATAGAGGATATACAGCGATATACGCTTCGCGCGGACTCTCCAGCGGTCAAAGTCAAAGTTCCTGGTATCATACATTCACTCGAGTCCGCGTTGCCCTCTGCGCCTTCTCCCCGTTACTCCATCACAGACCCAGCCAACGACATGCCGCTGGTTGTGACTGGCGCTAGGTCGTCTCGAATCGCTTCAGTGGCCGCGGTAGCCCCGTCGGCATTCGACCCCTAGCGATCCGGTCTGCAATGCGCTCAACCATGCCTCCCTCCCCACTTTCCTCTTCCAACATATGCCGAATGAGGTCGTCCCTACCTACGCCTTCAAAGTCGCCAGTCACGTAGCGCCGCATACTTGGAGCCGGTATAACGGGGAACCCCTCATCAGCAGGCTCGAAACGTGGCAAGCGTTCGTTGGCGAGGTCTGACTGTCGTCTGCATAATTAAGATGGAGAGGAGAATTGATGAACGAAGAGAAAGAAAAAAGCCATGATCAATACAACAAGGGGGAGGGGAAAATCGATAACACTCACGCATCGGCGAAGGTCCGGATGTAATTCCTCAGTTGTGCGCCTTGTGCTGTCAACATGTCTGATCCACGCCGCTGCTCCAGTGGTACCGTAGCCAGTTCTGTAGCATTCTCTGCTTCCTCGCTGAAACATCATTTAGGTTAATATGAGCACCTCGGGGGAGAGCAAACGAAAGGTCGGAACAAAGGATGGCAGCGTTCCGACGTACCGGAGTAACTGAAACACTCGTTGCATCTTGCCCACAGCGAGAATCTTATCCTTGATCCGTTGATGCCGTACCCCGACCTCCGCTGGTGAAAGCGCAAGATCCACTGTGTGTGCGTCTTCGTCGTCTATGTCTTCAAGCTCCTCGGAGCTACATGTTGATAGGATGGCAAGGAGCATCTCTGTAACTACATAACGGATTATGGCCAGCGCAGAATCTGATAACAAATGCAGCACCCACTTTTGGCGCCGACAAACGGCAAGCTCCACGTGAACGCATCCATGAAATTAGGAAGCCAATATGGGTGAGAGCTCGAGTTAAACTGGCGAATCGTGATGTTCTTATTTGCATACTTAATCACCGCCCCTCGGTTATGGTACACATCAAGATAGTTAGGGGCACTGAAGACCGTTATTACAGATGGAAACTTTTTTGTGGGCGTTTTGCGGTACATCTGATACCTTCGTTGGCGACATCATTCACATCGGCAGATCCCATACGAGTGGTTGCGACCATAACAAAGAGTAGCAAAGAGTAAGTGTGGGAAATGTGCCAATCAAGAGATAGAGATCGCGTACCCCGCATCTTGTGCCTCGTGTCCGCGGACGATGCCAAGAAGCCCGTTGCGTTCAAGGAACATGCATACTGCATGGTACCTGCGTGCGGGACCTTCATTACTTGGAGGAACAAGAAAGGTAGATATACTACTCACGTATAATAGTACGAACATCCGCGCATTCCATTATGCTGCCAAGTGGTTCCATGTGGAAGAGGTGGTCCATGTTGTGAATGTTCGTTTTCGTATCCAAAATTAGCTATTGGATCGGACCATAACAGATCGCACAAGAGTCCGCTAGAACCTGGTTCTTGGAACCGGTGGAGCTATTCCGACGGACAGGAGGGTCACAACCACCTCGGAACACCAACGGCTATCCACGAACCTTCTGTAGGTCATCGAGTGTATTAAGTTCTGGTGATATGCCGCCGTGTACACAAAAGAAACGGTTATCCACAATGGCAGCGAGAGGAAGTGCGTTGAAAGAGGCCAGACAATCGTCGTACACGGTAGCAGAATATTTGTGGAGGCCTGCATGCTCAAGTCAGCAGGGCACCGCTGGCGTCAGAGGTGACGAACATTCTCGTTTGAAGGTAAAGTATTCTGTGAGATGTCGGCATTCGTGGTTGCCACGAAGAAGAGTAATATCCTTCGGGCGCTGGAGTTTGAGAGCGTAGAGATACAGCAAGCACTGGGCCACGTATGCAATCCTTGAACGAGACTATATGATGCTGGACGTACTTCGATGCCGAAATTACCTCGATCGACATAATCGCCCAGAAACAAATAGTGATTATTAGAGAAACTTCCCCCCACTTCGAACAATTTCATGAGATCATACTTGCGGTTGGTATGAGATGGGAAGATTGAATCATCATAGTGACACGACTCACATATTGGCCGTGGACATCTCCACATACTGACGCAAGGTGTGGTCATCAGGATGCGAGGTCCCTCGATTGCACACAGCAGGCACACGCACTTGTAATAGGGCTTGCGACTTGAATGAGGTTGGGCTCGTGTGAGAGCAACGCTGTCGCTTGACGGAGGATGCGCAGGGCCTGATCTTCAGTAAGGCGGCCTTCCTGGATAAAGTGTTGTCTTAAGAAATCGACATTGGGAAGTTGCTCTCCGCGTGGGCCGCGTATGAATAGTTCCTCGTCGGTGGGCTTGGAAGTCATTGGCGGGGCAACCTTTACAAATGATTACGGGTGCAAAGAAACAGAGACAAGATCAATACGGGTCCGCATGAGATGAGCAAGATCGGATTGCTGACATGCGGAACAGGTCGCTCCGTGTAATTTGGGCCAGGCGCCCATTGGGGTGTCCCTCCCGGGAAGACGGGGTCGCGATCACGATCCAGTTGAGAGCCGCCAGAATACAGATCTTGCGCACGCGACACCATGGACACTGACGTTGTTGAACGTTGAACGTTGATTAGCGCGCTGGTACTCGATGGCGAGATGGTGTGAGAGTATGTGTCCTTGTCAACTCATTCGCATCGGGCTCTCATCCGAACCACGACATGTCACAGCAACCTGCGTCCACCGTAAATGAGCTCATTGCAGGCAGTGCCGGAGGCGCAGCACAGGTTCTTGTCGGCCAGCCTCTAGACACTGTAAAAACGCGCGCTCAAATAGCCCCCAGTGCGTCTGATACTACTTTGTTTCGGTATTGGACTCATTCCAGATAATAGAGGGGATGTTTGTACGTCCTCTGTTACGTCTAGCTCTCCGGGGCATGCCTGACCCCCTTTAGAAAGGACCGATGGACATCCTCGTTCGGACGATTCGAACGGAGGGGTTCTTTGCACTATACAAAGGTACACGTGCTCTGTCTGCGACCACTTTTGAATAACCATTCATTCTCCATCCTCAGGCATGGCGAGTCCCCTGATTGGCATTGCAGGCGTGAACTCGCTCCTCTTTGCGTCCTACGCAACCTCGAAACGCATCATCTCTCCCTTTCCACAGCTTACGCTCCCCCAGATTGGCTTGGCTGGAGCCATGGCGGGTGCTGCGAATGCTGTCCTTGCAAGTCCTGGTGAGTCCTTATCCACGCTTATCACATTGTGCCGATTCAACTGTAATCATAGTCGAAATGTTCAAGGTCCGTATGCAAGGACAATACGACGCGGCGACCGATAAGCGGCTGCGTGATGTTGCTCGGGAAATGTGGAAAGACTGGGGGTTCAAGCGAGGTATCATGCGTGGATATTGGGTATGTACTTCATTTTGTCTCGAGACCTAATTTTGTCTTGCGTCCGCTGCGGTGACATCGGCAACTTTGCTCCCAGGCTCTCGACGGTATCCCTTCTAACAAGCGGCTTTGCACACACAGGTCACTGTAGCCAGAGAAATTCCTGCGTATGCTGGGTATGTGACACCAGTTTAATGTTCAACTCGGAGAGAATTAACCTTCAAAATGCACGTATCGATAGGTTCTACACAGGTTGGGTAACGGTTACCTTCTCAAATGCACCGACTTATCAGCCAGTTTTTACCGTGACAGCTTTTGAGTTTTCAAAACGGCAGTTTCAAACGCGGTATGGTGAACATGTACCAGTTTGGGCTCTCCTCACAAGCGGAGCTACGGGAGGAGTGGATACCTTTTTCGTGCTGTCTTCGCCATTTGCTTACGGTGCTTGAACCCCTTATTTCGCAGATTGCATATTGGCTTTGCTGTTACCCTCTAGGTACATTCTCAGCCCTGTACACTGCTGCCACGTCTGACTGGCCTTAATCCATTGCCAGATGTGATAAAGTCACGCATCCAACTTCGCCCGACGCCACCCACGTCACGACCGTGGACATACATCAATTCAGAACTGCGGTCTATTGTCGCAGATAGTGGGGTGTACGTCACCGTTTATTGCACTCTCAGCTGAAGTTGTTGACTGTCACTTGGTGGCTCGTCTCCTACCGATCTACATCAACCCGACGCCATTACCGTACGACGACCACGTCACACAGCTCTGGCCTTTTTCGTGGACTTTCCCCCTCGTGTAAGTCCTTTTTTTCCCACCCAAGGCAGGTCTATTGACTTGTATATACAAGTGCTTCGAAGGTAGGTAATACGCAGCGTGGACCCGGCCCAACTCACGCATGTACAGTATACCGGCAGCAGCAAGTACATTTGCCGCTTTTGAATTGACGCGTGGTAAGTGGGAGTCCCTTTCTCATTTTCTATACTAATATAGCGAACTTTCCTTTGCGCAGAATTTTTGCGAGAGTTAACAGGGGTGTAGCTACGATTTATTTACCTAGGGCATCGGTTCTACCTACTGGTGTGGAATGCCTCCGTCGCGTTAACGGCGGTTTCGAGTCGTCAGCTACTGACCTTCAATTATACCTGCTGTCGACGTGGCTACGATGAGCATGGTACATCTTTCGCTTCCTTGAGGTTGCATTTTTTTGGGAGTATCAGTTTTCGACTGCGCAGATTTGCCAAGGGCATAAGTTATATGAACTGCGAGCTCGGATACGATGCAATGTGCGCAGAAACTATCGGTGGGATAGCTATAGACATTTTTTCATCATGGGTTTCTCCAGTCAGCTTGGCGATGGGACGCAGGACCCTATCCATGTGACTCCGCACTACACAACAGTGACTCCCACGGAGATTACTTGACAACTGGATTGACCCCTCGAGCGGCAAGGTAATCCTTAGCTACACTAGGACTCTGATAGGCAGCAGTGAGGTTTATAGGACGTCACGTATGGAGGACAACGCAGACTCCACTTACCAGCCCTTTAATAAGTTCGTATACACTTTTGTCATGGTATCTCAGGCCAGTTCGTGGGTCGGTGTATGGTGCCTGTGATACTTCGGGACAATGGCGAGCGAGATGACGGATACACTTACCTCCAAGCCTGTGATATCACAATAGTGCCGGGGTGGGAGTAAGGAGGGTGGTGCCTCGATAGATGTGTCTACCAACAGCACAGAATCGAACCTCAAATCAGCTCCGACGAAGATTTAGCTGAAATTAGCAATGGAAGTGTACTTACAGGTTGGTATATCCTCGTCTAAGACAACACTGTGCGACGCCGAAGTCTTCTCCTCGTTTGCGTTGTTGGTGGTGTCGACGTCCATGGCATCGTCTGTCTTACGCTCCTGCTCCTCTTTTTCCAGTCGTCTTCTCTCCCTCTCTGCACGTTCCCGTTCCCGTTCTTGGGTCAGGACCGTCTTGAGATTCTTCGTCCGTCTATTAAGATTCTTGGTATAATTCGGGTTCTTGAACGGGCGACGATAGTGTAGGAAAGAGAGCTGTTCGGCGAGGGTCTGTCCTCATGTTGGAAAGTTTAGTATTGGGGGTCGTAGAATACGACTCACAGGGGTGTGCGTTGCCGAGCTAGCGCTATCGATGGGTGCTCTTTTCCGGCCCGAACCCTTGGGTGGCCTGTAAGAATCAAAGTGTCAGATACTCATGACCTTCGTAGAGAAAAGTCACTGTCGATACATTCTCTTGTAAGGGTCTTTGAGTTTTGTGGTAGTCCTACAAAAGAGTCAGCTCCTGCCTTCTGTCCCAGGCTCAGTTACCCGGAATGTCTTCATCCAAGTAGGCTGCCCCACTATTCCTTCTAGTTACTGCCTGTCTAACCAGTCCTAGTCCTCTCCCATCTTCCAACTGGCTCAAGCTAAAGAAGGTCCGTTATAGCATTCACGGCCTTTCTCCAGATTGTAACGACGAGTAGGCCATCCAGCCGTCAAAGAGCAGGAAGCGCCATTCTCAACAAAACAATCACAAGAGTGTCTCGCCGCCTTCAACGTCTAAGGCACCGATATTCCATCGGAATAACACAGTGACATCGCCGCAACATGGGACATTGGAAAACATTGATTTGGACACGACTGAAATCAAGAACGGCGAGTCCATAGCTAGTCTGCGCAAAATGGTACTTGGGATGAACTCATATCAACCTTCCGAGGCAGTGTGCGTAGACTTTCATTCCCTTTTTGTTTTCTTATCGGTTCACTATGCCATCAGTCCTGGAAAATACCTCGCACTCGATTGTGAAATGGTCGGCATTGGCTTGGAAGGATCGGAGTCATCACTAGCCCGCGTCAGCATAGTCAATTTCAAAGGTGCTGTCGTTCTTAATGCGTTTGTTCGGCAAAAGGAGCGTGTCGTCGATTATAGAACGAAATGGAGTGGAGTGCGGAGAGCAGATCTTGGCGAGGAAGGTGGGCGACTAAGCTTTCGTTAATTCTCGACTGCTGTAAAAGATCTCGGTTGATAACTTGATCCGTAGCAAAGCCCTTCGACGAGATACAGCAAACTGTATCTGATCTAATTAAAGACCGAATACTTGTGGGTCACGCTGTGCACAACGATCTCAAGGTAGGCATGGTGTAGGGTCCCTTCACTGTTATCTCGCTCTCGACGAACCACACTGATTCCGACCTTTGCCCCAGGCACTGCTCCTTTCCCACCCTGCACAGCAGCTTCGTGACACTCAATTACTGGCACATCAACATAAGTTGGTGAATTCACGTCGGCCTGCTCTTCGGGTACTCGTGCGACAGGAATTAGGAATAAGCATTCAGGAAGGAGAGCACAACAGTGTATGCAGAAATTTCGTCCAGTCTTGCCCCTTGGTTAGGCTCGGGGGCTGCTTACAATGTCATCTCATGTGATTTTGTCTGTTTACCTTCTAGGTCACGGACGCGCGTGCAACTATGGCACTCTTTCGGCTTCATAAGAAGTTGTGGGAGAGCGGGTTCAGAGCCGTAAATACCCCGATGAAATCCAAGTCCAAACTCAATCCAGGTTCCAGCTCCAGGTCATCGCCAATCAATTCTGCTGATTCTCGAGGGCGTAAACGCGCCCGTGAGACTACTGTATCTACAACAGGCAGTCAATGTCGATCTCCGAGTCCGTTTTCTGCACCATCAGATGCACCCAAACCACCGAACATAGACCCAGTAACGCCGGGGCAGAAAAGGTCGCGAATGGCTGACGATAGCATGGAAGGGCGGGGACGACAAGGAGTGTCGTCTGGTCTCTCTACCGTCGTCCGTAGGGCTGGTGGTGTGAAAGAAGTAACAGGGAAAGGTCCGAAGAGAAAGGGGATGGTTGTAGGTGGATCAAAGCCGAGGGAGAGGTGGTGGACGACTCTAGACGACGGCTCGTCCGGATCAAAAGGGACCGTAAGACTATCGATGATGTAGGCCCATATATTGATAACACCGATCCAACAAACCCAAAAATGCCCAGAGCCCTGGACATTTTCCGTAAGCAAACTGTAGGCCCCGTTGGTTACACATCCATCTGCTCGCAGACAAGTTCTTAGATACAGGTCAGGTTATTTAAAGCGAGGAGGCTGAAATGCCCTAAAGCCAAATTCTTTAACATGTGTAAATTCGGAGTCCTCTAAAAAGGGCCATCGAGATCTACTTTTTACTGCACGGAAATTCTTAACGATCATCTGGGATGCCTTCATATTCATCGTATCCAAGCGCCAGATTCAAATTCTGCAGACATTGCGTGGCGGCTCCCTTGAGCAAGTTATCCAAGCCGCCCTGTGTAGGGTAGAAGGTCCGTCAGCATGGCAAAACAAGAGACTCTGGCCACGATACTCACCACTATAACCACTCGTTCTCCCCCACTGTGCACCTGCACTCCACCGATCACAGCGCTCTGCTTCCCAGCGATGTCCGCCAGACTAGGTACGGCAGCCTGCACGCGCACGAGGCGCTCGTTTTTGTATTTCTCCTCATACAGAGTCCTTATATCAGCAGCGGTGGCCTTGGAAGCCAGAGGCATCGACAGGGTACAGATGATTCCGCTAAACCAGGGTGCAACGACAGGAACGAATGCAACCTGCATGTTGTCTGAGGCTTTGCTGTCTGCACTCGGGTTAGGCAAGAGACGTGATAGGTGCCACCCGGCTTCGCGTTCGTGCACATGATCCGTCAACGAATACGGTCGGATGGCACCACCAAGGCTTTCAGCAGGAATTTTAGGTAGGCTCGTTGGCTGCCCGTCGGCCGTTTGTGAAGGAACAGTCCCTGCGCCGCTATATCCAGAAACTCCAAAGACAGTTGGCCAACACCCATGCTTGAGGTAAGGGAGTAAAGGTGCAATCAGGAGCTGGATCGTTGTTGCATAGCAGCCCGGGTTGGCAATACGTGTAGCATCACGGATAGCAGGACGGTTGTACAGTTCTGACAAAGTATGGAAAACGGGTAACATGTAGACCAGAGCAAGCAAAAGAAATCATGAACTTGACGATCCTAGCACGATAGATTACAAACGCTCCTCACCAGGCAGGCCATACGTCCAGCCATCGTCGAACCTCCAATCCGCACTTAAATCCACCGCAACACCAGCCTTTCCTCCTTTTCGTTCCTTTTCTTTGGCTCCGTTATTTAACGCCGCGACGAAAGGAGCACCTGCACCGTTCGGCAGTGCCAATACCCATGCATCCACCTCCCCTTCACTCTCCATCTTCTCCATATCGTTGACTCCCAAGTTGCTGTATGTTACAGACCCTTTGGTGTACCCCTCCAAAGCCCTGCCCGCAAGCTGGCGCGAAGACACGTGCGTCAAATCCAGGTAAGGGTGAGAGGAAAGAAGCGAGACGAGAGCCTGACCAGTGTACCCACGTGCACCAACAAGTGCCAGGCGTTTGCGTTCCGTGGTATGCTGTACGGGTAGGACGGGAGCCGCGGCAGTAGCGTAGCCTCGAGTACTCGTGGGAGTGCGTCCAGCAGACGTCGAGTACGCCCGTGAGCCACCAAGACCATTAGACGAGGTTGCACGCGAGGGTCCCACGGGAAGATAAGAGCGAGGAATGCGTTTATTTTGTTCCAAAGAGTGGACTACTTGATCAAGCTCACTCGCGTCGGTCACGCCGTACCAGAACAGGGTCCTTGAGCCCCTCGTGAAACTCCCGTCCGCACGCTCAAAGTGCCAGGCACGATTTTCATCATCGATCGGGGCAGTCCAGAAGAGCTTACGATGGTCTTTGCGTACGGCATTCCAAACATTGTCCAGAACACCGTTCAGCACCCCAGCGCGAGATGGGAGGAGGCGGGTAAGTACAGGTATCTCCCCCTCAGGGTGTGACACGACGGCAACGGAATCAAGGGGTTCGTCGGCGTAGATCGTGAACGGGGCACGTTCAAGTTCTGCCAGGATACCTGCGACACTAGCCGTCCCTGCACACACATCTGGATCACGTTCGTGCACGACTTGACGGAAGCGGTCAGGACCAATGCTCGCAAGGGTATCGTACTTCGTTAAACGATAGCCACGACGAATAAGAGTACCAGCGCCTGAATCCGTAAAAAGTTCGCGCTGGAGGTTGGCGGCGGATATGACCGCAACAGACGAGGAACGGGGTAGATGTTCCAAGAGCTCCTTGAACTCCCGCAACTTGAGCTTCGTGCCGAACTTGACCCAGGGTTCTTTCATTAATTGATCGTATTCCTACATAATAAATGTCAGCCGGTCCTTGCCGCTGCGGAGAAAACAAACAAGGCGGGTAGATGGACATACCTCGTCCAGATTGATCACATCGAGTTTCTCTCCAGTGACGCCATGGAAAAGGCCGCCCTTTTCATTGAGGAAGACAATCTTCAGCGGCTCAAGCTCTTTGGACAGCTCCCCAGCGGCGACGTCCGCGTTGACATTGAGAATCTGGCCCTCTGGTGTCTCAGCCAAGCTGGTTAGGATGGGAAGGGCGCCGGCACGAATGGAGGCTTCGATCGGGCGCTTGTCAACACGCGTGATGCGACCAACCAGACCATAGCGAGGACGATCGAGGTAGTCGGCAGTGAAGACGCCGGACGTAATTGGACGAGCACGGGTGCCCAACTTTTCAAGGGCCCCGACGAGCTTAAGATTCTCTTCGAGGAAGACACGACGGGCAATTTGGAGGGTGTTAGCGTCTTTAGAAAGAACAAAAGGATGGAATGTAATCGTCAGAATCGCCCAGCATAGGATGTTAGAGTCCTACCAGTAACCCTGATGCCGTCTATATAATCAGGCTCTACGCCTTCTGCTTCAAGGATATCGTTCATCTGTGGCCCCGCACCATGCAGGACCACGGGGTAGAGGCCAACTCGATAGAGAAATGAGAGAGAATGGGCAAGGTCATCAATATTGTCCAGGACGGCTCCTCCGACCTTGATGACAGCGAATTTGGCAGGTTGGACCGGGTTGGAGGCAGAGGAGAAGATGCGAAGGTGACGCTCCACCTCACGCTTCGAACCTAGTGAATAGAGAAGACGGGTAATTGTATCCTGTCAGAAGTAGCATTAGAAGACGGCAGAAGGGTATGAACGCTGTTCACACTGACACGGTCGGTTTGAATGACTGACTGGATAGAGCGGACAGATATATTGTCTCGTCGACGTACAGCTGTCAGGGCACCCTGTCGTTGTCCTGGCAGAAGGGCCTTCCTGACCACCCGCGACGACAGGTGTGCAGCACGATTGGACAACATTATTGTGGTACAGTGGAGAGAAGGAAGGATGAACCGAGCAAATTTACTGCCAGCCGAGTCACTGATTGACAGCGTCCCTTGGATACTTTATTACATGCTTGCAACTACCGACTTCATATCTACGACGTGGTTGCTGTACATCGCAAATAACACTCAGGAAGTTTGCAAATTGCATTCCCCTACCCGGCCTAACGTTTACGCACGTACACAGAGGATAAGCCCACCGAAACTGGGTCCGGTTCTGCCCGCGCAGCAATCAGTATAAAAACATACCTTATCTCATCTCCAATCGATGTCGAAACGGCAACGCGGGCAAAGCATGTTCCGGAGAAGGGAACATCGATTAAATGCAATGGTTGCCTGTAAAGACCTGGTACCGCCACTGCAACATTGCACAACTAGTCAACACCATCGTCATCACGAACCACCGATTCGGCGTCATCATCAGACGATTCCTGTGCCTCGCCTGTGCCTCCCCAAAGCCTACTGAGTAGGTTACGTACGACACGCAAAGGAAGTGGCTGAGCATGCAAGAGCTGCTCAGAGCACAATAGCAGTGAAAAGGCAAATACTCACCACAGCAGCCTCCGCTTCATCTGCGTCGTCGTCCACATTCGCGACCTCGTCCGTAGCTTCGAACTCGTGAGCGGGGCCCACCGGTACAATATCATCCACCCCGTCATCATCGTCAGGCATGCCCCCAGGCATCGCTCCTAGATGCTGTTGTTCCGCTTCAGGTGCAGGATCCTCTTGTGCCATCAGGCCTCCCATCAACAGCTCGTCAATAGCCTCATCACCCATTTGGGCCAGAGCCTGTACAAACTGCACCACTCCACCGGGCGCATGTGCCGCAAGACCTGGGAGCCGTTCGAAGAGAGCCATCAACTGCTCACGGACTGCTGCATCAGGGACAAGGCGTTCGAGTTGGCGCTCTTCGGCACGTGTGCGTCGGTAAGAACTTCTCGGTGAAGCAAGATCTTCAGCCCCTTCAAAGAACTTCGCGTCATAGGAACTCCTTGCGGTTGGCGGGGGCAATGGGTCGCACGCGTATTCATGCGAAGTCAACACTCCTCGCGGGATAAAAGCCGTGAGAATGCGATATTGCTCTTGTGCGTGAGTTTGTTGAAGCACGATGATATGTCGGTAGACAGAGTAACGAAGGTGATCGGAGTTAAAAATGCGGAGAAACCGTTCGCGGAAAGGATGAGCACGCTTGGAAGAAAGGTTAGGCAGGAGACTTGATGTTGTCGACGCTAGCCAAGAGCTGAGGTCAGGCAATTTCCACAAAGATGCGGACCGAATAGCATAGATATGTGTAAGGAGATGGAGGACACTTTCTGCAGCACTCAGACCACTGAAACTATCATAAGCCGAGAACATTACGGAAGGCGCAATTGCTCACAGATTGTCTGTGCGTATACGAAACTCTTTGTGTGATCGAATGTCCACCGAAAGGGATATTTCACATTTGTCAGCTAGTAGCGGCACCACAGAGGGATAGGCAGATATGGCCTGCTTGAGAATTTCAGTGCTTTCTTCCTCGACATCCTGAAACAATATTAGCACATAAGATGAAGCCACCCGATTTCCGTCGTAGGACCGACCTCGCCGCGATCGCGCTTGACTTTCTCTTCCATTCTCAAAAGTAGTGCTCTTGCGTAAACCCACCCCGGAAGCACGCCGGGGTCCATATACTCTGTCGCTTCTTCGATGGCGCCATGGCGGGACTGGTAAACCTTCCAAACATCCAACAGCCAGTCACCTATGCCAGCTTTGACTGAAAGGAAATCGAGATGTAAAAGCGCCCCATGCGGATCGGTCAAGGGTTCAAGCGAGAACAGGAGACGGGCATGCTCAAAAGCGGCGCGTGGGCAGCCACGACGTTGAAGATCGCTAGGAAAGATGTTATCCTCTGCGGGAAATGATGCGGATACGTAGTGTACGTGGACCTACATGACCTGCTGGTGGATGGCTAGGAAGAAGGGTCGATTTTCAACGAAGTCGAAGTCAAGCCTGTTGACCCCAGTTGTGAAGCTAAAAGTGCCAAGGAATGCACGCTCATAAGCGAATATGGCTCGCGAGACGTGTTCCACCGCGGTGCTGTACTCTGAAGAACGTTATGCGAGATCCGAGCGGGGTGTGGTAACACGCTTACCCTCACGGTGTCTATAAATTTCTCCAAGTTGTAACAATGTATCTGCCTGCCAAGGCATGGTATGCAAAACTCCCCACATTGCATCAGGGGCTGTTGATGAATGAGTCAAACAGGTTTATGACACACAAGTGAAGCACATACCTCCACTCCTCACGGCACGAATGAAGTCTCTAGTTGCACCCTTATAGCGCCTTGTGTATTCTACGGTCCACCATTTACCCGAATACGCAGGACCTCGCCTGGTTTTTCCGGCTGTTTCCGCCTCCGTGAGAGGACGCAGCGAGAGTCCTTCGCGCGGCTTCGTGAGAGACCAGGATCGATCCGGACGTGTGAGCTGCGCGCGCAACGCGCTAGAAGGCATCCCGCGTCGTCGTCTATGAGATTGAGAATGTCCTGATCCAGAAGACTCGGCCGCCGTGACTGCTCTTGAGCCGAAAAATTTACGGAGTTCCGACTCTGCGTCAAGATGGGCTAATGAAACTGATAGGAGACTCGCAAGAGCACTGGTCCGTTCATCACTAGGGGCATTTGATATGCTCTTGAGGTCTGGGTATCTATGCGACACTCGGACAGTCTGATCTGAGACTACGGGGAGATGCTAAACGAAACGCACCTGACAGACAATTCTGCCAATGCTTTGTCGACATCATCGATATCGTCCTTTTTCTTGCCTTTATTCTTTTTTGCGGTTGCGGGTTTAGACTTCACTGCCAGATGTGACGAGGAAGCGCCTGACTTGTCCGGTAGCTGGTTATCGGTGGAAGCATTGGGCTTTGTGGCCTTCTTTCTTTTCTTCTTTGGCTGATGCACAGTAGCTTAACGCTGATCAAGAGTCGGATGGTGCACGGCAGCTTACCTTGCGCGACTTGCTAGACACTGGGACGTTTTCCTCGTTGCCTTCATCCGGTGACTCTGGCTCGTCGTCTGGTGCGAAGAGCTGGGTACCATTGTCACTACGGCTGCAAGCATACACATTGTAATGATGTTACATACCGCAGCGAAGCCAGATTTTGTGGCAGGTGCAACTACGGGTTGGTCATCGGTGGATACGTGTGAATCGGATCGTGTGAGCTCGGGTCTACTGCTAGCAAGTGCAACAAGCTCTTCTTGCTCCCGCTGCTGACGTTTGCTCAGTCGCGGAGCCATCAGCTCGATTGAACTTGAGGGTGACAAGGGTCAGTACTGTTGATCTCTATTGACGGACCCGTCATCGCCAGGTACTACTAACTTGGGTAGCCTACACCCCAAGTTGTGAAATTCTTCGTGATGGGCTTTCAGAATGCTAGTTCCTGGCCATCGATTTCAGGGAGAACAACTTCCTCACATTCCAAAGCATGAGGTATAGTAATCTACTTGACTTTGAGGGTTGGTAAAACACTCATGCCAACCACCAATAGGAATCAATTCGGAAGGCATTGGGCGTGTTTGGGTTGCACATAACGATGGAGCATTGACGCCCGACCTTTCCTGTTCGGAGTGCTAAGGAGAATTCGAGAGGGTGTTTGCTCTCCTTCCATAGCGGAATTGGGAAGCGGAAGCAGAACCTGCTTGTCCGTCATGACCGGGGCATTATTGAATTTGTAGTTTCGGCAGAAGTGTGCGCCATTTTACGTTGCTTACCTCGGTGCTATTCGGGGGCCGGAAGAGTCTATCCTACGGCGCCCCAGAATACCCACCTCCAACTTGGGCTTGCAGCAAGGTAGGTATCAAGTGCTCACAGGGATACACGGTGCCGCCGAGTACTCCGTTTGATTCTCGATGCTCTATTGATTGCTAACGGAGATTTCTGGCCTCCGTCGTGTGCAACAGTACCGAGTCCATTTGTCATTATTCTGGAATTGAGTTATTCCTTTCCTTTCACACACATCCATACGAAGCCGAAGAGCTCATAGAGAGGAAGGCAAGTCAATTCCATTTACGCCGCGATTCATCGACCCAAATCGGTCAATGTCAAGGATATCACCCCAGACCTGCTAGAGCCCTACTCTCATCGGATCCAGGATATGACCTCCTTTTGCTTCTCGAGGTGGTTCAGCATCCCGTGAGTGTTTTTACTTTGCGGCGGGGGTCGGGCATCTCATCTCCTTCACACACTGGAAATCCGAGTACTCTTCTGGCCGTGCCGCGCGCACCGTTTTTCCAGGGTGATCATTGATGGCAATTCTCGCCCGCAATTGGCGATCCCGTCACCGTGAGGGAACCAGGTATTAATGGCGCGGTAACCGAGGATGCCAATTCCCATGTCGCTCCCCCAGCAACCTATGTAGGTCAGAAGGCGTCAAGGGACGCCGTTGACTCGCAAGTATAAAGTGCCGCACTCACCCTTGGCACTTCTTTTGCTCTACCTCACTTTACCTTCCCCCGCTCTGAGCCTGAACTGACTTCATGGGGTGGGTTGCTGTTTGGGCTTCCATACTTGCAGTTGCCACCTACGTCTTCTATCACAAACTCATCCGTAATTTGGGGACATCTTCTTCACATTACCCCCCAGGCCCGAAACCCCTTCCTTTCATTGGCAATCTGCGCGACCTTGCCGGGAAAGAACTCTGGTTACGAGCGGAAACGTGGAAGAGAGACTATGGTAGGTGTGGGCGAAGTTTTGCTGTATCTAGCATGCGAAGTGCCATTCAATGCGACCCTGGTAGGACGTATCACGTACCTCCACGTTTTTGGACTCGGTGTCGTTTTTTTGAATACGCCGGAAGCGGTTCTCGAGCTCCTTGACAAACGCGGGGCCATATATTCTGATAGACCACATCTTGTTATGGCAAACGAGCTGTGCGTACCTAGTATTCAAAACATAAACTTCGCTTTTTGAGGTCACTACAATTAATACGCAAACAGGTGCGGCTGTGAAAACATGGTTGCATTTACTCCCTACGGGAAAACATCCCGGCGGCAACGTCGACTCCTCCAAACGGCGCTTAGCCCGTCCAGCATACGCAACTATCACCCCCTTTTAGAACTCGAGACGAAACCATTCCTTAGAAGACTCCTGGAGGACCCTGCCAGCTATGTGGAACATATTAGGCGGTGCGTCATGCGGTTTTGCTCCAACGCCGCCGATAACAAGTTGTTTCGATAGCTACGCGGGCGGTTTAACGCTCTTGGTTGTATACGGACACCAAGTCAAATCGAACGACGATGAATTTCTGAGGCTTGCAGAGGACTGTGTTGATGTGCTTGCCAATAGGATAGCGTCGAGCGGCAAGATTTGGCCAGTCGACGTGTTTCCCTCTTGTAAGTCCTCTGCTACCTCATTTTTTCATTTCTTTACTTATCGAAAATGTCTATTTTATGTCTGGATGTACTCGACCTGCGGATGGGAACAGTGAAACATATCCCTCTTTGGTTTCCCGGCGCTTCCTTCAAACGCCAAGCAGTTCGGTGGAAAGCCATGATGCAAGAGTTCGTCGATCGGCCGTATAACCATGCGCTGGATGAGATAGTCTGTACCCCTCTTCCCTTTTAGTTTTCGAGTTTCGTGCTCGACTAACTTCCTATCAATATATGCGCTTACCATGATCCATGCACAGAGAAAAGGAACAGCGAGGACCTGTTTTGTGTCCATGCTTGTCGATCCGGATACCTATGGTGCCGGTGCATTGGAGAGCGGCGGTCACGAAAATAATGACACCTTTAAAAACGACTTCCGACATGTTAAGGAGCCGAAGCCGAAGCATTCAACGACTACACAGGACCACGATCTGCGATGGACAGCCAATTCGATATATTCTGGAAGGTTAGTTGGTCAAATTCTCGTTCTCACTCACGTCTCTCCTTATACTTCCCATCCACTTTTGTACATGTTCTGACACTTATTCTACGTTAGCATCGAGACAGTAAGTCACCTTTCCACCTATGTAACAACTCACCAAATGTTCATCCCCCGCGTGACCTTGTTATCGTCTCCACTGTAGAGCATCGCGTTTCTTACTCTCTTCATACTTTCAATGGTAAAAAACCCACACGTGTTGGCACGGGCGCAAGCCGAGATTGATAGCGTCACTGGGGGGCGAAGGCTTCCTACGTTCGAAGATAGGGTGCAGTTACCGTATTGCAATGCGGTCTTCACTGAGACGCTGAGATGGGGCGTTCCAGTACCTTTGAGTATGTCCCATTACTCTTCTTGGCTTGGCATACTGAGGAAATGTTTGGCATAGGTCTTCCACACAGATTGAAGGAAGACGACATATACGAAGGAATGCTTATCCCCAAAGGGTCGTTGGTACGTTATTCTGATGCATTTAAGTATAACCTGGTTGGAGAGTTGTTTCTCATGTCATATGCCAGGTGTTTGGGAATATATGGTATGTGACACTATTACCCTGTCTCAAGTCCGCGAAGAGGATGTTTTTTTTTGCCGCCATCATGCTAATGATATTTTCCCTTCTTTCCAAGGGGGATTATGCGCGATGAAAAGATTTACCCTGAGCCCGATATGTTCAAGCCAGAGCGGTTCCTGGATCTTGCACATACATCAAGCACGCGGGTGCCAGATTTTGCGGCGCAAACGAGCAGCTCGAGTCCACAGAGTCTTTCTACTGAAAAACATCATGTAGAAAGTAAGGATATCAGTGCCGCAGAGCGGAGGCGTGATCCGAGGACATACGTGTTTGGATTTGGTAGGCGGTAAGTTTTTCCGGAAGCGCCAGTCATTGATATTTAGCGAAGTGTTGACTTGGCTGTTTCCTGCGAAACCCACAGACGATGTCCTGGAGCTCACCTAGTCGAATCGTCGCTCTGGTTGTTGATGGTGAGCATGATCGCGACGCTGGATATGTCCAAGGCGAATGTTCCAGCTGCGGGTGAGCAAAGGTTGGACGCAGGCCTAAGAGGGGCTGAGCTGGCGATCGAGCCAGAAGTCGTGTTCGACAACTCCGTGTTCAGGTGAGCCACGGTATTTCTTCCTCTGGCCGCCTTAATCCTAATTTGGGTGAAAAGGATACCGAGGCCGTTCAAGTGTTCGATCAGACCGAGGTCGGACCACTCATTGAAAATTTTGATGGAGACTCTACCATGAGACAAATCGCGCAAGAATCCATATCCTGTACGGTGGGGGCCCTTACTATGTAGCTTACCTTGTACTAAGAGTCGGTAACAGTTGAGGCAGTCTGATAAAAACTACTGTTACAGTACCGTTATAGTGCATTCTGGTAAGCTGGAGACCAGTTTTCCCTTCCGAAAAGCCATGCATCATGCATTACGAGTGAGTTAGCGCTGCGGAAAGGGAAGTCAGCGACACGGACGTTGATGTGACCAAGGGATCTTCGTGGTGACGAGCTCTAATCTGGTCCTGCCTTACTGTTTCTGAATGCCGCATGCTCTGCTGCCTGAGCCGCATCCCCAGCACGTACTCCTTACTACTCTGCGTTTCAGCCATGACACACACTGGCAGCCTCGGCCAGGGTTGTCACGAGTACGATGCCAATAGCTGAGACTTGACACACCCCATCGAACGATTACATACCTAGTCTTCATCTTTAGACAACCTAGCCTGTTGAAGGCGGGGAGAATAGCAAGACCACGCCAGCGTTTGCAGTGTAGCACCACTGGTATCTTGTTCAAGGTGATAGCCTTGTCCATAACGCATAAGTGATCATGTGTATCGTGCATGACGCACGACAAGTCGAAACCAGATGCTTCAGGGTTTGTTAAGCCATCTCCGGTCCACTAAAGTGTATTATGTAACTTAGCCAATGGGCAGCTGTGGTCGCAACGTCTCAACGTACCGGTTCTGGTTTCATCCTGAGAACTACCCCTGTTCCGTGCAACCAAAGTAACATTTCAGTACCAGTAGTCACTAGCAGCGACAGCTGGTATTCAATATTCAGATGCTACACTCGTACCCGAAAACAGTTCACATTTCCCTTTCTGGAAATTGCCATCTTGGCATCAACTGAGCTGGCTCAGACCGTTCAGCGCTTCGGGGATGGCACAAGCACCAGGCAGTCCTGATGAGCCAGGACGTCAAATGTCGCTCCCAGGGGAGAGTGGAGAAGGTGTTTCACCCGCGATTCAAGCTCTTGAAACCTACAAGAAGAAGGATCCTTCAAAAGGTACTGTTGTTCTGTGTCCCCGCCGTTGGTTCGTTTATGAAACGAATGTTCATTTGAATTTGGATGTCTGGGTTGAACAGTTGTTGTACGCTTCAAGGCTGTTGGGAACGCGCCGATTATGAAACAAAACTTTTACAAGATTACCGCGGCGAACCGCTTCCAGGCTGTCATACAGTTTTTGAGGAAGGAGTTGGGCTGGAAGGCTGGAGATCCCCTAGTACGTCTGCGATCGCGAATGCTCGAAATGCACAAGCAGTGACCATTTCGTGCCTCTGACATGACACGACTGCGTGATTTGCAGTTTACATACATCAATCTCGCGTTCTCCCCAGCTCCCGATGATACAGTGTCCAACTTGTATAAAGTCTGTTCCAGGTCTTATCAGTTTATCCTCTTGGCTTACTCTAGGCTCGTAGTCGTTCGCAACGGACGGACATCTTATCGTGAACTACAGGTATGCCCCCTCTCCATGCTTTCCCGATAATGCGGGATCTAATACACGACTCCACGCTTGTATAGCACCACAGCTGCATGGGGGTAAATGTTGTTGCATTTACGCTTGTTTACCATCCATCTCTACACCCCTCCGCTCACACCTCGTGTACGTATACATTGTCATGATATCCAGTTCATCTTTTTGTGTCACAGCCACTTCCAACTACGGCAAGCCTTCTTCACTTGTTAACTTAGCTACGTATGTCTGCCGTGTACGCATTTGTACCCTGCATGCGGTACATACATACACCAACTATCCCGCATGTTCGTCATAACACGATAGATGCGTCGGAAACAATCTTAAGAGTATATCGGTCTATTGATTCTTGAAACGTTCGAAATACAGTCAAGCACCCAGTTAATCCCAGAGTTTATTTGATCACATCATGCCGCTGCTCGAGTGTCAGCGGTGGCTTCTGGGGGTACATACTTCCCCGAGCCCTCGGCAAAAATGTCCTAATGATCACGTGCCATTGTTCAGAAAGTTACAATCTACGACAGAAACGGAGATAATACCTTGATGATCCCTCGTGATATCAAGGCCAGGGCGGCACGACTCTCCCACAGAGGGTAGAGCACCACAGCGAATGCCGAGCAAAAAGCCCACACGATGCCAACAACAACCCATACCGTGAAACCAGTTACGGAATAAACCGTCGAGGCACCAAAGAGTGGAAGAGGAATGAGAATCATGAAGATTAGAGTCTGTAAGTGGGACAATGGGTCGGCACTCAGAAGTCACCTCAGTCAGCGGTAAGGACGTACTAAGGCAACAGAGGACCAAGCAGCAAACTTGAACGCCTTATTCAAACCAACGGAGTCCAGTTCGTTGTCGAGTTTGGGTGCTTCGTTTACGACCGAGGAAATTGACGAGTCGGGTACCTTTTTCTCCGCGTATACGTCGCCCTCGCCCACTGCTGGTGCCTGATGGTGGGATGCTGGCGAATTGATCGCACGTGTCGCAGCAAAGTCGTAATCTTCAGGCCACTGAGCGTTGTGAATGTTAGCGCACGGTCACTAAGGTGACATAAGGAAATTTCATTCACAATCAGAGAAACGATGGTGGCTATGATACCTCCGATAGCGATAGAGCCGAGGTTGCCTGCCAACATTTCATAATTTCCTGGCCAGCGTAAGGTTAACATTCACGCATGCAGGCAGGCGTGCATGGATCTCACCTCCACTAGTCTACAGACAAAAGAGTAAGATATTCGCGAGCAGGAAGGAGAATTAGGCACTACTGCTCACAGTAACGTTGATCAGATTGTTGTTCAATCCTGCAGTTGTCGCGAGCCACGCCACGACACCGACAATGAATCCGACTACAGCCCCAGAAAGGCATCCAACTTTGCTAGCCTTGCGCCAGGTGATGCAAAGAGCGATGGGCACTACAGCGGACCCAAGTATGACACCCATAAATGTCTGATGTAGTCCGGCAGTCAATCAGCAGGTGGGTAACTGCGTGGCATAGGAGAAATCCTACGTAAAGCCAACCCATAGAGATGCCGATGTAGTAGAAGATCACTCCAGCAATGCCCATCACCAGCGCGAATGCTGCAACCTGATGTCCAGCCCAAGTAAGCAAGTGGCCTGGGTGCGAAACATTATAACTAACCCCTATGTGACTCATCTGGAGGATCTGCTGCTCAGTCGCGTTCGGATTAATATACCTTACGTATATATCGTAGGTCCAAATGGAGGAGACGGCAATCAACTCCGCGCTCGTTGCGCTTGTCACAGCCAAGAACAGCAGGATAAGCATTGCAGTCGCGCCACTCTTGCCTAGCAGTGTCGCAGCAGCGACGGGTGCCGGAAGCCCTGCCGAGATTTGTGCATCCGACAAGGTAGGGAGTAGGGGGACGAAGCCGCTAGAGGTGGGTTCTTGCGCAGGTGACGATGACGCGGGTACGGCGCTTAGAGCAACTGCAGATAGCCCGAGGGTAGTGGCCATCGTGAACGGGATAGCAAACCTGTCCAGTATATAAAATCGGCCGCACAAGACGCATTACCGACAGAAACTTACCAAGCAAGACCTCCGATGAGGTACGCCTTGACCGTAGTGGCGGGCCTGCTGGCGATCGCACGTTGCCAGTATGCCTGATCTTGGAAGACAGTGGCAAAGTTTCCGATTAAATTTATGACGCCAAAGATAAGGCCATTCTTCGAACGTAGGGTCAAGTAAGATCCACCGGCGTTCCCAGCGACAGGAGCGACTGTCGAGACTTCAGAGAGGAGGAAGTGCATCTTGCTGATCGAACCAATGTACCCTGACGTCGCATAGACAGTGAATACAAAAGTGAGAATGATGGCAAAGAGGACCGTAGTGTGAGTGCTGCGACCCGAAAGTCAGACCTCTCTACTTAGTTATCCGTGAAGAAGACTTACTAATCGCAAAGCAGCGTCGAACGCATGCCACCCACAACCACGTAAATCGCCACACCTAAGGGGATTAGGAAACACGCAGCAATGGTACTCATCCCACTGAGGTCTGTCACAGTAGCCGAACCTCCTAGAACCAGCATAGATGAAACGATTAGGTTTGTTGCAAGGCCAAAGAACATGAATATCAAGTGGGCCGCTGTCCCCCATCGTACTGCAACGATTTCAAGCCAAGTGTGAGCATATGGTGCATTCAGTTTGAGTTTGGCAGCGAGCTGTGCAAAGAGAAGGACCTGAACAGTGGCGCCTGCGGCATACCACCACGGCCCTGATATGCCGTACCTGTAAGCGACGGCACTAGATTGCAACTGAACTCCACGCATGAGAATTTCGTGAGACTAGCCTATATAGATGCACTTACCAGCGTGGCTGCCCAAGTCCACGCTGAAACAATTCCTGACGCGATGAGACCGGGCTTTACGCTTCGCGACGCGGAGGTAAACTCCTCGGAGTCCTTTGGAGAAACCCCAGTGTATCTGGCTTGAATGGCCGTTAAGCCGAGCATGAAGGCACTAAAAAATAGGCCAATTCCTGCGTTCGGTCTAATAAGTAGCGTAGGACTGCGAACGGCCTCAACTCTACCCACCGACCACTGCAAGAATTAATCAACCTTGTGGATCCAAGAAAATTCAGTGCTTACCGACACCATAACCCGCACCCTGAGGAAGTACTTGATCCGACATGGACACAAAAAGCGCACCGTGGGAGACAGGGAAGGGGAAAGAGCACCCGCGAAACTATCGCAGGTGAGCCTTTTATCTTTTATGCGCATTATGTGACGGTGTGCTTATCAGTGGGTTACCTTGGTGAGAGTCGAATTTCAGAGATAAGGATTGTGCGCCTTTTAGGTCAGGGAACCAGGTTGATGCGAATTAACCAGCTTTACCCTTTAGTTGTCAGAAGTCCATCCGCGTCGTGATTGGAAATATCGATGGTGCACGCGAGGGCATGTCGAGTCGAGAACCATTAGAAGTGAGCGTGCATGCCACTACCGTCGGATGTGCTAGGTTCATACTTCGTCAATACCAAGCCGTTGGATTGCACGAGACCACACAAAAGATTCGTGGAAGATACGGGAGACTTAAAAGGCACACGGTAGGAACTTTGCCACAGGGCTCGAAACCAGGTGGGCGTCTGTCCAGACTGGAGATTTTCGACCGCCTCAGGCTGTTCGAGACAAGGATCTTAGGGGTGAGATTCAGCCCTGAAAGTTTCTTATCAGATTTACTGGTAAAAAGGTACGTTGTGGTGACCGTATCACAAGTGTCATGTGTACCATTGACATCTGACAGCAAGCTCGACTACACAATATGCCACACGGATCTCTGGTCGAGGGTCATTCCACCTCTGTTAATGGTGTTTCTTTCAAGGCGGAACAAGGCAAGATGGCCGAGCGGTCTAAGGCGCTGGAATCAGGCAGTCGAATCCAGTCCGAAAGGGCGCGAGTTCGAATCTCGCTCTTGTCAAATCTTTTTGACTATTTTTCCATTCACTCAATTGGGTTAGATTTGATTATAGGAGACTAAGCGACTGGGTGCGACCGCCACTGCAAGGTCTCCCAGCGGCTTTGCATCATGTCGCCTGTCTTTGTAGCTTCGCACCCTGCGGGCGGAGTTTTCTCCTACAGCCTTGGTGAGATGGCGGTCAAAGGGGTTCGCTTCGTCCCTCCTGACTTGTTCCCGTCATCTCACTGGGTGGGCCGTTTCCCGTAGTTACCATTTCTTACTCTCCTGGCTTCTGCCCCTCGTCGTCCCACTAGCTTAGCACAGTTTTTGGTCACCCACCTACCCATCTATCTTCGCGCGTTCTTATGTGTTTGGCTTTGTTTGTCGTGATCTTCTCCGTGCGATCGGCTGAGTACCTCTCGCTCTGCAAATCATCAGGTCGCAGTCGCCGCAGCCTTGCCTTCGTTATTTGAACTCCCCTTCGTACCCTCAAAGTACCCTGAGTCGATTAGTGGAGTAGTCGTAGTTTAAACCGCTGCTTGTTCATATGTCTTTCCTGATCATTGAGGCGGATTGAATCAGCCCGCCTTCTGCCTGTGACACCAGATGACCCGCTAGGAATTCCCACCGGCGTCACGAGGCTTGGCATTGCGTGACAATACGATATTACATGCGACTGTACATTTAGTACGGCCCTGCGACATGGATCTCAGCTACCATTTCTGTAATGGCAGGTTCGATGAATGGGTTCATTCAAGACGTCACGATATCCCCCTTTCCTTTTCCTTCAGGGCTGTCTTCCGAAGAATAAGATGCGAGGAAGGCGAGAATATCGGTTATGGTACTTCTCCGTGAGTTCCCCACAATTCGCTTCCGCCGTTATGGAGCTCCAATGTCAGGTGAGTTCCTTCGTACATTCCAATGTAATGAGAATACTTCTGCTGTGCCTTTACTTTTACGCAGGCATCGATGTGTCCTAACATGTCGAGAGCGAGCGGTGCACTCTGATGTATAAAAACTACCCCGCACGTTCTCGCATTCCCCATCCCCCAGCTACGCATGCATACCATAGAGAAAGGACTTCCAGTCTACAATGCTGAACAACGCAATCAATCGGCGCAACAGCGTCCTTCACTCAACATCAGGCCTCTGGTCTTTCCTCTGCTCGTATCTGTAGTTCTAGGTTTCTCTCTTTGCCCCAGGTTTCCGCTCGTGGCCGATGGTGGCAACCACACGGCTCAGGTTCCTTTCACCTTGAGCGATATCGTTGCGCAGTGCAATGCTTTGGATGTGTCCCCAGGCCCGCCTCCCGACTTCGATAGCCGAAACGTGTCCGACAGATATGAATTGGGCACACCGACTGTTTTGATCCGCAACGCCACCATCTGGACTGGTGTCAATGACGGCAGTGAAATCGTAGCTGGCGACATTCTGTTAGACCAGGGTCTTATTCAGCAAATAGGCACGCAACTCGATGTCCCCGAGGACGCTTTATTTATTGATGCTCAGGTGGGCCTTTTCGTTCTTGTAAAGTGTGTTGCTGCTTACCCGAAAATTTACAGGGTGCTTGGGTGACGCCAGGGTATGTGAAACTCTTATGGGTCAACGATCCCGTATTTGACTCTATCCAGAATCGTCGATGTACATTCACACCATGGTGTTATGTCTTCTCCCCTTCTTTCTGGAGCAGATGACACAGATTCTCCTAATGGGATTACCCAGCCATGGTTGCGTTCTTTAGACGGCCTGAACACTCACGATGCCTACAACTTATCCGTCGCAGGAGGGGTTACTACCTCTCTTATTCTGCCAGGTTCAAATAATGCTATTGGTAGGTGTTTTCGTGAGCTTCGTGACCAGAGTGTGAGAATAAATCACTGGGGCAGGGGGACAGGGATTCACAATAAAGATGCGAGCCACCAGCGAGAGATCCTCTACCTCGATGCTTGTTGCCCCTCCTTATGGACTGGATGGCTCCGACATTGACTACTCCATTCCACCGCTATGGCGACACATGAAGTGTGTACTATACATGTTATTTTTGCGGCAAGTACTGAGCTTTTGTTATATCACAGGCATGCATGTGGTCAGCATTGTTTCAGATCTTAGACGTTCGATTGTTAAATTTTCTTTCCTGGTTTTAGGAGAGAATCCCTGTAAGTCATGTCCTGTCATCCATTGTTCATACGTGCTCATTCCTCTTTAGCGAAGTCATATGGTGGTGTCAGGATGGACACTGTCTGGGCATACAGAAGTTTGTGCGTGTCACAAATAACCTGCTTGTATTAACATTTCACATCTTGGAAGGTACGACAAGGCACGTCAGATGAAGGAAAAGCAGGACGAATATTGTGCCAAAGTACTTAATGGCACAGCGACAGATGAGCTTGGTCCGTTCCCAAACGATTTGCAGTATGAAGCGGCGGTCGACACGCTGCGTGGTAAAGTCAAGGTTGTGTCACGCATATTCCTTCGGGGTAGATTAGAGCTGAGACCTAATGGACAGGTCCATGTTCATTGTTACGAGGCTGTTGACCTCGATGCTTTCGTCCGGGTCAGGACTTCAATTTTTGACGTGTGCGGGGTGACTTGTCTGATGCAGACCCCTTGTTACAGTTGACGAACGAGTTCAAGTTCCCCGTCGCCGCTTTCCACCACGCACTCGAGGCTTATCTCGTACCAGGACTTCTCAAGAAGGCCTACAGTTTGTTTCTTGCTGCAGCTTTCGTGTCGCCTTTAATGACTCTTAGCAGATCACACTCCTGCAATTGCAACGTTTGGTTCTTTTGCGAGGTTCAAGCGTGAGGGGTATAGACATTCAACATACGCGCCTCGCGTCCTACATGATGCAGGTTTTGACGTCATTATGAAGGTAAGCATTGAGCTCTCTGCTAAACAATTCCCTCATTCAGTATTTCGGTTCCGTCAGAGTGACACCCCAGCAGCGGTTGTGACCCGTTGGCTTCTCCATGATGCCCAGCAAGCTTACTATTATGGTCTTCCTGAAGACGCTGCGATCGCTTCAGTCACGACTACGGCCGCCAGACTGCTTGGTCTTGACTACAGACTTGGCTATGTCAAAGAAGGTGAGGCCCTATGAACATCAATGAGCCAGGCATTGAATGGATTTTCCCAGGTTACGATGCAGGTAAGCTAAACAGTCTTCCCCACTACCGACGCCTTATATATCCCATTCCTTAAGATCTCGTGATTTGGGACAGTCACCCATTGGCTCTAGGCGCCACGCCCCTGCAAGTGTTCATCGATGGGATTCCTCAACTTACGAACCCCGTCTCAGCTCTGAAGGAGTCATTTCAGGAGGCAGCCGTCACACCAAACTTTGATGATGAGGCGCAAACTGCAGTCAGTTATGAAGGCTTGCCCCCTCTCGATCCTAAGGAGGTTGTGACCGCCGTGGTCTTCCGCAATGCGTCTAGCATTTGGCAGAGGGATTCCAACGGTGCGCAACTTGTCTACGAGGCGCCCGGACCAGACTATGAAGGCGTGCTTGTATTTGATGGCACTATCGTTTGTAACGGATCGGCGGATGCCTGTCCTCCGGACAACTATCCGGACTATTACATTCAAGATCTCCAGCGTGGTTCTATCATGCCTGCATTGACTTCTGTAGGAACAGCTCTCGGTCTGCAAGAGATTCCGTTGGAGATCACCACGTCAGATGGACCCGTTAAAGACCCTTTGTGGGATTCAGTGCCGAGTATACTGAGCGATGGAATTGTCGCTGCTTATGACGGTCTCATATTTGGTACCCGAGATGCTATGTAAGATCCAACTTCTCTCAAGCATGCCTTGTACATACTGATCATTGCCTTAGGCTCGCATACCGCGCTGGTGTGACATCATCTGTCACTGCACCTATTAGTCCTGCTAGTGGCGACAGCTTGAACGTCGGCTTCCTTGAGGGTATCAGCACGCACCTTTCCCTCGGTGCAAAACACAAGCTAGAAAAGGGTGCGGTCATAAAACGGAATGCTGCCTTGCATGTTGGTATACTACACAGAAGCACGGGTGTAAGCGTCAGCACGCAGATAGCCACACTGCGCAACTTGCTCTTCAATCACGAGAGTTCGCTCAGAGGACAGATGTTCCAAGCAGTATACAATGTGATTATTTTGATCGATATTGTTCTTCCGACCTGGCGCTAAATCTGATGACTGACAGGGCACGCTCACATTAGCCGTGGACGCGAAGAACGCGGACATCATCGCTTCTTTGCTCGCCCTCAAGGCAGAAGTTGAAGCACAATCCAATGTGCCGATGAAAATGACAATCGTGGGTGGTGCAGAGACACACCTACTTGCCCCTGAACTTGCCAGCGCCAACGTAGGAGTCATTATTGCCCCTGTCCGTTCGTTCCCTTTCTACTGGGAAGGCCGCCGTGCGTGAGTATTCGCTTATCTCTCCACAAACTTTTTTGTACTATCAATTGACCTGACACACGATCCTCAGTCTTGCCGGCCCTCCGTTGACAAAAGATAACGTTTTGACGACACTGATCAAGAATAATGTTACGGTCGGCATTGGACACCAAGGTGTCGAAGAGGTCGTCATGTTGACAGGCTGGGCTGCCCAGAACATGAGGTGGGATGCTGCCTGGGTGAGTAATCCCCCAAGGTTGATTAATTTGACGAAGATGTCTTATGAGCCGTAATCCACAAGGCATCCATTGACGCCCCGGACGTTATTGACACTGCAACAGCATTGAATATAGCCTCCACCAATGTAGAGTCGCTGCTTGGAGTTGGTCGAGACGCTGACACTGTGGACCTGGTAGCTACCACTGGAGGAGATTTGCTTAGCTTTGAAGGAAAGGTTGTCGCCGTCATCTCACAAGGTCGTGGTGTAGTTGATATTTTTTGAAAGAAAATACTACAAGCACAGTGTGCGGGTCATGTGTACTTTTACCTCGTTATGCAATCAGAACGTCTTTGATGATGTTGACTGTATTCTTGTGGGGAAGGACAACGAGAAAATGCCAATATGAGTTCGCAGCCTGGGTTAGGTTAAAAATCAGTGCTAAAAAAGCACTGCCCTGTGGCATTTGAACACCCCGCATTCGGATTCAACTGCAAAGTAGGAGCTTTGGGAAGCTACAGCTACACCACAGGGCAATGCAACAATTTCTAATCTTATTACAGTATTTATCAAGTTTTACGTAGAATTATTTCCTCAGGCCTAGATTGACACATGTAGCTAAGTTTCTCAAGTCATTTGTAAGATTGGCACAAAACCCCACCTCCAAGCAAAACTTGGAAAAGCCTAATATTGCGAAGGAGTGCGGGAGAGTGCTATCGGAAAAAAGGAGAGCGTTGCGTTGACAACTTGGGGCGAAGTACATGCAAAGCTATGCACCCGTGTGGCAAAGGTTACAACCTACGGGAATCGTATGGGAAAGAATAACGATGGAGACCACGCACAGTGTAATTAGCTGAACGCATATTTAGTGAAAGTACACCGTATTTTAAACGACAAGGAAAACCTGTGAAACAACATGAAATGCGAATGTCAAGGTTATGGTTATGCCAAAGTTGTAACTAGCATGCCGATGATGAACGATACAAAATGCTCGAGGTATAGAGTGGAAATGATAAGGTCATGCGAACGAGAAAACAAGAACCTGCATAGGCCACAGACGTCATAGCTCTGTGGTCAGAAAAGCCTGACGCCCCACAATTGTCTGGGGAATCGCACTCGTGGGGTGGGAAAGACACCTACTCCTTTGCCTCCACATCCACCTCCAGTAGATCATATGCAAAATCCTCCATCTTGATTATCCTAAAGCGATCTTTATACGGACCTTCCGCGAACTCCCTTTTCCATGCTCGGCTTAGGCCGTCTTCCCATGCATATAACTCGACCTTCCAACCCTTCTTCAGAGCGGTGCGGACGGGCCCCAAGAACCCGTCATCATTAAATTGTCCCACATTCCCATCACCCGTGGCGAGGACGATCGTTGCATTGGGAGGAGGAACGTCCACGTCCGCGATGGCTTGATGTAACTTGAGTTGTAGTAGTTCATCCACTCCCTGCTCCCGGTACCGCACTCGTGAGGATAGGCTTCCGAGGGGACGTGTTAATGATGACGACGAACTCATGGCATGTGAGCCATTAGGATCAGAATCACTCCCTACTGAGCTACCCCGCGCGTGCCCCTTGGAGGTGGGCGATGTTCCAGCGTCAGACTTGCGCCAACTTGCATTCCGGAATGTGGACAAATCTGGCGTATGCGTATGACCGTGACTGGAGCGGCGGTCTTGGCCCTTTCCGTCGTCAGGCACGCGTGCATATATGCGTACTTCGTACCCTAATTGTTCGGCAGTGTCCATGGGTTGGTAGAGAGGTGAAGAAGTAACAAGGCATCGTCGTGTTATCGGACGACCACGTTCGAGGAGTAAAGCTAAAGCGGCGTGTGACAGATGCTTCGGGCGTCGAGGAGTTGATCGATGCTTCTTGTGATACATCAAAAGGCCAATCAAAATATTGGAACTATACGATAAGCATAGGAAGCCAGTCAGATAGCTAGTCAGTGTTACAAGTCAAGGTGAAACTAAACTGGTCAATAAATACGTGGATCAAGGTGTCCCTTGGGCGGGGTGCTGGTCCTCTGGGATCAGAGAAGTCTGAATCCCCACCACTGAAATCTTGGGTTAGTAAAGCAGTAATTCGATCATAGTCTTCCGGGAACTTCAGTCGTAACTTGTGTGCTAAACACCGCAATTTCAAGACTTGCGGATCCGGGGGTATAGTCTGTACTTGCAATGTTGGAGTTGACTTGCTGTGCTTCAATTTCTCTCGAACGAGTGAAGACGCCTTTGTCCTGGGTGGAGTTGAAGGTGTCGACTTGTAGTGTATTGAAAAGCTTTCGAACGAGGAAGATGAATCTAGGTTTGGATCTGGTGCGGGGAGGTCATCTCTATCGGCATCTCCACTAGTATCCTCTGCAAGGATACCAGTCATCGTTTCAGAAGCCATCACCGAGGTATCTCGCACCCTCTTCAGGATCTCTACTGGTTTCGTCGTCTTCTTCCGCTTGCGCCGCCGACCTCGCCGTATCTCTTGGTTGTGACTTCTGTGTGTCCCCACATCTGACGGAGAGCTGTAATGAACGATCTTTGGTTCTGCTTGCCGACCTGCCCGTACCCTATGCCGCTCTGCGTTCAAGAACTCGATAACGCTGTCGATGGTACCAAGCGTAGGATAGTCAGGGTCCATGACCGTGTTGATCGACTCCACTGAGTCTGGAACTAGAGTAGGGGGATCTAGTTCACCTTCTGTCTCTGACTCGGAGCCGTCGTCTGTAGAGGCGACGTTATCAATCGAGTCTCCGAGGCTGCTTTCATTTCCATAGTCTGTCGTGTTGTCAACAGCAACTGCTAGCCGTGCGTCAGCGACACTTTGTGATAGAGAAGTGGAGGTGTGAGAGCGGAGGTATGATGCGAGGATGCCTTGGTTCCATACTGTTGAATCTGCGCGCGCCTCCGAATCTAGGGAGTAAAGGACTGATGTGGCAGATCTTGAGGAGGGACCGTCTACGTCGCGTTCAAAGGTGTTATTATTCGGATGTAAGATTCTAGGGGGGCCAGTGTGGAAATGCTGGAACTCGCGGAAGACAGACGTGAAAGCGCCGAGGTCCGGCGCCTCTGCGATTTGAAATGCAGTTTGGGCGAGAAGGGAAGCCGACGGGTTGGATCGGCCATGCGGACGGCGAGATAGGCAGAAATGAGGTGACACGGGACCGACATGGATGTGATTGAGGAATTTCCGGTCAGTGCAAGGGTCCAAAGGGGGAAATAAGCCCCTCAAATCAAAAGCATCAACTTACCATCAGACGTAGGTTCACTCGCGACTGAATAGGTAGAGAAAGGACTAATCGGAGCTGGTGAATTGGCTGTTGTTTCCGAACTGGAGTGGATCATGCTGGAAGGTCATGAAGTGTACTAGTTTGGATGGAAATATTTGGGTATCGTCGACGGGGCGAGTGGGTGTGTCCCTGCACTCCGGAATGCACCAAAGTCAGATGATATGGATATGTATGTATATCGGAAATGAAGCCGATGTCGCAGGGGTTGCAGGTGTGGTGCGGTGAGAGGGGTGGGCGGCTGGCGTGGGCGGCACCGGTGGACGCGAGGAATGCAAAGGCCGTCCGCCTTGGATGTCCAGGACGAGTCAGAAGAGACGGACACTCTGGGGGACGACTGGAACGTGCAGGAGGCGTGCCGGGTCAGACTGATATGTTCTTTCTGTCACGTGACTCTTCACGCCCATTAACCACCACGTTGCAAAGGCGCAGGAAGTGACGAAAACAGCGTTTCTTGTCGAAGCATACTTGTGGAGTCCAAGCTTCTTATTAGTATGCATCGGCCTCGTGGGGGTGCACAAAGTGCGCCCTGTGCAACTTCTTTCGCTTCCCCCGTCATCAGTCCCCCTGGCAGTAAGTGACATACGAAGCTCATAGCTGCTCATACCTTGGTCGTGGTCATGTCGGTACGAGCTCGAGTAGCCCGCGCATATTACTTCCTCCATCATCTCTGGGCAATTGCCATCTTTCGTAGCTGGCGCATTCTCTTCTTCTTCGCATTATGGGCGACTGCAGTCTGCATCGTCAACTACCACGTTCACAGCCTGGCACTCCAGCCAACCCTCCTCACCGTGTAGGCGACATCTATCCTCGCTGCGCCTACCGCTATCCACTAACTTCTCGATTGATCACAGGCTCGGCACTGTTCTAGGTTTTGTTATTTCATTCCGCACAACGACAAGTTATGACCGGTACAACGAAGCGCGGAAGCTGTGGGTTCAAGTCATCTATGCCAGTCGCATGTTCGCCCGAACAGTGTGGTTCCATGTTCCGTGTGAGTTCGCGGTGGGGACGGAAGCTTTAACACCCTTTGCTGACTGATATTTCCCATCCCCGTAGCGAACGCCATCGGCGTGAGGGTTGATCCCGCAGACGAGACACTGTTGATCGAGTGTCAGGCCAAGACGCTTCTAGAGAAGAAGACAGTTATCAACTTGCTCGAGGCATACGCCATAGCTGTCAAGCACTACCTGCGCAGGGAAGATGGGATTGAGTATGAAGACATCAATCCTTACGTCAAGTTCCTCCCCAAGTACACTCTACCCTCGAGCATTTCACCCCACTGCGGTACGATGCACCACTGGCCACCGAAGGACGAAAATGAAGCAGAAAAGGGCCAGCCGGGCCTTGAATGCAGTCGCCGCGCTACCTACCCGCGGCACCGCGCACACCAACAGGACTCCTCATTTACCTCCGGAACCACAACATTTGTATCGAGTAACCCTCACCACTCACCGGAGAACGATTCGGGTGGGAATACTCAAACTTTATTACCTGCCGAGAACCCCCCCGATCGTTCGTTGACGGGTCTATGCACCCATATGTGGCGGAAGATATGTCATACGGAGTCCTCACCGCGCCGGCCAAAGCCCCGAAAGAAAGAGCGTGTTGATAACATCCCTCTAGAAATATCCTTCTACCTCGTAGGTGTTTATTTTTGGTAATCCCTAGGCTCCTATCTGACGAGTGTGAATCAGAGCTCGTACATTGCCGCTCTGGAAGAGCGGAATGACAATATTCACCCCAAGATCGAACCTCCCACGATGTGTAGGTTTTCTGCACTACCAACTTTACCTAATTGACGTATTCTCAGCACTTCTGCACACTTCGCTATGTCAACTGATCGAAGCTCTCACTGACATGGAGAGAATTGCAACCACGTCAGTCATGTACGCATTAAATCTTCATTTACATGGCGTACTTCTCAGCGACATCCCAGATACTCGAAGCATCTGTGGTTATTAACGATCATCTACTGCCTTCTGTTGGTATGTGCGACCTGATGGTTGTGGTGACGCCGAAAGATTTAGTTTGTCGTTAGCCATTCCAAACCTTGTCTACATTGGGCTGGCTCACAGTACCCGGTACCGTCCTTGCGGTAAGTTTTGGCACACAAAGTTGTGTCAAGATCAGTTGAACGACGCACCTACGTCAGTGTTTTATGTTTTTCGGCTTCCTTGTAGCCGGTGCGGAGATTGAGAGTGAGTGCAACACTAGTGATGAGACCACACTAGCGTATTGACGTGCCCTCATACCAACCCTCCTTCAGATCCGTTTGGTATGGTTTTTCGTATTGAAGTCACTTACATGCTCACGCTGCAAACTGCCCACTAAAGGTTATGACAAGAACGACCTGGTAGGTGGAATGCTCATTTAAACCATTCGGTCAAGTGACACTCCCTGTCCGCTTAGAACCTCAAAGATTTCGTCCATATTATCCGTAAGTTACTCCTCGTCAGCCCTTGGACCTACTCAACCATGGCCTGCTTTTGTGTACGTATAGACGAGGAGTTACACTCAATGACCTCGCGCCCCACTCCGAGACCCTCTGAGTGGGTGTTCTGTAAGGACAACAATCGCCTCTTCCCATCCTGCCCGAAGGGTGAAATAGTTTCACCTGAAGAATGGTTAAGGAGGGGAAGTGAAGGGATATATGAGGCGCTCGGCAGTCATGTCAAGAACTGCGGCGCCCACAGAAGGCCAGCCTGACCTGCACTTACTTAAGTGATGATACGTGCAGCGTGACACATACGTATGGTGGCGGATGTGATCGTACGTATATAGCACGTCCAAGAGGATGGTTATCCGAGTGATATATATTTTGCTAATATGGAGTACTCTATCAGTGTTGTATGTATGCATCGAGGTAGAAGTATGCTGTGAAACAAAGACTAAAGCACGGTATTTGACAGACAGCAAGGTATGACAATGAGGTATGCATAGGCAGATAGATGATGATACCGAAGGACATAGTCATTGTGTGACATGGTCCATCTTTCAGGTTGCTTTTTTCGTCTCCGAGCGGGCAAGGTGATCGAGGTATCCGTTGTATGCGGCTTCTGCATCGCGGTACAGTGGTTCCATCAGTTTCCTATCTTGCCACGGTGCTAAGGTGTCCAAGAAGGAGGTCTCGAAGCGGAGCTCCTGATCGGTACGGATTCGTGATAAGATGTCGTCCTTGAACTTCAACCATTCAGGGGTATCGTTAGGGATCAGCATATTGAGGATTTTTCCCGGGTCTTTGGGTTTCAGAGCCAGAAGCATAAACACAACTGCAGAGGTCCGCGTGCCGAGACTGTACCTCCAGGCATTGGGACGACGCAACACACCCCTAACGAAGACTTCGCTCTCAATACTCTCCTTGTCAATGGAGGCAAGCCACATGTTATATGCCCAAGACACCCCAAGCGAGCCGATGAACATAATCTGGCCAAAAAGCGAACATTGGGGAATGAGAAGTATTTGTGCGATGAGCTGCAAGACGAGGAGGATCGCACACCACTTGATCCAATACCGCCGCCTGAAGGACAGCGTGGCGGAGCCTAAGGTGATGGAATTCGCGGCGTCCCCACTGCCCTTCAGTACGATAATCTCTTTGTCCTTTTCCGACACAAGGATGCCATCCCCGGGAACGTCCACTCGGGGGATTGGGTATTGAAATATAAAATCTGCTGCGCCGATAACGATGCACGATATTCCATTGACAAGTATTCCGAGGACGATCAGGGAGAAGGAAAACCAATCCTCGAATACCCCACATGCGACAGCCGTGCCGACGCTGGCCAGAATGGGTATGGTGGCGACAATGGGAGGGTATATGGGAGTGCGTAACACGGCTTGATTGCTCGGGGCATGTTCGAGCTCGGTGATAGTAACCGCTATTGGTTGGGTCCGTCTGCTGGGGATTTCCACCGTTTCCAGGCGTTCCACTGAGTGCTTCATAAGAAGTGCAGAGAAGGGACCTGTCTCCTCTAGAACTGTTCCATTATGACCACCGATATATTTTGTTCCCCTTAGCTCTTCCAGCCCTAACAAGGTGGCAAGATCGGTCGGAACTCCGGGGAAGAGACCCTCGAGAAGTTTAGAGTCGGAAACTCTGCCATAGCGTCTGGCAACCTCATAGGTACCAGGACAATTGTACCACCCTAGCCATCTTCTGCTAGGATCCAAGTGAATGGTGGTCATAGCAGTCACGGCTACGTCACCACCAAAGAAGCTAGCCATGCCCCCAGTGTTGAGCGAGAAGCCGCTCGAATTGCTGTTATCGTTGAGTGGGGCATTTGCGGAATAGAGGGCACGGCGTTCGTGGACGTCAGAGAGCCGAGGTATGAACATTTAACCAGCTCGACGACTTGGAGTTGGCTTGAAGAAAATCCAGCACAGACTCTTGAGAACAGGCTAGCATACATAAGTAGAACAATACGGGCGTCTAAATGACCACTTCCCTGAGACATCGCTTGGCACGCGAAGGTTAGGGCCAGCTCATCGGACGAGCCGAACAGTCCACTCGGTTGCCCATGTCATAACCACAGGTATTCCATCAGGAAGCTGACAAGTTGATGTGATTGAAAGGCATTGCAGGTAGCTCAGCAATTCTGGCAGGTTGGTAACGTCAGCTGAAGGGGCCCGCCGGCCCGGTGACCCAAGGTGAGGTGCCGAAAGTTATGTGCATCGCACTACTGCTGTACAAGAATTTGCTCCCACTCAATTGGCATGTATGTATGACAGGTCCAATCATTGGTGGCAAGATCGCGCAATGTTTGATAACTTCGTAGGTTCACACAGCATGGGCTTCAATGGATTCGAGCAATGAGAGGAAATAGAAAGTGCCAACTGGTTCCGAGTCAGGCTGTAGCAAACGTGAGGAATGTGATTGGGAGGTCGAACCCCTCAAGTTGTGTAACAGTATAAGCTTACGCATCAGAAATAGGTTTACTAGCAGTGGATAGGTAGAGAAAGCACTAATCGGAGCTGGTGAACTTGCCCCGTTGCAGAAACAAAAGTGGATTAAGCTGGGAGCAAGTGTACCAGGTGTATCTGATTACTTCTGGTTAATGGTAACATGCTCAGGTATCTCTACTTCAATGGTTCTGAGAGGGGTAGGAAAGTAGAACTGTGTAGGGCAGTGTGCGGACGATAAGTAGAAATTCAAGAAGACGAGGAAGAACGTGAGATACATGAAAGCGAGGAATGGGAGTAAACTCCCACATAGAACAGGAGTTCAGAGGTCAAGCATCCACTGCGTCCAGGAACAGTCAGATGGTGACATAGAAGAGTGCGGTTGTTAACAAGGGGGCATCACACTCAAGGTGCCACCGTCATCATGTCCAGTAAATTTTGTCTGTAAGATTTTGTATGGCCTGCCAAAGAAGCACAATGGGCTGGCCACAATAACATATAATATATTTGGTTGTACTACTATTGCTACCCTTATACATGTATGTGACTGTCAACTGCTGCCAAGGTGGGGATGCATCACAGTAGGTCAGCACTATTCTGGCTATGTGCAAGTCCTGACAATTTATTCTGGTAACTGACATTGTCTGACATCATTGTTTAACATGCAAGGTCTGTCCTCAATTAGTATGTATTATACTTTGTAGGGAACTTTGTATGGCATGCCAAAGAAGTGCAATGGACTGGCCACAGTAACATAGAATATATTTGGCTGTACTACTATTGCTACCCTTATACATGTATGCTGCATGAGTAAGGCTTCAAAAACATATATGTGACTGTCAACTGCTGCCAAGGTGGGGATGCATCACAGCAAGTCAGCATTGTTCCAGCTATGCACAAGTCCTCATAGTTTTCTCTGGCAACTGACATTGCCTGACATCATTGTTTAACATGTAAGGTCTGTCATCAATTAGTGTGTATTGTACTTTGTAGGCAGGCAGACACTGACTTGAAACATAGACAAAACCATTGAGGTGCATCCATTTCCACCAAATGTTTGGACACCATGTTGAGTCCCATGTAATATGGCTGTTATCATGTGATTTCTGGGCATTAGTAAGGGATGCTGCATTCATTAGTATATTTGCTGGGAAGTTGTCAGGAGCTGTCACTTGGTGTTGATATTGTATTAGCAGAAGCCACATGAGTAATGTTGACTGAAATCTACATGGTTAAGGTAGATGGTATTGCTTTGGCATGCTGGTATGTAAATAGATATTGTCCACAATGTAGCTCCTGTTACATTACAAGTCTCCAACCTCAGAACTATATTGAGCCCTTCAGCCCAACAGTATCCAGTAGGCATATCATCCTACCTTGCAAGCAAGTAGCCCTTGATCTGCAATCTAAACAACTACTTATTAGCATTCACCATGTCCTGCCAATTCTGATTATTCTGCAAATCTTGTGGCATGATACAACTACATGCCAATTGTTGTCCCATTGCTATGTAGTTGGTGGATTATCCCACCTTTAAATAAGAACAACAAACAAACAACATATGGAACACTACCACTGCTGTGTAAATTTATTTATAACATCCCACTACATGGGCAGGCAGAGATCATTCAGCAGATGCTGCAATCCTAGGACCATGTGGACATAAACATCACTCTTTGGGCTGCATTGGTGCATGCAATGAATATATCTATATATTGGAAGCTGCCATCCCAGCAGAAGATAGGGAATGCACTGGAATTACAATAATTGAGCTACTTGTAATGAATGGGAATATGATGTCAGGTAGTCAAAATTAGTCCACCTCTTTGGCCAAGCACTGGACTGCAAGTTGGGACACTGATGATTTCTTGACTGCAGCAGCAGGCAACATGATCAGTTGGTTCTTACCAAAAGCCTTGCTAAAAAGACATCAGAGCATAGTGTGACTTGAATTTGGGATGCATACTGATTCCACCATGCAAGCAGCTCGTCCACTTGTTTCTTAGCTGCAGGGCCTGGCAGATCTTCGAAAAAGTCCAAAATCATGTTGTAGAATTGTGAATAATCAAAGTTGCTGTCCACATTGTGCCAGGTGTTGGCAGAGGAAAGGGTGAAGTGGACCTAAGATGGTAAGGGATTGAGCATACATGACCAGAGCATAGCATACCTGGACTGCTGTGTATGCAATTGACCAAGGAGTAACTGCCTTCATGCCAAGGATTGAAGCAATGTGATTCTTAGTTGCTGCCTGCTGGTTGGAACTCCCCCAATGGCATCCAGGTGTTGTGTGATCCTTGTCAAGGTCCTGGATGGATGAAGGTGATGTGAATATGAACTTGAATGCCTGCAGAAGTCAACACCATGAACAGTAGCTACCCAGAAATCAATTCCACATACCTTAATCAGAAGTGAAGATTGGAAGAGTCCTTGCTCAGCATCTGTTGAGTAAAACTTGAAATTTTCATAAAGGAAGAGTGGCCAAGAATATGCTGTGACAAGGTAAGATGGGTTGTGATCCCAAATCCCATCTTTCATGCTGGTCCAGCATTAGTACATGAAAGAAATTGTAGATGGTTTAAGTAGTTCCATGGCTAGGTCCCAATCGAACTCTGCTGGGCAGATTAACTTGCCAGTAACATCATGCACAAACCCATGCTCATCTTTGGTGGTAGTGTGGAGGGGAGGCTCAATGGGATGGAACAAGTCAGTCAACCAAGACATGATGTCTTGTTTGAGATTAGCCATGTCATCTCCATGTGCCCCATCAGCTCCTTTTCAAAGCTGCTTGCAAATATCTTCAAGTTCATCAGCAGTGCCATGCAAAATAATCTATTTCATCCAAGGAAGAACTGTGATGAGTTCCTCAAAGGATTTATAGAGACAGTTGTCACTGGTAGCAATTAGCTAGAAACCAATCAACTGTTTGAATTCACATACTCACAAGTGTTCTCCAAGTCAGACTTGTTATGGTCATTTTCTTGAAACTCTTGATGGCAGTTGAATGCTGCAATGAGATCTTCGACATTTTCATAAAGAGTTACCAGGTGTCTTATTGCTCTGCCCTGATGAACATATGAGTCCTGTTGGCTATGGTGGATTGGCAAACAAGTAAAAATGTCAAATGGTAAATACACACCTGCAGGATTTTTTCGAGCTTGCTCTCATGGTTTCAAGCTCAAGCTCAAGGGCTGCTATCTGCCTCTTCGATCTGCAGTGTGCAACATGCAGAGCATCTTTGTCACTGGAAGGCCACCTGTCATCAGACTGTGACTCTGCCATGCCTGGAGCTCTGGAGGTGGTAGTGGGCAGCAGCTAGCAGTGTGCTTTTGCAGGCAGGCACACTTAATAGACTTGTGCAATATCATTTATGTGACTACAGAACTTCAGATGACAGGTTGAAATTTCATCTGTGAGATGGTTGAATTACAGCATATGAATTGTTTGAGAACTCAGCATGTACTGCAGTGCTGTTTCAGCACTAAGCATTTTGCAGATCATTTGTCAGTCCAAGACTAATGGCCCAGGTTGAAATTTCACCTAAGCAATTTCTTGACAGGGCATGCCTCCTGGAATATGGCAAGAGAATTCCACTGAGTGTTTGCTATTATGTCATGTTGAGACTCCAAGTGCTTTTTGCCATATGCTAATGAGTTAGGGCACTCAAGGGTAGCTTTGAAAAACTCCAAGAATGGTCCTGATCAACCAACAGGATTTTTACTCAGCACCAGCATTATTGCTATCTAGCTTGCATGATAAAAATGTACAGTAATCTATGTGGGGTCCATGATGACAAAAACATACTAGATATGTGCCAGTTGCCTGGAGGGACATCCAGCAAGAGACATAGGCACAAGCTGAAGAAAAACTCCCCACAGAGGCTTACTCCCCATACATAAGGTACATAACTACAGTGAGGTGGTTGTTGCCTGTAAGTGCATAGTGGGGTGTGCAGAATGGGAAGAGAGCAACAAAGCAACAAATGAGATATACTGTATATAAACAAGAAGTGCACACAGATGCAGTGAGATGCACATGCCACTTGCATGGGCAGTGCAGGAAAGGTCTCTTGTGCTTTGTGGTCTTGGGTCAGCCTCATGTCAGATCTTTTGCCCCAAAGGACTCTGCCTGTATCTGAGGAATGAGATCTCCCCCACTGTTTGCCATTGACAGCAGGGTGAGAATGCCACTGACTTGTCCTTGAAGTTACTCTCTGACCATGCAGGGGAGTGTGTGTCATATGGCATCATTGCCATGCCACCATCCACATGTGTAGCAAGTATATTTTGCACTGGCAAATGATGGGATCTTGTAGTGTGTCAGTGCCCAGTGCAATGCAACATCAAAGGCACTTGTACCCATGGGTGCGAGCTGGCCAAACATAACATTTTCTGTGATGCCATGACAATCATCCATTTCACCAATGACAGTGGCTTCCATCAAAATGTCCACTGTTTCCTCAAACGAGCAAGGCATTGGGACACCAGTTCTAGCTGGAGCTTTGACTTGATATCCTCATCCAGGACAGTGAAGAATTCCATGAACTCAGAGTCTTCTTCAATTATGGTGGATGTAGGGTCAGGGTTGTACCAAATCTTGACTGTGGCAGTTTACAGTCCAAAGTGACCCAGGCAACATCAGACTCCAAGTATATGGAAAGCAGAGGTGTCTTGATATTGGTGGTGACATTGATAATTTCTTTTGAACCAGACACACTGATTGTAACATTCTTGCTGAATACACAGGCATAATGGAAGGTGTTAAGTGACATCTGAGTAACTGGTTCACCAATGGATTGGGTGACAAGGGTACTGCACATTTCTCCAGGGTTGAAAAGGGATTGGTTGAACTTTGCCTGGATCCCACCCAACACCCACTCAGACATTTCACAGTTGAGATGGAACTCTTCTAGCACATGGTGAGTAGCGAGTGTGGCTCATACAAGCAAGCAGAAGGTCAGCACAGCACTTGCCTGTGCTTCCCTACCAAGTTCATCGTTGTCCAGCACAGCCAGGAGCCTCTCCATGAGTTGGTAGACTGTGTCAACAATGTATGCTGGTTTGAGGTCCCTAGGCTTGTGGCAGTTGATGTGAAAGATCTGAACAGCATTCTAAGTGATATGATGTGGATTGACAGGCATGTGGTGGGGGGTAAGGTTGTCTGCATGAAGGAAAATGAATGACTGCAACTTGGGATGATCCTGTATGGGTCAACTGTATTCTTCATCAAGCTTCACTTGCAACTCAAGGGAGCTGTTGTCAATACTGATCTGCAGAACTCCAGGACACAAGTCACCTCCTTGTCCATGACATCAACATGGACTTTGTGCTCAAACTCCCTATCCTGAGCTCAAATGTGCCGATCCTCTGGTGCTTGATGAATGTGTCATCCATCTCACCCTCTCCATATATGAGCTGGATGAGGTCACCCAATGAATTGCACACTGTATGTCATAGCAGACCATGACATCCTCCAGTGCCTTGACAAGACATCATTAGATGTAGCCTGTCTCTGCTGCTTTGACAGCAGTATTGATGAGACCTTCTTGACCAACCACACCATGGAAAAAGAACTCCTGGGGGGGGAAGGTCAGACTGCACAGATATGAACTCCCCTTGCCTCTGGACTAAAGTCATCCTTGGTGAAGTGAGTTAATGTCTGACAGCAGAAACTGAATGGTATATACTTTCCTTCTACACTCCACTGCCTGACATAGGCAGACATCTGTGAGACATTGCTATATGAATCTGTAGATCCTGCACTGACCATCTGCTTGACATTGTTGTCCTCCTTCAAGTGCTCCTGCATGTATTGATCAGACTGGTCACAGCCAAGGCTAAGTTCACATTCCACTATACTGAAGGATTCTCAGATAATCATGCCAGGCATGACCTTCAAGCAGTCACAATATGCATCATCAATGATCTCCTGGACCCTGTGCTCCTTCTCCACAATTTTTTTGGTGATGAAACTCACCACTTTCAGTCCAGAAAAAGTATCAGTGATGCTGATACTGAAACCATTATGGCAAAGCCCATAGTTGACGACCCTCTACATACTGGGCTGAGACCTTTCTCACAGAAGGCAACAAGTATGGGACCACCTTGGGTCATGCTGGCCATCTTTTTGTCAACAATGCCATACAGAATTTCACTGTTGTCAACCATCATGCCATTGTCGAGGATTGGGTTCAATGTTTTCTAATCCAATGCATGATGAATATTGAATCCATGTGGAATAGCCATGCTCAGAATTTATTCACCTATCCAGAGAGGCTTTGGCTTGATAATGGCTGGCAGTGGGACATGACCATCCCAATTAGGTACCCGGAAAATGTTTTGAACTTGGTTCCAGTCAGGGAACATGTCTTGCAGCATGTACTTGCAGATACCACAGCAGTGTATCTTGCATGACACCCACAAGGCATTTGTCAGCTTATGGTGAAATGATCTGATTCAAACTAGCATCAGCAACAAAGAATAGACAATGGAGGCATGCATGAACCTGCAGTGTACCCATGCAATAATTCTGCACAAGTCTCTGACTGTGGTATACTGAACAATGATTATGAACACACACAACTGGTAACTAACAACCTTGGACTTACTGCATGTTCATCTTGTCACCACCAAAATCAGCATTATAAGGGGACCTCATGGAGGGGTTCAGGTGGGAGGCTAGAAAAGTTGTCAGCATAAGGAACTCTGAGACATCTAAGAGCTTACTCAAGTAGGGCATCAGCTTCACCTGGTGACTCATATTTAAGGATATAGCCAACCCCCCATCCTTCAAAAGTCATCCTACTATCCAACTGTATTGGAGGAATGCATCGACACTTGCTGTACTGCAAGTCAATATGTTCTCCAGTATCCCTGGCATCATATCTTGCTCCTGGATAAATCGAGAGCCCATTCTGAACAAGTTCTTGCAGGTAAGCAATGTTGTACAGTGTCACTACACAGAGACATTAGCAACAACCCCACCACCATCTGTTGATACATGCCTTGTTCAGGGTACATAGGACTCATGCCTATACTTACAGAAACACCAGCTTTGTCCAGTTCCAAGTTTGGGTCACCTGTGATGACTGTGCAGGTGGAGAAGTCCACATGTTCACCCATCAGGTTACCATGTAGACATCCTTCTTTGCCCTTTAGCTGTACCTGGACAGCTTTCACAGGTCAGCCTGAGTTGGGGTACCAGCAATATCATTATCCATGTAGGTTGAAACTACCAGGAGGGGTGAGTGGATAGGGAAAGAATACAATGCAATACTTGCCTGCAACAGCTGTTCCAAATCCATTACAACAGGAGCAGGTGCACCTTCCTACTCACACCATTGAATGCTGTCAGAGGCCATAGTGATGTCACCCAACTTGTACGTCAGATCACCTTCACTCGTCATGACACTGCTGTCAACAGCTCTACTCAGGTGGACAGGTGGAGGCAGTACTGGCAATACAGTGATGGTCATCCACTCCAGTCTTGCATACTCATCTGAGAGACTTGAAGTAACTAGAAACCAGAATTTGACATCTTCTTGAGTGTCATGTACACCTCTGATGGTGTGCACAGGCATTTGTCAGGCTGCAATGACTTGATGTCCTACAAAGCATTAATATCTTGATGCCCTTCATTGGTTCTGAGTACTGTGAGATGTGAAGGACAGTTGCAAGGAGTTTGGGGAGGGACTGCTCATGTGAGGTAGAGATATGTTTGCTGGCACCATGACCAGGTTCTGAGGAGATGTAGTGGGAGTGTCCATAATGCATTACTCTTGTATTAGACACATGCCAGCAGGCTACATGACCAATTTTCCCACTCAAGCCATGAAATGAGATCATGCAGATAGTGAGGCAATATGATAGAACAGAGGGCAGAGCACAATTACAAGACAGACCAAGCAGCAGCCAGGAAATAAAGAACTTGCAACTGCCAGTACACTGTAGTAACTACTACTTTGAAGTTAGTACTAGTGTTGATAGGGTGAATCTTTAGAATGAAATGTCATCAATGACAGCCTCTTTGAACTCATTGGGTTCATCACCATCTTCGTCATCTGAATTGCTGCTGACATCTGTGCAAGCATCTGTGTTGTTCTCACTTGAGCTGTCATCTGTGTTTTCATCACTATTCACCTCCATATCACTACCATCCTGACTGTCCTCATCACTCTCTTCCCCTAACTGTCCATCATCCTTGTTGTTCATCTCTCCTGCCAGAGAGTGTGGAAGGGAATGTGTGTGACCAGGACTTCTCCCAGCAAAGTGCATGAACATATCTCAGTCAGCAAATCTAAGAAGTAGGATTAGTGAGGTGTAGCACTAGAAATACACACCTACATGTTTACATAGAAATTTACCCAGTCATCTTCTTCCCCTTCTCTTTGTGCAATGGATTTCCCAGTGGGAAGTAAGTGAGTCTCCTTACCATCTGCAAAGGCCAGTATAAGGTGAACAGCACAGATTGCAATATTGGGGTCAAGAAAACCAAATGTGGCAGGGTCAGAGGTCGGGATGAATACTCTCTTGGGGAGGTGGCCCACAGCTAAACAAAATCAGTGGCCCAGGGATACACCAAGCCATTGAACCCACAAACATGCAAGTTTTGAAAGCCCTTGCCTCTGCCAAGAACTCACACATCAACATGGTAGATTCCAAGTACACAGGCATCCCAATATGGATGGCAACCTGGCCCTGATTCACCAGTAGGAACCATTATGTCAGACTGGTGGCCTAGGTGTAGGAAATCATACTCTTCATGCATGTCATAGGTAGTGTAATGAATTCACATGGTTCATATGGCATATAGCTTGTTATCTCAGATTATAATGCTGTTACATTCCTTGCCTGAATATTTGTCATCTTGGTCAGCAAGGGGCACATGAAGGAGTTATTATGCCCAAGTGCAGTGACTTTGTCAAATGGACTAGGCATGAAGCACGCAAGGGGGAGTCTATGGGCTGAACATGTCATAACCCCTATGGCTCAGTTATTGCTGAAGTCCAACAAAGGTTTGCTTCCACTGGCAGTCCTTTTGGATATGTGGGGAAGGGAACAAGGACAAAAGCAAAGGGATGAAGCTGAGTTGCAAGCTATTGAAAAACTGAGGATACAGGACAGCATACTCGAGACTATATACCCATACAGCTAGAGTACCATACCAGTCATGACAGATGTGTTGCAACATGTATCTGCAGTATTCAACAAAGTCATCAGACAAATACATAAATCAAAGGGAGTCATATGGTGTCATATGATGGGGGTTGTCAAGGAAGCAGAGGCTATACTGGCTGTGCAATCAATGTGCAGCGAAGAGCCTGACACCAGAGCAAGAAAGGGACATATAAGTAATATAGATGAGTCAAAGAAACAGGAACTGTAACAAGTCATCCATCAGAGAGGGTGGTGGAACACTGGATCAAAGGGGAGGCATGGTCTCAGCTGGTATTGGAAATACCTTGACAGTGGGAGATCCAAAGGAGCCTTGCAGCATATGAACCCCTAGGATGGTGACAATTATGAGAGATGCAACTAGGCACATGATGCATGTGACTGCGAGGAATCGAAAAAGGAAAGACCCCTGTAGTGGGCATAACAGGAGTCAGTGTAGAAGATGGTTTTTGAGGTCTGGAAGGAAACCCTTGGATCAGCTTTGGTGTTAGAGACTGGATAAGACAAATCACTTGCACTGACAGGCTTACTTTCAGGGTGGGATCATCCTGCTGATCCCAGAGCATGGAGAACAGGTCCAATGGAGAGGTTCTATGGGAAGGAAGGAAGTGCTGTGGAACTTGAGTGGTCATGTTGCTTCTTGGAGATGGCTCCTGTGCTCTGCCACTACAGCTCTCTTCTGCTGGTAGCTGATCAATGACCTGCAGCCACCTCCAACATTGCTCGTGTTTCGAGAGCTGGTTAATTGTGTTTTTCTTACTAGTTAGAGGATAATAGGCTTTTAGAGCATGATGAGCAAGTTCCCCCTGAAATCAGTTAGTCTGAAGAAACACCTGAAGATCTGAAGCATATCACTGTTTGCATTGTATATGAATCTGTCATCCCAAACAATCTAATAGATTCCACATAATCTCCTAGGGCATGGAATTTATGCATGCACATGTTGAACATCTTCACTTTCCCACCACTTGGCAAAGATGGCACAGCAGAACCAGCTCCATCATGGGCTTGCTTCTGCAACTAGGAAGCTCTCTCTTTATGTAGCTCAACAGTGTGATAGTCAGGACATAACTTCCTTGCAAATAAACAGAGCTTTTGACAGAGAATTATATGGGTCCTTTCTAGGTCATTTAAGGTCATCTCCATGTGTAGTTGCAGCTTTGCAAGCACATGCCACTTGGCAAAGCAGAAGGGTAACATGGACACAATGTGGTCATGGGCTGGTGGGAAGAGACCTTTGAAGACTGGAATGGCACACTTTACTCTTGTTGAGCATCTGAGGCAGCATGAATGAGATGTAAATGAACATGCCTGCAGGATGTCTTCAAAATCATCTGGCTGCAAGCCACTTCATTTCTGAGGTATTGCTAGAGAATTTCTGAATAGTCCCTCGACTGAATGAAGGTATTTGCTGAAACCTGGGAATGCTGTTAGTTGAAGCAGAATGCAGAGAAGAGCAATTACCTTGCATCTAGCTCAGCAACAGTTAATGCACCAGTTGGAAGACCATAGAGAAGGCAAATAAGGTGTGTGAAAAGGGACTTCCAAGAACCAAGCTCACATTCATGCATTAAATCGACTACTAGCATGGCCAGACAGTTTTTCTGCAAAAGCATTCTGGAGAGCCATTGAATAAAAAGGTAAATGCCAAGAAGTGTATGTACTTATGATGGTCAGAACCCACAAATTGCTACCAAGTATATGTTCCATGAAGGATCCATCTACTGCCTTTGCCTGCTTGAGTATAGCTTTGCATACTTGGTGAACCTTCTGCAATACAAACTCCCTCAACTGGGATGCTCACAGATGTGCATCATGAAGAGTTCCAATGCGATCAATCAAGTGCTTGGGTACCAAGCAACATGGGCAGAGGCAATGACCCATCTCCTGTATGGTTGCAATAAGAGCCCTAAATTGTGGAGTATCAACTACTGATGAGTGCCAGGAACATGTCTGATAGAAGTTCACATTACTTTTCTGGGTAATCAGCTGAATAGGTGAAAATGCAGGGGAACACTTGGTGGATGGCTCTGTTGGGGCAGCACAGGGATGATGCCATGGTGACAAGCCTCTACAAATGCCTCATCCAATAAAATATTCCAACAGCCACATGAACAGTTCACAGGTGACAGTGGGCTTGTAGGGAGGCAATTCCCTTCCTGGACATTTTTTCAAGCATTGGGAAGAAATCTTTGATACTGTCTGGGAGCTTCAATACTGATCACAATAAGGCATGTCGATCTTTGGAGTAGAACTGCTGTGACTTACTGAAGGGAAGAAGGCTACTAGATGACAAGCACTGGAGTTTGGCATTGCATGGGCATACTTTGAAATGTTTCCAAAATAAAGGTAGAGTGGCCAAGCCTTTGCATTGCCAAAAGTAGCCAGATGAGTGGCATCAGAGAAGAACATGAGACCAGCGATAACTTCACTCCAGCTTGCATCCAGGGCTCTGGTGCTTGCTTTTGAAGCATTGCATGGGCATTGATCCAACTGTCCAAAGTGTATAATTCACCAAATGCTTGCTGAACTTTGCCAGTGACAGGATCATGCCAGATTTGTTCAAATGGCCATAGATGGAATGTTTTAGCTTGGATATCATTGAATGCTGAACATATAACTTCAATGAGAGATTGATAATGAAAACCTGGTACTGAGTATTTCTGACTGCTCCCCTGATTTGTCTTCATCCTGGTGGGCACCTCAATATCCATGGAAGAAACATTCCAGTTGTCCAGAAACACTACCTCAGAGTTCCCAGAACTCTCACCTGGAGCATGGTCCTCATTGAGGAGTTGAAGATGTCTATTAGATGAAAAACTGATGCAAGTCCACAGAATTGAAATCCTCCACTAATAGCACAGCCTGGATGAGCCTTGTAACTTTGCCCTCAGACTTATGCTTGCTGATCATATTCATCCATTGCATCAGGCAATATATGGTCATGTTTGTGAACAGGTAAGGAGGGGGAGGGAGGTGAGGCCAAGGAACAATGTGCATGCCCCTTTGTAAAAGGGGACATACTTTGGTTGGTAGCATAGATGAGACAAAGGAATCAGGCTTGAAGGATGGGCAGTGGAGGTACTGGTGACATATGCCAAAGAAGTCTCTTTCTGATTGAAAACTCCCATGTACATGAAGTATCACCCTGTGAATAAGGCCTGCTCAATTTCCTGACACAAAATCTGGATTCTGCAGAGGTGTAGTAGATGGAGGTGAAGGCACATGATTGTGACAATCTTGAATTAGGCTATGGAGAAGTTGGCCCTCAGCTACAAATAGGAACTGTGATATCAAAGTACCTCCATGGACAATTCCTATGGCACTTACCACTGGCAGGTCATGTGTCAACATGCATATTTGAATCTTCAGTTTGCAAATCATTGCTCTTGTCCTCATCAGCACAGGGATGTGGGCTTGGAATATGAAGCTGGGTGTGATCTGATACACTGGCAAGGGTAGCAGTGGTTCCATGGTCATCATTCAGTATCACACCAGCCTGGTCCTGAAGTAAAGGTAAGTACTGCAGTGGCAGTTCATGAAGTGGTCAAATGGTCACCACTTACCAGGTCTTGAAGTCCACTGCTGTGCCCTGTAAATTTCCTGAGCACAGTACTTGACTGCCTCACTGTGTATTGCAGAGCAGCATCTACCCTTTTCACTCTTTCATGATGCTTCAAAATGGCAAGACTTGTGGACTTCCAGTACAATGAACAGAGCAGCCAATGTTTTGAAAGTGAGCATTGGTTGTCAAAAGTTTGGCTGCATGAAGGTCCACAGAAGAGCATGACCATGAGCAGTATGAAAAGACAATAATGCTGGATTGTAATGGCCACTGGAATGGTGGCAGTCATGGCAGCAAGATATGATGGGGTCATTGAGCTGTGTTAGAGGTAACAATATGATTACTACAACTGGGGTTCTTTCAGTGAGGCTAGGAGCCCTAGCATTAGGTTTCAGGTAGGCTGTCAATGCCCAGCAGTGACATTAGTTGGGGGGTTTGAGATTTCATACCTGAATCATGTATTGACAGGTATGAGCCTGAAAAAGTTCATTATAATGCAGGCTAAATGAGATTGGGATGTTCCAAACTGAACATACCTCTCCTTTCCATCCTTGAAGCCTCTGTAGCCTGCAAGGTGATTTTCTTCATGTTAGATTGTGGTGGTGCAAGAATCTGATAGCAGAATATGTTCTCAAAGAATGACTTAGGACTCTTGATCTCAGGCAGAGAGATGTACTGGGTGAGACAAGTGTTGGTGGAATCACTGAAGATAATAGGTCACAGTTTATCAGCATCTCTAGAGTAAAGATACTCACTGATTTTTGCATATGCAGGCATGGGTGAAGACCAAACCTGGCACCTACCCAAACCCTGTGGGCCTGCAAGTCTGCCAGCCATGAACAGTCAGTATACTCAGAGCGACAGCAAACTCCAGTGGGATGTAAGAAGCTTAGGATGCGATTCTAGCTCCTTTGCAATAGGTGTGTCCCCCTTGTGTTTCCTTGTAGTTGTATTAGTTAACTGGTTTTGGATAGATTCTGAATGTGAACACACTCCAACTCCTGCCACCTTGTGGGCAGCCTCCAGCACTTCAGGAGCTGCCACAGCATTGTACAAGTCGAATGATCACCATACCCATCCACATTGTACAGGAACTCATTCAAGCAAGGTGGGCAGCTGAGATAGTGAAGTGTGAAGCCAAGCAGAAGTTACAAGTGCTACAGATAGTACACAGTAAATGGAGGAATTATACTTGAGGCAGGTCCTAGTGATGCAGCTCCCTGTATGCAATGAACAAGGATAATGAACTACAACTGGTCACAAACAATACAAGTAAACCACATAGATGCACATCATTTATTACCAGCCCTATTCAGCATTTTGTCAATGCAACCTGCAGCAGTTTCATATTGAGCTCTTGGTCAGGTTCACATATGGTCATGAGATACTGTTTTGCTTCATCAAATCTATGAGACCACTCCTGTACCTCTGCCTTGCACATGTAAGTGCATGCCTCATACTGGCGAAGGCAGTGTTCTGCAGCCTGCAGTTGCATGCCAATCATCACAACAGCTTGTTCCACCACACTACATATGTGTTTTTGATGAGCAGTGCTGGGGCCTTTCAGATTGAGCTATTTGATAGATTAAGTTTTATTCCACAGGAAGAGAAAACTGCGAACACACCAGGTTTATGATGGCATTATCAGTAGAGGTCCCTGAGCTGTATCTCTCTGGTACAGCTAGTGCACTGTGCCGAGACAGGTTTAGGAGCATCTGAAGTGGACCAAAGTTCAGGCTTCCTGCCATAGTTCCAACTGTTGAGAGGAAGTCATTGTTGCAAAAGTTGAACAAGAATTAGGTGTTGTATGATGGTTGTAATAGATAATGAAGGATCTAAACTCTGACTTCCACATAGTGTAGTCACATTTAGTCACAACACATGGGCAGCCTGTGTGCCAAAACACCAACACTCATATAGACCCTGAGATGGGCCCACCTAAATAGATTAGCCAGGACACATGGACAGGCGTGAGGGACTAAAGTGAGAGCAACATATATACAGGCCTGTAAGTGCATTACCACAACATATGGGAGGGCCCATGGTGGGTAAGGATGTTGAAACATTTAGACAGGCCCATGACCAATTAAGTATACTGAGTTGCTGTAAGACATGGACAGGCCTGTCCTGGTAGGTTACCCCCCTGTTGCAACATCAAGGTGGGCCCACCTATCATAACATGGAGAGGGTCACAACATAAGGACAGGCCTGTCTATGATTAGAATACAAAGTTGGCAACATATGGACAGGCCTGCTCATAATAAGCTGTACCCCTGTCACAACATAAAGACAGGCCTGTCAGTAATGTCATTTCATAATGTCACAACATATAGACAGGCCTGTCAACAGTAAGATGCACCGCTGTTGAAACATAAAGATGGGCCCATCACTAGTATCATTTAATAGAGTCACAACATAAGGTTGGGACCATCAGTAGTATTATGCAACATATGGATGGGCCCATCCACAGTAAGATGTACCTCTGATGAGACATAAAGATGGGCCCATCAGTAATCTCATGTATAGCATCACAACATATGGGTGGGCCCTTCAGTAGTATTATTTATATTGTTGCAACATATGGGTGGGCCCAGCCCCAGTAAGATGTACCCTGTCGAAACATAAAGACAGGCCTGTCACTAATATCATTTAATAGAGTCACAACATATGGATGGGCCCTTCAGTATATTATTTATATTGTCACAGCATATGGATGGGCCCATCCACAGTGAGATGTACCTCTGACAAAACATAAAGATGGGCCTGTCAGTAATCTCATGTATAGCATCACAACATATGGGCAGGCCTGGCCCCAGTAAGGCAACATCTGTGTATCTTGTCATCTGTCTCTAACCTCTGACTCTTCCACTCTCCAATCACCATCACCACTCTCACCATCAAACTACTCCATTGTCTCATCATCAGAAACATGTCATCGTCATTGTCTCACAAGCTCTTCAAGAAATTGCCTGAGCTTGATGCTGCAGCCAACTGCATCCTTCAAATTTACTTCAAGGATATCGCAGAAAGCAGTAAGCTGGGAAAGGCAGACAAGATTGCAAAGTGGAGAGGTGCCATCAAGGTGATAAATGATGAACTAGTGCATCATAGCATCATCACATTTTTTTCACTAACTGATGCATTCAGGACACTGTACGCAACCTCATTGCTAGGACATATGAGATTCCAATGACCCTCATCAGCATTGACATGTTCTTAAAGTGGCATGAAGACCTTGGCTCAATCAAGCACCCATGGCCTGAGTGGAAGACTGCCCTATCCCCTTCCAAAACTGACATCACCAACCACAAGTGGCTCAACATCGTCAAGCATTGATACAACTACCACTGGTTGGGCCTCCCTATGCCCTGCATTGTGCCAACACCAACACCACCCACTCAAGAGACTGAAATGCCTATGAGCAACAAAGGAAAATGGAAAGTGACTGAGGCAGAGGTGGAGCAAATGATAGCAGATAGCTCACACAGGATGGAGGTGGATGATGAGGGTGAAGATGAGGTGCCAGAGAAGGAGGACAATGAAGAAGAACCAGTGTGAGGCAGGCAGAAGCACAAAGCTGCTGCAAAAACAATGTCCCATCGGTCCAGACATCAATCCCACTCTAGGAAGGCAACAGCAGAAACCAATGATGACAAAGACATTCCTGCTCAAGGCCAATCGAAACACAAGCCTCATCCACCATCAGACGGACTATATGGTTGCACTGCCATAGCTGCCAGAAGGACGCCTTCCCCCAACCCCCATTCCTGCAACTTGTGCCACAGATGCAAGGTCCGATGCTACAAGAACCCTGGGAAGTCCTGCTTCCTGTGTGATGGTTGCAAAATTTGATGTAGCCATGCCAATGGCAGGATTGCCACTCCAACTTGATGGAATCCATCACAAGCCAGGGGAAAAAAGTGAGCTCAAAGTCTGTCCCTGATGATGGAGGCCCAAGAATCCCAAAGTCCAAAGGAATGTCCACCAAAGCGACACATTTCGATGGCTTCCAAAGCCATCAATGCTGGGGTTGGGCCCTCCAACCAGGGAGAGATGATCCCCGAGGGATCTTCACTCAGTATGTTCACAATTTCATGTATTTACACTGACTCAAATTTTATTTAGAGATTCATATTCCTGCATTCAGATGCAGGGATTCCTGCCCAATCCCAGCTGCTGTACAAGCAGATTTGATTGTCAAGGCTGGCCCATCCATTGTGCAGGAGGTAGAGGGATCTATGGCAGCAGGTATGTTTAATCAATCTACATTTACACTAATTATCATGGTTAACCCTTGTATTCAAAGCAGACACCCGCCCATTGACAACAGCAGCACCCATCCAACTTGCAACTGCTACAACTCCCAGTGCACCATCACCTGTCTGTGCCCCAATTGCCAAGGTGTCACAAAGATCCAACACAATCAAAGAGCAAATCGAAGATTTGGAACATCGACTCCACAATGCTGAGGCCCACCGCCAATACTACAAGGATCAAATGTATGATTTCCAAATACAACAGGATGAAACCATGCAGACGCTGGACAGGATGGCTCACAAGCTAGAGGCTCTGCATATTCAGGTATATGGACAAGCATTGGGTGATGATCTCATCAATCTCTTAGGGCCTCTGGCAGATGAGACAAGGGCAGATAGGACAGCAGGGTGAACAAGGCCATCTATCATTTTACTCCTCCATGGCACATATGATGTCATTTTGTATTTCCATTTTAATTGACCACTCATGCCACATCGCATATTCAACCTTTATTTAAGAGTGAGAAAAAGACAATAATGGCTAGACAGCCAACAGAATTGCAAAGGATAATCTCATTCTACTAAAACAACTGCTAACATATCCCAATAGGTGAAAGCTTAGCAAATGCATGGCTTTTTGACATAGAATAGTTAACTTGAAACTTAAAAAATGAGATAGCAGGATGGTCTCATTCTGCTAAAACTGGAGCTGATGGAACCTGATAGACAGAACCTTTGCAAATGAACAGACTGTGCAATATGTGATAGCAACCTGCCATTCAACATGAATGCAATTAATAGTCTGATTTGGCCAACACATCTGAGTCTGCTAATACAGCCGCTGTCACACACCAAAGGTGTTTGGTGAGGTGGACATGGATGTAGCTGATGAATGGAGGTGAAGACCATAGCCCTCATGTGAAGAAGGACAGCCAGCAATGTTGGCAGTCATCCCTTGCACAAGAACAAGTTGTCAATGCCAAGGAAAAAGGAGGAGGCAAGTTAAGTGCCAATAAAATTCTTAAGCACCCATGTATGGCATTCTGGTTTTCAATGTATCTCCACCAATTCTGCAGACACAGAAACCATTCCCACACTCGCTTGTAGTGCTCAGCCACGTGATCCTACCTTCCAGGATTGGAAAGGGTTTGTGCACTCCACACGTTTCTACAGCACTCCCTCCAAAAGATGCTCATTTCACTAATTCTTCTGATATGGCTGCCTCCACATCAGTCATTTCGCTTGTCCCCTTTGCTAGGGACCATGGCTACATATATCTACCAGGGGTTCCTACCAGCTTCCGTCCTGAAGTGTCCTGGTACATCCCACCCTCATCTGCCCCCTCTCAGCCCATCCAGCTTGGACAGCGTGTTCTTTTTGTCAGTATGACCTCCAGGAGGACATTCTTTGGTCGCCTCAGGTCTGTCATTCGCTTGGAAAGGTCTTATGTGGTCGTTTCAGTCTCTCCGGTCCAAGAAGCATATGGATCCTTCCTCCCTGCCCCCTGCAACGTCTTCATACCAGTCTCATCTGTCATTCTTCCAAAATTGTGACAGCTACAGTATAATCTACTGTTCTCCACTCTCCCTGATCGCATCCATGATGAGTATGATGCACATCTTGCCTCCTTGTTGCAAGATACAGCAGAAGACACTCCCCCTTCATCCTCTCTTCCAACAGAGCCTTGTTCATGAAGTTTTTATTTGCTTCACTGAGAGGATGGTTTGGGGGGGAAAGTTGCGATCCCCTATGCTCCTGTCACCCCACAGACCCCCAAAGCTTGACCCCTGTTGACATCTGACTCACCCTGTCCACTTTTGGATGTACTATATCAGCATCAGATCAGTGCTGCCTCTCTGTCATCCCACTTTGGCCTAGAAGTGATCTCTTTGAGATGTGACATGCACAGCCTCCCCCTAATGTGATTCCAGTGCACTTTCCCAGTACCTGACATTGCTTGACTCATACTGTGACATTCTGACTGTCTTTGACTTACCTATTGCCAATACTTACCAATCTTTTGACTTTGCTTACTGATTCTTTGCTTTTTGGCTTACTTATCCTTACCAATGCTTACCAATGCTTTCCAAGACGATTACCCATCGCTTACATTCCTTACTCATCAGTTACCAATCACTTACCAAGTGTTTGCACCTTGTTTTCCATAGGCAACACCCCTGTACTGTATATAAGTCACTGTACTTAGGTAGCAAAAAAAAAAAGAAGACATCAGAGAGCCCCTCTTGCTCGCAATTTATCATCTCTCAGTAAATCATTCATCAGCTTCGATAGTTGAGACTTTATTAAGGGTCTAGCTATCATCTACTTCACTTATCATCATCTATCATCCATATACTTTGCTCCAAGCCCTCCCTGAGCTCAGTACAGCTTAGGACATTGAATTAAGTCACCATCCATCCTTCTGTAGGCTGACAGCAGTCTACCCTATCGCTTTCTATCACATTCTTGCTCCCTCTTCGTCAGGAGCACCC